GGGAAATACATGGGGAAGTGTGGGTCAAAACGGGGACGGGGGGTAGGGAGGTGGTGGAGAGAGCACTTGTGGTTTGAGGGAAGGAAGAGAGGGAGGGGGTGAGGGAGGGGGGAGAGGGAGGGCAAAAAGAAACAGAAACAGAAACAGAATAAACGAAGGGCGGTGAGGGAGGGCGGAGAGGAGGAGGGGAGGGAGGGGGGAGAGGAGGAGGGGAGGGAGGGGGGGAGGGAGGACGGACAAGAAGGGCGAAGAGGGAGGGCGGAGTGGGAAGGGGGAGAGGGAGGGGGGAGAGGGAGGGCGGAGAGGGAGGGGGGAGAGGGGGAGGGCGGAGAGGGAGGGGGGAGAGGGAGGGCGGAGAGGGAGGGGGGAGAGGGAGGGCGGAGAGGGAGGGGGGAGAGGGAGGGCGGAGAGGGAGGGGGGAAAGGGAGGGCGGAGAGGGAGGGGGGAGAGGGAGGGCGGAGAGGGAGGGCGGAGAGGGAGGGGGGAGAGGGAGGGCGGAGAGGGAGGGCGGAGAGGGAGGGGGGAGAGGGAGGGCGGAGAGAGGGGGGGGGAGAGGGAGGGCGGAGAGGGAGGGGGAGAGGGACGGCAACGTGAATCAAATCAGAAAGAGACAAAACGAAACAAGAAGAGCGGGGAGGGAGAGCGGAGAGGGAGGGGGAGAGGGACGGCAACGTGAATCAAATCAGAAAGAGACAAAACGAAACAAGAAGGGCGGGGAGGGAGGGCGGAGAGGGAGGGGGAGAGGGACGGCAACGTGAATCAAATCAGAAAGAGACAAAAAGAAACAAGAAGGGCGGGGAGGGAGGGCGGAGAGGGAGGGGGAGAGGGACGGCAAAAGAACGGGAAGTACACCAGAAACAGAGAAAACGAAAAATTTCTCCTCTATTCCATACCTGCTTGTCGCCCAGCTTGATAACACTCGACTCAATCATTTCCTTGTACAGATCGTTGCCCTCGCGGGTGCGCGCAGCATAGTGAGGAGGAGAGGGAAGAGGTCAGAGCAAACAGGGTCTAGGGAACAGTGGAGCCTTCGTACCTGCTTGTCGCCCAGCTTGATAACGCCCGACTCAATCATTTCCTTGTACAAGTCATTGCCCTCGCGCGTGCGCTCGCCCACGCCCGCGAACACGGAGAAACCACCGTGCGCCTTGGCAATGTTGTTGATGAGCTCCATGATCAGCACCGTCTTGCCCACTCCCGCTCCGCCGAACAGACCGATCTTGCCTCCCCTCTGGTACGGCGCAAGCAGGTCGACGACCTGGGGGAAGGGGGAGGGAGACGGGGGGGCGCGGGAAAGGCGAAAGAATTAAATGGGACAAAAAATATAAGAATTATCTTCACCGATCTTGCCTCCCCTCTGGTACGGCGCCAGCAGATCGACGACCTGGAAGAAAGTAAGCGGGAAACGCTGGTGAAACGGGGCAACGTGAGAAACGGGGCAAGAACGCGTGTGAAAAGCAGATCGACGCCCTAATAACGGCTACGAGGAAGGAGTAGAGACGCGCAGTCTAGTGTCGGTAGTGACTCTTAAGTCTGTACGGTTGAAACGACTTGCTGGACGTTCACTGCGGTGCGCGCGTGGTGTCCGCGCCGAGCGCGCGGCATCGTCACTGCGCTCAAGACTTATAGCGCGCTGACGCGTCAGCGAATCTAACAGTGACGGGCGACCTGCCACCTTCCACGTGCCCAGAGAAACGCGGACTGAGTTGCGGCTACATCTCGTCGAACCTAACCCGGGCGACTGCCTAAGATGAAAGCCCCACCAAGCCCCGAACCAGCGAACTGATAGAAGCGCTACCACCTCCATAGATCTATTATGCTACCCGGTTCTTGGACCTAAATTCGCTTCCCGATCGCTAAAAAAAACAAAAAAAACACACACACCTGCCCGCTGCTCCTAGCTCCAAATAGGGGAAACATGCCGCGGCCGCTCATTCTGGATCAACGACCGGGATGTTTCGAGATAGCCTGCGATCAGTCCGCCACCATAACGAGTGACACCAGTACCGATTACAACACCGCTGGATTGCTGTCCCCGCTATAATATACCTTGATACCGGTCTCGAGAATCTCTTGCTCCGTGCTCTGGTCGGTGAAAAGAGGAGCCTCGCGATGAATAGGCAGGCTGTGGGGGGACTCTGCAATAAAGAAAGGAAAAAATGAATAAATCAGGACACAAACAATACAAACTTGACTAGTAAAAAAATGGCAGCATGAAGATCAAAAGATCGTCCGATTAAGGGACAAAAAACAAGAAAATCCACGACTCACCGAGAGGGCCCTTCTCGTCGATGGGCTCGCCAATGACGTTCATGATGCGACCGAGCGTCGCGCGACCCACGGGGATCTGCGTCGACGCAGCAGAGGAAACGAACAGATGACGAAACGGAGAGCAGGAGAATGGTTACGACAAACAAAAATGAACGAGAACCAGGGCTTGACAAAGCCGACGGGTCCAAAACGGCTAGACTGGAAATCAACAACAGATCCAGGCGCGCTTCGCTGATCGACAATCAGGCTCCGGCAGAATACGTCAGGCTTGATGCAGATCAAGATCGCCTCGATCAACGGAAATAAACCTACAGATCCTTTAGTAACAGCTTCTCTCGTTCAGCCGATCCTCCTATATCTCCATCAGCTCTTTCCAAGATCGAGCTTAACCTAATCGCGCGATCAAGAACGCAGCCACCGATCTACCACCTCATCGTGCAGATCTAACCCTAAACGCGCGATCGGCAGCTGGATCGACGGACCGTGATAGGCGATCCCGTGTTGAGCACGTGCTGGCCGCGCACGAGCCCATCGGTAGAATCCATGGCGATCGTGCGGACGGTGTTCTCCCCCAGATGTTGCGCCACCTCCAGCACCACGCGGATCGAGTGCCCCTGCACCTCCAGCGCCGTCAGAATCGGCGGAAGGCCCTTATCGAACTTAACGTCCACCACGGCTCCGATAACCGTCGAGATGTGCCCAATGCTGCCGGCGCCGGTAAAGTCCTCCGGGGTTGCTTCCGCAACCGCGGCGGCTTCCGCGGCGAATGAGCGCACGGGGACATGGCGGCTGGCGGGAACCTGGTTAGCGAGCGTGCTTCCGCGGAGAAGGGCGTTTGCGATGGCGGGGGAGCGGGAGGCGGGGGTGGAGGCGGCGGAGGAGAAGAAGCGGTTGGCGGTGGTTCCGTACTTGGTGGGTTGCGAGGATCGACGGGATGCGGAGCGGAGAGCCGCGAGGAGCGCTCGTCTGGAAGCCATGGTGGGACGCCGAACAGCGACCTGAAAAAAACTCAAGTCGCAAATGACAAAGAAAATAATCCTAGAGGTTCTCTCAATACCTAACCCGAGGGCGGGAAATTGGGGGGAACGGCGGGGGAAGAGGAAGTGCTAGGGGGGATGAGGAGGCGGGAAAAGGGGGAAAGTAAAGGGGGAGCAAAAACACAGGTAAACGGGGAATCGGGGAGAGGGTAATGGGGAATGAAGTAGAATGGGAAAAGGGGAGTGGATAGTACGGGAGAAGGCACAAGGTGTAAGAAAAACGGTGAAGAATAATAAAATACGGTGCGATAAAGTAAGATCGTGGTACAGAGCTCTCGTGGACCTTCCCTCGCTCACGAGAGGGAGAAAGGATGAAAGGATTCCGCAGAGAGAGGTGGGGACAAATCACAGGTGCGCGCGGAAAGCCTGTGATCACAATAATGAGACGCGGAACACGCAAACACCTAGGGCTTGAAATTAGACAAGGCATCTACATAACTTCTGCAAATGAAATTTATCATTTAAATGTCACTCTTATCTATCATACGCAACCCTTTTGCTATGAATGGTGGAAAAACAATATTACATATTTTTTAATCATACCTTTCGTGCCTTGTTGAAACTGTGTTGTGATAGCTCCTGTATTGAAACTCTTTCAAAGATGAACCTACAACAGTATCTGCACACTACAACTCTTAGGGTTGCATGAAATCATGCTTATGTCCATATCGAAGCGGCATAAAGTGAAGTGCTATCCACTTATTCTCTCAGAAATTGGAATCTGGGTGGCTCTTCCCAGCAACAAACATCAAAATAGTTTTCCCACCAATCAGTCGGGATCTCGTGGGTTCTGGACCTATAAGCAAAGTTACAGTCTGCGTCGATTGGAAGAAAAGTTTGATGCTTTCTGTGTCGGCGGCGGGTGACGTGTTCAGTACATTGCACCGCTGTCCTTTTACGCTGCACTGTACACGGTCCCACATGGGTGTTTCCGTCAACTTGCTTATGACGAAGGGTGACGTGTGTGGTCAGCCGCTTTTCGCATGCCATCTGTCGCAATTTGGTACGGGTTCAATGGCATGAACTTTCCTGGCTGCAGCTGCAGTTCCCACAGTCATTGCTGCGCGAGGCAGGATTTGATGTGCCACGCGGAAGGGCAGGGTTGTTGCCTTCTCTCCAGGCTGGCGTTACAGGTTGGGTCAGTCACCTCACCAGAAACAATTCTTGGCGAGAGTTTTCGCAACCACTCATCGTCGTTGTAACCCGTCGAGGAAGAATTTCGTTGATTCACTAGGATGGAAGCTGCTGTTCATTGCGGTACTGTACAGTGCTCTGGTCTCCCACAACCCCACCGCGTGAGATCAAATGCGATGCGCGACGACAGCAAAGGCGATTCGGTGTTCTCAATTTGCATGGCCTTGTGAAGTGGGCGAACACGCAAGGAAAGAGAAATGCTGAAGCTGGGCATCAGATCTAGGGGGAGGCCAGAAGTTGCACTGGACCTCCTCCATAAATAGCCTCAGTGAGCTTCCAGAACAGCTGAGTGCCAATGCTCCGTCGTGACTAAGGTGAGGAATATCCGAAGCTTTTGTTCGCGAGCCCTACCACAACACAGCACGGCATTCCGCATTTTATAGCGCCCTCCAAAGCTTCTCAGCTACGCCGCGTCAGGCTTTCAAGTGACATCTCCTATTCGTACCGTCGAGCACACCCAAACCAACCCATCATTACTCCCGTTCAGCTCCAACATCCATGGCGAGCAAGATCTGCACCGTAAGAGCATCTGATCCGTCCATCGAGCAGCGATTCAACATGCTCACTGGCGGGGTTGGTCTGGGAATGGCTGCGGAACTACTCGGCGGCGGAAAACCGTCAGGCGGAAGGAAAAGCGCAGGCGCAGCGGATAAAGCTTCCCGCGGCGGCACGAGCGGCGCGATATGCGGCGGCATTCAACCAGGCATCATAATCAGCGGGAAAGGTAGCGGCGCGGTGAACAGTATGAGTACCCTGCGGTCCGCATTGGAAGCGGTGGTAGAGGAGAGCGGCTCGGAGACCGACAGCTCCGCGTCGCACGGATGGGAGGAGCTGGAGCGAACGTGCGCTGCGATGGATTCGAACAACGTGCAGATCGACTGCATTGATCTTACCAACATGCTGGAAGAAGGCGTCGCGCTCGCTGACAGCGATGCTAGCAATAGCGAGGACGACAATAACGAGAATAGATGCGACAGCGACGACGAATCGACGAACGCCGACAAATGCACCCCGCATTTCTCCGCCGCCGCCCCCGCCTCCCGCCCCGCCGCCCGCCCCGCCTCTCGCCTGAGCCACACATTTTCCCCCATCAATCGCCTTCACGTGACAGCAGCGGCGGAGAGTCCTCCGCCAAATCTGCACCGGCGGAGCTCTTTCTCCGGCGCGTCCGAATCGAACCGCCTCGGAAATGCCAACGAAAGCAACCACGCGGACTCCGCGGCGCGGAATAGCCACGGCGGAAAGTACGTCTACAGCGGAAAATACTACAGCAGAAGCCACAGCCTGGCTCAGTGCCACTCTGACGGCTCGCCTCGTCTCCCGGGAAGCCCCGCTGAATGCGGGTCTGAAGGATACGGCCCCCACAGCGGCCCCCTCAGCGCCTCCCACAGCGGCCCTCTCAGCGGCGCCCCCCACAGCGGCGGAAGTCCCTTTTGCGGCGCCCCCCAGAGCGAAAGCCCCCACAGCGGCCCCTTGCGGCACGGGTTCGGATCGTCGAGTAGCCTGAACAGCAGCCACAACGGGAGCCCCCAGAGCATCCGTCCCAACAGCGGAAGCCCCGTTTGCGGCGCCCCCCGGAGCGAATGTCTCCCTAGCGGGCCCCACACGGACCAACACAGCGGCCCGTTGCGGCACGGGTTTGGTTCGACGAGCAGCCTGAACAGTAGCCACAGCGGCAGCATGGAGCTCGGCAGCAGCTACGGGAGCAGCTTCGACGGGAGCAGCCTCGGCGGGAGTAGCCTTGGCGGAAGCAGCACCGATCTCAGCAGCGGCAGTTGCGGCACTTGTTATGTGGGGAGCGACTTCAAGCCATCGCCATGCCATGTGCTCCTGCGGCAGAGCAGTGCGGGAGACGTGTCACACACGCCTACTAGTGTGACTGTCTCATCTGCAGCAGCGCGCCTCCGTCCCACCAGCAGTGGGGAATCAGGTGCGACTGGGGAAGGTCGACCTGAGAATGCTGTTCAAAATAATCGGTCAACTGTTGCTCCTCCATCCCTGCAGCGCCCGTCCGTCCCAACAGCAGTTGGAAATTCTGCTGCTGCTGGCGGTTTTAAACCCGGAGGGGTGACGGTGTTGGTAAAGAAAGGGGCTAACCCTGCTGCTATAGAGGCGTATTTAAAGCTCAAGGCTCAACGAGGAAGATAAATAGTATAGTAGGAGCTACACTGGTTTGTGTGCTGTTCTATACGTGTATGTCAGTGTGAAGGTAATTCAGGAATGTTTCTGGCATATCCTGCAGTGGACTCAAAACAATGAGAGTAAAAATGCACCATGTGGCTTTGAGGTGTGGTGTGGATCCATGCATTAGTGCTCAATTTGGATCCAGCAAATTGCAACTTGCCTCTCTAGGGCTCAACGATACATTGCTACACAACTGCTAGGTAAGTAGCACTTTTTAGTGCTCATAGAACAAGAATAAACCGCAGTAGGATTGCCCCACTAACAAAAGCGTATGACACGATCTCCAGGCATGGATTAATCAGCATTGCATTGCATACTTCGCATATGTGAGCCTTAGCTTGAGGATTCCCTTTACCGTATTTCCGCCCTGCTCTCCCAGCTTTCATCTTCAAAAAAGCCTCCACAGCAGCAGGATTACGGTAGCTCCAGCTCTCGTACGGTAAATTAGAAAATACTCTCAAAAGTTCCAATCTCTAGTACCACACAATCTGGAAACGGAATTGTCAAATGAATGGGGGTAGCTATAATACATAGCACTCTTCAGTGCACCATGCGAGCATACCACAATCCAAGTAGGAACGCCCCGCTAACAAGAACTGCAGCTCACAGTACCAACATTCAGCCACTAATTTATTCAGGGTGTGTGGGCCTGAACTTGAGGAAGGAACCCCCCTATCTCCGCCCTGCTCGCTGGGCTTTCATCTTCAAGTAAGCCTCCACGGCAGCAGGGTTAGCTCCAGCTCTCACCCTCACCTTATCTTGCGTTCTTTCAGCAGGAGCCATAACAGGCGCCCACGCACTCTCACCACGGCCACCCTCCAAGGGAGCCTTTTCGTTTTCCCGCACCAACGCCCCTCCCCCATTGCTCGCCGCGCTGCTCGCCGCCTGCCCGCTCCTCTCGATCTGACTGATAGATTTTGGCGGTGCCTGCCCGGGTTGTAACACGTATCTGAAAATTGTTCTCGGGCTGCCCGTGTTGCTCCGGGCGTGTCGGGCTGCAAAAGCAGCAGAGGAATTGGAGATCGCAGTCAAGCTCGAGTGGCGAGGGATCATGGTGACTGGGTCTGAGGAGTCTGGGGATGCACCAGAAAAGGATCCTGATGACACAACTGACGACGATCCAGGCGATCCGGACGATTCTCCTTGCGGTGATTCAGACGCAGCTTCCTGGTGATGCAGGTGCATCGGGCTTGAAAACACCACTCCTGGCTGGAACTTCTGCACTGAAGAAAAACCACCAGTCGCAGCAGCAGTCGAAGCCGTCGCAACGGCAGAGGCAGAAGTCGCAATGGCGACACCCCCGTCGCTGCACGTCGAGCCGAACGAGCTCCCTCCACTCTGCACGGCGTATTTACCCCTCCCGTACGACGCCAGGGCGGCGACCGCGGAGTCGCTTCGAGAAGAATGCATCTGCGGGGGTTGATTGTGAGAATGCTCGGAAACGCTTTGAGAGGAATGCGAAAGCTTCGGCTGGACGTGACTGTGCGCGTCGGCTCCGATTCTGCCGAGGAACCCCGAGTTCGGGGGAGTGACGTCGATTGGAAGCCGACTCGGAATGCCGTTTCTCGCCCCCCCGCCCGCGTGAAGCGGGGAATGGTATGAAAACAAGCTTCGAGCCGTCGGCGACGCGGTATCATCCCTAGCCGCGGGCGGTGCTGCTGCTGGGGCCACGTCGGTGGAACCCCGACGTTCAATCGTGAAACTCCGTCGGCGAGAGTTCGAGTCGCTCCGCGTCGGAGTGCCGGAGAGAGAAGAGTCGTCGTCGCCGTCGTCTGCTGTAGAAGTCACTGAAGCACGGGAGGTGACGGAAGGCAAGGAGACCACCGAGGCTGGAGTCGACACCGTCGCTGCTCGGGACATGAATGCGGTGACATTTCTGGGGCGACTGCTGCCGGCGCTCGCGAAATCGCCATCCGCGCTCGCGGAATCGTCGCCCGCAGCGCCGTCGTCGATTTCCGGATCTTCGAGGAGCGAGGTGAGATCTATGCCGTCGATTCTGGCGTTGGAGGAGTCCATGACTTGACATCTCTTCTCAAGGTCTGCAGGCGAGCAAAATATTAACACATGCCGTTAGGGTTTTGTCACAAGACAATCCAAGCAGACCAATTCGAGAAAGAGCGGATAGAAATGCAACTCGGTGTCGGAATGCCCAAAACTCCCGCATTTTCTCGTTTCAAAAGGCGACACGCACCTAAGGTATAGCAAAAAATGTTGTGCTACAATGATTGTAACACAAACGTAACGGAGAATGTCACGCAAATGTATAGGACGCGCGCCGAGCTCACCTTCCCAGGTACGAGCGTTTGCTTCCTTTTGAGAATGGCCCCGCCTGAGTAGCAAGCCGTGATTCCCGGACTGACGGTTCACCATGGCGGAACTCATGATCGCAGCGCGTATACTTTCTAAGCGCTTCGTGCACCCACACCAACGAGAGCGCTTGGTGCAAATCAAGAGACGATCAGAGTGCTCAAAGTGGCCACTATCGCGATCCCAACGAGTGACGGCTATTTGTTAGCGCGTAGGGGCTGTGATGGGGGGAAGAGCTGAAGGATGAGCTAGCTTGCTTCAGACCGGTTCAACACGGTTCTGTTTGTTATAGATTGGTTTTGCGTGGTTCCATCCCATAGTGGCGGCTTCGCCCCTCGAAATTTGGAGTGATTTTGGTTCGGAAGAATTCCAGAAGAACGTGAGAATCTCAGTTGAACGCGGGAATCTCGTTGAATGTGGGAATCTCAGTTGAACGTGGGAAACCGCATTGCACCGAAGAGCCACCTTGACGCGAAGCGCAGCTGCTTTCTGGTGCACACATGTGATGGTTGTGCCAAAAGGAAACTGAGGTAAGCCCTGTAAGTTGCGAGCGAAGCTCCTCTTCGCCATTCAACCACTGGACGGGTGGTGCCCCCATTCAAGTGTCAAGTTGCAATGAAGAATGAAATCTACGGGTTGTGGGGGAATCAACCCAAACAAATGTCATCGCTAATCTGATGTCAATAAGACCAAGGTTTGTTGACATTTTTTCAAGCATAAAACTGCAATTCACTCGCTGGAAAACTGAGTACCCTTTCCTCACTTCGTCCGAACCGACAAAAGGGGATGTTTTTTTGGTCAAGTCGTCTCGCCGAGCGTCACTTGTTTCTTGACGCAACTCGCATACGACCGTGATCAGATTCTTCCTTCGGGCTTGCCATCGAATTCAATGCGGCAGGGGGAGGCAGAACCTACACGCAGGCGAAAGCTCCTAGGGAGTTTCTCATCACCATCCAAGTTTTTTGAAGGATATGCTGGGCAAAAGAGGATTATTTCCTCTCCCGCAAAAGAGTCTGGAGGACTTTCTAATACAGTACAGTACAGTATTAAGCAGTCCCCTGACCTTCGCTTTTTTAAGAATTCACTGTTTGCCCATTAGCGGCAACCATTTCTAAATCTGGTGCGCCGCCAAGCTCCAAGCTCCTCCAGTCATGTTCGCGTTGTTGTGGCTGCGATCAAACGGCCAATCCACGCATGGCAGCGAAGTGTAAATGCACCAATAAATTGCCACCTCAGCGCACCAATGGCGACCAGCCAAGTTCATCGAATCAAGTGTGTGTGGTTCGCCCAGTCGTCCCGTCTGGTCCCGTAAAAACGACCCGTTGCCTGCTCGTGAGGGAACGGTAGGACAAAGACACACTTGACCCGAATAGCTACACGCATAAGCTTCTTGCATATCTACGTCTCAAAATAAAAACGACAGGTGCATGCTATTGACGTTGATGTATATTGTGTACTGATGCCCTGCAACGTTTGATACGACAATAGTTACATCTTAGCATCCCAAATGTGATTTACATTGATGAAATTTGTGGGGAAAGGCCTAAACTTGTTTGCACGTCAAATGGGGGGCTTGATGTTTATAGATGCGTGATGTAAGACCCCTCCCCGTATTATGGCCCCGGGGGTTTCTGTTTGGGGCAGTCTACTATGGGCAAGTACTGGCAGTTGTGATGCTTGCAAACTTTTAACAATGCCATGCTTATAATAGTTTATTCAATGACAGACGAGCACATTTATTGTTTGAAAGCCATCACATGGCCACCTTATTCCGCTGCTGCAATTGCACTAGAGTGGCATAAACACCATTGGGTACACCTATGAGCTCCATATGAGTGCCCTGCTCCACCAGCCTCCCAGCCTACCATGCAAAGAGAGGGCATCGCGAAGAGACTCAAAGTACATTAAAAAACATCCACATCAAACACGGGCAGGGAAAATGCAAGATATCTTGCCAAAGGAACAAACCCTCCCACAACCTTTCCCCCCCCTCCTATCCCCCACTTAACCTTTAAACCCCGCTCAACCCTCCCCCTCCCTCCCCACCTTCACCACCACACAGGAATGCAGTCCGCATGGCAGATGGTGGAGAGGCGGTGCACCACACACCTCCTTACTCTGCTACTCAGCCCGGCACACCCACACCACCCACCCCCCATCCCCAACCCCAACCCCCTCCCCTCCCCTCACCTGCAGTCCGCAGATGGTTGAGGGCCGGCTCACCACATACCTCGTTACTCTGCTACTCAGCTCAGCACAACTCCCTCTCCCCAACCCCAACCCCCCCCCCCAGTCTCACCTGCAGCACAGCAATGCAGTCCGCGTGGCAGATGGTGGAGAGGCGAGAGTCCCAGTTACTCAGAACAACCCTCCCCCTCATTCCAGACCCCATCATCCCCCCTCCCCCCCTCCCTCCCTCCCCGCCCCCCTCACCTGCAGCACAGCAATGCAGTCGGTGTGGCAGATGGTGGAGAGGCGGTGGGTCACAGACCTCGTTACCATGTTACTCAGCCCAGCACACCCCCTTTCCCCCCCTCCCCTACCCCAACCCCAACCCCCCTCCCCCCCCTCACCTGCAGCACAGCAATGCAGTCCGCGTGGCAGATGGTGGAGAGGCGGTGGGCCACAACAATCGTGGTGCGGCCAATCATGATGCGGCTCAGCGCTGACTGGACCGCCACCTCAGACTCTGCATCCAGCGCTGACGTGGCCTGCAGGGGAGGGAGAACCGTGCATGGAATAGAAGCTTGAAGCAGCAAAGGATGTGTGAGTGGGTGACGGGGTGACTGCCTGCGAGCGGGTGAGTGAGCGAGTGAGTGAGTGAGTGAGTGAGTGGGTGAGTGAGGTGCGAGAGAGTGATGGGAGGAGAGGGTGAATCAGTGAGCGATTGGGAAAGCATACAAATGGGACAAGATCGATCAGCATGACCATCAGCATCAGCATCAGCATCAGCATCAGCATGAGCATCAGCATCAGCATCAGCATCAGCATCAGCATGAGCATCAGCATCAGCATCAGCATCAGCATCAGCATGAGCATCAGCATCAGCATCAGCATCAGCATGAGCATCAGCATCAGCATCAGCATCACCATCAGCATCAGCATCAGCATCAGCATCAGCATGAGCATCAGCATCAGCATCAGCATCAGCATCAGCATGAGCATCAGCATCAGCATTAGCATAACCATCAGCATCAGCATCAGCATGACCATCAGCATCAGCATCAGCATCAGCATGAGCATCAGCATCATGATCAGCATCGGCATCGGCATCGGCATCAGCATCAGCATCAGCATCAACATCACCATACCTCATCCAGCAGCAGCACCATCACCACCCAGCACCACCCATCACCACACCTCATCCAGCAGCAGCACCGCTGAGTCTTTCAGGATAGCTCTGGCGATGGCTGAGGTTGTGCTGACTGCGACTGTATGATGAGCACTCCAACCATCACCACCCATCACTACCCATCACCACCCTTCAGCACCACCATACCTCATCCAGCAGCAGCACCGCCGGGTCTTTCAGGACGGCTCGGGCAATGGCGATGCGCTGCCTAAGACTGTATGAGCATTCCTCCCATCACCACCCTTCACCCATCACCACCCATCACCACCCATCACCACCCATCACCACCGTACCTCATCCAGCAGCAGCACTGCCGGGTCTTTCAGGATGGCTCGGGCAATGGCGATGCGCTGCTTCTGGCCTCCTGACAGCTGCACGCCCCTCTCCCCCACCTGCATGCACATTCACATGGGGGAAGGGAAGGCTGATGATGAATCCATGATGCGCGTTGGCTTCCCTTGACTTTTGAGTCGACCCAGAGTTCATTCACATGGGGGAAGTGAAAGGCTGCTGACGAATCCATGCACGTTGGCTGCATCTGCTCCTTACACCACATGACCAGGCACACATCCTTGCATCTGCTCCTTACACCACATGACCAGGCACACATCCTTGCATCTGCTCCTTACACCACATGACCAGGCACACATCCTTGCATCTGCTCCTTACACCACATGACCAGGCACACATCCTTGCATCTGCTCCTTACACCACATGACCAGGCACACATCCTTGCATCTGCTCCTTACACCACATGACCAGGCACACATCCTTGCATCTGCTCCTTACACCACATGACCAGGCACACATCCTTGCATCTGCTCCTTACACCACATGACCAGGCACACATCCTTGCATCTGCTCCTTACACCACATGACCAGGCACACATCCTTGCATCTGCTCCTTACACCACATGACCAGGCACACATCCTTGCATCTGCTCCTTACACCACATGACCAGGCACACATCCTTGCATCTGCTCCTTACACCACATGACCAGGCACACATCCTTGCATCTGCTCCTTACACCACATGACCAGGCACACATCCTTGCATCTGCTCCTTACACCACATGACCAGGCACACATCCTTGCATCTGCTCCTTACACCACATGACCAGGCACACATCCTTGCATCTGCTCCTTACACCACATGACCAGGCACACATCCTTGCATCTGCTCCTTACACCACATGACCAGGCACACATCCTTGCATCTGCTCCTTACACCACATGACCAGGCACACATCCTTGCATCTGCTCCTTACACCACATGACCAGGCACACATCCTTGCATCTGCTCCTTACACCACATGACCAGGCACACATCCTTGCATCTGCTGTGAGGTAGTACGCACATACTAGCAACCCCAGACCCCCCCACCCCCCTCCTCTTCTCGCCTGTGTGTCGTAGCCCTGAGGCAGACTGCTGATGAACCCGTGCACGTTGACTGCTCGCGCTGCTTCCACCACAGCAGGTAAGCGCACATATAAGCAACCCCCGTCCCTCCCCTTCCCCAGCCTCCCCCTCATCCCTCCCACTTTTCTCACCTGTGTGTCGTATCCCTGCGGCAAGCTGCTGATGAATCCATGCACGTTGGCTGCCCGCGCTGCTTCCACCACACCAGGCACGAGCACCATCACTCCCCTTCCCTCCTCACCTGCGTGTCGTATCCCTCTGGAAGACTGCTGATGAACCCGTGCACGTTGGCTGCCCGCACTGCGTCCACCACAGCAGGTAAGCGCACATATAAGCCCCGCCCCTCCTTCATCTTCCCTCCTCTCACCTGTGTGTCGTATCCCTGCGGCAAGCTGCTGATGAACCCATGCACGTTGGCTGCTCGCGCTGCTTCCACCACACCACCAGGTACGAACACGTATAAGCAACCCCAAGCCCCCCACCCCGCCCCCCCTCCTCTTCTCACCTGCGTGTCATAGCCCTGAGGCAGACTGCTGATGAACCCATGCACGTTGGCTGCCCGTGCTGCTTCCACCACCTCAGCAGATAGGAGCACATATACGCCCCGGCCCTCCTTCATCCCCCCTGCTCTCACCTGTGTGTCGTAGCCCTGAGGCAGACTGCTTATGAACCCATGCACGTTGACTGCCCGCGCTGCCTCCACCACACCAGGCATGAGCACAGATGAAAGTAGCCAATTACCACCATCACCCCCTTCCCTTCTCACCTGCGTGTCATATCCATCTGACAAGCTGCTGATGAACCCATGCACGTTGGCTGCCCGCGCTGCTTCCACCACCTCTGCCTCGCTTGCGCCAGGCTGGCCGTACAGGATGTTGCCGCGGATGCTGAGGGGAGCAGATGGGGGACATGGGGCATGGGAGCATAAAATGGTTCTGCAGGTGCTGCAGGGAGTATGGAACGGTGGAGAATGGTGAGAAGGGTGGGCATGAAGAAATCGAGATGAAAATAGCGGAAATTGTGCCTGAAAAACACCACAGTGCTTACGTGGTGGCAAAGAGGGCGGGTTCCTGGCTGACAAGCCCAATGAACGATCGCAGAGTCTTGAGATGAACGGCTCGGATGTCCTCCCCATCCACCCGCACGCTCCCAGCCGTCGGATCGTAGAATCGCTCCACCAGGGCCACCACGGAACTTTTTCCGCTGCCCGACGGGCCCACCAGCGCCAGCATCTTCCCCGGTGCTGCCCGGAGAGAAAAGTCTTGCAGCACGGGCGTTTCCGGGCGGGTCGGGTAGGCAAAAAAAACCGACCGGAACTCAATCTCCCCGCGAACAGTCGAAACCACCTCAGCCGTCGGATCGTCCGAAAGAATCCTGGGCGTCCGATCTGTGGTCTTGAACACCGATCGAACGGCCACGCTCCCCTTGGCAATATCCGGAGCGAGAGTAATGCTTTCTGCTATAGCCATTGAAGTCATTATAAGCACCATGAACGATTTAAGCACATCGCCATATGAAGCCGTATTGGGAATTAGAGTCGACCCGTACCAGAGTGCTAGTGCGTATGACCCATACATGAAAAATTGGCTTAGCCCGAAACCTGCCCCGCCAACCTGCCCGCGAAGGAATGAGCGGCGAAGCGGGCCTGCCAGCCTGGCAGTGAACAGTGCGAGGATTTTGTCCTGTGCGTTGAATGCTGCTACAGTGCGGATGTTGGCGACTGCCTCTGCTGCTATGGTGGTGGCACCGGCATGGGATCTGTTATGGTTGCCTGCAAACCCTGCCAGGAATTGTTGCTGGGAGGAGGGAAGAGGGAGGAAGGGAGAGGAGTGGGGGGGAGAAATGATGAGTTTCCAGACTTAGAGACACGTAAGAAGTGGTGGTGCTCTGGTTGTTGCTGCTACAGTGCGGATGTTGGCGAGTGCCTCGGCTGCTATGGTGGTGGCGCCGGCATGGGATGAGCCAGCAAGAAATTGTTGCTGCGAACGGGGGGAAGAGGGGGAGAGAGGACGTTAGCGACTGCCTCGGCTGCTATGGTGGTGGCATCCACGCGTGGGATGAGCTCTAGTTGCCTGTGAACCCTGCCAGGAATTGTTGCTGAGTGGGTGGGGTGAGGGAGGAGTGGAGGAGAGGGAAGTTGACAATCACGACGAGAGCCGCCTGCCACTCCACCACGAACCCGATGACAAACGTGATGGCAATCACCGACAGGTTCTGCGTGGCGAGAGTGATGCTATCCCATCTCTCTCTCTCCAAAGCTTACCTCCATTAGCGCAGCAAAGATGAGCAGAGGGAACGTGGCGATAACAACCAATGCGACCCGCCACTCCACCACGAACCCGATCACAAACGCGATGACGATCACCGACAGGTTCTGCGTGGCTGCAGGGAAAGGCTATTTCCCCTCCATCCTAAGCTCACCTCCATGAGTGCCGCAAATATCAGCAGGGGGAAAGTGGATTTGACGACCAGAGCCACCTGTCACTCCACCACGAAGCTGATGACAAACGCGATGACAATCACCGACAGGTTCTGCGTGGCGAGAGCTGTGTGGCGAGAGCTGTGTGGCGAGAGCTGTGTGGCGAGAGCTGTGTGGCGAGAGCTGTGTGGCGAAAACAATGCGGTCCTCTCTCTCTCTCAAGCTTACCTCTATAAGCGCAGCGAAGATGAGCAGAGGGAACGTGGCGATAAGACCAGTGCAACGCGCCACTCCACCACGAATCCGATGACAAACGCGATGACGATCACAGAGAGGTTCTGCGTGGCGAGAGCAATGCTATGCTATACCCGCTCCCCCAAAGCTCACCTCCATGAGTGCCGCAAAAATCAGGAGGGGGAATGTTGCAATCACCACGAGAGCCACGCGCCACTCCACCACGAATCCGATCACAAACGCGATGACAATCACCGACAGGTTCTGCGTGGCGAGAGCAATGCGGTCGGCCACGGCTGCTTTGACGAGAGTGGCGTCGGTGGCGAGGCGAGAGGCAATGGCGCCACTGGCGTTGGCGTCCCTATCGAACCATGCCACCTCGTTGCCTAGGATGGCTGCATGGGAGGGGAGCAGGGAAGGGGTTGGAAGGGAGGGAGGGAGGGAGGGAGGGAGGGAGGGAGGGAGGGAGGGAGGGAGGGAGGGAGGGAGGGAGGGAGGGAGGGAGGGAGGGAGGGAGGGAGGGAGGGAGGGAGGGAGGGAGGGAGGGAGGGCGGGGGAGAGGGCAAATGATGCTTACCAGCAAATGTTTGAGGTGCCTCAGAAATAGACAGACAGCAAGAGCTTCTTACCAGCCTCTCACACCCACGCACCTGCCAGCATCTTCTCTCTGACTCGCTTCACCAGAGCCTCTCCAGACACCCAGAAACCATAGTCCGCTTCACCTAGTGCACTGGCAGCGCCACCACTCCCAGAGCCGTGACGACCATGGCCCTACCTTGCCCAATCTGGCAATGTTCCCTCACGCACCTGCAAGCATCTTCTCTCGGACCCGCTTCACCAGCGCCTCTCCAGACACCCCAAAGCCATAGTTCTGTACTGAGTGCACTGGCAAGGCCAGCGCGCCCAAAGCAGTGAAGACTATGGCCCACTTGTTGACCTGCCGCTTCATCTCGTCTGTGTCAGGATTGTAGAGAGCTGCTATGACCTGGAAAAGGGGGGTGGGGGGAGAGGCGGAGGGTGAGATAGCACAGTGTGAGAGGAAGGAGCCGTGAAGACTATGGCCCACTTGTTGACCTGCCCCTTGTCTGGGTTGTAGAGAGCTGCTATGAACTCAAGAGTGGTTGGGAAGAGCCGAAGGGAAGAGAACGGACAAGGCAAGGTGATTACTGCGTTACAGTCACACTCACATTGCACTCAAGTTCACACCACAGTCCCACTCACGTCAATGAGCAGCAGGGCATACACGGGGTTGAACGCCCCTGCCATCACAGCACCAGCCGCGCCCAGAGCAGTGAAGGGCCACTCAGGAGCACTCATGCGCGCCAGACGCCACCACGACGCCTTCTTTCCCCCCTCTCCTTCCCCTTCCCCTCCTTCTCCTTCCCCCTTCCCGCCCTCCTCCTCCTCCCCGCGCTCCTTGCCCACCTGACCGTTCTTTCCCTTGTCCTCTCCTCTCCTTTTGCCGCCTGGGAGTAACGCCCTTAGGGGAGCAGGTAGCACCTTCCTCAGTTCCCCCCACACTCGCTTCCCTCCCCCTCCTTCCCCTTCCTCCTCTTCCTCGTCCTCGTCAGTGTCTCCTAAGTCCACGTCAGCAAGGTCCACGTCAGCACCAAGTTCACTATGCCCACGTGGCAAGGAGGATTCTGAAAGGGTGCTCAGCGCCTTCAAGATCTTTCTTCCCACGTCAGCCTCAGCTCCTGATTGGTCCACGTCAGCAAAGTGGTCTTGTGACTGCAATGCTGAGCCCTGATTGGCCAATGCATCCGAATCTGCGTGCGCACCCTCCCCTGCTACCATCTGCAGGCGCACCAAATTAGCATACACGCCTCCCTCTTTCCTCGCACCTTCCTTTGCACTACCCACACTCCTCCCCTCATCAGCCTCCTTTCCACCTTCCCCTTCCCCTTTCCCCTCCCCCACCTCCCCATGTGCCATAAGCTCTTCATGTGTCCCCTGCTCCACCACTCTCCCCCCTGCCGGTTTTCGAGGTGCCTGAACCATCGCCCCAAAATCCCCCCCATGCGCCATCAGCTCCTCATGTGTCCCCTCCTCCACCACTCTCCCCCCGGCCACCACAGCAATCTTGTCTGCATTCCGGATCGTGGACAGCCGGTGTGCAATCACAACCGTCGATCTGCCGCGCATCAGCCCACCGTCCAGAGCCGCCTGCACCACGCGCTCTGATTCGCTGTCCAGCGCTGACGTGGCCTCGTCCAATAGGAGCACGCGCGGGTTGCGCACGACTGCTCGGGCAATGGCGATGCGCTGCTTCTGCCCTCCCGAGAGTTGCACTCCCCTCTCTCCCACCTGTGTGTGCAGATTGGCATGGGGGCAAGGACAAGGGATGACTGATTGCGTGACTGCTCGGGCGATGGCGATGCGCTGCTTCTGCCCTCCTGACAGCAGCACTCCCCTCTCTCCCACCTGCACGCACATTGGAATACAGGAAGGGGTAAGGGGAGTTGGATTGTACCTGCAAGGGCCACACCGCGAAAATGCACACCTAAGGGGAGAGGCGTGCACTCCTTTCTTTCCAGAGTGCACACCTCTCTTCACGCCACACCTAAAGGTGCAGAGCAAAACAGCCCCTCGTTACAAAGGAGTGCGCGTTACCATTACCATTACAAAGGAGTGCGCGTTACCGATACCATTACAAAGGAGTGCGCGTTATCATTACCATTACAAAGGAGTGCGCGTTACCATTACCGTTACAAAGGAGTGCGCGTTACAATTACCATTACAAAGGAGTGCACGTTATCATTACCATTACAAAGGAGAGCGCGTTACCATACCATTACAAAGGAGTGCGCGTTGGCAATCCTTGCTGCTTCCTCGTCCTCCTCATGTCCCACCCTGCAGCCATTAAACTACAGTCAACACTACCCCTCGCACCTGTGTGTTGTACCCGTGTGGCAGTGCAGTCACAAAGGAGTGTGCGTTGGCGATCCTCGCGCTTCCTCCACCTCCTCCTGGGTCGCATCCGCCTGCCGGACCGAAGGGGCGCCAGAAGGCTGCGAGGGGGAGGGAGAGAAGGGAGAGAGAAGGGGGAAGAAGGGAGACATCACCCGGAACGAACCGCACCGCACCGCACCGCACCGCACCGCACCGCACCCCACGCCACCGCACCGCACCGCACCGCACCCCACCCCACCGCACCGCACCTCACCGCACGGCACCCCACCGCACCGCACCGCACCGCACCGCACCGCACCGCACCCGACCCCACCGCACCGCACCGCACCGCACCGCACCGCACCGCACCGCACCCCACCCCACCGCACCGCACCGCACCGCACCCCACCCCACCGCACCGCACCGCACCGCACCCCACCCCACGGCACCGCACCGCACCGCACCGCACCGCACCGCACCGCACCGCACCGCACCGCACCGCACCGCACCGCACCGCACCGCACCCCACCCCACCGCACGGCACCGCACCGCACCGCACCGCACCGCACCGCACCGCACCGCACCGCACCGCACCGCACCGCACGGCACCTCACCGCACCGCACCGCACCGCACCGCACCGCACCGCACCGCACCGCACCGCACCTCACCGGACCTCACCGCACCGCACGGCACCTCACCGCACCGCACCGCACCGCACCGCACCGCACCGCACCGCACCGCACCACACCGCACCGCACGGCACCCCACCGCACCGCACCGCACCGCACGGCACCGCACCACACCGCAGCGCACGGCACCCCACCGCACGGCACCGCACCTCACCGCACCGCACCGCACCGCACCACACCGCACCGCACGGCACCGCACCTCACCGCACGGCACCGCACCTCACCGCACGGCACCTCACCGCACCGCACCGCACGGCACCTCACCTCACCGCACCGCACCGCACCACACCGCAGCGCACGGCACCCCACCGCACCGCACGGCACCGCACCGCACCGCACCGCACCGCACCGCACCCCACCCCACCGCACTTCACGGCACCGCACCTCACCTCACCGCACTTCACCTCACCTCACTTCACCTCACCTCACCTCACCTCACCTCACCTCACCTCACCTCACCGCACGGCACCGCACCTCACCTCACTTCACCCCACCTCACCTCACCTCACCTCACCTCACCTCACCTCACCTCACTTCACCCCACCTCACCTCAGCGCACCTCACTTCACCTCACCTCACCTCACCTCACCTCACTTCACCGCACCTCACCTCACCTCACCTCACCTCACCTCACCTCACCTCACCTCACCTCACCTCACCTCACCTCACCTCACTTCACCCCACCTCACCTCACCTCACCTCACCTCACCTCACCTCACCTCACCTCACCTCACCTCACCTCACCTCACCTCACTTCACCCCACCTCACCTCACCTCACCTCACCTCACCTCACCTCACCTCACCTCACCTCACCTCACCTCACCTCACCTCACCTCACCTCACCTCACCTCACCTCACCTCACCTCACCTCACCTCACCTCACCTCACCTCACCTCGCCTCACTTCACCTCACCACACCTCACCTCACTTCACCCCACCTCACCTCACTTCACCTCACCTCACCTCACCTCACCTCACCTCACCTCACCTCACCTCACCTCACCTCACCTCACCTCACCTCACCTCACCTCACCTCACCTCACCTCACCTCGCCTCACTTCACCTCACCACACCTCACCTCACTTCACCCCACCTCACCTCACTTCACCTCACCTCACCTCACCTCACCTCACCTCACCTCACCTCACCTCACCTCACCTCACCTCACCTCACCTCACCTCACCTCACCTCACCTCACCTCACCTCGCCTCACTTCACCTCACCACACCTCACCTCACTTCACCCCACCTCACCTCACTTCACCTCACCTCACCTCACCTCACCTCACCTCACCTCACCTCACCTCACCTCACCTCACCTCACCTCACCTCACCTCACCTCACCTCACCTCACCTCACCTCACCTCACCTCACCTCACCTCACCTCACCTCACCTCACCTCACCTCACCTCACCTCACCTCACCTCACCTCACCTCACCTCACTTCACCTGGTGGCAAACAGGGACGGCTGCTGGCTGACGAACCCCAGCTGGAACTGCAGCCACGGCAGGCTGAGCTGCCACCCGTCCACATTACCGCTCTGCACCTGGCATTACCGCTCTGAGGCAGTACCGTGTGGCAAACCCACCTGGTGGCAAACAGAGACGGCTCCTGGCTGACAAGCCCCAGCTGGGAGCGCAGCCACGTCAGGCTGAGCTGGCGCAGATCCGTGCCGTCCAATGAGACGGCGCCAGCTGTCGGGTCGTAGAAGCGCTGGATGAGCGCCACGACGGTTGACTTGCCGCTGCCTGATGGGCCGACGAGGGCGACGGTGGTGCCGGCAGGAATGGACAAGCAGAAGTCCTGAAAGGGGAAGCAAGGAGGGGAGGCGGGTGTGGGGTGGTAGAAGCGCTGGATGAGCGCCACGACGGATGACTTGCCGCTGCCTGATGGGCCCACGAGGGCGACAGTGGTGCCGGCAGGGATTGACAAAAGTCCTGAAGGAAGGACAAAGGGAACGGGAATGGGAACGGGAATGGAGAGAGGGGAGTTGAATGAGTAGTGCTTGCAAATCGCTGCAACTGCCACGGGCACGTAAGTCCACTCAATCCTATCCTAGCTCACCTTGAATATGGGAACCTCAGGCCGAGCAGGGTAAGCAAAGCACACCTTCTCAAACTCCACCCGCCCCTCCACCGCCTCCAACTCCTTCCCACCGCTCCCCTCCTCCCCCTCCCCGCCAATCACCGGCCGTCTCGCTATAGTCACAAAGATCTTATAAGCAGCGACGCAGCCCTTGGAAAAGGCAGTGACGTTAGGGAGGGCCTGGCCGAGGCCCAGGCTGCCGAGAGCAATGGCGAACATGGTGGTGAGGATGGACCCTCCGTTGCCGATGCCTTGTGCGATGAGAAGGCCGGAGAACCAGAACATGAGCGCGAATGATGCGAACATGAGCCCGTATATGGCGCCCAGGCCCATTCCCTTGGCTAATCCTCCCTGAGAGGTGGGGGTTGGGGGTTGGTGGGACGGGAAAGGAGAGGGAGAGGAAAGGCGGTGACGTTAGGGAGGGCTTGGCCAAGCCTCAGGCTGCCGAGGGCGATGGCGAACATGGTGGTGAGGATGGACCCTCCGTTGCCGATGCCTTGTGCGATGAGCAGACCGGAGAACCAGAACATGAGCGCGAAGGACGCGAACATGAGCCCGTATATGGCGCCCAGTCCCATTCCCTTGGCTAATCCTCCCTGGGTGGTGGGGTGTGGTTGCGTGGAAAGGAACGGAAAGGAGAGGGAGGGGAGGAGAGGGAAATGAGGAGGCTGGAAAACCAGAACATGAGTCTGAAGGACGCGGACATGAGCGCGTATATGGCGCCTAGGCCCACTTTCTTGGCCAGCGTACCCGCCCAGGGAGGTGCCAGTGGAGTTGGGTTCGAGGGTGGGTATGGGTGGGAAGGGACAGGAGAGGAAAAGGTAGAGGAGATAAGTAGACCAGATAAGCAGAACATTGGGACGAATATGGCGCCCAGAGAAGTGTAGGTAAGGACGAGTATGCCTCAACTCACCTTGACGCCCAGCTTGAACGTGTCCCTTAAAGCCCGGCCATACGCCTCCACTGTCCTGTCCTCTGCCACGTATGCCTGCACTGTGCGCACCTGCCCCACCGCCTGTTGCGGTACAACAAGAGGGGGCAGAGAGATGGGGGCAACGACAGTGTACGAGTGTTAAGGGGAAACCAGCGAATGCAAGCAGCTAGGGGAGGGCGCAGGGAGACAGATGGGAGGAGTTGCAAAAAGAGAACTACAAAGGACCTTCAAACGTCACCCCACTGAATGCAAGGCACTTGACGCTGCTCATTTGGATGAGGACTTCTGGGTTGAGAGACGCACCTGCTCTGCTATCTTCCCTGCTTCAGTGTAAGCCTTCTCGCCCTGAGTCATGAGGCCCGTGAGCACAGCCGCATAGATTCCTCCCGTGGCAATGATGAGCGGACAGACGGCGAGAATGACGAGCGCCAGCTGCCACACGCTGGTGAATCCGACTATGAAGCCACAGACGAACGTGGAGAAGTAGTGAATGCAGTTGCCCACCTGGGAGGGGAGGAGAGGGGGAGGAGGAGCAGCAGCATGGCATTTGGGTGGGTGTCATGAGGGGGAAGCAGCGTGCCATCATCAGGGCAGCTGCCACATGCTCGTGAAGCTGACTATGAAGCCGCATATGAACGTGGAGAAGTAGTGAATGCAGTTGCCCACCTGGGAGGGGAGGAGAGGGGGAGGAGGAGCAGCAGCATGGCATTTGGGTGGGTGTCATGAGGGGGAAGCAGCGTGCCATCATCAGGGCAGCTGCCACATGCTCGTGAAGCTGACTATGAAGCCGCATATGAACGTGGAGAAGTAGTGAATGCAGTTGCCCACCTGGTTGGCGTTGGGGGTGGGGGGAGGAGGAGGAGCACGGTTGGGGAAGAAAGTGGGATGAGGAGCAGCAGCATGGCATTTGGGTGTCATGAGGGGGAAGCAGCGTGCCATCAGGCCAGCCTGCCCGCCCGCCCACCCACCCACCCACCCACCCACCCACCCACCTTCTCCGAAATGGCGTCCTGCAGCAGCAGCACGTCAGTGGACACGCGCGAGATGAGCTCCTGCATGCTTTGAGGCGCCTCAAAAGAGGTGGGCAGAACACCCACCCACCTTCTCTGAGATGGCATCTTGCAGCAGCAGCACGTCAGTGGACACGCGCGTGATAAGCTCCCCCGAGCACGCCTCGAGGTCAAAGAAAGACACCTCCTGTCGCAGCAGCGCCTGCAGGTACAGCCGGCGCACCCTTGCGCTCTGCCTCTCGCCCGTGTGCATCCAGCAGGCTACCTCTGCAGGGGTGGGAGGGGGAAGGAGAGAGGAGAGAAGTGGAGGAGAGAACCAAAACACAAGGACTTAGGTTTCTTCTCCTGCCGCAGCAGCACTTGCAGGTACAGCCGGCGCACCCGCGCACTCTGCCTCTCGCCCGTGTGCATCCAGCACGCCACCTCTGGCGTGGGGGAGGAAGGCATGGGGGAAGGCGAGGAGAGGACTGAGTGACAAAGGACCTTGATCGCTCTTGCAGTAGCAACAGCGCCTGCAGGTACAGCCGGCGCACCCTCGCACTCTGCCTCTCGCCCGTGTGCATCCAACACGCCACCTCTGCAGGGGAAAAGGGGAAGGGAAGAGGAGAATAGAACCGCCGCACCCGAACACTGTGTATCTCACCCGTGCGCATTCAACACGCCACCTCTGGAGAGGGGAGAGGAAGGGATGGGGTAAGATGAAGAGAGGACTGAAAGACAAAAGGCCCCGCTCGCTCCTGATGCAGCAAAAGCGCCTGCAGGTAGAACCGAAGCAACGGCACACTCTGTCTCTCGCCTGTGTGCATCCAGCAGGAGACCTCCGAGGGGAGGTGATGTCATGTGAGGCGAGAAAAGTGACGGCGGTACATGGATGATGACGTGGATGATGACGTGGATGATGCCGTAAATGATCTCTTTGTTTGAAAACGCGGTGGTTCTGAGTCTGTGAAGAAATGGTGTTTCCTACCTAGCCATCCACCGACCAAGCAGCATAAGGCGATGTAGACCATAGCGAGGACAAACTGCCACATGAACATGCATCACATACATGCACATCACACACAATTCGACATCATCATGCACACCACATGCACATCAAATGCACATCACACACACACGCCACGCGCACACAAGTAGAGAATGAAAACGTTAAGGGCGTAAACAGTAAACAGGGAAGCGCGAGGGAAGAAAGCACATTGTCCGCATCATGAGCCCACTCGCCGCAGCACGATACACCCACACGCGCTCGACTTCCTACGGCACCCCCCTCCCATCCTGGCCCTCTCTTCACGCCCCTCCCCCCTCACGCCCCCTCGCGCCCCTCGCCGTGTTCACGCCGGACAGGTCGTTCGTCCCAAACGAGTCCACCATCTTCCCCAGGAACAGGAACGACAACAGCACAAGTCATTTTTGAGTCCTCATAAATCCCCTCATTGCCCCTCACGCCCTCCCCCCTCACGTCCCTCCCCCTTCCCTCACCGTGTTCACGCCGGACAAGTCGTTCGTCCCAAACGAGTCCACCATCTTCCCCAGGAACAGGAATGACAACAGCACAAGTCATTTTTGAGTCCTCATAAATCCCCTCATTGCCCCTCACGCCCTCCCCCCTCACGTCCCTCCCCCTTCCCTCACCGTGTTCACGCCGGACAAGTCGTTCGTCCCAAACGAGTCCACCATCTTCCCCAGGAACAGGAATGACAGCGGCAGCGCGGCGCCGTGAAGCACGGCGCCAATCGTGCCGACCGCCATGAGCGCCCAGTCCGTGCGGTCCGCGTAGGAGAAGAGCCGCCAGTACGCCACCGCCGGCTGCTTCTCCTTCTTCTTCCCCTTCTTCCCCTTCTGATCCTCCTCCTCCTCCTCCTCTTTCCCATCCTTCACATTATTCTCGGTCGCTTCCGTCTCCCCTTTCGGCGACTCGGAGACGGGGGCCGGCGAGTCGCATACCATCCTCTCTTCAAGTAGTAGCGGCTTTCCGCCGTCTGGAAGCCCAGCATGATCCACGCCTTCCTGATTTCCCGCGTCATTCCCAGGATGGATCATTGCCGCGGCGCGCTGATCCGATTCCGCCCCGTGTCGCTTCTTGGATCCGTCCGTTTCCCCCATTTGTTCTGAAATTGAGTATTTCAATAACTTAAACGCCTTATTGCTACCACTCAGCTTTAATAGCCCAGATACACGCAAACGTGCGTTAATGATTTATTCTAGATAAACTGAACTGGAAGACGCGAACTGCGATTTTTGGGCTTATCACATCATTGACCATCGAGCTTACTGCTCACCGATTTCCACAGAATCGTAGACCCAGAAACTAGAGATGGCATCAGAAAACGAGACTTCTAATATGGCTGTTGTGTTTGTTCATGGGGGATTTGTATTCTTCTGTTTTGGGGCCCTAGCACGTCAGGTTGACGCTTCTAGGGGCCAGATTTTTGCTATGGGGAGGCGATACGCAACCCGGCAACATCTTCGCTGGGTTCGGGTTCGCCAACACGGCAACGAGTCGCCAGGTGTACCGTACACCTGTAGTTGTACCCGCCTCCTGACACCTCCCTGGAAGAGACGCCGAAAGAACACAGGGAGCCCATGAGAAAAACTCTCGCTGCCCGGACTTTTGTCTATGTTTGCAAAGACGGATATATGTGGCGCCAAGTTGCTTGTCTGCCTCACCTTGGTCATTCATTTGTTCAAACGAGCGTTAAAAGGTGATGAACAATATGGTTGGGTGAACACGAACAAACAAACATCAGCTTCGCTGACGCAAGAGGTGACGTTGCGGCTTGCACTAAAGCTATTGTGATTGGTGCAGTACATCGTCAGCGTAGATTGCTGGCATTTTGCTGACACCAGCTCTGCGCACGCGAGAGATTGACGAGTCGCTACACTCTTTGTGTATCCGCAGAGAAAGAAAAATAAATAAAGATTCGGAGGATGAACTGCTTCACACATTAGCGAGACCTATCATATTGAGTTGGGAGACCGGAATCCCTCTGGATCTGTATCGCAAACGACAGGACTTCACGTGAAAGTGCAACAACCTATCAATTTGTCGCGCGTGCCTACACGACCCAGCGGCATCGGATCATGCGTTACTTCGTTTCTTTCGTTTGTGCGGTTGAGCTCACAGGCGGAAAACCACAGACGAGGTGCTCGCGATTCATCATTTACACTGTAACACTCGCTAATTGCGTATCGTACGCTGCTTCGCGAACGGATTTGTTGATGGGCTGGTTGCCTTGTTCTCCAAAAGCTTGGCGGTGATCTGTGGCCCACCGTACCCCGAGTTACCCGAGACAAATCCTGCTTGTTGGGGCATTCCTGCTTGGTCCTTTTTCGGACTGAAATCAGCCAAGCAGCTTCGATGTTTCGAAATGAATGCTGCAAGCATGCGGACATGTGGAGGAGACATGTTTGGCAGGTATTGCCCCCTCACACCGACAACTAACCGACCAAGAAGAGGGGAGGAGATGCAGCCATGCGTAATAAAAACAAGACTTCACGGCTCGCTTCCGACCTTGGAATGTAACGGCGGTTGCGGCGATAAAGCATCACAATGGCTTGCGCTTCGACTGCACCGAACTGTACCTGTACATAGTCCGCGATGTATATGGGTGGTGAGGCTCCATCACCTCCCATTCAGCGCGGCGTGCCACCTGAAAAGGCTTTCCAAACCCGACCATTCTCACACCGCCAAATAATCCACAATGAGTTATCCAACTGCCGCACTTATGCATAGCGTCGCCTTACGATGCGCTCAGAACTCGACGTGCACGAACAATCTTATCTCCCCAGACTCCACGCTCTCGCTCAGCAGCTTCGAACGCCACGACGCGGCTCGGGAGTGCGCCAGCCTAATCGCCAATCCTCAGACGCGGGAGCCGTTGCAGTGCATTGACGCGAGGCCGCGGCAGCTCTCGTCGGCGGAAGCTCCAATTTCTCCTACCTGTGATACCAGAATCGGACAGGAAACAGGATATGTTCACGTCTGCACACCCCGTCGTGATGTACCCGTAGCGCTACCAGATCGGCGAGACTGCGCAGAGCCGTTGTGCCCGTCCTGCTCCTGGCGAATCGCAGAGCTCGCGTGCGATCCCGTGTGGATTGACGACGCTCGGTCGCGCATTCGCGGGGCGGCGCTTGCTGTCGTCGAGGCGCAACAGGCGTCCGCGGAGCTGAGCGCGCGAGTGGCGGAAGCATCTGCGGAGCTTCTGAGCGCGAGTGAAAACCAACTTGGCTCTGAGAGGAGAAAATCCGGATCTTTTTCAACGAAAGACCGTCAAGACGCGAAGTGCCGAAGCCCAAGCTCGCTCGGACGCTGGTGGAGCCGGGAGACGTGTAACGACGGAACAGAAGATTTTGTTGGCGGAAACCTTACAGAAAACCGCAGTTCCGAGTCAATTGATGCCCTTTTTGCGGACCCTGCTAGTCGGAACAGAAGCCGGCGCGTCTTCCGTAAATCAGCCACAGCGGGGTCAACTAGCCTGCAAGAAATCGAAGTGACCGTTCCACCTCAGTTCATTCGACGAACGCAAACTTCGTCGCCGCAAAATGCGGTGGCAGATGCCACTCTTAGAGAAAGGCGTGGCGGAATAGTTGACATTGTGCGACACGCATTCCTGAAGCCCACGTCCACATCGTCATAACAGCTGGTGTGAGATGGGCTGCTTTAGCCAACAATGTATAGTCAATGATTATTTCGAGTTGCCTTTTGTGGAATCTTGTGTTATTGTTAGGCCCGACGGCCTAAGTCCGCTAACGAATTAGCGGGGTCGATTAAGTCGAGGATGAAACGCGGCGGAAGACTTTGGCGAAAAGACTATTGGCGAAATAGGCGAAGAAGTTACTAAGTAATTGAGAAAGAGTTGGATGAGAATTGGTTGATAATGCCAAGTACAAGAGGGGTTTATATAGCATGCAAGAAACAAGGTTGGAAAGTGGATGAGGGTGACTTGGAATGTACTGTTCGGAATAGTGGATGAGGGTGACTTGGAATGTACTGTTCGGAATGAACAGTAAATCCCAACCCCTCTAACATTATGCAATATCGGGAGGAACATACACAAGATACGTCCAGCGCCCCGTTTACAGCTCATCAGTCGCGGTGCAAGTGCATATCAAACGGTGCACAAAGGTTCTCATCTCAACGTTTTCCACCTTGACGCAAAACGCATAATCGCACAGAACCCTGATTGCAAGTTTGTGAAGAAATATCAACGCTTCCGTGACCTGTTTGTTGGTCCAGACCGGATTGTGCTGACTGGGAACCTTGGGTTTGGCTTGCTGTCTGGGAACCTCAGGTTTGGCTGATCATACAGATAATTCCTGCCCCGGACGAATGCTTTCACGAACCTGTGTGAGCCGTCCATTCGTTCTCATCCACGGATCACAGTTCTTATCCGCGTCAGACGTATTCTTGACACCAAGGCACCCACACTGCAGCCCTGAATTCTATCATGCCGAGCCGAACCAATCTTCCCAGCCATACTGTAGATTCCACCAAACCAAACCAGCAAGCAGAAGCAGCGATTCTGTGCTTTTGTGGGATGAAAGGGGAAGGTGAATGGTCCAGTTCAGTTGGAAATGGCGTCTCAGTAATGAGGTACAATGTTGAACAATGCTGGTTCATACTACTGTGCTGGGGGAGGTGTTTAGGCGGTGGTGAAGCATTCACGTTCATATGTGTGCAGCAGGCATTACAACCATCGAGGAGTTCGTTGCCTGGAAACTGTGTCTGTTCGTCTCTCAACCAACCCTCTGACATGTTATCAGCTGGAATTATTTCGACTTATGTTACTGTACCAGAAGAATTCTCCACGACAGTTTGACGCATTCAACAATACAGCGTCAGCACATTTTTCACATTGCTGTTGGATACAACCCTAACATATGCAGGCTGTCTGGTGATCTGCGAAGATCTTTCATCGGATAAGTTGACCGTTGCAATTTCGGCTTCCTATTCGACAAACCCACGAGAATGTCTCCGACATGGATAAGCCGAACCGCAATGCTTGCTCCTCCTTTTTTTATCGGCATCTTAACGGGATTCACACTGCTAGCTCTGCAGCAGTCAATGTATACCAACTTGAAATTTCAATCTTTTACGGAAGACCAGCAGCAGACAGAATATGTCGATTCGCACCAAATGCCCAAGAATTCCGTCGACAAGAGCTCGTTTTCGTTTGAAGAACGGTTACCAATCCGCTATAATACGTCAGCGGGGATTGTGGAAGGAAAATTGAACGTCCATTTGATTGCTCATTCCCACGACGATCTCGGATGGGTGAAGACAGTTGATGAGTACTATGTAAGTTCAAGCCACAGATAGTATATGCTTCTTATCATTCTTGTCACTCAAGCTGATTTGTCGTACCTCTTCGACAGCTTGACCAAGTACAATACATCATCGAGACCGTCGTTGATCAGCTCGCAGATAATCCTGACCGTAAATTTATACAAGTCGAACAGGTGAGCCGTCGCGTCTTTAAGACGCAATATATGCCCTGATTCGCCATGAAACGAGACATGCATTAACGCGTATGTTGCAATTCATCGTATGGCAGGGGTTTTTCTTCTTATGGTGGCAGCAGCAGGGCGAGACAATGAGAAATAGAGTCAGGAAGCTTGTCGCTTCTGGCCAACTTGAGTTCATGTGAGTCCATAAGCTGTCCAAGCGATGAATCCGGCTAAGCTGAACGTTCATGTCGCCTCAGACGTCGCTCCTCGTCATGCTTGTGCAAGTCATCACATCTAAGAACCTGGCCTGTAAACTCACACGCCTGAATCATGTTGTTACATGCCACTTTCCGGCCTCACTTCGTAAGTGGTGCCTCACATGCATGCGATTCTTCATGTGAGGCCAAAGGTCGAGAATCTGAGACACCACGTGAGCACTTGACTCCAATGCGTTTGGGCACATGCGACCGCTTTCTTGCCTTGCCTGCAAGGCCGCACACAGGCTCGCATTTACTCCCTGGAATACGCTCTCACGCACTCATACACCCTTGCCTGCGCAATTCCCTGCTGTTCGATGTGCTGTGCAGCAATGGTGGGTGGGTGATGCATGACGAGGCGGTGTGTCACTACACGGACATGGTGCACCAGATGTCAATGGGCCATCGCTTCATCCAGGAGCACTTCAACATCACGCCGCGCATTGCATGGCAGATCGACCCATTCGGCCACTCCGCCACCCAGGCTAGCCTCATCACCTCACAGGTGAGTAAAGCTTTTCTGTTGTCTTTCTCGTCTCCTCTTTATGATATCCTCGTTAGCAGCAGCTCTCGTTGTAGCAGCATTTATTACCAGCCTCTCATCTTGGTCAGAGCTGTTATTATCTGTACCTTATTCTCGGCCGCCAATCATTTGTCATGCGTTGTGCAAATCCGTCACGTATACTCCCATACCGTCAACCCCTGTGTCTGTCACCTCCAGGGTGGCTTGGACGCCTTTATCTTTGGCCGAGCGGACTACAAAGACATGGAGAAGCGCAAAGCAGAGCAGAAGATGGAGTTTGTGTGGCGGGCGGGCACAGGGGCGCCGAGGGATACACAGGTTTTCACTGGGATTCTGTACGATGGATACTACTCGCCACAGGAGTTCCGGTACCAGGAGACAGACAGCCCAGAGTACCGATTCAGGGTAAGCAGGTTGGTGGAGAGTGAGTGCGGGAAGGCTGTTTCATGGTCTGAAGCATCATAGTGAGTCAGGCACAAGCCGTGGGCCTTTTGAATCAAGGGAAGTGCTACTTACAGGAGTTTTGAAACCATGATTCAGCTTGATCACAATGTCTTGGTTTGGAGTTACTGTTGGGTTGGTGAGAAGTGGTTGACGTTCTAACATAAATGCGAAAGAAGGCATCGGTGAAGCGTGTTATGGCGCATAGTTGTGAGGCGTGAGTGGCATCGCACGGCACCTAATGTCACGTGCCATCACGTCACTCACTGTGTCCCCTTCTCTCCCATTCCTTTGTGTCCCCTGACCTCTCACCATGTGCATCTTCAGGACTGGCCGAACGAGGTGAGGCCCAACGTGGAGCAATATGTGAACTTCTTCGTTCAGGAGACATTGAACAGGGTGAGTCAGTCAGCACATGCAAGATGAGTCAGCAAGGCCACGGTGAGCGAGCATATACCGGATTAGTTCCATTTTGGCCAGCTGATTTTCAAAAGTCAAGCACACCAAGAACGTCGTATGAAGAGTTTCTTCCATGCATGTATGGGTCTTTTTCTTTTCCTTCACCATTCTTCCATTGTCAGCCCTCTTCCCCGTCTCGCTTCTCCCTCTGTCCCTCGCTCCCACTCGCTCCCCATGCTCTCTCTCTCTCTCTCTCTCTCTCTCTCTCTCTCTCTCTCTCTCTCTCTCTCTCTCTCTCTCTCTCTCTCTCTCTCTCTCTCAAGCAGTCCTTCATTGATTATAACCAAGGTACAGCAAGGCAAATATAGATAATCCTGCCTCTCTCTCTCTCTCTCTCTCTCTCTCTCTCTCTCTCTCTCTCTCCCCCTCTTCCTCTCCCTCTCCCTCCCCTTCCCCCTTCAGGCGCAGGCCTTCCGCACGAACCACCTGCTGTTCCCCATGGGCGAGGACTTCTCGTTCAACGAGGCCATCATGTGGTTCAAGAACATGGACAAGCTCATTCACTACGTCAACCTGGTCAGTCGGCATGGCACGGTGTGGTGTGATGCAGTGCGGTAGGGTATGGTATGCTATGGTGTGGTTCAAGAACATGGACAAGCTCATTCACTACGTCAACCTGGTCATTCGGCGTGGCACGGTGTGGTGTGATGCGGTGTGGTAGGGCATGGTATGCTATGGTGTGCTCCGTGTGGTTCAAGAACATGGACAAGCTCATTCACTACGTCAACCTTGTCAGCAGTCGACATTGGGTTGATGAGGCATGGCATGGTGTGGTATGGTGCGATAAGGTAGGGGTATAGCTTGATGTGGTTCAAGAACATGGACAGGCTCATCCCACTATGTCAACCTGGTCAGTCGCTGTGAGGTTGACATGCTATGGCATGGTGGTACGGTATGGTTTGGTAGTAGTATATGCTATGTGCTTTACGTGGTTCAAGAACATGGACAAGCTCATTCACTACGTCAACCTGGTCAAGCACCCCTCCACCCCTCCACCCCCACCACCCATCCACCCATCCACCCCTCCACCCGTCCACCCGTCCACCCCACCACCCCTCCACCCATCCACACCTCCACCCATCCACCCCTCCACCCATCCACCCCTCCACCCATCAACCCATCCACCCCTCCACCCATCCACCCCTCCACCCCTCCACACCGCCACCCATCCACCCTTCCACCTCTCCACCCATCCACCCTTCCACCCCTCCACCCTTCCACACCTCCACACCTCCACCCATCCACCCCTCCACCCATCCACCCCTCCACCCCTCCACCCCACCACCCCTCCAACCATCCACACCGCCACCCATCCACCACCCCTCCACCCATCCACACCTCCACCCCTCAACCCCTCCACACCGCCACGCCACCCATCTACCCATCCACCCATCCACCCCTCCACACCTCCACACCTCCACCCGTCCAATCCTCCACCCATCCACCCTTCCACCTCCATCCACCCCTCCACCCATCCACCCATCCACCCCTCCACCCCTCCACCCATCCACACCTCCACCCCTCCACACCTCCACCCATCAACCCATCTACCAATCCACCCCTCCACCCCTCCACCCATCCACTCTTCCACCTCTCCACCCATCCACCCCTCCACCCTCCACACCTCCACCCTTCCACACCTCCACCCATCCACTCATCCAACCCTCCTCCCGTCCACTCCTCCACCCATCCACCCTTCCACCTCCATCCACCCCTCCACCCTCCACACCTCCACCCCTCCACACCTCCACCCCTTCACCCCTCCAGAATTCCACCCATCCACCCCTCTACCCCTCAACACCTCCACCCATCCACCCTTCCACCCATCTACCCCTCCACCCCTCTTAGAGGCGACTCTCCTCTAAGAGGCAGGTGCCGCTCCTCTGAGTGAGAGGCAGGCGCCGCTCCTCTGAGTGAGGGGCAGGTGCCGCTCCTCTGACTGAGGGGCAGGCGCCCCTCCTCTGAGTGAGGGGCAGGCGCCCCTCCTCTGAGTGAGGGGCAGGCGCCCCTCCTCTGAGTGAGGGGCAGGCGCCCCTCCTCTGAGTGAGGGGCAGGCGCCCCTCCTCTGAGTGAGGGGCAGGCGCCCCTCCTCTGAGTGAGGGGCAGGCGCCCCTCCTCTGAGTGAGGGGCAGGCGCCCCTCCTCTGAGTGAGGGGCAGGCGCCCCTCCTCTGAGTGAGGGGCAGGCGCCCCTCCTCTGAGTGAGGGGCAGGCGCCCCTCCTCTGAGTGAGAGGCAGGCGCCTCTCCTCTGAGTGAGGGGCAGGCGCCCCTCCTCTGAGTGAGGGGCAGGCGCCCCTCCCCTCCTCTGAGTGAGGGGCAGGCGCCCCTCCTCTGAGTGAGGGGCAGGCGCCCCTCCCCTCCTCTGAGTGAGGGGCAGGCGCCCCTCCTCTGAGTGAGGGGCAGGCGCCCCTCCTCTGAGTGAATGGCAGGCGCCTCTCCTCTGGGAGGCAGGTGCCTGTCCTCTAAGCGGTGCCTCTCCTCTAAGAAGACAGGCGCCTCTCCGTGGCGCCGCTCCACTTAGAGGCTGGCGCCTCTCCTCTAAGAGGCAGGCGCCTCCACCCATCCACCCCTCCAACCCTCCACCCCACAACCTTTTGGCATGTTCTGTTATGGTTTGATTGAATCCCCTTAACATTCATAAATATTGCAATTGTGCTCCAGGATGGCCGCCTCAACGCCCTCTACTCCACGCCATGCAATGCCATGCACGTTCTCACAATCCTCTTGTGCGACGTGTGTCCATTCGCCCCCCGACCCCTGTCAGGATGGCCGGGTCAACGCCCTCTACTCCACGCCGTCCCTCTATGTGGACGCTGTTCAAAAGGAGAACAAGACGTGGCCTCTCAAGACCGGTGACATGTTCCCGTGCGTACAGACAATCTTAGAAGAATATCAGTAATTCTGATATCCATATACATCCTTTCTGACCTTTCCTGAGTCTCTCCCACGTTTGTTTCTCCCTCCTCCCTCCCCTGCCATGCCGTGCCAGCACTTCTTTTTTCCCATGCTTCTCCTTACTCAAGACCCTGCCGTTCACTCTATCTTCTCTCCTCCCTCCCTGGCCATACATTCAGCTATGCTGACGCGCCAAACTTCGTCTGGACGGGGTATTTCGCCAGCCGGGCAAACTTCAAGCGTTTTGCCCGCGCTTGCAGCTCCCTCTTGCTTGTATGTCGTTTTTGCCTTGAATTGAATTGAACTGACTTGACTTTACGTGTCCCAACCCGATGTATGGCCCACTTCTTCTTGCCCATCCTTGTCTCAGCCAAGTCAACCCCCGTCAACCTCCCTTGTCTACATCCCCCCTCCTGTCTATCGTCTCCCATGCGCTCCTGTGCTTACACAAATGGCCGCTTCCCCTGCACCCCTATCACCCCCCTTTCTTCAGTTTTCGATACCTCCAAATCACTTGTTGGTCCCTGTGTCCCTTCCCCTCCCATCTCCTGTTCTGTCCCTTTCACCCCTCTGGTCCCAATGCGCCCAGGCGACCACAATTCTAGAAGCTGCGGTGGGCAAGACCTCTCTTAGGGACTGGGGGCTGAAAACCCACAGGATGATCGCTACAGACGAGTTTCTGTTCGACAATCATCTGGGAAAGAACCTGATAGCCACCAGCGGGGCGGATGGGGGTGGTATTGGTGGAGCCGGGGGAGAGAATGGGGGAGGAGGGAGTGGAGAAGGGGGAGTGGGAGGGAATGTTGACAGTGGTGAGTGGGAGGAGTGGGAGAGGGTGGGTCAAGGTGCGAGGAGGAGGAGAGTGGCGTCCACGTTTTCTCTGGAAGAGGCAGTGGCGGTGGCACAGCACCACGATGCCATCACAGGCACGGCCCAGCAGCACGTGAATGACGACTACACACTCCGCCTGCACCGAGCAGCACAGGAGGTGAGGGAAGAGGGGGGTAGGTTGGGGGTGGAAGTGGGGGGAAGGGTGGTATGGAGGGGTTTGGTGGGGTATAGCAGCAAGTGAATGTTGCCCTTGCGGTCAGACTTCAAGATGCGTTTCCAGAGGAGGTGACGGGAGGGAAGTGAGAGGAAATTGCTAATGTGGGGACGGGTGTCAAAGAGTTTACTCACTCCTTTTGAGCGACCCACCTTTTCACAACGCGTTTCCTCTCTTTCCCTCCTGTTTCGCCCCTCCTTGCAATCACCCCAGGCCTACACTGTAGTGGCAGCCGCTCTTGTCCACCTCATCACCCAAGCAGCCCCCACCACTCTCCCACCGCGCTCCTCCTCCCCAACATCCACCTCGACTCCCGATGATCCATCCCGAGCCTTCTTCACACCCACTGCCAACCCAACAATGGGGCCCTCAGACTTCCCTCCCTTCAATTCCCAGCCTGGCGACCCCACTCTTGATCCTGCTGCTCAGTTACAAGCCCAGCCATGGGCTCCTGCAGACCCGAATCAACCCCAGTCGTTTCCCGACAGGCCAGTCCCCGAAAATGCCGTTCCGTTCGATCCGTCTATGCCAGAGGGTAGCGAGCCTGACCCGCTTTTCGCTCAACTGCACCCGGAATTGACTCAGAGCGACACAGGCTCGAATGAGGGAGAGCCGCAGCACTCGGTGGATACGCCCTCGTTCTTCCCTTACCATCGCCAAGTGCCTCCTGTTGACGAGACACTCCAGTCGCAGGAGAGAGTGCAGTGGACAGATGTGAATCAGCAGGAACAACCACAAGAGGAGGTTTCGCCTGGGAGAAGGGGGCAAGAGATGGTGCTGAGTGGAAGGGACACTACCAGCACAGCAGCAGAGAGTAGCAGAGTGGTGGGTGGGGAACTGGGGAGGGAAGGGAGTGGCGCAGGCAGCAGCAACAGGGGAAGGCAGCTTCTGAGGGAGGGTGGGAATGCGAGCGATGAGCGTGAAGGGAAGGAGGACAGCAAGCAAGCGAGCACAGAGGGTGGTGATCGAAGGAGTGCAAGCGAGGGAGGGGCGACGCATGATATGCCTGTGCTGGACTTTCAAATGGTATGTGATTCCGTCGGTCGTGTTACAGTTTCTACCGAACCATGCAGCTGACAGGCTTGTCACTGAACTCGTTGCTCTCACCGCAGCTCCCTATCTAAGGTCCCCTTCTACTTCTTTTTTCCAACTTCCACAATTTCCATCCCGTTTCCACCCCATCCCTCCCATCCCCTGCATTCCTCTCCCATTCCATCTACTCTCCTTTCTCCGCTTCTTCTGCAGTGTCCACTGCTCAACCTCTCCTATTGCCCCCCGTCTGAAACGAACCTCAGCCCAGACCAAGTCCTGGTATGCCGCACCTCCTCTTTTCCACGTCATGTCCTCCTGTGTTTAATCTCTTAAATGTCTCCTCCCTCATTGTTCAGATTCATTCGCCACCCATGCTTCCTGCTCTTAGTCAAGCCATGCCACATGCTGAATCCCCAGTCAGGGACTGTGTTGCTATTTTTATGCACTCAAGACTCGACTCTACTCTACAGTCCACTGACTTTTCTCGTGCTGATTGTGTTCTTCCCAACAGGTGGTGACTGTGTTCAATCCACTAGGGTGGCCACGCACAGAAATTGTTCGGTTTCCGGTACGCCTTTCCTACCTCCTACAGCATTCTCTTCCATCTTTCTCTGCAATTTTCATCTCTCTGGGACCTTCTTTCTTTCCCGCACAGCCTCCCAACTCATCCTCCTCTACCCCCGCCTTTCCCCGCCACCCCACCCCAACCCCTCTACCCTCTTTTCCTTCCTTCCAGGTCGCCTCGTCATCAGTCCTGGTGACAGACTCGTCCAAATCCCCCATCCCCGCTCAAATCATCACCGAAACCCTTGTAGACCCCAACAGACGCGCCCTGTACATTGCTGCCTACTCCGGCCAGTTTCCTGAGGAGCCCCAGCAGTCTCAGCTGCCCCAGCAGCCAGGGCAGCTGGAGGGGCGCCCAGTGTCAGTTGTGTTCCGTGTCGAGGTGCCTCCTCTTGGATACGCCACATACTTCCTCACTGCCGTGCCACCAGGTATGTGTTTTGAGGCTCCTCACAAGGTGTCAGTTGTGTACCGTGCCGAGGCGCCTTACAAGGTGTCAGTTGTGTACCGTGCCGAGGCGCCTTACAAGGTGTCAGTTGTGTACCGTGCCGAGGCGCCTCACAAGGTGTCAGTTGAGAGTGATTGAGAGTGAGAGTGAGAGTGAGAGTGAGAGTGAGAGTGAGAGTGAGAGTGAGAGTGAGAGTGAGAGTGAGAGTGACAGTTACAGTGACATAGTCCAGTTTTCCCGTGCGCTCCCCTCCCCTGCGCGCTCTTCCCTTCCTCACACACATTCGTCCCTGTTCGTTCGCCCGTGATGTGCCCCCCACACAGGCACACAAGGAGCAGCCGTCATCAGCATTGCAGAGTCTGCATCAGTCCCTGCCCTCAAAGACCCAGCTGGAACCCCCAACAGCGCCAACACAGCAAATTCTCCATCTGATAACATCGTTTTAGGGGGCTCTAAAACCGAGTCATCTTCTGGTGCTGGTGGCGCTGCTGGCAAGTCTACCGGTGCAGGAAGGGAGGGAGACGCTGCTCTGCGAGTGACGTTCTCCAGGGCAGCGTATGGCATGACGCAGATGGAGCTCGTTCGACAGACTGATGGCGGACAAGCGACTGTGGTGAGTGTGGGTTATATGCTGGGGGGTGTGGGTGCTAGTGTTGCCAAGACTACTTGTGCAGGCAAGGAGGGGGACACTGCATTGCAAGTGACGTTCTCCAAGGCAGCGTATGGCATGATGCAGATGGAGCTTGTCCGACAGACTGATGGTGAACAAGTAACCGTGGTGAGTGCGGGTATTCTGCTTGGCTTGGGGTGGTAGGTAGTGACTTTTGAGTCGACTCAAAGCACATTCAACATACCGATGGCAAACATATGGCTAAGCCACATCCCCACTCCTGCAAAAACCCTCTCACTCCCCGTTCCCCCCACTTCTTGCCATACCCTTCTGCCTTCGCACTGCCGTAACCTTTCCCATGCCACCTCTCTGTTGCTTCCTTGCTGCCCTGGCAGGATGTGGCAAAGCCTGTCAGGTCGGACGTCATGGAGTATGTCACACAAAAGGTACAGAGCGGTGGAGTATGTCTCACAAAAGGTACAGAGCGGTGGAGTTTATCACACAAAAGGTACACAGCGGTGGAGAATCTCGCACAAAAGGTACACAGCAGTGGAGTATGTCACACAAAAGGTGCCCAGTGGTGGAGAATGTGAAACAAAAGGTACACAGCGGTGGAGAATGTCATGCACAAGGTACACAGTGGTGAAGAATGTTAATCACAAGATACACAGCGGTGGAGTATGTCACGTCACTTGTGCCTGCGCGCTTTCTCCACCACTTGCCATCTCCCCTCCCACCCATTTCCCCACCCCACTTTCTTGACCCCCCCTCTCAATTTCTGCTCCCTCCCCTCCCTCCCAATCCCCTTTTACCTCTCATCGAAACCTCTCATCCCCTCTCTGCCCCCCCACCCACGTCCCTTCCCTCTCCTTGCATATCCCCCCACTTCCCCTCTCGCTTCCTCCCGTGCCCCCCCCTCCGCCTTTCAGGGTGGAGCGTACATCTTTGACCCCACTTCTCAAGCAGCCTACCGGACTCAGAGAGACGACCTGGTGAGCGCATTCAGGGTCTGTCTGAACGCCTCTGTGTCCGCGCTAGCTCGAGTCCGACAGTCAGGTCCTGACTACTTGAACTTCCAAGTTAGCACGTTCAGGGTCTGTCAATACGATAATAGTCAAACATAATGGGACCTTGGTAGAGCTAAGAATGAGGTTACAAGTACTTGCGCTCTACTTAAATACACAGTGTTTTGTCTTCTGGTATCTCGTGGGCTCTCCATGGGATGGAATGGAAGGAAGGCAAGTGCTTGTCACTCGAACTCCTGTTTGTGCACTCACGCGAACACACTCGTGGAATCTCACGCCTTTCTTTGGCCATGCTGAGGTGTCCTGTTCTCCATCCGCGTTCAACGTGGACCAATCGTGGAAGAGTTCTCTCGTCAAGTTGCCCCATGGATTTCAGAGGTACGCCTGCAGCCAAAACAATAACCCTTTGCAGCTCCTTCCGTTTCCTATTTCCAATGCTCCTGCATTCACTCTCTTTCCTTCTTCTCCCACTCTCCCCTTCTTCCCCTTTCCCCCCTCCCCTCCCTCCCCCCCCCTCCACCCTCCCCCTTCCCGACACCCCTGACTGGTGTGTGCATTTCCTTGCAGACCTTCCGGGTGTACCCGGGGTGTGACTATGCCGAACTGCACTATGTGGTAAGAGCCCCTCCCTTCCCCTACAATCACGCTCTCTGACCTGAGAGGTGCCGACGCTCCGTGGCAAACTACCTTCCTTGCACAGTTTAGACCCCTGGAGGCCGTGCTTTGCACACCTGTGCATGCGGAAGTGCATGTGGTCTTAGGGCTAACACATGATGGACTGTTCAAAGCAATATTCTAATGGACATCCTTGAAGCACCCTTTAGACTCTGCTCAAGCATTCCTTGCACCTCGCAGCACTCCCTTTATGTTTGCTGCTCATACCATACCCTATCGTTTCTCAACCATTCTCCCCAGATCGGGCCTACTCCGGAGGAAGGCAAGGGTCACGAGGTGGTGACTCGTTTTTCAGCCCCCATCAGCAGCAACAAGACCTTTTTCACCGACTCCAATGGCAGGCGGTACCTCAAACGGGTGAGCTTATAGACAAGAGCGAGTAGGTTAAAACATGTTTCCGCATTTTCAGTGCAGCTGCAATCATCAATAGCCGACAACAGTACTACAAGTGGAACGAGTGAATGCTGTTTGCTGCTTGGTGAGAGCAGCCTGATTTCTCTTTCACTCCTCTTTCCACCTTATCTGTTTCTTATTTTTCATCCATCCAATTTCCCTTCTACCTTCAAACCTTCATTCACTTCTCTGTCCGGTTCTTGTTCTCCCAACCCTCCCTTCGTTTTCCAGCCTCCCCACACCAACCTCCCTCCCCTGTCGACCCCCTCGATCCCATGCCCTCTCCCCCAGATTGTGGACCATCGCGCTGATTGGGAGCTTACAGTCACCGATCCCATCGCAGGCAATTTCTATCCGGTCAGTCCAGTCCAGTCCAGTCCAGCCAATTCTTATTGTCACTCCAATCAGCCCTTTAAGTTGAACCCAAATCCTTACTTCAGCCCACGCAGCTAGTGTCCGCCCCTCCCCATGTGACGGTGGGTGCACTTTTAGGGGTGTTTGATGCGCCTTAGGAAATCATCCCTGCATCCTTGCTCCCTCCTCTTCCCAACGTGACACAGTGGGCGTTCCTTGTCACGGTTTGAGACACCTGAAGAAACCTTGCTGCTTCCTTGTTGCCCTCTCCCCCTCCCAGGTGACGGTGGGCGCGTTCATCGGGGATGGAGAGTCACAGCTGTCGCTGCTGGTGGACCGAGCAGCCGGTGCTGCCAGCCTGGCAGCCGGACAGCTTGAAGTCATGCTGCACCGGTGAGCCTTAAAATGATCCTTTGACGAGAATCTTGACTTGCTAAGAAGTATCTTGCTGTAAAGGTATAATACGAACCTTCACATGTCTGGGCACTCGCTGTCACGAAGATGTTCCATAAACAAAAAAAAAATATATATATATATATATATATATATAAAGCAGAAAAGGATACTATTGAATATTGAGTTGGGGGTTTAGTGATTTCTGTTAAATATATTTCCCCTCCTATTATTTCTCCCATACTGGAAATACCTTGCACAGCACGACATACAATCATTACCACTGAAGCTGTTAGGCCAATTTGATCGTATGTTGGTAAATTAGCCATAACAAAGCACGATAATCCCATAAAAAGTGTAGATATAATAACAACAGTTTTACGCCCAATATTATCACCAATCCAACCAAATAACAGTGCGCTAAATGGTCTAAAAACATAAATAGAACAAAATGCAAATGCAGCAAGTAAAGAAGAAGTAAAAGGGTCTGTTTTTGGAAAAAACAATTCATTAAGGAGAACTGCCATATGAACAAACAGCATAAGTTATCTAAGTAGAGATAGTCACCCATCTCTACTCGACTTCAAAACCGTACGTGACAGTTTCCCGTCATACGGCTCCTCGACTGATTTGGTGTTTGTCATACATACCTTTGCCATGTATAAAAATGGTTATTTAATAGTTGGAAGTCAGGAATTTGCCGGAGTTGGCGGTAATACAAAATATATAAAACATGAAATTGACGGGAAATATTTCAAGTCTTTTGTTGAAAATAAATACACCTTGAAGCTATCTGCTGCCGCCGGTCATATTAAAGGTGTAGGCGGTAAAAAAGTAAGGATTCCGGATAGATTCAATCTAGGTGACTCTTCTCTAAGAGGTTTTGCTCCCGGCGGTATAGGTCCGAGAGACAAAAAAACTGATGAAGGTTTCGGCGGGCAGAAATATTATACTGTTTCTTCTGAGTTGAATTTTCCACTAGGTTTACCTCAAGAGTTTAATGTAACCGGGGCTGTTTTTGCCGATGCCGGTTCCTATATATATATATATATATATATATATATATATATATATATATATATCACGCCAAGTCTGTCCCCACAGCCTTCGAGGGGGAGCCTAAGCACGGGAGACCTCATGCACGTGCTCGAGCCCGAGCTCGAGCTGCCTTAGTTTGCCTTGCCTTATCTGTTTGGCCGTACTATGAGTGTGCTGTATTTATCACGCTTATCTAATGAAGGACTTGAGGAGACTGATATCAAATTGGTGCGTGTGCGAATGCAGGGCACTGGTGGGGGTGGACCTGAAGGGGGTGGGGGAGAGTCTCAATGAGCACATCTCAGTCAATGGCAACAATCAACGCCTCATGGTATGCTGTGATGTCAAACCTTTGCGTGTGCGAATGCAGGTCACTGGTGACAGTGGACATGAAGGGAGTAGGGGAGATTCTCAACGAGCAGATTTCAGTCAATGGCAACAATCAACGCCTCATGGTATGCTCATCTGTGTACACAGTACGGCGAACTACGCATGGCATGGCTCGAAATACATGCCCTTCAGAAAAACAAACTGAATCTATGAAACGTGTTGAGCAAAAACTGCTGTAGACGCAAGCAGCAGCATGCAGTGCATGCTACTTGAGTGTGTTCCTCTTTCCCTCATGCATTGACCTTTCCTTCTTCATCCTCTTCCGCCCCCACCCTTCCTCTCCAGGTCATAGGCTCCATCCGCTTTGGCTTGCACCCAGGGGACAGCACAGGGGTGGGAGACGAGCACGGAGAGGAGCAGCCTACAGTAACCACTTCTGCCGTTGCCCCTGCTGATACTGACGCCACCACTGGTGCTGATCCCACGGGTGCTGGTATGGATGCTGGCAGCATTCCACCCCAAGGAGTTCCTGGGTCATGGCCTGAAACACCCCCCCATGGAAGACGAGGGGTTGAAACGGACGGAGGAGCAGGAGGAAAATATGAGGCGCCTCAGGGTTTCTCAGGAATGGGCCGGCCTCGGGAAAGGCGTGGAGGGGAGAGGCAGGAGGGAGAGGGGGAGAGGAAGGGGCAGGGGGCACAGTGGAGGAGGGTGCACGCCCAACGCCTTATTGCTCCTCTGCAGCTGGCATTTGCTGTTGAGGTGCATGCATGCTTTTCGTTTCCACGTCGTGTTTGCTGCTGCTACCAGTGCGTTTTTTTTTCTCTGCACTGCGTTTGCTGTTGATGCTCGTTTCGGATTGTTCGTCCTGCAACCCACCGCATCCCACAAACCCTCGCTCCGCTTGCAGTCGAAGGAGGCCATAAGAGCAGCCGAGGCAATCTACAGGTGGCGCTACTCCATCTCGGAGCCCCTAGGCCCCTCACAGGCCTCACACACTCAATCACTCACCCTGTCAACGCACTGCATCCCACAAACCCTCGCTCCGCTTGCAGTCGAAGGAGGCCATAAGAGCAGCTGAGGCAACCCACAGGTGGAGCTACTCTATCTCGCAGGAATCACACGGCAGCAGCTCTCGTACACCCCAGTCTTCTTACTCCCTGCCACCAAACGTAGCTGTCATCTCCTTCCAGGTCAGCTTGAGTCGAGTTCCCATAGTCCATCGCCGTTCATATTGAACCTTATTGACAATTTTCATGTGAGTCTTGCGTGTATGAAGTGAACCCTGCAGCTAGACCAATGTGTGGCGCCTCCATGCCTGTTGCTTCCCCTCTCCAATGTCTCGCGTGCAGGAGCTGTCTCCAAGGAACATTGTGCTGCGACTGGCTCATCTCTACGAGGTACGGCAAGCATGAGAACAGTCTGTACACGGAACATTGCGCTGCTGCCTATGGCACCATACCTGGCATCACCTTCATGCAGACACGCATTTGCTGGCCTTTTCAAGCTATCTCCTCCACACTTCCCTGCTGGATGCCCCCATCAGCAGCAAATAGTCCAAGTTGGTATTGCCGTAGAGCACTCCTAGAATACATGGTGTTCAGGCCCTCACTTGGTGTTTCAAGGCAACTCCCTTCTTTCCGCCATCCCCACCACCCCATAGGTTGATGAGCATCCAACACTGTCCAGAATCGAGCGCGTTGACCTCAGGCAACTTCTCTCATCGCAAAAGGTACTGCACAATATGCTATTGCACACCTCCTATAAATTATTTCATGCAGTCTTTTGGTGCACCCATCCCAGCTGTTGGTGCACACTGCTTCTTGGCCCCCCGTTTGTTCACATTCTCTTCTGTGTGCTCTTGCTGATACAGATCCAAGGAGTGGAAGAGTTAAGTCTAATGGCTAATCAGAAACGATCGGAAATGCGCCGGCCCATGACGTGGAGTGTCGATGGTGATTCGAGCCATTCAAATGAGCATTCACCCAGGGGAGGTCCATTTGACCCAGCTTCCCTCACAGTCGAATTAGCCCCGGGGGAGATCCGCACTTTCTCAGTGCAGCTCTCCACTCAATAGGTTCAAGATTGGGTTGGTTGCGTTTGTTTTCTAGGACATGCCATGTGTGATGGATTCACTAATTTATTTTCACTTGCAGGATAACTGGAAGTTGTGGCTGACGTGTTACATACATCCACGAACGCGTCTGCTTATATTGGGAATTGAACACTTCTCCGCAAAAATTACGCCCCACATTCGAGCCCTCTCTCACTCCCCAACGAAGTCCTGTCGACAAAAGCACAATTCACCCGTACAGCTAGCCGATCTGCACAGCAGAACCAGTTCAACAGCAAGACCATTCACACAAGGCTTTTAGGCGCCCGTAAGCGAGTAATTTTTGCATGGAGCAGCAGCAGCCGCCGCAATGCGCGCTAGACGCGGCGCTGAAGCGATCCGAGGCTGTAGACGACAGCACGCCACGTGTCCGCGGACACACCTTCCACGAAGCTTCTGTTCTCCCCGCGCGTGAATCCTCTCGCCGCGATCAGCCGCGAGAGCGTTGCGGAAACGAAACCCCCTGTAGCGCGGATGGCGATACTCGAGAAAGCGATGCAGTCGCGACTGCCACAGCAGATGCAACAGGGCGAGGGGAAACGAGTTGTGCTGTACCAGCAGCAGGAGGAGGAGCGGGATCGGTAACGGTGGATTACTCAGTGCTTATGAGCCGAATGCTGACGACGGGGTTTCAGGCCACGTGTTTGGGGCAAGCGATTAACGAAGTCAACAGAATGGTGAGATCGCATGGCCCCCGTCTGATGTTCCCTCCATGGCCGTCCCTGTGCCTGTTCGTGCGCCTCTGCTAGTTCTGGTCCCTTGTTTCGCTGTCCCCACCCCAAACTCCCCATTCTCCTTTCTCCCCTATCTTGACTTTCTATATTAAACCCCGAACCCTGAACCCCGTTACTCTCCCCATTCTGGATTGCGGATTCCCCCACCCGGATGATATAGAGGAGTCGATATTTCCTGCCTTTGTTGCCCCTCGATCTTACTTCACAGCTTCACCCTGCACTGCACCTAAACCCGAAACCCTTCAATATCCTCCTCAGCTCGCATGGCGGCTGAGCGACGACTCGCCCAAGCCAAACGACACGGAGGAGGAGAGAAACCCGACTTTCCGGTCGTCCCTTCCTACCTCATACTCCCCACATACCTATCCATCACTCCCCTTCCCCCTCTCCCTTCCCTTCCCCCTCTCCCTCCCCTCCCCAGCTCGCATGGCGGCTGAGTTACGACCCACCCAAGCTGGACGACAAGGAGGAGGAGAGGGACCCGGCCTTCACTACCTCTCTGTCCCTCAAACCTACACCCCGCACCTGAACCTTAACCCCCCTCCAACCCCTCCCCAGCTCGCATGGCGGCTGAGTGACGACCCACCCAAGCCAGAAAACACGGAGGAGGAGAGGGGCCCGGCATTTAGGTCATCCCTTCCTACCTCATACCCCCCACATGCCCATCCCTCACTCCCCTTCCCCCTCTCCTCCAACCTCCCCAGCTCGCATGGCGGCTGAGCGACGACCTGCCCAAGCCAGACGATACGGAGGAGGAGAGGGACCCGGCATTTCAGCTGTTCCATCCAACCTCAGACAGACCCTACACCCGTCTCTCACTTCCCTTCCTCCCATTTCTAGCTCGCATGGCGGCTGAGTGACGTCCCACCCAAGCCCGACGACGCAGAGGAGGAGAGGGACCCAGCCTTTCAGTTGTCCCGTCCAACCTCAAACAGAGGCCACACCCTTCTCTCTCACTCACCCCTTCACCCCTTCCCCCAGCTCGCGTGGCGGCTGAGCGATGACCCACCCAAGCCCGACGACACGGAGGAGGAGAGGGACCCGGCCTTCCGGTCGTCTGTGCGGTGCAAGATCTTTCTGGGCTTCACATCCAACCTCATGAGCTCGGGGCTCCGAGAGACATTCTGCTTCCTCGCAAAGCACAAACTGGTGGGTCCCTGCCTCGTGCGGGCTAGCCTTTCTTCTGGGGTTGTGTCACTCGCTAAGGGGAGAAAGAGAGAGTCCTAGTCTCCTAGTCGTCAGTGTGGTGCAAGATCTTTCTGGGCTTCACCTCCAACCTCATGAGCTCAGGGCTCCGAGAAACATTCTGCTTCCTGGCCAAGCACAAACTGGTGGGTCCCTGCCTCATGTGTGTGTGGGTTACCCTCTTGGGGGTTGTCTACTTGCTGGGGAAGAAAGTTTGAAAGAGAGAGTCGCAGTCTCCTAGTCAATTGCGGTGCAAGATCTTCCTGGGCTTCACCTCCAACCTCATGAGAGCTGGGCTCCAAGAGACGTTCTGCTTTCTCGCAAAGCACAAACTGGTAAGCCTTTTGTCCCTCCATCTTTCCGCATTTTCCCTCCCCCATTGCCCCCCGCTCGTGTAAATGCCCCTACACTCGCATATGCTCCTATGTTAGTCGTGTATGCTATCTCTTCTGCTGTATGCTTGACTTCACCCACCGTCCCACCCACCCACCCACTCACCTTCCAGGTGGATGTGATAGTGACTACAGCGGGGGGCATAGAGGAGGACGTGATAAAGTGCCTGGCGCCCACTCTCACTTTTCTTCGGAATGATCCACACATCCAAACACTCACCCACCCACCCAACCACCCATCCACACGCCTTCCAGGTGGATGTGATAGTGACTACAGCGGGGGGCATAGAGGAGGACGTGATAAAGTGCCTGGCGCCCACGCTCCTGGGCGACTTCTCCTTACCGGGGAAGGACCTGCGGGCCAAGGGGCTGAACCGCATTGGCAACCTGCTGGTCCCCAACAACAACTACTGCCTCTTCGAAGACTGGGTGCTGCCTGTATTAGATGCTTGTCTCGAGGAGCAGAAAACGCAGGTGAGAGGAGGGTGGAAGGGGGAGAGGAGAAGTGAGAGCAGATGTCTTGGCAGGGCGAGCAACCTGCTGGTGCCCAACAACAACTACTGCCTCTTCAAAGACTGGGTGCTGCCTGTATTAAATGCATGCTTGCAGGAGCAGAAAGCAGAGGTGAGAGGAGAACAGGGAGAGGGAGTGTTCTTCGTGGGGGGAGATTAGTTGACTTGTTCTCCCTGATGCATAAGAGGTTTATCCGCATTCACCTCCTTTCCTCCTCTCCGTCCCTCATGTGCCCACGTCAATCAGGGTGTGGTGTGGACGCCCCCTCATCGACCGCCTGGGGGATTCTTTAAGTCGAATCAGCGGTGTGATGTGTTCGGTGTGAGTCTGACCGCACTTCCACTGTCTTCCCGCTTCCCATGTGCACCGGCCTCAATCAGGGCGTGGTGTGGACGCCCTCCAAGCTCATTGACCGCCTGGGGAAAGAAATCAACCATGAGGAATCGGTTCTCTACTGGGCGCACAAGGTGAGCCTATTCTCCACCTCAAAGTGCGCTTCTATCCACCACACAGCCCGCCTTGTTCAGTTCAATCTCTGATTCAGGAAAAACATATTCTGCGCATCTTTTCGTTCTTGCCCTCCCCCCGTAATGTCAGAGCGATCCAGGTGTTTTGTCCAGCCGTTACCACCGGTTGTGATATCTGAGTAGACTAAAAAATCGTCTTGTTTGTGTCCTTGCGCTCTTCCACCCTGCTTTCAGAACGGAATCCCGGTGTTCTGTCCAGCCATCACAGACGGGTCCCTCGGTGACATGATCTACTTCCACTCCTTCCGCTCGCCAGGGCTGCTCATTGACCTCGTGCAAGGTGCGTTGACCTGCGTTGATTCAGTTGACCTGGTCAATACATGATCTACTTCCACTCCTTCCGCTCGCCAGGGCTCCTCATTGACCTCGTGCAAGATGCGTTGACCTGCGTTGACTCAGTTGACCTGGTCAAGGAATGATCCACTTCCTCTCCTTCCGCTCGCCAGGACCCCTCTTCCCTCCCTCAGTTCCTCCCTCAGTTCCTTCCTCCCTCAGTTCCTTCCTCCCTTAGTCCCTCCCCCTCAGTTCCTCCCTCAGTTCCTCCCTCAGTCCCTCCCTCAGTTCCTCCCTCAGTTCCTCCCTCAGTTCCTCCCTCAGTTCCTCCCTCAGTCCCTTCCTCCCTCACTTCTTCCCTCAGTTTCTCCCTCAGTTCCTCCCTCAGTTCCTCCCTCAGTTCCTTCCTCCCTCAGTTCCTCCCTCAGTTCCTTCCTCCCTCAGTTCCTCCCTCAGTTCCTCCCTCAGTTCCTTCCTCCCTCAGTTCCTCCCTCAGTTCCTTCCTCCCTCAGTTCCTCCCTCAGTTCCTCCCTCAGTTCCTTCCTCCCTCAGTTCCTCCCTCAGTTCCTCCCTCAGTCCCTCCCTCAGTTCCTCCCTCAGTTCCTCCCTCAGTTCCTCCCTCAGTTCCTTCCTCCCTCAGTCCCTCCCTCAGTTCCTCCCTCAGTTCCTTCCTCCCTCAGTTCCTTCCTCCCTCAGTTCCTCCCTCAGTTCCTCCCTCAGTTCCTTCCTCCCTCAGTTCCTCCCTCAGTTCCTCCTTCAATTCCCCCCTCAGTTCCTTCCTCCCTCAGTTCCTCCCTCAGTTCCTCCCTCACTTTCTCTCTCAGTCCCTCCCTCAGTTCCTCCCTCAGTTCCTCCCTCAGTCCCTCCCTCAGTTCCTCCCTCCCTCAGTTCCTTCCTCCCTCAGTTCCTCCCTCAGTTCCTTCCTCCCTCAGTTCCTCCCTCAGTTCCTTCCTCCCTCAGTTCCTCCCTCAGTTCCTCCCTCAGTTCCTCCCTCAGTTCCTTCCTCCCTCAGTTCCTCCCTCAGTTCCTCCCTCAGTTCCTCCCTCAGTTCCTCCCTCAGTTCCTTCCTCCCTCAGTTCCTCCCTCAGTTCCTCCCTCAGTTCCTCCCTCAGTTCCTCCCTCAGTTCCTCCCTCAGTTCCTTCCTCCCTCAGTTCCTCCCTCAGTTCCTCCCTCAGTTCCTCCCTCAGTTCCTCCCTCAGTTCCTCCCTCAGTTCCTCCCTCAGTTCCTCCCTCAGTTCCTCCCTCAGTTCCTTCCTCCCTCAGTTCCTCCCTCAGTTCCTCCCTCAGTTCCTCCCTCAGTTCCTCCCTCAGTTCCTTCCTCCCTCAGTTCCTCCCTCACTTTCTCCCTCAGTCCCTCCCTCAGTTCCTCCCTCAGTTCCTCCCTCAGTTCCTCCCTCAGTTCCTTCCTCCCTCAGTTCCTCCCTCAGTCCCTCCCTCAGTTCCTCCCTCAGTTCCTCCCTCAGTTCCTTCCTCCCTCAGTTCCTCCCTCACTTTCTCCCTCAGTCCCTCCCTCAGTTCCTTCCTCCCTCAGTTCCTCCCTCAGTTCCTTCCTCCCTCAGTTCCTCCCTCAGTTCCTTCCTCCCTCAGTTCCTCCCTCAGTTCCTTCCTCCCTCAGTTCCTTTTCCCCCATTACCTCCAAACATTCGCCGGATGAACGGCAAGGCAGTGAATGCCACCCCCCTGCGCACGGGCGTGATCATTTTGGGAAGCGGCCTGCAGAAGCACCACATCTGCAACGGGGCGGACTTCCCTCTCCCCTCACACACCTCCTCACCCCCTCCCCTCAACCTCTCCCTTCACCCTCTCCCCACACCCCTCGCCCTCCCTTCTAACACCCTTCCTGCCCCTCCGTATTCACCCTCTTCCCTGAAAAATTTCCCGGTTTCCCTGCAGACATCCGCCGGATGAACGGTGAGGCAGTGAACGCCACCCCGCGACGCACGGGAGTGATCATTTTGGGAGGCGGGCTGCCGAAGCACCACATCTGCAACGCCAACATGATGCGCAACGGGGCGGACTTCCCTCTCCCCTCACACACCTCCTCACCCCCTCCCCTCAACCTCTCCCTTCACCCTCTCCCCACACCCCTCACTCTCCCTTCTAACATCCTGCCTGCTCCTCCTTATTCACCCTCTTCCCTGAACTTTCCTGGATTCCTTGCAGACATCCGTGCGATGAACGGTGAGGCAGTGAACGCCACCCCCCGGCGAACAGGCGTGATCATTCTGGGAGGGGGCCTGCCGAAGCACCACATCTGCAACGCTAACATGATGCGCAACGGGGCTGACTATGCGGTCTACATTAATACGGCGAGCGAGTTTGATGGGAGCGACTCGGGGGCGAGGCCTGACGAGGCTGTGAGCTGGGGGAAGATCCGCGGAGATGCCACCGCTGTGAAGGTGAGATGCCATGTAGTTCACATAAACGCGGCCATTAAGTTCGATGGGAGCGACTCGGGGGCGAGGCCTGACGAGGCTGTGAGCTGGGGGAAGATCCGCGGAGATGCCACCGCTGTGAAGGTGAGATACCATGTAGTTCACATAAACGCGGCCATTAAGTTCGATGGGAGCGACTCGGGGGCGAGGCCTGATGAAGCTGTGAGCTGGGGGAAGATCCGCAGAGATGCCAGCGCAGTCAAGGTGAGAGGGAGAGAAAGGTCATGCCTTTAAGCTGGCTCAGTGTCCCCTTGTGACGGGCTTAAGTGGTGTGGGGAGAGAATGCACCGGGAGCAGGAGGGATTTGTGATGACACAGCAGGGGTAGTGAGATAGCACACATTGTGTGGTAAGTCAAAGTCAAGAATCACCTTCTCCGTTCCCCTCATCTCACTCGCCCTTCTCTGCACTGAAAGCCTATAAACTGATGCCTTCATTTCACCTGCCTGCAGGTGCATTGTGGTTTCACCATCACCTTCTCTCTGCTTATGTGTTGACTGGATATTCGTTTCCCCTGCCTTCTGACCCATCTCCTCCGCCTTCTCACCTGTCTCCTCTGCCCTCTCACCCATCTCCTCATCCTCCATTCATTCCCACCTGCAGGTGTATTGCGATGCCACCATAGTTAAGATGATCCTTGAAACGTTATCTCCCCCGCCAATCAACCCTCCCCCCTCCCCTCTCACCCATCTCCTCCATCCTCCATTCACCCCTTGGCCACCTGCAGGTGTATTGCGATGCCACCATCGCCTTCCCCCTGCTTGTAGCCGAGACGTTTGCCCCTCACTTACAGGAGCGAATGCAGCAGCAGGAGCAGGCTAAGCAGGAGGTGCAAGCAAGGGAGAAGCAGTAGTCACAGAGAGCAGGCGGATGATGAGGACACTCGTGGGAGTGTATTACAGGCATGGCCAAGGGACTATGTGAATACAAGAATGCACCCAGGTTGTTGTGTTGAGCCGCTCCTCTCCAACCAGCTTGTTTTGTATTGTTACACATGTTTGACAACACACGAGTTTTTTTTGCAGGGTTGAAAGGAGAGCACAAGCAGAGGCTATGGTGATGTTCATTCAGATTCTACACTTAAATCACAGCCATGATTCAGTACGAAATTCTGGAAAGGCCAATGCAGTGGGGCGGGCATGTACGTGTGCTTTGGAATATTTGCTCACAGTGAAGGTTTTTAGCAATACGATTCTCAGCCTTCGCGTCGCCATAGTTCTCGAGCGGTATAAACAGGAAGATTGGAGAGTCTGTTATTTGTCAACGGATTCAGCTTGCCGTGTGGTCTCGAAGTAATCGCGACGGTATTTTGATTAGGCGTAATATAAGTAGCGATTATCCTAAAGCTGACTGTAACTTTTGCGACTAACATGGACGCTGCGACAAGCCTAGATGCGGAAGGAATCTGTAACAGGTCGCTGCCATAGTATGGCTATTCCGTATCTGTGGTCTGTTGTACGTGATGTGTGGTGTGGTTCTATGACTGCTTGAGCTCTGCCAAGATTGGTTTTCTGCACAGCTTGAGCAAAAGGTTTGTTTCCGTTTTATTTCCTTGCATATTCGTCTATTAAGCTAAGTCACCTTAGAACAGAGCTACTATATATAGCTGAATACAGAGGAACTAGTGCTACTAGGATCCCTAGGATCCCGAAGTGTCAACCACCTCATCTGCAGTGCAGATCCACAGCTTCTCGCCTGCCTTCGTTCTTGGTTCTTGGTTCTTGGTTCTTGGTCAGTTTCAGGAACTGTTTGGGAGGGAGGGGACTTATTTACGGGGCAGAAAGGAGGGGGGACGGTTAATATTATATTCAGGGCAGCAAAGTGTAACACCTCGAGCACAACAATCTCAGTGGTACAGTGTTCAAGTTCCGGCCAGGTTGACCAGGGCGAGGAAGAGAGGGAGAGTCGAAGACAAACCTAACCGAGCCTAACCAAGCTTTACCAGACCTAACCGTCCGAACCTAACGTCCTAGCTAATTCGAGCCTAGGTCCAGACTAGATCGTAACCCAGATCCGAGCCTATCTAAGGCGAATTCGACTCGAAGCTAAGCCTAATTCGAGCCTAACGATCTGACGAACTAACGCTCCTAACGTTCTGCCTAACGTCCTGACTAGCGCTCCTAGCGTAGACCTAACCACCCCAGGGAGCAGGGCCCAGAGCCACTTACACGGCTGGTTGCTCCAAGCTCTGCGCTCCAGGATCCTTGCTCCAGCGAGGCGCGCGGCATTTCTCCCCGCTCTCCGCGCTCCGAGCTCCGCGCTCCTCGCCCGCTCATGCTCCTGCCCACAAACAAAAACCCAGCAGGGACGTAAGTGTTACGAAAAGGAAGAAAAAAAAAATTGAAATTGACGAAACTTACCAGGAAATGGGACTGTTTACCCCCTTGCTCGCCGTCAGCTCTCCGTCCCGCTCTTCCTGCACTAAGACAGAACACAAAAAAGAAACTTAGTAAAACGAAAACATAACATGAACTGGAATTGACTTACTGATAGAGGAAGAGCTCGCCGCGCGATACATCCTTCACCCGCTCCATGTGTTGCCCGTGCTCCACGCCCGCTGGATTTAAAAGGCACGGAAGGGCAACGAGAAATACGTTAGGTAACAGAAAACGAATATTGCAAAACATAAGACTGGTGACAGAAAACACTGACCGAACTTACAAGGAGAGGGAGACCACTCGGTTATCCCATTGCTGGCCGTCAGCTCCTCGTCTCGCTCCTCCTGCACTAAGAAAGAACACAAAATAGAGACTTAGTAAAACGTAAACTGAACACTAAGTGAAATTGACAATACTCACAAAGAGGGGGAGAGCTCGCCGCGTAGTACCTCTCCCGCCCGCTCCAGGTGTTGCGCGCACTCCTCCTCCTCCGCCTCCCACTCCTGCGTCACAGAGGGCATGAAACTCGAAGTTAGAATTCACGAAGAAGAAACGAGCGAAAGCGGACCGTGCTTACCACCAGGAGGAGGAGTGCGTTCTCTTCTTGACCTCCCTAATGGTGTTGCCGCGTGCTTCTCCTCCTCCTGCATCACCAAAAACAACGAAGCTCGAAATTAGAAATCTCGAAAAATGAAAAAACGTACGGAATCGGACCGTGCTTACCAGGAGAGGAAGAGCATTCATTTCTTCTTCTTGACCTCCCTTGACGCTCCCCATCGCGTTCCTTCTGCACTAAGACACAAGACACACAAACAGAAAGTTAGTGAATGGTAAACGAATTACTAGCTGAAATAGACGAGACTCACCGAGAGAGCGAGAGCTTTCCGCCTGGGACTTCCTTGCTCGCCGTCAGCTCCGCATCCCGCTCCTTCTGCACCAAGACAGAGAGCACGAAAGGGATAATTAGTAAAACGTAGATAAAATCTAGCTGAAATTGACGAGACTCACCAAGAGAGCGAGAGCTTTCCGCGTGGGACTCCCTTGCGCGCCGTCAGCTCCCCATCCCGCTCCTTCTGCACCAAAACAGAGAAAACGAAAGATAAAATTGGTAAAGCGAAAAAAGAAGCTAGCTGAAATTGACGAGGCTCACCAAGAGAGCGAGAGCTCTCCGCGTGTGACTGTCTTGCTCGCCGTCAGCTCCCCATCCCGCTCCTTCTGCACCAAGACAGAGAAAACGAAAGATAAAATTAGTAAAGCGAAAAAAGAAGCTAGCTGAAATTGACGAGACTCACCAAGAGAGCGAGAGCTCTCCGCGTGTGACTGCCTTGCTCGCCGTCAGCTCCCCATCCCGCTCCTTCTGCACCAAAACAGAGAAAACGAAAGATAGAATCAGTAAAGCGAAAAAAGAAGCTAGCTGAAATCGACGAGACTCACCAAGAGAGCGAGAGCTCTCCGCGTGTGACTGCCTTGCTCGCCGTCAGCTCCCCATCCCGCTCCATCTGCACCAAAACAGAGAAAACGGAAGATGTAATTAGTAAAGCGAAAAAAGAAGCTAGCTGAAATCGACGAGACTCACCAAGAGAGCGATAGCTCTCCGCGTGTGACTGCCTTGCTCGTCGCCAGCTCCCCTTCCCGCTCCTTCTGCACCAAAACAGAGAAAACGAAAGATAGAATTAGTAAAGCGAAAAAAGAAGCTAGCTGAAATTGACGAGGCTCACCAAGAGAGCGAGAGCTCTTCGCGTGTTACTGTCTTGCTCGCCGTCAGCTCCCCATCCCGCTCCTTCTGCACCAAAACAGAGAAAACGAAAGATAGAATTAGTAAATCGAAAAAAGAAGCTAGCTGAAATTGACGAGACTCACCAAGAGAGCGAGAGCTCTCCGCGTGTGACTGTCTTGCTCGCCGTCAGCTCCCCATCCCGCTCCTTCTGCACCAAAACAGAGAAAACGAAAGATATCATTAGTAAGGCGAAAAAGAAAAGACGAGCTGAAATTGATGATACTTACCGAAAAGAGGGACAAGGATTTGAAGGAGCAGTAGGCAACTTGGTCGCAGTGATATCCACTTTGGCGAAGTGCCTTGTGGCGGAGCGATTGCCACCACGCGACGGAAGAAGCGCATCTTCGCGCCGAGGAGAAGAAGTAGGAAGAAGCGCATAGACGAGGCCTTCGACGATCTCGGCTTGAATTCTTCCGATAGAGATCGGTCGAGAAGCGCCAAGGCGGTGTCCTGCAGGAAGAAAGAAAATCCGTCAGAGATTATCCAGTGATGCGTGATGAAGATGGAGAAAACAGTTGCACAAGTTGCAAAAGAGGTACTTACGTCCACTTGCGCCGAAGTAAGCGCCAACAGCAACGGGGAAAGCGCCATTGAAGATCGTCTTGAGAAGATCTCGACTCGAACACTTCCCGATGATAATCGCGGTGAAGAAATCGCGGTGGTCAATTTGCCGTGAAGATCTCCCAGGGTTCTCGCGGTCTTGCAGTGGAGATCTTGACAGGGAGTTCTCGCCGCAGGGAATATCTCACGATGCAGTTCTTGCCGCGAAGAACAGGGCGTAGTGCAAGGTTCCGGCCAAGGCTTGCAAGCAGCTCTCTAGACTCTCTACCCACCCACCCCACCCACGACTCTAGACTCTACGCTAACGCTAACGCCTACACGAACCTACACGGACTCTAAGACGCGCTGCTGCTTGCCTTGGCCTTTCCCTTGCACTAGCTTAGGTGGGTTCATGATTTAGCTTAGTAAACTGCTCGTGGAGCTCGTCGCATGAAGTCCACAGAGACTAGCTTATTGGGACGGAGCTGATTTCGACGGAGCTGAAAAATCCTTCCGACGAGATTATTGGGAAGGTAGAAATCCGAGAATGAAGTTGACGGTAGGAACTTGTAGGTCTTCTGATGGTAGGAATGGAACGATTGAGCAAGGAGGAGTGTGTCGATGGAAACGATCATCCAGGTCGGAGAATTGTGGGTGCGGTGCTGGATGCGGATGCGGCGCGGCGCGTCTGAAAATGTTGCAGCCAGAGGGTTCGGAAAGTAGGATATCGTTTATCGATTATTCCCGCTCTAACTCAAGTTGCCGTTGGCGGTGAGGCGTGGCGCAACGCGGCGCGGACGTTCGCTTCTGATACAACGCGGGAAGGGGTGCGGCTAGTTTCGGAGTTACATGAGGCGACTTCAGGATGAACGGATGGTGCAGAGATGATGCGGCTATCGCCACCACCAATGAATGGTGAAGATATCAATGTGATGTGTCATGGTGCGATGGCCGCCGTCACCTTAGAAATTCCCCGCCTCGGGAACGTTTACCATGGGGTCTTTCAAGGCGACCCGAATGTGTGCAGTGCATGTGGACTCGCCAAAGCTATTGGGTGTGTTGATGGATTTCAGCCGCTGTTATTTGATGAGTGCGGTGCGTTGATCAAGCGCGCGGCCTTTGGTATGGTGCATAGTGCCGTTGCAATACCAAGGTAGTTTTGCCATCGCTGCCGCAGATGAATGGTGAAGATTTGGTGGAGCCTTGTGTTGGGAGGGAGTGGTAAGGTGGCTGGCGCCGCCAAGGCAACTTTCCGCCTAGAGAATGTCAGAGGGTGTTCCAATCGACTCAAATTTCGTTGCGGCCCAAATGTGAATTTGAACTGATCCCAACGCGACTCGACATCGTGAACCTTTTTCACATGTACAGTACAAAGGGTGGTAAAGTTATGTGGGTTGGTTTGCAGTTTGCTATAAGCGGATCTGCTGAGGACGCGTATCGCTGTGTTGTGTTTGACGGGCACTCTGAAATCAGGTATGAAAGGTTGGGGCTGGGGCAGGAAACGAACTTTTTAGGAGGTTGTTGACGTGGCACGTGTATTTTATATGCATAGCCCGACTATGATACTTTTGCGAAGAATTCTGCGTGGAGTGCGGGAATGCGTTGAGATGTGTCAACGGAAGGTTCAGGTGCTCGCGCGATTCATTTTGTTCCGTGTGAACTTGATTGGGGCAGTTGAAAATGGCAAGGGGTGATCGAGAAAATATCGTGCGAGCCAATAGAATTGGGAGGTGTTTCTTGCCCTCATCCATATCGTCCAGCTCATTCCCCTTCATCTCCGATCCTGGTTTCATCGAGTCTTGGTGTTCATTTCGCCGATTCGCGTGCGTGCCGATATCTTGTTGCCGTAGCCTCTATCAGTCTTGCCATCGGTCAGGCTTCAGTGTTAGCTGCTTCCATCTGAACGAGTACTAGTCTCAGGGTGCGTTCCTGGCGAGTGTCAAGCTTCCGGTTATCCGCGGATGACCGGAAGTTGGACCCACTTTGGGCCATCCGAGACCAACTTCGGGTCTTCCGGCCAAAAATTGCCCTTGTCTCCGGAAGACCTGAAGTTGGACAGGGAGTTTGACCCAAAGCATCGGGCCTTCCCGGGAAGGCCCGAAGCTTTGACACGGGCCAGGAACGTACCCTCAGATCCAAGTGAAATAATCCACGTTCGGTGCGCGCTCGATATCTTTGAACCGTAGCCAGTAGAACCGACGAAGTCTAAGTTAAGGATATCGGGAGAAAGGAAACGTTGCCTTGCAGACGACTTAATCGCGTGAATAATTTTCCGTGCCACGTAAAACGAACACAAGATAGAAGGGAGGCAGTAGACTGGCAAGAGGCGGCGGTCCGCGAGCATGCTACACGGTTTCGCGAACGTAGGGTTTCGACGAGCATGTTACAGCTCTCGCGAAGATCGGATTTCCGAGCTGACGCACGGAGACTCCATGTCGTGCAACCTCTCCCTTTCCCCCGTTTCGCCCATCCCCCTTATCTTCCCTCGCACATCTTTCTTAGCTCTCGCCAGATCTTCCCTCTCTCTCCCCCCATCTTCCCACGCTCTCCCCTCATAGCCTCACGCAGCTCTCATGTCGTGCAACCTCTCCCTTTCCCCCGTTTCGCCCATCCCCCTTATCTTCCCTCGCACATCTTTCTTAGCTCTCGCCAGATCTTCCCTCTCTCTCCCCCCACCTTCCCACGCTCTCCCCTCATAGCCTCACGCAGCTCTCATCTTTTCTCTCACCCTCCTACCTCTCATCTCCCTCCCTACTCACTTACATCCCCTCGTCGCTCACTCCTCATCTCCTCATGATTCAACCATCATTTCCCCCATCGTTTCCCCTCTCACCCCTTGACTCCCCCCCGTTTTCCCCCTTTCTAGCCTCCCCAACTCACTCCCGCGAACTCTCTCATGTTCACCCTTCATCTCCCCCCTGTCTCCCCGCTCCCCCTTCTTTCCCTCCCCCCTTCCCCTCCAGCCTCCTATATCCCCCTGCGCTCACCCTCATTTCTTCTCTCACGCACACCTCATCTTCCTACCCACTAACTCCTCACCTACCTTCCCCGCTCACCCGTCATCTCTCTCGCCACTCCCTCGGTCATTCATCATCCGCCCCACGTTCCTTCCCCCTTTCATCCCCTCCTCCCTCCCTTTCCCTTTTCCTTTGTCCCTCCTCCCAAGTCTCCCTCTCCCCCCTCCAAACTCACCCCTCCCCTCGCTTCACCCCCTGCTCAACCCTCATCACTCCCCTCTCCACTTACCACTGCTTCCGCACATGCTTAACATCTCCCGACCTCCACTCCTCCTTACTCCAATGACCCTTGCCTTTTTCTCCTTCAATCTGCCTCTTCTTCCCTTTTCTTCATCTGGTTTTCATGGACTTCTTGACACATGGCTGCATGTGACTTGGCCTGCTGCAGGTTAAGCAGCATCAACTTTGCAAGTTGTAGCCTAGCTAGAGGTTGTCTGACCCAGCTTCCTGGCTGCAAGATTCCATGCATTTTTGTATACCCTGTCAAGTCTCATGTATAATCAGCGTATGTGGGAGCAAACACTGGGAATACTACCCCATGCCATACAAGGCAAGAAGATTGAGAGTTTACCACTATAAGCGCTTGGGAATTGCTGAGAAGTACGGTACAAAAACCCTAATTTCACCCTCCTGATTCCAACACTAACCAAAGAGCACGGATGCAAGGCAACTCCGACCCGTTTCTGGTTCAGGTATGTGCTCTCTTCCAGGAACATAAAAGAACACTGCCCTTCTGCTCTCTTCTCAGCCCAGCAGTGGTAACACCCCTTGTGAAAACCCCAAGATCCTATTGTGGAGGCGCCTCACTAGTGCCATTGGGGCAGCTCAAAAGCCCAGAGGGAGACCGTCTTGTGAGAATCCCAGGATCCGATTCTCTCTCTGCACTTGATCCGCACGCGCGCACTCCTGTGCCTCCATCCACACAACGCGCTGACTCCTATCGCTCAGAGCGGTACCTGGCATGGGGGCAAGAGGGGGACATGTGGCCGTTTGAGCTCTAGGTATGTGAGCCTGATAACACACTCGTGCGTGAGAGTCGCCGTCTTGTGCGCGTGAGTCGTGACCAAACAAAGTCAACAAAAGTGCAAGAAATTTCTTGACAAGAACAAGATAACAAAGAAGGACGAGAAGTGAGAAAAGAGGTGAGGAGGAAGGTAGGTAGGAAATGGAAAGAAGGCATACCTGCAGGGAGGAGGATCGAAACCATAGAGAGAAGTGGGGGGAGGGAGAGGGAAAGGGAACCCGCAGACCCGGAAACCCGACCACAGGCCACCGCGCATGGGGGGGGTGTTGGTTGTTAGGCTGAGCAAGTGCTGAGAAAGTGCCACCACGCAGTCTGGGGGAGCTGGCCTGCTGAGGAGCGAGCTCTGCTCTGCGTGAAAGCAGTGGCGGCACAGGAAGGACAGACTAGTCCGCCCAGAGGGGGGCTGGGACAAGAGGGTGAGAGGAGGGACGGGGAGCACTGCAGATAGAGTGCAGGTGTGTGCACACAAATGCACTCACATATACACTCATATATACAGACTCACGCACAGATTTGCAGAGGCAACAGGTCAAAGTTCCATAGGTGAAGAAGGGAATGAGCATACAGAGTGCCATGGGGTGCGAGCTTGCTTCTAATACCGCACAATTCAACAGAATGACCAGATAACAGAGAAAGAAAGAAAGAGAATTCACACCGTCTCTTGGGGGTTGGGCTGCAGCTGCTGCTGCTGCGGCTCCTGCTGCGACTCACACTGCGGCTCCTCCTCCTGCTCCTCCTCTGCTCCCCGTGCCCCTCTCCCTTGCCCCCATCCTTCTCCTTCCTCTTCTCCTTGTCTCTCTTGCTTCCCTTCTCCCGCCTCTCCTCCCTCCCTCTCCTACTCTCCTCCTTTTCGCCGCTCTTCTCTGCTCTCTCTCGCTCCCTCCCCTTGTCCTTGCCCCCATGCTTCCTATGCCTGGGGTTCAAACGGATGATAGGGAAGACAGGTAGACGAACGGATCATGCAAGGGCGGATAGAAACGGACCTGAGGGAATGGAACAGCAGCGAGGGACAGAAAAAAAATTGCAAGACAACTCTCACGCCCGCCATGCTCACATGCCCACCCGTGCAGGAGCCAACCCCCATATGGCCACCCCGCATAGCCACCCCGCATGGCTAACCTCACATCCCCACTCCCCCATGTCCACCGCCATGCATCTTCAATGCTCACCTGCCACGATCCTCCTCCTCCTCGTCGCCATCACTGGAAGAGCGCTCGGGTCGAGGGGACCGGGATCGCGAGCGCGACTTGCTGCGATGCCTGCCCTTCCTGCTTGCCTCTTTCTTTCTCTCCGATCGCCCGTGCTTGCCCCGCTCTTCAGTGCTGCTGTCGTCACTATCATCAGCTTTTCCTTTTTTCTCTTTGCTCTCCTCTTTACTCCTGCTCTCAGACTTGTCTTTCCTATCTCGCTTCTCCTTACTCCTCCGCTTCTCCTTCTCCTCCTTCTCCTTCTTTTCCTTCTCAACTTGTGATCCCTTCCTCTCCTTGCCACCCTCCTCCCTGCTTTCATCCCTACTACCCTCCTCATCTCCATCCCTCTTCCTCTCTTTCCCCTTCCTGTCTCTCTCCTTCCCCCTGTCCCCATCCTTCTCACCACTCCTCTCCTTCTCCCTCTCCTTGCCCCTCCTCTCATCCCTCTCTTTGCTCCTCTCCTCGCCCTTAGAACTCCTCTTCTCCTTCTCTTTTCCATCATCCTTCTCTTTATCCCTTTCTCTATCCTTCTCCTTATCTTTCGCCCTCTTCCTACCCTCAGGCTCACTTGTCTCCCGGCTTTTGTGCTTGCTCCCTGACTCTTCCCCATCTTCCTCATCCTCCCTCTTCGCTTTCCTATCTCTCTCTTCTCTATGCCTATTCTCACTTCCCTCCTTCCTCTCATGCTCCCCTCTCCTCTTTTTCTTCCTCCCCTCGCTCTCCTCACTTTCCCCATCCTTCTCCTTATCATCTTTCCCCTCACTCCTCCTGTTCGTCTTTCCCTTCCTGCTTTCCTCCTCCCCTCCCTCCTCCTCTCCCCTCGCCCGCCCACGCCCTTCCTCCACCTTCTTCCCCCTTCCTATCCCCTCATTCTCGCCCCCGCTCCTTTTCCTCCCCCTCTCCCCCTCATCACCCCCCTCTCTGCGCACCTCTTCCCCTCCCTCCTGCTGCCCCATGCTCCCATCTCCCCTTCCCTCCTGCCTTCCCTCCGCTATGCCACTTATCTTCGCCTCTTCATCCCTCTCTTCCCCATCCTTCCCCTCCCGCCTCTCCTCCAATGCACCAGCATGCACTGGCTCCTCCCTCCCCCTTCCTTCCCTCTGCACCGCACTCCCATCCCCTTCACCACCATCAACACCTTTCTCCTTCGCATCCCTTACCACCTCACTCTCCTCCTTCTCTTCTGTATCCTCCTCTTCTTCCTCATCTTTCTCCTCATCTTCCTCTTCTTCTTCCTCCTCCTCCCCTTCCTCCTCCTCATCGTCATCATCATCATCATCCTCATCACTCCCATAAGCAATCCCCAGCAGCCCTCCACCCAACAACCCTCCTCCCGCTCCCGCCCGTTTCTTCTTCTTCTTACTCTTCCTCTTCCTCTCACCACTCATTGCCTTACTCATCTCAACCACCCCCTTTCCCCCAGACTCTCCCCCTGCCACAACCTTCCCGTTTTCCTCAACCGCACCTGCCCCACCTGGTTTTTCACCTGAGACTTCACCTGCTATCCCATCCCCCTTCTCCTCCTCCTCCATATGCCTGTTCCCATCCTTCTCCCGCTCGACCCCTTTCTCCTCCACCTCCTCCTCCTCCTTCTCTTCCTCCTCCCCTTCACCCACTGTCACCCATTTCCCTCCACTAACCTTCTTCCCCGTCTCCTCCTCCTCTCCACTCCCTCCTCCCCTCTCCTCCTCCTCCTCTTCCTCCTCCTCGCGGGGATCTCTGAGAGCATCTATAGCGATTCGCCTCACCATGTCGTCAGTTACCTGTTGGCAGGAAGGAAGGGGTGGGAGTGGGAGGGAAAGCGTGGGACAAGAAGAAGAGGGTGGGGAGGGAAAACGAGGGACAAAGGGGAGAGGTGGGGAGGGAAAACGAGGGACAAAGGGGAGAGGTGGGGAGGGAAAACGAGGGACAAAGGGGAGAGGTGGGGAGGGAAAACGAGGGACAAAGGGGAGAGGTGGGGAGGGAAAACGAGGGACAAAGGGGAGAGGGTGGGGAGGGAAAACGAGGGACAAAGGGGAGAGGTGGGGAGGGAAAACGAGGGACAAAGGGGAGAGGTGGGGAGGGAAAACGAGGGACAAAGGGGAGAGGTGGGGAGGGAAAACGAGGGACAAAGGGGAGAGGTGGGGAGGGAAAACGAGGGACAAAGGGGAGAGGTGGGGAGGGAAAACGAGGGACAAAGGGGAGAGGGTGGGGAGGGAAAACGAGGGACAAAGGGGAGAGGTGGGGAGGGAAAACGAGGGACAAAGGGGAGAGGGTGGGGAGGGAAAACGAGGGACAAAGGGGAGAGGTGGGGAGGGAAAACGAGGGACAAAGGGGAGAGGTGGGGAGGGAAAACGAGGGACAAAGGGGAGAGGTGGGGAGGGAAAACGAGGGACAAAGGGGAGAGGGTGGGGAGGGAAAACGAGGGACAAAGGGGAGAGGTGGGGAGGGAAAACGAGGGACAAAGGGGAGAGGTGGGGAGGGAAAACGAGGGACAAAGTGGAGAGGTGGGGAGGGAAAACGAGGGACAAAGGGGAGAGGTGGGGAGGGAAAACGAGGGACAAAGGGGAGAGGTGGGGAGGGAAAACGAGGGACAAAGGGGAGAGGTGGGGAGGGAAAACGAGGGACAAAGGGGAGAGGTGGGGAGGGAAAACGAGGGACAAAGGGGAGAGGTGGGGAGGGAAAACGAGGGACAAAGGGGAGAGGTGGGGAGGGAAAGCGAGGGACAAAGGGGAGAGGTGGGGAGGGAAAACGAGGGACAAAGGGGAGAGGTGGGGAGGGAAAACGAGGGACAAAGGGGAGAGGTGGGGAGGGAAAGCGAGGGACAAAGGGGAGAGGTGGGGAGGGAAAACGAGGGACAAAGGGGAGAGGGTGGGGAGGGAAAGGGCGGGAAAATGGGAGAGGGTTAGGAGGAAGAGAAAGCGTGGGACAAGGGGAAGAGGGTGGGGCAGGAGAGAAAGCACAGGACAAGAGGGAGAGGGTGGGGAGGAAAAGCGTGGGACAGTGGGGAGAGGGTTAGGCGGGAGGGAACGCGCAGGACAAAAGGGGAGAGGGTGGGGCGGTAGGGAAAGCGTAAGACAAAGGGGAGAGGGTGGGGCGGTAGGGAAAGCGTAAGACAAAGGGGAGAGGGTGGGGCGGTAGGGAAAGCGTAAGACAAAGGGGAGAGGGTGGGGCGGTAGGGAAAGCGTGGGACAAAGGGGAGAGGGTAGGGGAAGAGGGAAAGCGTGGGACAAGGGGGAGAGGGTGGGGCGGGCGCCGGGCGGCAGAGACGAAATACAGGCCAATTCAGCATGCGAGTCAGCGCATTCCACAGGCCACTCAGCAGCATCCACTGGCGTCCAAGATATGATTGCCTGTGACTCCCGTGCGACCCCTCTCCCACGCAAACCCCCCATGCGACCCCTCCCACGCAACCCCCCTCGCGTGCGACCCCTCCCATGCGACCCCTCCCATGCGAACCCCCTCCCATGCGACCCAGCTCACCTCAACATCCCACCCACCTTGAGCAGCACTTCAGTCAGCACGCGTTTGATCTCGTTGTTCATCGCCATTCTCCTCTGCACCTCCGCTTCCTCCTCCTCCTCGTCCTCCTCCTCCTCCACTCCCGCTCTTCCACGACCACCAGCACGACCTGAAGCACCACGAGTAGAGCCACCACCGCCAGCACCAGTGCCAGCGAGAGGGCCTCTATCGTTGTACCACTTGTCCTTGGAGGGGACTTTGGCGGGCGAGTCTGCGGCTCCTGCCGCTGCTGCGAGGGCTGCCTTCTTCTTGACTACCTCGTCCACAAGCCACGAGGGGAGGGACTGGGAGAGGGCGGGGGAGGTGGAGGGGAGAAGGGGAAGGGAGGGAGAGGGGAGCGGGAGGGAGGGGGAGAGGGACAGAGTGGAAGGAAGAGGGTTAGAGGGAGGGAGAGAGAGGGAGGGAGAGGGAGAGCGGGATAGAGGGAGGAGGAGAGAGGGAGGGAGAGAGAGTTTGAGAGGGAGAATGAACGAAATTTAGTGTGGAAAGACGCAGGCCGGGAAAGAGGGAGAGAAAGAAAACGAGAACAGAAAGAGGTACGAGGAAGAGGACAAAGAAAGTTCTTTCGGGTTTAGGATAAGCGGGGTTGAGGGGGGGAGGGAGGGGGAGGGGGAACGGGGAGGGGAGGGGAAAACCAGACGGGCCTCAACAGACGGCAGCAGCTCACCTTCTTTGGCTTAGCACCGGGAGTGACAGAACCACCCCCACCCACATCATAAACGGCCGGATCAAAATACATCCCTGCAGACGCTGCTGCCGCCTGTGCCGCCGCCAGCACCGCTGGTGACAGCACTGACATATCCGCTGCCTGATTGGCTGGCGGCACGTACGCTGCTGCTGCTGCTCCCGCCGCCGCCCCTGATGCTGGTGTTGCGGGTGGGGGGTACTGCGGCGGCTGCGCGGGCGGAGGGGGGAGAACGGGCGCGTGCGCGGGAGGCGGGGCGGAGAGGAGCGGCGGAGCGGGCGGCGGCGGGGGCAGGCGCGGGTAGTGCTGCTCGTGCGCGTGCTGTGGGGGAAATCCGCCTGCTGCCGCCGCTCCAGCTGACGCCGCCGCCGCGGCCGCTGCTCCCGCTGCTGCTGCAGCGTCAGCTGCATTGGCATCCCCATATCCCGAGTAAACTCCGTTGTACGAACCACCGGGGGCAGCAGGGGGAAATTGAGGGGGCGGAGGGGGGTATTGCATCGGGGGAGGAGGATACTGCGGCGGATAGAACGACGCAGGATCGGGGGGATGAGTGTGGGGCGGGAGAGGAGGGCCGTGGGAAGGAGGCGGAGGGGGATACATATACATTTGCTGCTGCTGCTCTTGCTGTTGCTGCTGATGTTGATGGTGCATTTCCGGTGGGTAGTAATACTGCTGGTAATGCTGCTGATAGTACTGCTGCTGCTCTTGCTGCTGTTGCTGCTGCTGTTCCGTCCCTGTGCCACCGCCGTACACACCACCCACATACGTCCCGTCAGCAGCAACATACCCCCCGTACCCTCCTCCCCCCTCTCCCCCGCCCCCCGCACCCATATCCTGCTGTTTCGTTCCCGGCGCCGCCGCCGTCGCATCCGCTGCTGTAGCATCCTGATTCGCCGGTTCCTTGTCCTCGTTAGCTGCTGGCTCTTTATTGGTTGCAGCAGCAGCTTCCGCCGCAGTTGCCGCCGCCGCTGCCTCCGCCGCTTCCTGCGCCGCCCGCTGCTCCGCCCAGAGCCGTGCCTTGGCCGCCCAGTCGAGCTCCGCCCCTAGTACACGGGGTGAGGGAGTCATGAACGATTTAAGGGAGTCGTGAACGCTTCAAGGGAGCCATGAACGGTTCAAGGGAGTCATGAAGAGTTTACGAGTGTCACGAATGGGTTGATACTCGGATCGCGAGAGCTATGAATAAGGCGATGCACGATTCATTGACACTTGAGTGACGCGGGTAATAACGCACGGAGATGGAAGCAAAACAAACCAATATAAAACGACTTGACAGATACGGAAGAGAAACAAGTCGTTGTTGTATCACGATTCCAACGCAACAGAGGGACTTTGCGAAAACGAATTACGAGGCGAATCAAGAACCATGAAGACTTAGCGGAAAGACAATACCGCCAAGCTGAGGCTCCTGCGTCTGTTGCTGCTGCTGCTGCTGGTAACCCCACGCTCCGCTCGCGTCCCAACCCTGCTGACGCCATCATGCGTCAGATTGAAACAGAGGCAAACACGGCGACCACGCATATCAGCCTGAGGGCTTCCGGAACGCGTCTTTATTTTCAAGATTTCTTCCTTTGCGTTGTTGTAAGGGCCGGAAATATAGCAAGCGATCATGGTTTAGAAAAGAGGCTCAATCCCGGAAACACGGAAGAGACCAGACAAGAGGGTTCACGCGTGACGCATGGAACCATCAAGTGAGGATCCAGAGGACAGCTAAATGCAACGCAACCACGTTTCGTGGAAGGTTCCGGCGGCAGCACCTGGTGTGACGGCGCATAGGCACCTGTGCTGGCCGGATTGCTCCCGGCGCTCATGGCTCCACCCTGCGACGCGCCTGCTTGCCCTGTCTGCCATTGATCCGCCATACCTCCTTAGGAACGACCAAAATAAGGTAATGTGCAAATAGTTCTGTCGATTTTTGCGGTTGATCAAATCGCCTAAAATAAAGCAGCCTGGTATACTAGAACTAGTCACATCCCTAATTCCTGATTACTTGTCTAGGTCTAGATGAAGCAATACATATGACAATCTTGGGAGGAACGAGGTGGAAGGTGTTTTCCCGGCGAGAGCAGATAACACGAACACGAACACGTTATGAGTTTTATCGGGAATATCTCACCCACACTGGTCAGCAATAAAAAAGCAAGTAGTCTGATAATACATGTATGGTCATCATCTCCTACAATACCATACATGTATTATAGCCACACTGGGTGTTATCAATACTTTTTCCTGATTACAGATATGCACAGTTTTATATATACACGTGCTAATTCTTGAGCACTGTTTTAAACCAACCAATTATGAACCTAGCCTTTTGACTACCTTGGCTGGCTTTCTTGTCCGGCTTTTCATTGCCTCCCTTCTTGATGTGAGCAGCAAGCTTCTTAGCCACTCTTGAAGTGTCATCCCCCAGGGACTTACCCCACCCCATACCCCTTGGCCTGATCCCTCTGTCATCTCCTAAACTGCTAGCCTCCTCTGCATCCACCATCTTATCAAATACAGATGTACATTTCTCAGCATCTAAACTATTGTCTGTGTCCCCCCAACTCCTCCCTCTCTCCCTTCTTTGGGCGCCACTCCTGAGATTCAATCCCTGGACCTCACTCATGCAAAGCTGGCGGGGGTCCACAGGCGTTTCTAGACCCCGCGTAGGGAGAGTTGCGCCCATCTCTACCCGCGCGCTCAGCTCTTCCGCTGCCTGTTGCGCCTCCACGACAGCCAATGCCGCGCCTCCAATTCTCGCACGTGCGCTGTCAATCCACAACGGGTCACAAGCCAGCTCAGCGTCTAACCTCGAGCATCCCACGCACATCAACGTCCGGTTCGCGTCGTCGTGCGAGTATACAGACGACGCGGACGACAGGATGCTGATGTCGCTGCACGACGACGTGCGACGGGAACACGGCCGTTGCTGTCGCGAGCTTAAATCGTCAGAGCGGCGGGAAAGCAGGCTAATGTCGGTGGCATACGACATGCGCGACGGGAGGCTGGAGACTCGCGCCCCGGCAACGCCGTCGCCTCTCCCAGGAGTGTCGCATTTCAAGTTGCTACCACTTGAACGACCTCCACAATCGCAGCAACGCAGCTCCCACGCGGCGTCGTGCTCCTACAACCTCCCTGAATCGCGCGAGGAGGACTCATCGAAGACCACCAACCGGCCATTCTCCCACGTGAAGTCAGCTAAGGAATTCGCCGCCATTGAATGGAACAAACACTGCTAAAAATAGAATTGAACTCAGCTGAACTGAACTGAACTGAACTGAACCGCCTAATGAGACCAGACCAGGTTAATAATGAGCTTCTTCCGGAAATGAGCAGCTGATGTGAAGAGCTAATTGTCCTTGACCTCTGAAGCAAGGACAAGAGCTGCCGAGCAGCCTGGCGGGCGCTGAGTTGGCGATTCGCGGGGATGGATGTGAAGGGCTGGAGTGAAATGCGCACCGAGGGACTGGGGCCAGGGCAGTGGAATGCGGTGCTCACTGGACGGATGCACGCAGCTAACGACAACGCGTAGGTAAATACAGTACGGTGGACGCGCCTCACTCCCGCCGTGGATCACGCGCCAATGTGCTGTGGCAAGAACGTGCGAGCGCCATTGGTAAAAGGATTGGATTTCCTTGATTGATTGACGAGGTGACTCGAACCACGCACTTCGACTTTACCTCCACCATCCGCGGATGGCGGTAAGGAGCAGTCATCGATAGCAGCGCCCTCCCCTCATCCGCGTCCCCCCATCCCTCACCCCGCCTCGCCTCCCCCACTTCCCTCCCAAATCCCCCCCCCCCTCTCCCCCATTCCCAGATTCCCCGCACCACACTTCCACCATCCGCCCAGTGATTTCATACGCATCTTACTCTGGCTTCCATCAATGCATCCCCCCTCAACCATAACCGTGACAGGAAACGCGAAACGCGGCGAGCTTGAGGGCGGGCGGGAATTCACTATGGCGTGGACTGTACACTAGTGTTCACTACATAAGAGAAGAGTGGAAGGGCAATGAGTGGAGGATCAAATTCGGTCCAGTCTTGTCATATCCGCATATCCACAAAAGAGCTGTTGTTATTGGTCCCTTTAGCCCCGTGGGACATGTACCAGGGCCAATCGTGCGGTTGAAACTGGCGCGAAAACAATAGGAACCACAAAGCATGGATGCGCCAGCTCATCTACCCGCATATCGATCGGGTGACTCAGGTGTCTCATCGCATGACGTGTCACTCACGGTTGTGATGGACAGTTTTGGGATTTTGCCATGTCACGATATTCTAGCATTTGGGTTTGCCCTGCCAGTTGCTGCGTGAGGGGTAGAAAGGACCAGCTGGGAAGGTGTCAGCAGGCGCGCTCGTTTTCTGCCTACTGTTGGGATCAGCCCGTTTTCTCACGGTTAGACACGGTTCTTGTGTACTATGAATTTGAAACGCGTCTTTTGAACTTTGGGGAAATCATATGCTGCCTATCTGTCATAGGAAAATTCTTTACTTCAACATTTGATTTCACTACAATATTCTGGATTCTAGGAGGACTCCTTTGTGCAAAATGCAAATTTGTTTCACAGTGCATCCTTGAGGGCGACGTCAGGTTGTACAGCTTCCCTACGCTCAACTTCGTTTCGCAAAGATAGAACACGGTTAACCTTCAGAAAAGCTTTCCACCGTGTTGAACCGTTTTGAGCCACGATACAAGAACTGAATATCTGCGACAAATGTACAACCTGACTTCGCCCTGAATGAACGAATTTTTGCCACCTAAGATGAACTGTCTGGCTAACATGTTACATGACTGGCATTATCCAGCTCAAAAAGCTACCCTGACCGAACATGCAGCTTGGAACATTAACGTTGTACAGGAGAAAGTTATAACCATCCACTGGAATGCATATTCTGTTTAGTAACAAGAAATACGGTAGTAGCATTCAGACCTGACTCTTCCTGTTAGGTTGAACTTTTGCCATGCTAAACAGTTTCGCTATTTTTAGCCCGATATACGACCCTTCACTTCGGGTTCTGTTGGCTGCAAGGGATGAGGCTTCTCTGGTTAAACTGGGACTACTTTCCACTGACTGATGTCGCAGGCTTGCCACACCATCAAAGCTCCTCCTAGTCACAGGAAAGGAGGACAATCCTGGTAGGCTTCTCGATGCAAGCCCTCCTGTCGAACGTCCTTCTGCCTCATCAATCCGTGCACTCAGCTCCACAGCTGCCTGCTGGGCCTCCACCACAGCCAGTGCAGCCTCCTGAATCCGTGACCTGGCACTATCCACCCACATCGGGCTGCACGCCAGCTCAGCAGCACGCCAAGAACACCCCCCACAGAGCGAATCCCCACAAATGTGACCCGGGTCAGAACGGCCCTCTGATCTCATGGCGTCTGTAGCATGGAGGCTGTCTGGCTGTGAGAATCCCAGGGCCTCCTCAATCAGAGCAAGATCCGAGAGAGACGCCCCTAGGGAGTGCCTGTGGCTGCTGTGCAGGCGAGTGTTGTGGCTCAAACCTGACGCACGGGGTTGATTCGAATCACGCGACTCCGAGAAACTGCCCGTGTTGTTCAAAGAGCCCAAATTGGCAAAACTGGCGGAGTGGCTGCAAGAAGTGTCCCGCGCAGAGCCCCAAGTCCTGCCCCGGGATAGAAAACAACCATCAGATTCGCCACGAATGTGAACCGGGTCAGAGCGACGCGCCGAGATCGGATCAACGTCGCTCATGACCCGCGGAATGCCGCGCGATGAGTTCCTCTCCAGCGGCTGCTTGGGCGCAGAAGGTCGAGGAGAGGCGGCGGCGGCGGTGGCGGCATCGGACCGTCGTGTGGGTTCCCCCGGAAACGCCTCCAGGCCTCGAAAGCACATGGTGTCGCAGCGGTAGGAGCGGCCGCAGCAAGATTCCTCCAGGGAGAATCGCCCGCCGGGGCGCGGTGGCAGGCGGCTCATTCCCTGCTGGTGCGCGTCCAGAGATGCTCGGCCTGCTTCCAGAGACGCGCGTTCAGCCCAGCTAGCAGCATTTCGCCCAGCAGCAGTCCGCAGATCACGTCCGCTGCGCGGTGACCCGTGTCTTGATGATGGAAGCGTGTCTTTGAACGGCGCTGGTGCCGCCAAGGCAGGGAATTCGGAGCTTCGAGGACAAGAGAGATCGGCGTCCTGGGGAAGCGAGTGGGAGGGGTCAACGAGGCGCTCTGGCGAAGCGAGTGAGCCTCCGTGGGTTTCCGACTCCTGCTCGTCCGCGAGACGCAGGAACGCTGTGGGAAGACAGATTCGCATCATCTTGGGCGGCTGATGCAGTGGGTTATGCGGAGAGGAGGCAAAACTGCTTTCACGGGTCGTTACTCGGACTGATTTCACAGTGGGTGATTTGAGTTCCGAGTTCAGCGCAGCCGACTGAACAGCTCAGACCGTTGCTGGATCGCGAGGCAAGGAAGCGGAATTCGAGACTGCCAATTCAGGAACGGATTGTTGCATTTCTAGTGGCCGCAAAATACTGGGACATGGAATTATCTGAAACTGAACCTGTGGCGGGGGGCATGAAGACCTGAGGGCTGGCCGACTTGCAGCATGCACAGCGGCATATCCGCCGGGAGGAATAATTGTGCGTGACGACATGCCTGCCATAAATGTCGTCCTTTAAAATTACACATTGCGTATACACTGTACTGTACAGGCGCCGACAGTTGCTGTTTCGCACTCGAGACGAGCTTCGGGACCCGCGGCGACCCGCGGGATGAATTGCGTCACACCTTAGAGCGGCGCGCGAGCTTGACGTCATCTGTATCGTTGCGTCACGTGATGTTCCACTTGAGAGACTGGTGGATGTTTGCGGGATTGGATTGCCGATGCTTCTGGAAGGCACCGGTGAAGCAATCGAGGCCACTAATGGGGTAGACGTAACTAACGCCGGATGACGCGAGAAAGCGGACAGAGTTGATACAGCTCAGAGTCGCATGGCTCTTCCGCGGATTTAAAGCGGCCTGAACAAACGGTCTGTAATATGCCGAGTTTAGATCCGCTCGGGTAGTGTTAGGTCTTATCCAACGACCATGGATCTGTGGGCGAGAAACTGTTGTGGCGAATGAATCCTCCTCCCAATCTATTGCGGCATGTATGGTGCTGCTTCCCTTGACCTCGTTTGTGCGTGTTTCGGTTTTAGGCTTCAGCTCGAAGCCTGATACGATCACCGCAGAAAACCGCGCTGAATCCCACTGCCTCTGGTTGTTTCTGGTCCTCATTTTTGCTGGTCCTACTCTGTGTTTGCTTAGGGAGAAGATCAAACTGGGGCCGAACATTAGCAGGAAAGTGACCAAATTAGGGCCGGATTAATCTTAACCGTTGGATGTACTTCCGAGGCTGCCCAGGTGGTAGGGCCGAGAATTCGAACCTAGATTTACAGGAAAATACAAGAATTTCGACTTCATTGGATCAATTTATTTCTGTAGGTTATGATCACCACCTATTACGAAATTCGCGTCGTATTTCTCTGGGAGTAGGTTTCATCGTGGTTCTCAGAAGATTTACATCACCTTAGCTGACCGCAAAAAAAACCATATCCGAAACGGATGCGACTCGGGGAGGCATCAACCCTAAACTCTACTTGGGTTCCCGTGTTTAGTGTTGATCCCTCCAGAAAATGCGTCCAGGTTCTCTAGGGGATTAGTTTTTCCTTCCTGCCCTAACAGTTTCTGGTAACGTCATCTAGTGCTTCGTAGTGCTAACGAGTGGAAAACACTGATTTATTTCGACTTGACGACATAAATGTTTAAATTCATTAGTCACCACGCGCGGGGTGGTCAGAACCTCTGACAAGTGAAATCGAATCGCGAGTATGGACAATTCGGATTTAGCTCCAAAAGCCTAGGTTTGGTTTCTCCGGCCCTAATTTGGACACCCTCGTGCTATTTTTCGGCCCCTGTTTGATCTTTGCCCGTTTGCATATCAGATGCTGTCGTTCGGTTGGCTGGTGGGGCGCCCGTGGTTGGGAAGGAACAGATTCGATCATACAGTGTATGGCTCTGGTTGGGAAGGAACAGATTCGATCATAGGCGCCTGGGGCGCCTATGGCAGCCAATCACGTGCTTGGAGGATCTGGTACGTGTACAGTGAATCCTCTATCTAGCACGTGTATTAAGAAGCTCTATACAGTTACAATATACTTTCTCTCCTTTCTCCAACCAAAAAAGCATTTTTGTTGAAATACAATAAGATCAAAACAGCAAGTTGAGCATATGGATAATGTAATGAATAAACTTTGAATGATACGCCTGTGTGCTTAAACTTTCCATGGATAGTACCAGCAATGGAATCAACCAGCAAAATCTGAGAATGGAACTGCGTCCACCATTAACACTTGATGTTAGAATAAAACCATACTAGTAACAGAATAGTACAGTGTTTCGCACTATACGATTGTATCGTGCAATTTCCGTGACTGAGAAGTTGACTGCTTGGTTTGCTGAGCAAGTCCTCAGTTTGACAGAAATATTCGCAGCACCCTCGAGATTCACGGTTCGTCGAGGAACGCGAAACGGATGCTAGGTTTTCATGACCGCTATGATCGTGAAATTTCAGCCATGACCGCTATGATCGTGAAATTTCAGCTGTTTGTGCAGGGCCCATGGCGTGATGGCCTGTCCTGCGCCGTGGTTTTCTAACGGAAGCAAGCTGCTGACTGAAGCTGCCGTACAAGCTGTTATCGAATTCCACTGCCATGTCTTTAAGTCGTACGGCCTCGGCCGCAATGCCGTTCCTGATAGGGATTTTGGCAGGCGCTACGCTGTTGACAATTCAGCAGATCGTGACGGGAGGGAACATGTCGTTCCCCATCGGTTCTTCGTCTCTCTTTGCTTTTATGAATCCAGCCAACCAATCCATCCCGCAACACGTGGGTAAGCCTGATTGGCTGGCGTCTTCTGCTTCGATCGGCGCAGCTAAAGAAGAGATTCGCTATAAGACGGACGCAGGACCTGTAGAAAGCAAGCTGAACGTGCATCTGGTAGCACATTCACACGATGACCTGGGATGGACGAGCACCATTGACAAGTACTACGTGAGTTTCTCTTTCAGAAGGTCCAGAAACTCCCTAGAACCTGTTTTCCTGAGATCGATACCGGAATGAGTCATCTTCTATGGCTTTTAGAATCCAGATTGCTAAGCTATTGCATGATCATGTTACTTTTTGATAATTAATTGATCCAGGTGACATCAGTACAGTACATTATCGAGACTGTTATTGACCAGCTTGAGGCAAATCCTGACCGCAAGTTCATTCAGGTGGAACAGGTGAGAGCTGGCCAGCGTTGGAAACCAACCGTGTGTTTTTCTGTAAGGCCAACAATGTCAAGTTAAACTCAGGCGTAACGCTTCATATTACTTCAGACTAACCGTGTTCATGCTAACCATGTCAGTTTCAACTCAGGTGTAACGTTTCATATTATGTCAGACTAACCGTGTTCATGCTAACCATGTCAGTTTCAATTCAGGTGTAACGTTTCATACTACGTCAGACTAACCGTGCACAATTATCTCAGGAGAAACATGTCGTTTGGATATTCAACTGACTCTGTCAGTTTGATTCTGCGCTAACCATCCCTCTCAGGCTGAACATGTCGCAGATTCAAACTAATCATGTCATTCAGCTCCGGAATAGCCATGTTATTTCAACATGAGGTGAACCAGGATTATCTTTCAACTCTCCCTCCTTTCATTCCAGGCGTTCTTCTATCGGTGGTGGCAGCAGCAGAAAGAGGACATGCGCACGAGAGTGCGTGCTCTGGTTGCGTCAGGTCAACTCGAATTCGTGTACGCATTAACCTCATTTTCAGTGTCGTCCTTAAGAACCTCTTGGTCCTGCTATTGGCATGAAAATCTGCTTCACCTACCAATTATAATGCTCTGGAATACACTAGCAGTTATGATCGATGGACGAGATAACTCACTACCACACGCTTGACGAACGCTACTTTTGCCAAAGTTCTCGACCACGTGTCAACTGACCATCTTTTCGCTCCCACCTTCATGACAGCAACGGAGGGTGGGTGATGCACGACGAGGCCACCACACACTACACCGACATGGTCCACTAGATGTTACTGAAACTGCACTTCCTCCTCCCTTTCCCCCACCCACCCCAACCATGCCCTCACTTGCCTCGTGCGCGCAGCAATGGAGGGTGGGTGATGCACGACGAGGCCACCACACACTACACCGACATGGTCCACCAGATGTCGCTGGGGCTGCGCTTCCTGCGCTCCGAGTTCAACGTCACGCCGCGCATTGCATGGCAGATTGACCCCTTCGGCCACTCCGCTACTCAAGCCAGTCTCATCACGGCTCAGGTGAGAAGGGGAATGAGTAAGTGGGTACATAGTCCACCCACGTGGCATGGTTGGTTTTTACATGTGCTACCACTTGATTGGTACCTACCACCCTCCCTCTCTGTAAATGCCATCCACCGCCCGCCCTCCTCCCTCTCCCCACCTCTCTCGTATCCTTTCTAAGTCTTCTCGTTATGCTGTTTCCACCCTGTTGTTGTTGAGTCTCTCTTTTGAGCAGGCTGGGTTTGATGGGATATTTTTCTCGCGGGCAGATTACCAAGATGTGGCCAATCGGCAACAAGAAAAGAAGGAGGAGTTTGTGTGGCGCGCATCGAAAACATTTGGAAAATCGGCCCAGGTTAGCACTTTCTTGCAAACTAGGGGCTCTCATGACATCCTTGCATTGCATTGCGTCTCACCGTATTCTTGAAATACTTGTACCCTTCTCTAAGAATCTTAACAACCTCTCTGTCTCAATCCAGGTGTTTGGTGGGCACCTGTATTGGATGTACGATCCTCCTCCTGGGCTTGATTGTGAGGACCTAAACTTCCCACCGTTCGTTCAGGTAGGTAGGACTAAGCAGATGCCGCCAAGCACGTGTGGGTCAAATGTCACGCAAAGGCACATGCCGGCAATACCTTTATATATGTTTCAATTTCCTCCAGCTCTCCGACTCTTAGTCCTGCTCCATTGCCCATCACCCCTCTCCCATAGCCCGTCCCCCCGAGGGCGCGCCTTGGTCCGGGGGCGCGCCTTGGTCCGGGGGCGCGCCTTGGTCCGGGGGCGCGCCTTGGTCCGGGGGCGCGCCTTGGTCCGGGGGCGCGCCTTGGTCCGGGGGCGCGCCTTGGTCCGGGGGCGCGCCTTGGTCCGGGGGCGCGCCTTGGTCCGGGGGCGCGCCTTGGTCCGGGGGCGCGCCTTGGTCCGGGGGCGCGCCTTGGTCCGGGGGCGCGCCTTGGTCCGGGGGCGCGCCTTGGTCCGGGGGCGCGCCTTGGTCCGGGGGCGCGCCTTGGTCCGGGGGCGCGCCTTGGTCCGGGGGCGCGCCTTGGTCCGGGGGCGCGCCTTGGTCCGGGGGCGCGCCTTGGTCCGGGGGCGCGCCTTGGTCCGGGGGCGCGCCTTGGTCCGGGGGCGCGCCTTGGTCCGGGGGCGCGCCTTGGTCCGGGGGCGCGCCTTGGTCCGGGGGCGCGCCTTGGTCCGGGGGCGCGCCTTGGTCCGGGGGCGCGCCTTGGTCCGGGGGCGCGCCTTGGTCCGGGCCGGGGGCACGCCTTGGTTCGGGGGCGCGCCTTGGTCCGGGGGCGCGCCTTGGTCCGGGGGCGCGCCTTGGTCCGGGGGCGCGCCTTGGTCCGGGGGCGCGCCTTGGTCCGGGGGCGCGCCTTGGTCCGGGGGCGCGCCTTGGTCCGGGGGCGCGCCTTGGTCCGGGGGCGCGCCTTGGTCCGGGGGCGCGCCTTGGTCCGGGGGCGCGCCTTGGTCCGGGGGCGCGCCTTGGTCCGGGGGCGCGCCTTGGTCCGGGGGCGCGCCTTGGTCCGGGGGCGCGCCTTGGTCCGGGGGCGCGCCTTGGTCCGGGGGCGCGCCTTGGTCCGGGGGCGCGCCTTGGTCCGGGGGCGCGCCTTGGTCCGGGGGCGCGCCTTGGTCCGGGGGCGCGCCTTGGTCCGGGGGCGCGCCTTGGTCCGGGGGCGCGCCTTGGTCCGGGGGCGCGCCTTGGTCCGGGGGCGCGCCTTGGTCCAGGCCGGGGGCACGCCTTGGTCCGGGGGGCGCGCCTTGGTCCGGGGGCGCGCCTTGGTCCGGGGGCGCGCCTTGGTCCGGGGGCGCGCCTTGGTCCGGGGGCGCGCCTTGGTCCGGGGGCGCGCCTTGGTCCGGGGGCGCGCCTTGGTCCGGGGGCGCGCCTTGGTCCGGGGGCGCGCCTTGGTCCGGGGGCCCATCCCCCCTCTCTATAGCCCATCTCACCTCTCCCATAGCCCAACCCCCCTCTCGCAAAGCTCATCCCCCCTCTCCCATAGCCCATCCCCCCTCTCCCATAGCTCATCCCCCCTCTCCCATAGCCCATCCCCCCTCTCCCATGGCCCATCCTCACCTCACTCTCCCATGCTGTGTTGATCCTGTCTGCCAGCTCTAAGCTTTTGTCCCGGACCTCCTATATCTCGTTACAGGATGACCCGCAATCAGGGGAGTCGAACGTCCGGAAGCTTGTTGACCTGTTCGTTGAGCGAGCTTGGGAGCAGGTACGACTGATGCTCGTGCATAAAGCGCCTCCTGTCAGATGTTGCATTGCGTCCTGTCAAGGCATGTGCATCCTCGAAAGACTTGTCCATGCTTGTTCCAACCAACTATATCAATTCTCGTGGCAGCAACATCCCTTGTCAGAATGTGCAAAGGTGACGCGGTCGAACCATGTGATTCCTATATCAATTCACCATGGGGAAGGACAATGTTTACTCCGACGCCATTTTTGTGAAGCCCTTGTTAAAATGCCCTCCTTCCTTGCGTCTCTGCCGCCCTTCTCTCCTTTGTGTGGGCTGTAACAGGCGAAGGTGACGCGGTCCAACCATGTGATGTTCACCATGGGCAAGGACTTTGCCTACTCGAACGCCGTCCTCTGGTTAAAGAACATGGATAAGCTCATCCACTACGTCAACCTGGTATGGTGGAGTGGCACGGTGTGGTGTGATGCGGTGCGGTAGGGTAATGCTTCATGGGGTTCCAGAACATGGACAAGCTCATTCACTACGTCAACCTGGTGTGAGCGTGGTCGACGCGAGTCGATGCCTTCCGGGGGGGCTGTGAGCGTAGTCGACGCGAGTCGACGCTGCACTGAGGAGCTCTGAGGGGAGTCGACGCTGACCTAGGGAATTGAGTCATCTCAAAAAGGCCCATCCTCTTGTCCAACGTATGTTCATCCACCTTTTGACCCCTGCCAGGGTCGTCGGGTCAACGCCCTCTACTCCACGCCATGCCATGCATGCAGTTGGGAAAATCCTCTTGTGCAATGTGTGTGTGTTGTAAATGTATCTTATATATACAACATACATAGGCTAGAATAGGTGTAGCTCTTTAAGCCATTGGGGGGTTGGGTGTACACTCCAACCACACTTTGTGGTTGGGTCAAGATTTGGTTTGGTCTTGGTCCTTGGTTGGCACTTGCCAACATTTGGTCCTAAGGCCAACCAATCACAAGCTAGCAACATTGTGGGGTTCCCTACTCCACAAGGCAACTCACCCATTGGCCAACTTAGTGGCCAATAGGGTTGCACCTTCTTCCAACCTCTCTTCCTTGCATGCTTGTACTATAGAGCCTCCTTGGCTCATTACTCAACCATTCTCTTGAATTCTATCATGGTATTCAGAGCCAAATGGCTCACGCCACCTCCCTCGATCCTTAGGCCGTAATTTCCTCTCCGCGTCTTAGATCTAGCCTCCCGCGGCCTCAATCCTCCCTCCCGTACCTCAGATCTAGCTTTCCGCGGCTCAGATCTACTCCTCCGCGGCCTCAATCCTCCCTCCCGTACCTCAGATCTAGCTTTCCGCGGCTCAGATCTACTCCTCCGCGGTCTCAATCCTCCCTCCCGCGGCCACAATCCTCCCTCCCGCGGCCTTAATCCTCCCTCTCGCGGCCTCCGACCGCTCTCCCGCGGCCTCAATCCTCCCTCCCGCCGCCACCCCTCCCTCACGCCTTCCGTCGCGGACGGCCAGCACACCGTCGCGGACGGCCAGCAAGCCGTCGCGGACGGCCAGAAAGCCGTCGCGGACGGCCAGCACACCGTCGCGGACGGCCAGCAAGCCGTCGCGGACGGCCAGAAAGCCGTCGCGGACGGCCAGAAAGCCGTCGCGGACGGCCAGCAAGCCGTCGCGGACGGCCAGCAAGCCGTCGCGGACGGCCAGCCAACCGTCGCGGACGGCCAGCCCGCGGCCACGAGCACCCCGCGCGTCGACGCGGACGGCCAGCGCGGAGTCGCGGCCGACCTGTGCGCCATCCCGAACGGCCGCCGCGCGATCGCCGACGACCTCCGCGCCGACGCGGACGACCGACGCGGAGCCGCGGCCGACCCTCGCGCTGACGCGGACGGCCGACGCAGAGCCGCGGCCGACCCTCGCGCTGACGCGGACGGCCGACGCAGAGCCGCGGCCGACCCTCGCGCTCTCACGGGCGGCCGACGCGCCGCCGCGACTGACCTGTGCAACCTCCCCCCTTCATCCGCGCCCTGCCCCACACTTCCGCGCCATCCTTCCTCTCCCCTACCTCCTCCCCCCCCTCCTACTTCACCCTTAATCGCACCAGCAACAGCACCTAGCAGCGCCACCCTGTTACGGCACCAGTAGCGGCACCTTCAACGGCACCAGCAGCGGCACCTTCAACGGCACCAGCAGCGGCACCTTCAACGGCACCAGCAGCGGCACCTTCAACGGCACCAGCAGCGGCACCTTCAACGGCACCAGCAGCGGCACCTTCAACGGCACCAGCAGCGGCACCTTCAACGGCACCAGCAGCGGCACCTTCAACAGCACTAGCAGCAGCACCTTCCCGACTTCGCCATCATGGCGTCCGCAGACTCATCGGTCGACCTGGCGACCATTGACTCTCTCGAGTTGTTGGGCGACAACTCGGCCGCCAACTGGCACTCTTATGCCCACTCCGTCGAGGTGTTGCTCTCCTCGGTTGTCGTCAGCGGATATACCCTCCGTTCCGTCGTGTTCCAGGAGGAAGGCGGACTCCAGCCCATCGCCCCTTCCGCCCCCACCGGACCTCCTCCTGACGAGCCCGGACCTGAGCCCGAGCCTCCTGGTGATCCTCCCACCTTCGCGCCGGATGTCAACAATCCTCAGAGCATGGAAACTGCCATCCGTACCTACCGCACCGCACTCAACGACCACCTTCGCCGTCAACTGCGCTATGAGGACGACAAGCGCGCCTACGACGAGGCTGCTGCCCGCCACCGCGATTACCAAGCTCGACTCGCCACGTACACTACACGTCTCGCCAGCTACACCACCGACATCGCTGCGTGGCGCATTGCTGACCGTCGAGCTCTCGCCATCCTCCTCGCCACTATCCCCTCCTCCCTCAAACGAGAGCTTTCACCTACCTCCTCCTCCCACCTGTGGCAACTGCTTGTCGACCTCTTTGACCGGCAGGACATCGCCACCCTCTATGCCCTCATCAAGGAATTTGGATCCATCACCATGGATTCCACTGCCGGCGCAGCCGCCTTTACTCGCCGCGTCCTTGACCTTGCTCGCCGCCTCGCAGCACTTGGCGTTACCTACCCTGACACTGTCATCTGCTGCCACCTCCTCGAAGGCCTCACTCCCGCCTTCGATGCCCACAAGCTCGCATACATGCAACTCCTCTCCAAGCATGACACTCCCGCTCAAGTTGCCCAGTGGATTATCACCACTGAGGCTGAAATCCTTCGCCACTCCTCCTCCACTGCCGCGGTAGCACAGCAGCGCAGCGGCAAGGGCGGACGTGGGGGAGGGCGTGGAGGTGGGCGTGGTGGTGGTCGAGGCGGCTCTGGCGGTCGTGGTGGTGCGGGTCGTGGGGCAGCAGCGGCCTTCCCACCCTGTCAGTATCTTCCCCTCTATGGCCCCACCCGAGGCCAACGCTGCAACCAAACCACTCATGCAACTGACACGTGCTTCAAGGCACTCAGCGATGAGTGGTTCGCTCGTGGGAACTCTGGCACCCCTCCTCGCTGGTCCGCCCTTAATCCCCGCCCCACTCCCCTCGATGTTCGCACCTCTCCCCTCTACGCCCCCTCCTCCTCCTCCCAGGCCCACCAGGCCTTTGCTCTCCCCTCTCAGCAGCAGCAGCAGCAGCAGCAGCAGCAGCAGCAGCAGCAGCAGCAGCAGCAGCAGCAGCAGCAGAGTGTCCAGCAGCAGGGACCGCAGCAGTATGGGCAGCAGCTCCAGCAGCAGCTTCAGCAGCTCCAGCAGCAGCTCGACCTCCAGCCCCAACTTCCTCTCCTCCCTCCTCCTCCTGTCCCCCAGCAGCAGCCGTTTCCCAGCTGGACCGCCGGAAATGCCGCCTCTGCGGCCCACCTCTCCGGTCCATCCCCTGCGCCGTCCACAGGTGGCAGTGTGACCCCCTTTCCCTCCTCTGGCTTTGTTGGTCTCCTTAGTCAGCCTCCTTCTGTTGCATCTCCTATGTATGCCCCTGCTATTAATGAAACCTCAATTCAGTATTCCGCCTCACCCTCCTCCACCCTTGAGTTCGTCTTGGACAGTGGAGCCACTGATAATGTCTTTCGAGATGCCGGCAAACTCAATCCTCTTCCCACATCCACGTCCCTCCTTGGCGCTGATAGCAGCTTTTCCATCCCCTGTCACAACACCTCCACCCTTCCCTGTCCTCTCTTTCCCTCAGGTACTGTCACAGGTCTTCACATTCCCTCCCTTCGCACCAACCTCCTCTCCCAAAGGTCCCTCCAACAATCCATGATCACCACTCTCACCCCAGGTGGTGCTAACCATTGTGATCTCTACCACACCTCCACAGGTCGTTTCCTCGCCCGTATTCCTTACTGTCCCCGCACCCGTCTATACACCCTTCGAGTTCCTCGCCCCCTCACCTTCCAAGTTGCCTCCCCCCCCCTCTTCCCCCCCCCCCCCCCTCCCCTCCCTCCCTCCCAACCCCCCCCCCCCCCGTCCCCCCCTGACTCTGACTGCTCATGTCGCTCCCTCTCCCACCCTGCCATCCTCCTCCATCACAGGCTAGGTCACCCCAACTTCGCCACTCTGCGCTCCTCTGTATCCTCCGGTCTCCTCCACGGTCTCCCCTCTTCCCTCCCTCCCCTCCCAAAGTCCCCTGCCCCCCCTTACGTCGTCTGTGTTCAGAGCAAGCTCAAGCAGCAGCCGCACCGGAGCTCCCCCTCCGCTGCTGCTCAGCCACTTGATCTTGTTCACATGGACCTCTGGGGCCCTAACCCTTCCCCCACTCGCCAAGGCCATCGCTACCTCCTCGTGCTCGTCGATGACCACAGTCGGTACTCGTCCGTCTCTCTCCTTCGGACGAAGGCGGATGCCCCGACCGCGATCATTGCTTGGCTCGAGCAAGCCAACACCCACTTTGGCCGCCCTGTTCGTCGCCTCCACTCTGATGGTGGTGGTGAGTTCCTTAATACCCAAATTTCCTCCTACTGCCAGTCCCGCGGCATTCTCCAGACTCACACCCTCCCTCACTCCCCACAGCAGAACGGTGTCGCTGAGAGCCGTGTTCGGGAGATCACCAAAACGGCTCGGTGTCTTCTTGTCCACGCCTCATGCCCCCCTTCTCTGTGGGGCTACGCCCTCCTTCATGCCGCCCTCCTTACTAACCTCTACCCTCACCCCCTCCTCCCCTCCACCACCCCCACTGAGCTATGGACAAAGGACAAACCCGATGTCTCCCCTCTTCGAGTCTGGGGCTCAAAGGCCTATGTCCTCATTCACCCGTCTGACCGATCCCGCTCCCTTGGAAAGCTTGCCCCTCGTACCCTTCCTTGCGTCTTCCTTGGTCATAACCCCTCCTCCCCCGACTACCTTTTCCTCCACCCCCCTTCCGGTCGACTAATTCGCAGCAGAGATGTCGTCTTTGACGAGTCCACCCCGTACTATTCCTCTCCCCCGTCCACTGACCCACTCCCACCTCTGACCCGTCCCCTTGTCTGGTCTGACACCACCCCTCCCCCTCTCCTCCCTCCTCCCCCCATCCTCCCACCCCCTCCCCCTCCGCCCTCCCAGTCCCACGGTGCCCCTCCCTCGTCTGGTAACATCTTTGACCCGGACCCTCTATCTTCCCCTGTCTCCCCCGCCCACTCCTCCCCCGGTGCCCCTCCCCCTCCCTCCCAACCACCTCCCTCCCCCACTCCCCGCACCATACTCACCCGGTATCCTCACACCAGGTCATGTGACAGTATCCTTGGTGCACCGCCCCCTGTTACCCTCTCTACCTCTTCCCTTCCCCCTCTTTCTCCCCTCCTTCACCACTTCTTCCAGGCTGTCTTACACCACGCCTCTCCTGCACCAGCCTCCTCGACCACCTCCCCATCCTCGGTAGCAGCACCTCCAGCAGCAGCCATTGCAGCGGCACCAGCAGCGGCAAGTGCAGCGGCAACAACGGCCTCCACAGCAGCACCAGCAGCGGCACCAGCAGCGGCACCAGCAGCGGCACGAGCAGCGGCCCCAGCGGTTATCCGCGCCTTCCACACCTCCCTCTCTGAGGACTCCCATGAGGAGTTCCTTGACCTCCACCTTTCCGACCCCTCCCTCCTCCCCATCACCTTTGACCTGTCTGGAACACCAGTCTTCGCCTTTTCCTCTGCTCCCTCCATCTTCGTCCCAACCACGTACGAGGAGGCCATGGCTTGCCCCGACGCCCCGCTCTGGCTTGCCGCCATCATCAAGGAGCTCGAGGCATTTATCGCCAACTCCTCCTTCGTTGATGTCCCTCGCCCTCCCTCCTCTACGAACGTGGTAAAGGGGAAGTGGGTGTTTCGCGTCAAACAGCTACCAGGAGAACCGCCCGTCTACAAGGCCCGGTATTGCGCCAAGGGCTTCACGCAGCGGTATGGTTTTGACTTCTTCGACACCTTCTCCCCCACCGCCAAACCTGCTACCGTTCGCGCTGTACTCGACCTCGCCGCTCGCCTCAACATGGAGATCCACTCGATGGATGTCTCCAACGCCTTCCTGCAAGGCGTACTACGTGAACTCATTTACATGGAGCGCCCAGACGGCTTCCACCTCCCCTTCCCCGCCGACTCCGTCTGGCAGCTGCGCCGACCCGTGTACGGGCTCCGTCAGGCACCCAGGGAGTGGCATGCCAAGCTTGCTGCCACCCTTGCTGAGCTTGGCTTTCGCACCTCCCGCTCTGACGCCAGCCTCTTCCTCCGCACCTCTCCCTCCCCCTTCTACATCCTCGTCTATGTTGACGACATGATCCTCCTCACCGCCGACCTTGCCGAGCTCGAGACTGTCAAGGCGGAGCTGGGCAGCCGTCTCAAGTGCAAAGACCTGGGAGAGCTGCAGAACTACCTCGGCATGACCATCACTCGCGACCGCTCCGCCCGCACCATCTCACTCTCTCAGGGTCACTACCTCCAGCAGGTCTTGGACCGGTTTGACATGGCGCGCGGCAACCCCCAGCCCACTCCCCTCTCGGTTGGGCACCACCTCTCCCCACCCTCCTCTCCCTCTCCCTCCTCCCATCCTTATCCGGAACTCATCGGCTCTCTCATGTACGCCATGGTTTCCACTCGCCCCGATCTTGCCTACCCCATCAGCGTCCTCGCTCGGTTCGTTGGCGCTGGCAAGCACACGGAAGAGCACTGGCAGGCCGCCAAGCGTGTCCTTCGCTACATTCGTGGCACCAAGGACTATGTCCTCACTCTTGGCGGCCCTTCCCCACCACACCTCAACGGCTACAGCGACTCTTCCTGGGCTGATTCTCGACCGGATCGGCGGTCCTCTCAGGGCTATGGCTTCTCCCTCGGCAGCGGTCTCATCAGCTGGCGGTCCACACGCTCCTCTGCCGTCGCCCTCTCCTCCTGCGAAGCAGAGCTCTATGCTGCGACCATGGCCGCGCAAGAAGCACGCTGGCTCACCTTCCTCCTTGATGAGCTCGGAGCCCCCCAACGCTGTCCCACCATCTGGTGTGACAACGCCAGCACCATCCACCTCACCAAGGACGCTGTGTATCATGGGCGCTCAAAACATATTGAGCTTCGCTACTTCTTCATTCGCGATCTCGTTGAGGCCGGCCACATTCGTCTTGGCAAAATCGACTCGGCAGCCAACCTCGCCGACATCTTCACCAAAGCTCTTCCCCTAGCGTCCCACTCCTTCCTGTTGCGTCTCCTTGGGCTCACCCCGCCACCAGTTTTGGCGGCCTCCTGATTACATTTTTTCTAGCCTTATGCATGTTGGGGGGTTGTGTTGTAAATGTATCTTATATATACAACATACATAGGCTAGAATAGGTGTAGCTCTTTAAGCCATTGGGGGGTTGGGTGTACACTCCAACCACACTTTGTGGTTGGGTCAAGATTTGGTTTGGTCTTGGTCCTTGGTTGGCACTTGCCAACATTTGGTCCTAAGGCCAACCAATCACAAGCTAGCAACATTGTGGGGTTCCCTACTCCACAAGGCAACTCACCCATTGGCCAACTTAGTGGCCAATAGGGTTGCACCTTCTTCCAACCTCTCTTCCTTGCATGCTTGTACTATAGAGCCTCCTTGGCTCATTACTCAACCATTCTCTTGAATTCTATCAGTGTGTTCATCCACCCCCTCACCCCTGTCAGGATGGTCAGGTCAATGCCCTCTACTCCACACCATGCCATGCCATGCCGCCTGTACAGTAGTGCAACGTGTGTTCATCCACCCCCTCACTCCCGCCAGGATGGTCGGGTCAACGCCCTCTACTCTACGCCTTCTATCTATCTGGACGCCAAGCAGCAAGCTGAGGAGATCTGGCCTGTCAAGACTGGCGACTTCTTCCCGTGAGTGCCACTGCAATGCTGATGCTGTTGCAGCCTCATTTAAACGTCAAGCAGCGTGCTTATTCGTCCTGGCCGGTCAAGACTGGTGACTTCTTCCTGTAAGAACCACTGCAATGCTCATGCTATTGTAGCCTGGATCCTCAGGGACCCCCAAGGACCCCCTGCCTCAAAACCCATCCATCCTCTTTTCCACCTGCCCCCCCCCTGCAGCTATGCTGATGCACCGCACGCCTACTGGACCGGCTTCTACTCGTCCCGCCCAGCCTTCAAGCGCTACGTGCGCCACTGCAGCGCGCTGCTGCTGGCAGCAAGCATTCTAGAAGCAGCAGTGGGGCGGGAATCCTTACAAGCATGGGGAGGCGACACTGACGGCATGAACCTCGTGGGCTCTGGCGCGGGCAGAATGATGGTCGCGAGTTTCCATCCCTCGGAGGTGCCTAGTGTGGCGACTGGAGAGGGTGGTGGTGGTGATGGTGGCGCGGGTGGGGATAGTACTGCTGTGACTGGTGCTGTGACTGGTGGTGTTTCTGGTGATGGGAGTCGAGAGGGTCGGGCAGCATCGACAGCATCGTTGGGGGAGGCAGTGGCGGTGGCACAGCACCACGATGCCATCACAGGCACGGCCCAGCAGCACGTGAATGACGACTACACGCTCCGCCTGCACCGCGCAGCACACGAGGTGAGGAATTGAGAGGGTCGCTTGGTGAAAAACGCAGAGTTTGGATCACAAATTTCACATACGCGTCAGAAGACCCTGCCTCCCTTCTCCGCGGTTCTCCACACCTGTTCTGTTCCCCCTACCGTTGTCTCCCGTTCCTCCACTTTTTCCCCTCCTATTTTTCGGTTCTTTTCTTCCACTCGGTTATTCTCCCCCCACCCAGGCATCCACTGTTCTCACCAGCGCCCTCGCATACCTCATTCTGCATCCTCCACCTCCTCTCCCTCCCCCCTCGCCTTCCACGGTCACCAACTCATCTGCACCTGGCCCCAACCGCGCTGCATCTGCTGCCACTCCCGCCAATAGACCTGCTGCTGCTGCTGCTTCTGCTGCCGCTGCCACTGCCGCCGCCACCGCCGCTGCTGCTACTCCTGCCAGGGCTGGAGTGGTTACTGTTGGCGGTGCTGCTGAGGATCATACAGCAGCAGCAGCAGCCGCAGCAGCAGCGGCAGCAGCTGCATCTTCTGCTGCGGCTGCTGCTGCAGAGGCGGCTGCAGATGCCAATCCTGCTGCTCCAGATGCGGCGCTGCCAGCACCCGCCAGTGCAACACCACACCGTGCTCCTCTTGAGATCCCATCTACTGTGCCGAAGAGCGTACCACTTGAAAGCCAGGAGTCATCTGCAAGCCACGGCTCGTTGCAAGGAGCCCAGGGCGCAGGGCCGCATAGGGAGGAGCGTGGAGGAGAGCCCTTGCACGAGGGACAGCGCTGGAGAGGCCGTGGCTTGTTTGTTCAGGCTGTGGGGAGTGTAGCGGGCGCAGAGAGGGTGGAAGGAGTGAGAGAGGGGAGTGGTGGGAGGAGGCGGCTGCAGGAGAAGCCGAAGCTGCTGCTCGAGACGGTGAGTTGGATTGGGAGAGGAGTGTGGTTTGATGGAGGGGTGGCGGTGGGAAAGGGACTGGTTTTGTGGAGGGCCACTTCCCTCAGGCTTCAGCTGTATGCTTTCGGCAGCTCGTATACCCCTCATGGGACTCTTTGATGTTATGATTCAGCTGTAGTTCTGCACTGTCTGTCCGCGTCTCAGCGTATCATCCCTTTTTTTCTCAACCTCCTCCTTCTCTCCCCCTCCTTCTCCCCCCCTCTTCTCCTTTCTCCCTGCAGTGCCCTCTGCTGAACATCTCCTTCTGCCCTCCATCGCAGTCTGGTCTTGAACCCGGCAAGACCCTGGTGAGTGGACCACTTTCTGGAGTTAAGTTGACCCCCTGGTGAGTCCAACTCCTCGTCTGCTGCGTTGTGCCTGTGGTGAGTTGTGCTTTCAAACGATTGTGACTGTAGAGAAGCACAGATACACTTGAGCTGTGCGTCAGCAGCTGATGTTCCAGTCACTTGACAGCACACTGCCATCCCGTGTGGCCGTGCCATGCCATGCCATCCCATCCCATCCCATCCCATCCCATCCCATCCCATCCCATCCCATCCCATCCCATCCCATCCCATCCCATCCCATCCCATCCCATCCCATCCCATCCCATCCCATCCCATCTCATCCACTGCATCTCTCGCGTCTATCAGGTGGTGGTCGCCTTCAACCCCCTTGCCTGGGCTCGCACCGAAATCGTCCGCATTCCAGTAAGCTCCACTACTCCTGCATTCTTTCGAGTTTCATCACGTGGTATTCAAGCCGTGGGCTCTTGCCTGTGCTCACACCACTCTCTAGAAACCAAATGCATCAAAGTGAGCTCCATTATCCTTTACAGTGCCAATTGTCTGTTCATCTTCAACTGTCATACATTTTCATTCTGTCGCTGCGTTCCCACATCCCCGAATCCCTGCATCCCCGCATCCCCGCATCTTACTTTTCCCCCTATCTCTCCGCCCTCCTCCCTCGTTCCCCCTCCCTCCTCATCACGCCTCCCATCAGGTCACCACTCCCTCAGTCATTGTCACAGACTCGACTCACCAGCCCATCCCATCACAGCTCATCCCAGAGCTCCTCCCTCGCCCAGTCATCTGCGCTTTCCACTCTCACCCACACGTGCCCCCTCCCCTCTCTCTTCTTGCTTCCCATCCCCACCGCTCCTCCCTCTTTTTCCCCATTCCCACCCCCACCCCCCCCCCTCTTCCTCCCCGCTCTTTCCCCCACCCCCCGACTTCCAACCCCCCCATCACCCCCTGGCACCAGGTCTCTGCTCCCTCAGTCATTGTCACAGACTCAGCCCACCAGCCCATCCCATCACAGCTCATCCCAGACCTCCTCCCTCGCCCAGTCATCCGTGCTTTCTACGCAGCAGCACATGCGGGCGCCACCGTGCCTCCACTGGAGCAGCAGCAGGGGGTGGTGTCAGTGGTGTTCCGCGCTGAGGTGCCCCCGTTGGGATATTCCACCTTCTTCCTCGTTGCAGCCCAGCCAGGTACGATATTTCCCAAAATTTCTGAAATGCGGGCTGTCTGCAGTTTCTGAACCTCTCACCTCTCGTTACAATGTTTCTATCGATCCCTCCCTTTCTTTAGTCGCGGGCTGCAGTGAGCAGCAGCGAATGACTTTTGAGTCGACTAATGAATGCGCCTGTATGAATCCCTTGCTGAATGCTACTCTCATTACCTTTCTTTCTTTAGGAGCTGCGGGGGCAGCAGTGAGCAGCAGTGACTGGATCTTGGGGCCAAATAAGCAGAGGGGACGGAACACAAGGAGCAAGAAGGGGAGGAAGAAAAAGAAGAAGGCTAAGAAGAATGACTATGAGGAGGGAGGGGAAGGAGGGGAAGAAGGGGAGGAAGGGGAGGCAGGGGAGGAAGGGGAGGCAGAAGCTGAAGGGTATGAGGAGGGGCAGGAGGAAGGGGTTGAGGCAAAGGGGGAGGAGGGTTATGCTGAAGGGGGGGAGGAGGGGAGGCGGGGGATGGGGAGGGGGAGGAGGAGGAGGAGGTGGGCGATGGTGTGGATCAGGGGGATGAGATAGTTCTAGGGGGGGTGGTGGCTGGTCGTCCGGCAGCACGTGTCTATTTCTCCAAGGCTGCTCGTGGAATGACGCGAGCTGAGCTAATCAAGCCAAATGGGAAGGCCTTTGCTACGGTATGTGTGCTGTTCACCCCTCCATGTGTCCCATGTCATCGCATGTGCCACATCTTCGCGTGTGCCATGCCACACCCTTCTATATGTCACGTCTTCTATATGCCACACCCTTCTATGTGTCATGCATCATGCCATTGCATCTATATGCCATTCCCCTTTGTCGCAGTTACCAGAACTGCTCGCTGTAATCGCATCTTTTCGCACACCCACTCATTTGCAGCTCACTAATCCTCTTGAATCATGATTGCTGTATGTATGCAGAACATCACTTTAGTCTCCCCATATGCTCCTAACTCCGCCTGTACCCTCTCTCCCTTGTTCCTTGTACCCTGGCCAACGCTCCCCATCTGCGGTGCTATCAGCTAGCAGTAGCCAACCTCAGCAGCGACATGCTCTACTACTCATCTGCAGAGGTCAGTCGTCATCACTTGTCAGTGGCCAATTCTCCACCCACCTCCTCCATTTCAGTTGGTTTTTGAAAATCCTCAAAAACCAACACGCGACATGCTCTACTACTACTCATGTGCAGAGGTCATTCGTCACGTGTCAGTGGCCAGTTCTCCACCCACCTCCTCCATTTCAGTTGCCTCCCACGTCATATAAGATCATGTCTCGTTCTTGCTGTTTCTGCCTACTGCTGCATGCCCTGTCCCCGCTCTTGCCCTTCCCCCACTATGCGCTTTCTGATTATCCCTTCACTGGCACTTCCCACTCTCTTCTCACCTTTTATTTCGAGCAAACCCTCCCTTCCAAAACACCTCCCCCCCCCCCCCCTTCCCGTCCTCCCCCCCCATCTCACTCCTCCAGTCGGGAGCATACATCTTCAAGCCCACAGCAGACGGTGCGCTGCCGTTCCGCAGGAAGCAGAGGGTGCCGATCCGCGTGCTGCGAGGGCCCATTGTGGAGGAGTTTCACCGGCAGGTGGCTCGCGACGTGTCTGAGGTGAGATGATTGATATTCAGTTGACAGAGAATGTTGCAGCAGCAGTGGTTGCTGCGAGGGCCCATCGTGGAGGAGTTTCACCGCCAGGTGGCCCGTGACGTGGCCGAGGTGAGGCGATGGAGTGAATGGGGACGGTTGTTGAGACACTTATGGAGATGCAGGGAATCATCGAGTAGAGAGATTTGGTGAATAGAGGCGATTGTGGTGTCTCACAGTGGTTGCTGCGAGGGCCCATTGTGGAAGAGTTTCACCGGCAGGTGGCTCGAGACGTGTCTGGGGTGAGGCGATGGAGTGAATGGGGACGAATAGAGATGCAGGGAAGCATCAAATAGAGAGATTTGGCGAATAGAGGCAATTGTGGTGTCTCTCTCACAGTGGTTGCTGTGATGGGCGCTTGTTGCTAGAGCAGCAGGGAACCGAGGTGCAGTGAACAGAGGCGGTTAAGAGGGTGCCGATCCGCATGCTGCGAGGACCCATAGTGGAGGAGATTAACTGGCAGGTAGCTCATGACGTGTCGGAGGTGAGGCGATGCAGAGGAGGTGCTCTGTTTCTAACATGCTCTGCCTCTAAGATGCTCTGCCTCTAAGATGCTCTGCCTCTAAGGTGCTCTGCCTCTAAGGTGCTCTGCCTCTAAGATGCTCTGCCACTAAGATTCTCTGCCTCTAAGGTGCTCTGCCTCTAAGATTCTCTGCCTCTAAGGTGCTCTGCCTCTAAGATTCTCTGCCTCTAAGGTGCTCTGCCTTTAAGGTGCTCTGAAAGAACTGTGCACCGCTTGGCTCAGGTGCTCTGGGATTGTTTTCTAGTATTCTTCACCAGTTCAGTGTCTTGTCGTCTCTGCAGATACACGGGGGGTGTATGCTGGGAAGGATTGCAAAGGGCTTGAGTTCCTTGTGAGTGCATCTGAGTGCCCCTTACTCGTCTCAGTGCCCGTTAACTGTCTGAGTGCCCCTGCGAATGCATCGAACCTACTCTAGAAAGAACTAAATGGAACTTAGGTGCTCGTGTCATATCTTTGTGTCGTATCTCTCCCCTGCAGGTGTATCGAGTTTACCCCGGGGAGAATTATGCTGAGCTTGGCTACTCCATAGGGCCTCTTGTTGAGGACGGGTCTCTGGGGAAAGAGGTCGTTGCCTCCTTCTCCTCTTCCATTCAGAGCGGGGAAGTTTTTCATACGGACTCCAACGGCCGCGACTACCTCAAGCGAGTGAGCTTGTATGGGGGATAGCACAGACTGGTGGGCCGCGAACGGGTCAAATAGTTCAAATCATGCCTTCTCTCTGTAGCCTGTACAGCCTCTTGAACACTTCACTTCTGAATATTGTATCATCCTCCTGGTTTCGACTCTCCCCTGGCCTGCTCATTCTCTGCCGTTCGCTCATCCCTCCCCATTTCTACACCTCCTCTGCCTTCTCCCCCACCTCACTTCTCCCCCACCTCACTTCTCCCCCACCTCACTTCTCCCCCACCTCACTTCTCCCTCACCTCCCATGCGCCCTTGCAGGTTCGCGACTCTCGCCCAGACTGGACCCTCACAGTCAAAGAGCCCACAGCAGGGAACTTCTACCCTGTGAGTAACTCACCTACGCATGTGCTTGGAAGGCAGGTCCAGATTCTGATTAGTCAAAGAGCCCATAGCAGGGAATTTCTATCCCGTGAGTGATGCAGCTTTTTCCCCTGAGGCTCATCAGAAGTCCTTATTGCTTTCTCGCTCTCCCCCCTCTCCCAGCCCTCACTCCCACCCCTCGCCAACCCCTCACTCCTGCCCCTCTCCCACCCTCATTCCCACCCCTCTCCCACCCATCACCCCCACCCCTCCCCCAGGTGACAGTGGGGGCGTTCATCGGGGATGGGGAGTCACAGCTGTCGCTGCTGGTGGACCGAGCAGCCGGTGCTGCCAGCCTCGCAGCCGGACAGCTCGAAGTCATGCTGCACCGGTGAGCCTCTAGTCATGCTGTGCTGCACCGGTGAGGCTTGTATTGTCAGGCTGTGACGCCCCCAACTCACGCTGCACCGGTGAGCCTCCCTCTCAGCGCACGCTGCACCGGTGGGAGACCGTGTCAGAGGAATTCTTTCAGCCGTGGTACTGATTTGCAACTGTTTGATAATATTCTTTTACATCCTTTAATCCCCCCATCCAACTTCTCAGTCGTTTGGACACTGTGGACAACAAGGGAGTCGGAGAGCCGCTAAATGAGGATGTTTGTGTGGAGGATAAGTGCTACCACCTTGTTGTAAGTGTTCGCGTGCTCCTTTAACCGAAATCCTTTGGCATATAGCCACAAATTTGAGTTGTGAGCCCTGATCCCCACACCTAGCCACATTCTTTTCCAGTAATTCTGTGCTTCAGCATTCCACACTACCCTATGTTTGCAGGTGGCTTGGACGCTCTTTGTCGCAGTTCTCTGGAACACATAGGTATCAGGCTCCTTTGAAGTCGTCTCAACACCCCTTCTCTGCAATGGTCCTCCCTTCCCGATTCTGTTCATCCAGGTGGTGGGATTTCTCCGCTTCGCAGTGCTGCCAGACACACACGCACCGCCAGGCACACCCCCACAGCAGGCATCAGGCGGGGCAGCAGCAGGGGCCTTCTGGCGGAGAGACCACAGCCAGCGGATGCTCTCTCCGCTCCAGCTCGCCTTTGCTGTCGAGGTGAGCGTGAGAGATGACTCTTGAGTTGAGGTGAGGATGGTTTTTGAGTTGACTCACAGGTCACAGCAGGCATCAGGCGGGGCAGCAGCGGGGGCCTTCTGGCGGAGAGACCACAGCCAGAGGATGCTGTCTCCGCTGCAGCTCGCCTTTGCTGTCGAGGTGAGAGGTGACTCTTGCAGATGAATCAAAAATTGGTGAGAGGAGACTTGTGAGTCGACTCGCAAGTCACAGCAAGCATCAGGCGGGGCAGCAGCAACAGGGGCCTTCTGGCGGAGAGACCACTCCCAGCGAGTGCTGTCCCCTCTGCAGCTTGCCTTCGCTGTCGAGGTGAGAGATTACTTCTGAGTCGACTAATTTCATGAGGACGGATGGATTTCGAGTCAACTCGGAACTTTCTGCCTGTTGCTGTCCCTACACTCCCTCATGTGCTTCTTCTCTATTCCGACTTCCTTTGTCTCATCAGTCTACTGAGGACCTGGCAGCAGCAGAAGCAGAGGCAGCGGAAGCAGCTCAAGCAGCAGCACGAGCAGCAGCTGCTGCTGCCGCCACTCCAGACCCTGCTGGAGCTGACGAGTCTGAGACCTCCACTGAGCCAGCTGCCACCAGCGCAGGACCGACGGGGTTCCTGTGGCGCCACTCCCTCTTCCAGAGCGCTCAGCAGGAGGTGGCAAGGGCAGGGACACGTGAATACCAGAGGGAGGGCGGCAGCACCAGAGGGAGGGCGGCAGCTCCCCCGAATAGCTGCCAGCTGCCTCGGAATGTGGCTATAACGACATTGGAGGTACAGTGGAAGGGTGAACTAGTGTGCGTATGCTGGTGAAGCTCCACTACAAAATTGCTGCCAGGCTTCATTCCTTTCTTCCATTGTGTTATCGGTTCTCTCACAACACATGTGTATGGTTGTGTTTTATTTGTGTGCATCTTTTCCCTGCTGTCATCTTTGCTCCCCCACCTCCATTCATCAGGAGCTATCACCCGGAGCAATTCTTCTGCGTCTGGCTCACCTTTATGAGGTATGCTGGAATAAACACAAAGAGCATACCGCCTGGTATTGTAATGACACACAACATTCTCTGCCATGCAGTTTGAGTTACTGCAATGTGAACTGGCAGATTCCATGACCTCTTTCGCTTCCCACCTCTCTTGCGTAATCACCCATTGTCCTCCGCCTCCCTCCCTGCTCTCATGACAAACGTCTGACCGCTGCAGGCTCAAGAGCATCCGCTATTTTCTCAGCTTGCAGGAGTGAATCTCCGGCAGCTATTTGCCGGACGAGAGGTAGGCTGGCTTGCTGTCTGTGATGAAGGGAGCTTCTTTTGTGGACTGCTATTCATTCCTTTCCAGCATAGCATTGAAGACAGCAATGTCATTGTTGTGCGATTTTCACGTTGCCCCCGTCTGTGCTCTTCATCTTCCACCCTTGGTACTATTGTGTGTGTCGTGCGTGTTATTTCTCCACCGCAGATTCTGAAGGTGACGGAGCTGAGTCTCATGGCAAACCAAGAACGCTCTGGCATGCGAACCCCTCTAACATGGCAGCTTGATGAAAGTGAAGGAGGTATGGATGTGGAGGCTGTAACAGGCCGTGCCATTGATAATTCCACTTTTATTGTGGAACTTGGGCCCATGGAAATTAGGACTCTATTTGTCCAACTCTCCACCTGAATATCCAAGTGTATTAATGCTAGTATTTTGGCTGTGCCACTTGCTCTATGAGGCAGCTTTAGCGCCTTTTATGGCTGCAACTTGCAGACGTGGAGGACCAGAAACGCGGTTCCGACTTGAAGTGAAGCCCCGCATTGCGAGGTAAATATCGTGGATGTCCATAAGCACGAGGATTTCGGGATCACTAACCCCAAATGCAAGGGAACTCAGAGTACGAGTCTCCACCTAAAAACGGAAAGTGGCATGTTCGCACTTGGCTTACGCCTAATTGCCAAGCTTTTTTAAAACGCTTTAGGCTCTTTGTGCTCCCTCCTTACGCAAGCTGAAACTGTCCACCTTTCCAGAACCAGTTTGACTTCACCGAGCCACCGACAATTATTCCTGTGACTGACCAAGAAGCACCCAATTCCACGAAACCGAAGCAGGAACCATACGCTGAATTTGTGCCTAGGGATCGCCCGTCTCATGAATTCCAGCCATTCGATCTTTTTCGAGACAAGAAACCATCTCGGGATCGTCGCCGCTGGGACCCGCTCCATCCCACAATTGTGGAGCTCCCTGTGCACTTTTGGGCTGTGCGATCCCAAACGTTCCATCTGGTCCATCACAGCCGCTTCAGATGTCCAGAGATTGTTTGAAAACGTGTAGCACCGTACTGAACCGAAGTTGTACGAACTTTTTACCGTAACTCCCGCCTTACAGTTCCTATAGTTGAAGGCTGATCTCGAGGCACAGACTTCAGTCAGCTAACGGCATCGTAGTTGCAATCCGAAGGTATCGACGTTTGGGAGCGGTTAGTCTGTCCTCTCCCAAAAATCACTTGATTTGTTCCGACTGCTGCAACTCCTAATATTATCGCCTCTCCAGACGGCCTCTTAAATTCATCTCTTAGCCTGTCGAAGTCTGGTCCGCTGTGAGACAGACCAGGTTCCTGACGTCTCGTTGATATGATATCTCCATTAAGGGAGATCGCGATGCTCGTGACACGACCACGTGTGTGAAGGACTCACAAGGGATTGTACAGGGGTGAGAATGGCGAGCGTAGAGTTGACACCATCGGCGGGAAATGCGGAGGAGAAGGGGAGGAGCTCGTCGTACCCGCGCGGCGAGTCAGAGCCGGGATCAGACCGAAGGTGATCATTGAACGACAGGTCGCTTGACGAAGATTTTGCGAGCTAGTCATCTAATTCGAATTATCGGTTCACATAACCTAGTTCACGTTCCGTTGCGATACCCTGATCACCCTTGATCGGCAACTAGGGTTACCGAGGGGAATGATTCGACGAACTTTTTTTCTTCACCCACCTTTCTGTTTCTTCGAACCGTCGGTCTCCTAGCCTGTCCACGTCAGCGATCGAGCAGATATTACGGGAGATGAAGCTGAGAGAATCGGACCAGATATTGCACTTTAGTACCCCTCCATCCGCACACCTATATGTGTCCTCAGCAACCGACGGCTGTCCACGTCAGCGATCGTGCAGATACCACGGGAAGCTAACCTGAGAGAAGCTAACCAGATACCACACTTGTACACCCCCATCATCGCACCTATCTGTTTCCGCAGGACCCGGCGGAGACCCAGCGGCGGGCTGTCCACGTCAGCGATCGAGCAGATGTCGCGCGAGGTGAAGCTGATGGGGTGGCTGTACAAGCAGTCCAAGTCGCGCCCGTTCGGGCATCATTGGGCGCGCCGTTACTTCGTGCTGCGCGCGCAGCGCATTAGCTACTTCCGCAGCCTGCCCTGGCAGCACGAGGTGCGCGCGTAGGGGGGGGGGGAAGGGGGGTAGGAGGGGGAGGAGGATGGGGTTACGATTATTGAGGTGTTACTGTCAGCTACTTCCGCAGCCTGCCGTGGCAGCACGAGGGTGCGCACGTGGTCGTGGAGGGGGGTGGTGGGGGGGAGGGTGTTGGGAGGGAGGGGGAATGGGATGGGGTAATGACTTCTGAGGCGTCTCAAACCTAGAGATTTCGTGCTGCGCGCGCAGCGCATCAGCTATTTCCGCAGCCTGCCGTGGCAGCACGAGGTGCTTTCGTGGTGGGAGGGGAAAGATAGGTTTACTGCGAGAGTTTGAGTTCGAGAGGATAAATGCTGCTACGATACGAGCTGTCCACTCTGCCCCACCCCTTGGCCCTCCTTGGGAGGACTCCAAGCGACTCTCCCCTCAACACATCCATTTTCCCCCAACCACCCCCTCTCCCCCCTTCCCGCCCTTTCCCGCCCACATCTCTCTCCCTTGCTGCATACATTGCACAGATTCCTGTGAAGGAATTTGATCTCACGCCCAAGTGCCGTGTGGAGGACACAGGCCGGATTTCCACCAACACCAAGGTCACCCCCGCACTGCCAGATTATATGCTACTTGTTTTTCCATTCCCGCCCGACTTTTGAGTCGACTCAAAAGTCAACAGGCCGGATTCCACCAACATCAAGGTCGCACACCCGTACTGCCTGTTTCCGTGTTACACGTTTGTGTGATGCTCGCTTGTGCGCTGCCTGTATTTGCTTGCGCTGCTCATAACATTCTGGAGCTTTATGGCTCAATAGCTCTGACCCTTTCAGGGCTGCTCCTGACATTCCCCTGTTTTCTGCACACTCTACTGTTTCTTTTTGTCATTTGCCAGGAGCTCTACACCTTCTGTATACACCCAGAGCTTCCCAAGCCGTGTCTGGTGGGTGTTCTTGCAAAGGAGACACTCCTTATCGTGTATGCACTGTACAGTGCCAATCATGCGCGGCTTCAAATGGCTTTAAGCTTATTCAAGCCCTCCCGCCTTACAGCATAATGAATGGCTGTTTCTCGTTGCCCTGCTTATGGTGTTGTGACAGTATCGATCTTCTAATGGCGACCACGTACTCTAATATCCGTTTTTTTCCCACTTGACACTATCCATGCATCTGCTGTTGCTTGATTGCTCTTCTGTGCGCTCTGCTGGCTCGCTTTGCCTCCCGTTCTCCTCTTTCGCCTCCCATACTCCTCTGCACCCCTCCCATGCTCCTATGTATACGCCCATCCCGTCCCTCATCTTGTTGCAGGTGGGAACCAAGGACCCTGAGCTAGTGGCTGTGTGGATGCAGGCCATTCGGGAGACAATAGAACATGTGAGCACAGCAGACAGTAGAAGTTTCTGTGGTGCATTTTATGCTTTTATGAGGCGCCTGAAAGCTAGTGGCAGTGTCGATGCAAGCCATTCGGGGGACAATCGAACATGTGAGCGCAGCAGCAATAGTGTTATTGGCGGCCCATGTCATGCACTCACATCGCCACAACGCCCCGTTGCGCGTGTTCAACCGGCAGAATTAGCTCGACAGTGTCCTTCCTCCAAGACTCATATTCACCCTCTCCGTCTCTGCTCCTCCTCCTGCCTCTCTCTTCAATATGTTTTGCACCCATCGACTCGTGCTCGTGCTCGTTGCAGAATGTGGCCCCCACTATTTGAATGCCACTGACCCGCCCCACCAGCACCTTAAACCTCTCCCGTTCCCTCCTCTTCCCCCGATCCGCCTCTCCCCCCTCTTCCCTGTCGCCCACCTACACCCCCGTGGCAGAATGTGGCGCCTACAATAAGAATGCCACTGACCCGACCCACCAGCACCAACAGCCTGTCAGACGAGGAGGAGGGAGAAACACCCCCGCACCCCAACATGTCCTCGTGCGTTCCCTCTCTCACCTGCATCGCACCTTGTCTCATACATGCACTCTCTTTTAGATCCGCACTCCAGACTTATTCAAGGCGTGATACTTGACTCTGTACGCGACCCTTCACGCTTCATGGCACATCACTTGATTTGTGGCTTGGCTCACCACTTGTGCGAACCAGTCACCCACTTTCAGTACCCTGAAGCAGTTGCCAACCAATTTAACGTTTTTTCCCTTTCATTTCGTGCCCCCCCCAGCTGCCGCGACTCCATTGACAGCAGCAGTGAGCAGTTTGACGGGGACGAGATGGCAGCAGATGACCTGCCCACACCACAGCGAGTGCTGCTCGACAGACGAGGCTCCATTGGCTTCGGTAGGTGTGCCTTGTGGCTTTTCTACCCATAAATTCCTCTCCCCCCCCCACCCCCACCTTTCCCCCTGTTGCTGGCAAGCAGTGCAATGCGCACGTTGAGGCATGCTCGAGGCCTACCTTTCTCAACCCGCAATGGTTCCTCACTCCCCTTTTTCTCACCCCCAGGCCCTCCCATGGAGCTGGGTGGCATGCTCGAGGCCATGGTGGCGATGCGCAGTGCATCAACAGCTTCAGGGATCGCATCCGACGGCTCCTGGCGCCTCATCAAGCTATCCAACGGTGAGTAATGGCCATGTGCTGTGCATCCAGTGGCATGGGACAGGCGGTCGTGTGTGGTGCGGCCGCAGCCAGCCATATAGGTGAAGGAAGCATTGCACACTGCGCATGCCTCATGTGATCGTACCATCTCAACATCCATTCCCTATGGCCGACCGCCCCTTCTTCCACAGGGCTGCGTTTCTTTGAGGAGTTAAACGAGGAGCGGGGGCAGGCGGGCATGTGTGGCAGCCCTTGCTGAATCCGCTCTCCACGCCCATGTCTCATTGCTGCTCAACCCCACACGCAGGGCTGCGTTTCTTTGAGGAGTTAAACGAGGAGCGGGGGCAGGCGGGCATGTGTGGCAGCCCTTGCTGAATCCGCTCTCCACGCCCATGTCTCATTGCTGCTCAACCCCACACGCAGGGCTGCGTTTCTTTGAGGAGTTAAACGAGGAGCGGGGGCAGGCGGGCATGTGTGGCAGCCCTTGCTGAATCCGCTCTCCACGCCCATGTCTCATTGCTGCTCAACCCCACACGCAGGGCTGCGTTTCTTTGAGGAGTTGAACGAGGAGCGCGGGCAGGCGGGCATGTGTGGCAGCCTGCCGTGTCTCAGTGCCGTGGGAACGGTGGATGCTCCTAGTGATGCTGTCTTTCGTCTCGTACTCGACCTCTCCTCTTCTCGCAACGAGTAAGCATCCCATTTCCTCCTACTTTCGTCTTTCTTCACCGGAGGTCTGCACAGCATCTCTGCTTCACATACTGCTGAGATGACACGTTGCCCGATCTGATCCGTCCCTTCCCCCCTCTCCCTGCTCCTCTCAAAACCTCCCCATTGCAGGTGGGACGTGGCGTACGGGGGAGCACGCATGGTAGAGGCCCAAGACGGTCACACAGACTGCATCCACTACCGCTTCCGACCGCTCCCAGTCGGCTTCGGCCCCTTCACCCTCACAGCGCGAGACGTGTGCCTGCGGCGCTACTGGCAGCGCACAGCCGACGGCTGCTACGTGGTGCTCTACCAGTCAATGGAGCACCCCCTATGCCCCCCTGTCATGGGCTGTGTTCGTGCCAATCTCACCTACGGCGGGTTTATCATTGCCCCAGCGGGCCCGTCGGCGATCGGACGGTCGGTAGTGATGCATGTGTTGCAGATGGATGCAAAGGGGTTGCTGCCGATGTGCAGCGGTGTTGCGACCGAAGTGCATTTTTACCTGCTGTCGAGAGTGGCGGGCATTCGGGAGTTTTTCGCGCAGACGAGGGGGGATTCGCTGGCTGCGCTGCTAGGGTTGAGGGACACGCAGCAGGCTACAGCTGCTGCTACAGCTGCGGCTGTAGCGGCTGCAGAAGGGAGAGAGCTTGGAGGGGGTGGGAGGAAGGGGAGCAGGCGGGAGCGGGAGGACGGGCGGATCGGGCCGATACCGGAAGGAGGTGGGGAGGGGTTTGAAGAGGTGGAGAGGGGTGGAAGCGAGAGGAGGAGAGGCAGCAGCGGGGACGTGATGGGTGGGGAGTTCAGTGGCAGTGATGCTGGCAGCACTGTTTCAGAGCCCTTACCCGGCACTAGCAGCTTTTTTGGATCAAGAGGAGCAGCAGCAGGAGCAGGAGCAGGAGCAGCGGCAGGAGACGCAGCAGCAGCTGCCAAGGCCTTGCTGACTGAAACCCTCCCTGTGGCCTCCCCTCGGTTCTGGCAGCTAGGTTCCCGACCCTCTACCGGATCGAGACTAGGAGGTTCGGCAAGGGCGGCAGGTTCGGTAGACCCTTGGGCGTGGGCATACAAGACAGGGAACCTGGCCCGGGGGTCGCCGATGGGGGGAATTAATTGCTGGAGTGAGGCAGAGGTTCGGAACTTTACAGTGCGGTCGAAAAGCTATTTGAGGGATAAGATGAAGCAGAATGCAGGGCAGCCGGGGATGGCGCTGGTGGCTGTGGATTGGCTGAAGCGCGTGGAGAGGATTGACCATGTGGTTGAACTGAAGAGGACTCCTGTGCATGTGAGTTGGGCGGCCCTCTGTGTGTGCATGAGAGTGAATGGGAATGTAGCAACTTAAATATACCAGCACTGGTGGCCGTGGATTGGCTGAAGCGTGTGGAGAGGATTGATCATGTGGTGGAGCTCAAGAGGACTCCCGTGCATGTGAGTGCGCTTTTGCCTTGTGTGCATTTTGCGCCTATGGTGGTTCATGGGTGGGATGGGCCAGCGCTGGTGGCTGTGGATTGGCTGAAGCGTGTGGAGCGGATCGATCGTGTGGTGGAGCTCAAGCGCTCCCCTGTGCATGTGAGTGAGTGTGGAATGTAAGAACTCAGTTGGTGGAGGGCTAGGGTTGGGAATAGAACAGCAATGGTGGCTGTGGATTGGCTGAAGCGCGTGGAGAGAATTGACCATGTGGTTGGACTGAAAAGGATCCCCGTGCATGTGAGTTGGGCGGCTTCTGTGTGTGCATGAGAGTGAATGGGAACATAGCAACTCAAATTTGCCAGCATTGGTGGCTGTGGATTGGTTGAAGCACGTGGAGAGGATTGATCAAATGGTGGAGCTCAAGTGCTCCCCCGTGCATGTGAGTGAGTGTGCTTCTCTGCTGTCTCTGGTAGCATCATTTCTAAAAACGGCCCCATTCCCTTCCATTTTCTTCCATTTTCTTCCATTTCCTCCCATTTCCTTCCATTTTCTCCCATTTCCTCCCATTTCTTCCCATTTCATTTCGTTTTGCCCCCGTTTCCTCCCACGTCTTCCCATCACCCCCACCTTCTCCTGTGCCTTGTTATCAGGGAATGCGCGAGATGATGGCCAGCAGTGATACCTCGTCGCGGCCGTACTTTTTCATTGTGAATATGCAGGTACGGGCAGGAGGTGGGGGGGCGGGTCAATGGGGTGCTGCTATGTCCGTGGGGGAGGTGGGTTCATGGTAGACGTGGGGCAGTGGGGGATGTGGGCCAGTGAGAGTCAGTGTGGCAGCAGGTTGCTGTTGTGACCATGGGAGAGGTGGGTCGTAGGTACGTGGGGAGAGGTGGGTCAATAAGAGAGAGAATAATGTGTCATTGCCGTTGTGAATAGCAGCAGCACCGGCAACCCGAACAGTAGCACCGGCAACGCGTATAGCAGCACCGGCAACGCGTATAGCAGCACCGGCAACGCGTATAGCAGCACCGGCAACAGCAGCAGGCCATGTGCTCCCCTCCCATAATGTTGTCAGCTGCTACTGCTTCTTTTCTAGGGGCACGCAATGAGTACACAGTAGCTGAGTACACTGCGTCGCTCACCGAGTGCCCCTAGAAAAGAAGCAGTAGCAGCTGACATCATTATGGGAGGGGAGCACATGACACTGCTGCTGTTGCCCGTATAGAGGTAGCTCTCACCCTGTTTTACAACCTCCCCCCCCCCCCTGGTCATCACCCTACGCTATTTGCGCTCTCCTGTTTCATCACCCTCACCCCACCAGGTGCCAGCAGCGCAGCAGTACAGCATGGTGTTCTACTGGGCCATGGAGGAGCCACCAACAGACTCGTCCATGCTGGGGCAGTTCATCAACGGGGATGACATCTTCCGCAACACACGCTTCAAGCTCATCCCACGCATCCACCAGGTGGGTTTCTGTGTGTGTGTGCTTCAATATATCTTGCTCCATGCACTCACCCTCTCGTGTCTCCATGTATTGGTCTTACTGAAGGTGTGAGTTGTACCCTTTTTTCTTCTTCTTCTTTCTATCTTTTTTTTTCTCCGCATGTTGTGCATATGCATTGGTGCATGGCAGGGCGCATGGGTGGTGAAGAGGAGTGTGGGGACGACGCCGCTCATCATCGCTGGTGCTCTCACTGTGCAATACTTCAAAGGACCCGACTATTTTGAGGTACAGTGCTTTGAGGTGCATCTCTGTGCCTAAAAGTACTGAAGAAGTTCTTATGCGGTACTGAAGAAGTTCTTATGCGGTACTAAGGACTCGATTATTCTGATGTACAGTGAAGCGCACATCTGTGCTGTGACACTGTCGCGCATGCGCAATGTTTGAGAGCATGATTTATTATTCTGTTTGTACTGTTTCCACACTCTCTCTATGGCACAACTGGAGTACAGGTGGACGTGGATATTGGGTCGTCAGCTGTGGCCAATGGGGTGGTGAGATTTGTGCTGGGATATGTCCGAACACTCATCATCGACATGGCGTTTTTAATCCAGGTACTAAGCAGGCGCTCATATGTTGCATTTATTCATTGTGCTATTGATTCACTTCTTGCATTGTTGTGGTTTGTAAGGTTTTGCTTACAGTGCATGCCTTTCCTGTTACTTGCAGGGAAACACGGAGGAGGAGCTCCCTGAGAAGCTTCTAGGAACCATCCGCATTTCACATTTAGAGCCAAATGCAGCGTTAGACATGGACCTTGACAATCCAGAGCCACCCCCTCACTCCGTCTCTTCCCACGAAGATCCCAAATCTTGATTCAATGGTGTTCTTTGGCATATATTTTTTCCCCTTTTTCCCTCAATCAATCGTGCCATCAGGTTTCCTGTCCCGCTCATGAGTTGTTTCCTAGTGCTAAGGTGTATGATGAGATGAGGCTTTGAGGTTGCATGTTGCTTACTCCACACTGGTTGACAGGTATAATGTGCACACCAGTTCAAAGAACATGTAGCTGGGGGTAAAGGTCTACAGTAGTCCTCGTTATTGTGGTGTCCTGAGTTGGACCCATTGACAGTTCTTCAAACAGTGCATTTACAGGAAGAGCTTGAGGACAAACCTGTGTACAGTAAAGCAGTTACATTCTGATGAGAAAACAAATGGGTCGCCCGTCTTTTGTCGCCTTCGATGCCTCAAAACAGGCGCTTGACAAGTAACGGTATCTTTCGTTGGCTTTGCGGGTTCTGGTTCCTCCACGTGTAATTACTGTACACTCAGCCCACGTCAGCACCTTGAGGGTGGAGGGAGTGCAGTGCGCGACACGATACCCAGTCAACACGGGCGCACGCGCTTCGGGTGCTTCCATCTCATCCAATCAAGCCTCACTGCCATCTTGCCCTTGCCCTCACCAATGGCTGCCCTGCCTGGCGCCTCAGAACTTCAAAGAACATGCCATGTCAGGCCTCTACACGCGCACCATCCAATGGAATCACTGATTGCCTGTTCCCGCCAAGCAACACATGGAGTCAAGGAAATTATTCAAGGCGTGTTTGAAACGGGGATTCTCGACACGGCTCTAGTTATGCATACAACATGAACTGTTGTCGAACTTGCGACAGGGAAGTGTACAATAGTGAAGGTGATGCGACAGAAAGTCGATTTGCCATTCTCGATTTTCATGAATACGTGTATAAGTATGTTGTAACGGGACCTGGAAATTGCGCGGGAAATTTAGTCTAGGAGCTGTACACTAAGTAGCGGGTGAATGAAATTTTGCGAGGGGCATGTGCATGCACTTCGGCTGCGCCCGTCACGCCCTGTCGAGGATCCTAGAGTGGGTCAAACTATAGATTCCGAGCCTAGCAATGATCCACAAGCAATGATGACGTTCAATGTCGCTGCGTCTGCACCTGCGAATAGGGTTTCCGAGCGATCTCTGCGGAAGCGCGAATTTTGGCGAGGACTCGCTGCGCGGTCGAGTATAAATTGTCTTTCGCTGGAAATTCAGTGCATATTCGTTTATTACGAAGAAAAAACTGCATTATCCCAGGGAATGCAATGCGTGAACGGTATTTCCCGCCGCCGCAGCAGCAGCAGCAGCAGCCGCCGCTTTCCCCGGCGCATTTTTCGAGGGGTACGCCTTCGCAGCCTCAACAATCAGTCAATGCAGTCACCGTGTCGGTCAACGCGTTCAACGCGGTCAATGCGGCGACAGTAGGGCTTGGAAACGTCGCCTCAGGCTCCCACGGGATGCCTTACGATCAGTTTCGCGACATCCAGCGATTGTGGGAGTCGCAGGGGTCGCATCGTGCTGTCGCACAGGGGAGCGCTGTCGCACAACAAGGAAGCGCTTTCGCACAAGACAGATCTTTTGCACAACACGAAACGGGAACAAACAACACCCCCCAAGGCCAAGCTACAGGGTCCTTTGGCGGAATTATCTCCGCGGATGGTCCTATTTCCCCGTCCGGAAGCATGGTTGGCGGAAGGAGTGGCGGAATGGCGAGGGGGAGCAGTTTTGGCGAAGGGATTGGCGGAAGGCGGGGGGGATTCGCCGCGCCCGCGCTGCCTGGCGGAGTTATTGGTCCCCCAGGCCTGGGAGGCGGAAGAATTACGGGGGTTGCAGCAGCAGGGGGAGGCGGGGCGGTAGGATATACCGCGGACAGCGCAACAATAGGCGCGGGGATGGGGGGGGAGAGGCTGGAAAGCTTGCTGGCGGAGGCTCTACTCGGGGGAGGTTCTTTCCAGGCTCTACTGGCAGGGGGAGGTGCTTTTCAGAGACCTACAGCTCCCCAGGTCTCACCGGCAGGCAGGGAGGTGGGAACTGGTGCAGGTGGTAACCTGGCGTTACTAGAGCTGATGAGAATGTCAGAATTTGCTGGCAGCCTCCCTCCCAACCGTGCTGCACCGAGCAGCACCGGGAGCGGATACCACACAGCTACTAACCTACCTATTAACTCTGACCTGATTTACGCCGGTGCAATGAATCAGCCGCTGCCGTCTTTTTACGGGCAGCCTGTGCAGATGGCAACGAATACTGAGCCGGTGAACCAGGATCGCGGCCAGCGGGCGATGAGAGCCTGGGAGAGGGCTGGGAGGTCGGGTTTAGAGGGAGTGACGGAGGGTGAGCGGTTGGGGTTAACGGCTGGTGAGGGGTTGGGGGTGCTGGCTGGCTGTCACGATCTGTCTGCCGTTCTGGCTGCTGCTGCCGCCGCCGCCGCCGCTAGCAGCGCGCATGGCGGCGCTAGCAGCCCATATGGCGGCGCTAGGGGCGCACATGGCGGCTTCCCCAGGTCTGGGTTAGGAGGCGGAAGCACAGGGGGAGGGGGGGGAGGGTACGGGGGTATGGTGGGCGGGGGATGTGTGAGCGGAGGTGGGGGCGGTGGGGGAGAGGGCGCGGGGATGGCGGAAGGGGAGAGCGATGGGGAGGGGTCAGGGGAGGAGGAGGAGGGCGGAGACGGCGCCCCTCGCGCCAGCACCAACGCCAAAGGCCAATGGACGCCGGTACGTGCGTGCATTGCATTGATTCTTGAGTCGACTCAAAACACGCGCCAGCGCCAACGCCAAAGGCCAATGGACGCCGGTACGTGCCTGTGTCGCAAGGCACAGTAGTCGATGGTACGTGCCTGCGTTGTTTATTGTGTCGACTCAAAAGTCGCGCCAGCACCAAGGCCAAAGGCCAGTGGACGCCGGTACGTGCCTGTGATACAAGGTGTAGTAGTTGATGGTACGCACGTGCCTGCATAATGCATTGCCTCTTTGAGTCGACTCAAAGCTCGCACCATAGCAGCGCACCTCAAGGGGCGCGCGGGGAAGCAGTGCCGCGAGCGTTGGCACAACCACCTGAAGCTCTTCCCCTCGTCCCCTTCCCCCACTTCCCTCCCCTCTCCCCCCTCTTCCTCCTCTCCCCCTTATCCTCCCTTTCCCCTCTTTCCCCCTTGTTCTCCCTCCCCACCAAGAGCAGGAGGAGGATGAGATTTTGCGTCGGCTGGTGGAAAGGGGAGGGGCGAGAAGATGGTCTGCCATAGCAGCACACCTCAAGGGGCGCGCGGGGAAGCAGTGTCGCGAGCGCTGGCACAACCACCTGAAGCTGGGAATCAAGAAGGACGCATGGACGGAAGAGGAGGAGGGGACGCTGATAGAGGCGCACAAGCGCGTGGGGAACAAGTGGGCGGAGATTGCGAAGCTGCTGCCTGGGCGGACGGATAATAACGTGAAGAATCACTGGAATTCTACTGTTAGGCGGAAGGAGGATGTGGGGAGGACAGGGGGGAAGGTTGGGGGGAAGCCCACGCTGCTGCTGAGGTATATTCAGTCGTTGAAAGGGGGGAAGGATGGGGGCGGGGGGAAAGGGGGGAAGGGCGCGGGGGGAAGGACGGGGGTCGGGGGAAGGAGGGGGGAGGGAAGGGGGAAGAGGGAGGGGAGGAGAAGGGTGAAGGGGGAGAGGAAGGGGAGGAGGGTAGGGGGGATGTGGAAAAGGAAGGAGGGGAAGAGGATCGAGATGGGAGAGAGGGAGGAGGAACGGGAGAGGAAAAGGAGGGAGATAAGGGAGAGAAGGAGAGAGAAAAGGGAGGGGAGGATGAGCGGGGGAGAGACAAGGGAATGCAAGAGGTGAGAGAAGGGAGGGATGGGAGGGCAGATGGTGAGAATGGGGATGGGGATGGATGTGGGGAAGAGGGTAGGGATGGGGATGGTGTTAGGGATGCAGGGAAGAGGGAGAAAGAAGAGAATGGGCCAGTCTTGAGAGGACGGGAAGATGATGCTTCGGGGGCTGACCATTCGGGATTACGAAGAGAAGTGACGCGGGTAGGTGAGGAGAAAGGAGAAGAGAAACGGGCAGGGGAGGAGAGGGGAGGAGAGGCACGGATAGGTGAGGAGAGGAGAAACAAACAACGGGCAGGAGAGGAGAAAGCGGTACAGATGAGAGATGGGGAGAAAGAAAGGAAGGAAGCGATGGGGTTGGGAGAAGAAGGAAAGGCAGTGGGTGCAGCAACAGCACAGGGGGACGACACTGGCAGAGAGGCAAGCAGTGATGATGCGAGAAGGGGTTCTAAGCCTGAGGGAAGGGAAGAGGCGCGGCAATCCCGTGTGAGCGCAGACGAGCGGCAGTGCGAAGGCATGGCAGAGGAGCAGATACGTGTGGCAGAAGGGGATGGGGCTGATGGCTGGCAGACAGAGAGAGGGGTGGATGGGGCGGAGGTGATGGGGCCTCTCGAGTCGTCTCAACACACAGAGGCAGGGAAGGAGGAGGAGAAGGAGGAAGGGAAGCAGAAGGCGGGGAAGGAGATGAAAGAGATGAAGGAGAAGGGGAACATGGAAGGAGGAAGAAGATCCGACGGTGGGGAGAGAGCAGCAGAGGATACGGTCGATGCAGTCTCCATGGATATCGATGTGAGTGAGGGGAGGGTGGGGGAAGAGGGTGGGTTTGAACCGTTAACTGAGTGGGCAAGTAGAGTAAAACTAGGGTGGGGCAAGGGCAGCAGAGGATATGGGCCATGCAGTCTCCATGGACATTGATGTGAGTGAAGGGAGGGTGGGGCAGGGTGGGGCAAGGTGGGGACAGGGAGTGGGCTTGAACCAACATTTGAGACGCCTCAAAGGAATATCCGAGGGTGGGGAGAGAGCAGCAGAGGATATGGGCGATGCAGTCTCCATAAAGATTGATGTGAGTGAGAAAACGGGGGGTGAGGGGAGGGGGGAAAGGGGGAAAAGCAAGGGGGAAGAGGGGGAAAGAGGGGGGGAGATGGGGGTTGGGGGTGAATGAGTGGGCAATGAACATAGTCGACAATGAAATGCATCTCATTCGGCCAGCACTTCCACGCATTACCCTTACCCGGGTTTGTGGCTCTGCTGACTTCTTCTGTCCCCTCTCGTACCCTCCCATTCCCTCGCATGCCCCATCAGACCCACCAGGTCACGTCCCCCAGCAGCAGCAGCCTTTCCATCCGAGGCTTGTTACAAGCAGTTGTCGCTTTACAGGCTTATCCTCCCTTCCATTCCCTCCCTTACCCCTTGCATCCATCCCGCGCCCCATCAGATCCACCACGTCACGTCCCCCAGCAGCAGCAGCCTTTCCATCCGAGGCTTGTTACAAGCAGGGAGGGCAGCAACAGCAGCAACAGGTAGGGCAGCAGCAGAAGCAGGGAGGGCAGCAACAGCAGCAACAGGGCGGACAGCAGCGCGAGCAACACAAGAAGAAACCACCAATGTTACAGCTGCAGCATCTTCCTCCTCTCACTCTCTTCCCTCAAGCCATCCTCGTTTTGAGTCGTCTCGACACCCAGATCGAACAGAAACTGTCGCAGCAGCAGCGTCGGCCTTACGCTCGCGTTCCTTCAGCAATGCACGCCTCTCCTCCTCACATAACCCTTTCGAGTCGGCTCAAAAAGAAGAGACTGCCACAGCAGCAGCATCGTCTTTGCGCTCGCATTCTTTCAGCAATGCTCGCCTCCCCTCCCAAGTGACTTCTGAGTCGACTCAGAACGCAGAAACTGCCGCAGCTGCGGCTTTACGCTCGCGCTCTTTTGGCAATGCGCGCCTCTCCTCCTCCCATGTCCCCAGTTTCGAGACGCCTCAAAACTCCTTACCCTCACGTTCCTTCAGCAATGTGCACCCCTCCTCCTCCCATGTCTCTCTCAAATCCGCTTCTTTCCCCCGCGCTCCCGCGTCCCTCCCGCCCTCCTGGCCCCCCACCCGCTCGCTCCCAAATGCTCCCGCTGCCAACACCCCTGCTTCCGCTGCTGCTGCCGCCACCACCGCTGCTGCTGCTGCTGCCGCTGCTGCTGCTGTTGCTGCTGATTCAAGCGAAGCTGCTGCTGGTGGGGCTTTTAGTGTAACAAACAGGGAAACAAACCCACGGCAAGTCCAAGGCCCCAGTGTGGTTGACTCAAGGGGACAGCCCACAGGTGCAGGGGGGGTAGTGATGATGGGACAAGGACATACGGCTCAAGGGCTTGTAGAGCAGACGTGTATGGGGCAGCCACTGGTGGGACAGCAGGCGGGTGTGGGGCAGTCAGTGGTGGCACAGACGAGTGTGGGCAATCAGAGGGATCTAGCGAAGGCTATGCTTCACCTGGACGCTCTCTCCTCTGCCGGCTTGCTCATGGGTTACCCTGCTGCTGCCGCTGCTCCCTCCGCTGCTGCTGCTGTTTCTACCTCTGCTGCTGCTCCTTGTTCGTCTGCTCCTTCCCCCTCCACCATCTCCTCCCCCCGCTCTGCCCCCTCCTCTCGCCCCGCATTCCCTCCCTCTCCCGCCCCAGCACCGCACTCCACCGAATTCCCCCGCGCTTTCACCACCCCCCAGGGCCGCATCCCTTCTTTCTCTCCCTCTCTTTCATCTCTCACCAATCCACTCCCGAACCCCTCCCTCCAGCCAACTAGCCCATTCATTCACAACCCCTCCCTTCCTCTCCCTGCCTCTGTATCTATCTCTGTTCCCTCTACCTCCTCTGCTGCACCCACCAATCACCCCCTCCCCTGCCTCTCTCGCTTTGCCACAGTGTCAGCTTCCGACCAATCAGCAGCCGGCGGCCTGACCAGCCGGGCAGCTGAAATTGCAAGCGTGGTGCAAAATCTTTTCGATGCACTCATGCGCTCAGACATCCTCCCTGCCCCATCCGTTCCATCCCTCGCATCTCAACCGTTCATTCCTGAGACTACAAGAAGATCCGAACCGTTGACACAGCAACCACATGCTTCCCTCCCATCCGCATCTTACCCTGTCCAAAGGCAACCACATGCTCCTGCTGTTGCAGTTGCTGCTGCTACTCGTGCTGCTGCCTCTGGCAGTGCTGGTAGTGCACAAGTTATTGGGAGAGGGGGCGTCTTGATACCTAATCCACCCCTCCACCATTCTCCTGCTCCTCCTTTTCCTCTCGCTACTGCCTCGGTTGCTGCTGCTGCTCCTGCTGATAATATTACACCTGCTGCTACTGCTGCTGAAGACGGCGGTGATGGTGGTGCTGGTGTGTCTGCAACTAGTTCTCGTGCCACAGAAAGAGACAGCTGTGATACGCTGCCCAATCCCTCTCAGCTGCCCGGTTTTTCTCAACTGCCCGATTTCTTTCAACTGCCGAGATTCCTGACGCAGGAGCAACTGGCACTACTGAAGCAGGTATGCACAATAACCAAGCCACTCCCTTTGCACCTGCACCGTCACCATACCCTCTGCTCCATCATCAACCCCTCTGCTCCATCACCAACCCCTCTGCACCGTCACCATACCCTCTGCACCGTCACCATACCCTCTGCACCGTCACCATACCCTCTGCACCATACTTGCATTCGTCTTCCCTCAATATCGACCCCTTTCCACTTCCGTCCCCCTCTTCCCCAACCCTCCGCGATTCCCCTCACTGCTTATCTCACTCTGTCCTTTCACCAGCTCGTAACCTTTCCCTCAATCGTGCCCCACTGTCGATCCTTCCCCATCCCCATCCCCATCCCCATCCCCATCCCCATCCCCATCCCCGTCCCCTTCCCCATCCCATCCCCATCCCATCCCCATCCCATCCCCATCCCATTCCCATCCCATCCCCATCCTGATTCCCATCGCCATTCAATCTCTCATGTCCACTCTGCCCTCTCCCACTGTCCTCCCTACTCCACTCTTCTCGCAGTGGCCAAGCCATGCAGAGCCAGGTGGGTCTGGAGGCGACTGAGGTGACGTTTGAGGTGACTCAAAAGTTGTCATTCAATTCCTCGTCCCATTCTGATCTCCTGCACTGTCTTCCCCTACTCCACTCTGCTCGCAGTGGCTGGAAAGGGGTCAAATAGGCCAAGGCATGCAGAGCCAGGTGGGCTTGGAGGCGACTGCTGGTGCGCCTGGTGGCTTGGGGGAAGCGTTTGGATCGACTCAGCAGTCGTCAACTCAACACCAGGGGCATACTATCGTCACTGCATCCATGTCCGCTCCTGTGTCTGCTCGTGCGCTCTTGGAGGCGAGTGCTGGTGTGCCTGGTGGCTTGGGGGACGCGTTTGGATCAACTCAACAGCCAGCCCAGAGCCCTGTAGTCGTCACTGCACCCGTGGCACCTGTGGCGGCACCTGGGGCAGCACCTGTGGCAGCACCTATGGTAGCAACAACTGAAGAGTCAGGGGACTGTTCGAAGGGCCCTCAAGGTGCAAAGGGCCCTCAAGGTGCCAGAGGGAAGGACGACGAGGGCTTCCGGGTTCCACAAGACCGACCGGCTGTTTCTGGCCGAAAGGCAAGAGCTGAGACACCCACTGACAAAGCCTATGACGTTCCCTCCACTGACTGGGGAGTGCGGTTTGGTGGAAGGTGTGAGGAAGGAGGGGGGATGGTTGGTGGGAGGGTGGAGGGCGCGGTTGTGGGAGTCAGAGAGAATGAGAGGCAGGGGCAGGAGTGTGCCGCTGCTGACGAGGTTCAAAAGGAGAAAGAGGTTCGAAGGAAGGATGAGGTTCGAAGGGAGAAAGATGTTCAGAGGGTGGACGAGGGTCAACGGGAGAAAGAGGGTCAACGGGAGAAAGAGGGTCAACGGGAGAAACAGATGCAAAGAGAAGTCGATGTGCAGGGCAGTGAGGCACAGAAACCAGCTCAGACGAATGGTCACCAACCACAAGAGGAGCAGAATGAGGGACAGCAGCACCACCACCAACACCAGCAGCAGGAGCAGCAGCAGGTAAACCAGCATCAGGAGGAGCAGCAGCAGCAGGGGCAACAGGAGGAGCAAGGCGAGTCAGCAGCAACAGGAATGGGTGTTGATGGGGCACTTATGGAGGGGTGGCATAGAGGGGGCAAGGAAGGGAGAGTGGGGGAGCAGGGAAGGGCCGAGGAGGGAGGAGTGGGGGAGCAGGGAAGGGGCGAGGAGGGAGGTGGAAGGAAAGACGGTGGGGACAGGCAGGGGGATAAGAACCCTGTTGTTCGCCGAAGCTCAAGCGATGGTAACAGGTTTGGTTCAGAAACAGGTTCGGAACGGCGGTCCCCTCGGCCGGAGCAGCTGCAGGTGGTTCGGCGGTGGAATATTGGGAGGCTCGGAAGCTGGTCGGAAAGGAGCAGCTTGAGCAGCGGACAATCTGGACCGTTGATCTCGAAGAAGCGGCCAATCACAAGCGTTGACCCCAGCACCCCCAGCCCCAGTCCACAGCATCAAAGGGAGCAGAACCAGCAGAGCCAGCAGAGCCAGCAGATTCAGCAGCCACCACAACTGCAGCTGCCACAGCAACAACACCACCGGCAGCAGCCGCAGCAGCAACCTGAACAGCAGCAGCAGGTGCCACAGCAGCAGCAGACGAAAAAGGACAAGCAGGACGAGGACACACAAAAGGACAAGCAAGACCGCCCGCCGCCACGGCCCATGCGCACCCGTCCCATGCTCAAGCGAAGCGTGGCCGGGCCCCTACCAGGCGCGCCTATAGCCGTCATAGACGGCACCATCCAACTCGTCGGCGACCTATCCCTCCTCGGCGGTGGCGGGTCCTTCCCCCCTCCTCCCTCTCCCTCCACCCACTCCTCCCCTCACCCCCTCTCCACGTCCGCTCCCTTCCCCACACGCGGCAGCGCCGCTCCTCTTTCTTCGAATCCTCTTGTGCTCTCCGTGTCTCCGCACCCCAGCCCGTCTCCTGGAGTGGTGGCGCGGCCTTGGGGGATGAAGTCACCGCTGCCGGGTGAATCGCGGAAAACAGATGTGCCGTTTAAACCCCCTCAAGAACCTCGGGACCCTTGGGAGTCGTCCCCTAGTGCTGTTTCTGCGGCTCGGCCTTGGGGGATGAAATCACCGGTGCCGAGTGAATCGCAAAAAACAGAGTTTAAAGCCCCTCAGGGACCTCGAGAATTGTCTCCCGGTGGTGCTTCTGCGAGTCGGCTTTGGGGGATGAAGTCGCCATTACCAGGTGAATCACAGAAGACGGCAGCGGCGTTTAAAGCACCTCAGGAGCCGCAAGCAGCAGCGCTTCCCTCAGGGGCTGAAGTAGAGAGAACGAGGGCAGGTCTGGTCAAGCCAGGCCTAACAGGCTTGGAAAGGCTCACAGTGGAAGCAGCAGTGACGGTAGTTCCTGGGTCCGACCAGAAATCACCGGCGGCATCAGCAGCTGCTTGGGGTGCTGCTGAAGATAATGCACCACCGAGAGAAGCCGCAGCAGCACCAGCAGGAGCAGCAGGAGCAGCACCACCACCACCATCAAAGGTGGTTACGCAGGGTGACAGGACAGCACCAGTATTGGGAAAAGCAGCAGCGCCTGCAGCACTAGCAGTAACACCTCCACCTGCATATCAGGCCAGCCCAGGTAACCCAGCTAGTCCTGCCAAGCGCACTCTGCAGCACAGCCAGTCTGCCCGGCTCCCTTCTCAGGTCCGGCCACAGTTCTCCCTCCGGAGCTCCAGCTTCGGGAGCCGAGGCTCAGCGTCAGGCTCGGGACAGTTCAGGGCTGGTTCGAACCCAGGCAAAGCAGCCTCGGGTATGGAGGGTATGACATTTGAAAGGGTGAATGTTGGGACTCATTCAAAGCCCTTGGAGGGTGCGAGTGGTGGGCAGACAAGGGAGGGTGTGTGGCCAGGGCAGTTGGGCAAGGAGATGAGTTTTGAGTCGACTCAAGAGTCCAGTGGTGGGTGGAGAAGGGAGGGCGTGTGGTCAGGACAGGGTTTTGGGAGTGGAAAGCGAGGAGGGCAGCAGCTTGCCAGCGTGAATGAAAGGGATACACGCCATGCCAATGTGAGTGAAAGGCATACTACTGGCAGTGAAGCGAGAGAAGGTGACGCGAGGGAAGGTGGAACGGGAGATGGTGTAAATGCTGCAATGCCCAGAAAGGAGGATGCTGGTGCTACGACTTCTGAGTCAACTCCAAAATCAGGTTGGAGTGTGGAGTTTCGTGGTGCTGCGACTGATGCTGCCACTGGTGCTGCACACGCTGCATCCCTGAGGGAGGACGAGCGGATGGGTGGGCATGGGCAACAGCAGGAGTACGAGCAGCATCATGGGCATGGGCAGCAGAAAAACGATTATCCTCATCTGCAGCAGCAACAGCAGCAGTTGGGGGAGCAGCAACGGGAAGATGCAGAGGATGAAAATGAGGGAAGGGAGGAACATGAGGAGGAGGAGGAAGAGGAATACGAGAAGGAGGGGGAGGAGGGACATGAGGAGGAGAGGGAGGGGGACGAGTTGCAAGAGCACGAGGAGGTGTATGAGTACATGGGAGTGCGCTCAAGTCTCACCATCACCCGCAGCAGCAGCACCATTCCCAGCCACCCCTCCTTGCACGTCCACATCCCCACCCAGCCTCCCTCCACTCTGTCAGAGTGTCCCGACACACAGCTTGGTGATTCTGCGCCTAGTGCGTCTCATTATCATGAGCCCACCAACGCACCTATGGATTCGGGTGATTATGACTTGGATGCTGCGGCTGGTGGCAGAGGCAGCAGTGGTGCTGATGCAGCAGCTGCCTCCTCGCCCTCGCCAGTTACTCCTGCTGCTGTTGCTGCTGTCACAGTGCCTGCAAGCACGGGTGCGACGCCCAACACCATCAATGCAGCCCTCTCCCCTGTGAACCCACCTCTGCTTGCTTCTGCCACAGCTGTTTCTGCCGAGGCTGCTTCTGCCGCAGCTGTTTCTGCCGAGGCTTCTTCCACTCTCCCGGCTTCGGGTTTCGGCCCAAGTCCTTTCAGTCAACTTGCCTCTCAATGGATTTTCTCCAACCTACCGCCCCACCCTCTGGCCACCCAGTCAAACCCAACCATCCCGAACCTTCCAGACGTGCTGCCGAACCTCCCAAACGGCCCACCGAACCTCGCAAGTACCCGCCCGAGCCTGACCACCTCTGCAGCACCTGAGATCACTTATCCCTCCATGTCTGACCTTATAGCAGGGTGGTTTTCAGGTGCCAGCCCAGGTGTGACTATGCAGCAGTGGGGCTCTATGGGGGGCCTAGGCTCAGGAATAGGACCCAGCCCAGGTGTGACTATACAGCCATGGGGTACTATAGGGGGGATAGGCTTGGGAACAGGACCTAGCCCTGGTGTGACTATACAGCCATGGGGTGCTGTGGGAGCAATAGGCTCAGGAACAGCAGCCAGTCCGAGTGTGACTATGCAGCAATGGGGCTATATGGGAGGGATGCGCCCAGGAGTAGCAGCAAGCCCAGGTGTGACTGTAACGCAGTGGGGTTCGTTTGCAGGGGGGCTCGGAATGGGGAACGGGTTTGGAGGGCTTGGAGCGAGCCCAGGTGTGATTATACAGCCATGGGCATCTATCGAGGGAGCAGCTGGGGTTGGGACAGCAGCAGCAGAGTCAGGTGCAAGGATAGGGGCTGAGGCGACAGCAGGTGCAACCCCAGGTGTGACTGTACAGCAGTGGGGCTCTAACGAAGGGGCAGCAGCAGCACCAACACCAGCAGCAGCACCACCACCACCAGCAGCACCAACAGTAGCAGCAGCGGCAGCAGCGGCCCTACCAGGACTGGAAGCTTCCCTAGAGCAGCTGCTGCAGCAGATGAATCCATCCTCGTTACAAGACGCCAACGCAATCATAGACGCTCTCAGCTTCCAGGCATCTCTGGCCGCTTCATCTGGACACCTCGCGCTCCCATTCCCCAACATGCCTGCTCCACACAGTCAGAGTGGGGGTACCACCACCACCTATACTCCAACTGCCGCCACCAATGCTCCTGCCGCTGCGAATGCTCCTCCCGCTGTTGCCAATACTACAGGTGGTTCCGCTAGTGAGGAGCCGCCAGGTTCAGTGTGTGAGCCCATGGATATATAGCCTCTTTCTTTGCTCCCCGTATTGAGGTGCCTTTTGAGTCGACTCAAAAGTCAACTCGGTGTGTGAGCCCATGGACATATAGGCTCTCAGCTCCTCCAATTGGGGGGCCTTCGAGCCTTTGGAGCCCTCACTTTATGATCACTTATGGCCATTGTGGCTCACCTTGTTACACTTCCATTCTTTGGCGCCTCAAAAGAAATAAGTCCCTTGAGTGTTTGGAGCGGCTCATACCGTACGTCACTTGTGCGGGCATTGGGGCTTCCCGTGCAGCACTTCCAAGCACCTGTCTTCTTCTGTTGGGCGCCTGCTTTCTGCATTAAAGTACATTTCATTACACAGTATCGATCACTCCCCCTGAGGGTTCAAGGGGAGCAGAGTAGACCCTCTAGGGTTGTGGGAGGAGGGAGAGGGAGTATTGAAAGACAGTTGTGTGTTGTGGTTTTAGTGCAAGGTGTTGGTCCTGATTTTGTGATCCCAATGCATATCAGCATTGCAACCTGAATGCTATGCAGCTAGCCCTCGTCAGGAATGCACATTTGCAAGGAAAAGTTTAGGGAATGATTTCTAGGTATTGCAGGCTGAATAGAAGGTGAGATGAGCTCCTTCTGAGCTAAAAAAGATTTATCCTAACAGTTACTCCAATCCAATTCTCTAGGACCTATTGTCCACAGAACCAACCTTACTCCTATCGCCGCCCTTTCACCTCCCCTCTCTGCAGCAGCTGCTGTTGCTCCTCTCCTAAACCTGCTGCTCGCTTTCTTTGCTGCACCCTCCCCTCCTCCTTCGTCCCTTCCTTCCTCCTCTCCCCTTCCTTCCTCTGCACCTCTTGCAACCTCTCCCTGTCTTCCGCCCTCTGCCCCGCACCTCCTCGTCCCCTCCCCCTCCTCACACTCCACCTTTCATTCTCAAGCACAAGGTACTCCCCTGATCGCGCCAGCAGCCGCCACTGCCGCGCTACAGTAGCAGCCTCTATGGTAACGGTGCAATTCGGTTTCATGCGGTCGTGCACTTCCACTGCCATCACCCGCACCTCATCCAACCACGGCCTCGGGTCATACCAATCAGAATGCCTGCTTATGTCAGTTGTGCTGCTGCTGCTACTGCTGCTGCTGATACTGCTTCCGCCATGGTTGCTACTGCTACTGCTGCTGTTGTCCCTGCCATTACTGCTGCTAAATTCCCTAGAGGTAGTGGAATCTACATTCGGTACAGTCACATCTGTGCCTGCTGCCGATGGGGGCATGGCCAGCACTTCAGCCTCGGACCCTTCAATATCCATCTTCACAAAATCAAATCTCGCCAACCCAACCTGCTTTAACACATCGCCTACAGTAACAGCTCGGATAGTCACACCCCCCTCAGCTGCCCCCGTGCTTGCCACGCTGCTGCTGTTGCTGCTGTTCGCTTCACCCTCTACCCCCTCCTGCTCATCCTCGTTAGTATCACCTTCCTTTGTGTCACTACTGCTACTAGAGGGCACTGGGGTAACCACATATTGCCACCCCTCCCTCGTCTTCGTTTGTGTCCCATTCCTTAGCATCACCATCCCAGAGTGGTTAAACAGCCCCGCGTGCACCGCATAAACGTTCGGCAGGCGATACGTGTTACGGCGTAACACCTCAAAGTTCTTGTCGCTCGCCTCTATGGCGACCACAGTAGCGTTGGGGAAGAACGTGGAGAATATGAGCGTCGCATAGCCCACATTGGCTCCTGAAAACGAGGGGAAAATGTGCAGGAAAACAGTTAGCAGGTGAAAAACGTTACATGTAGCTTTACTTGTGGCCTCTATAGCGACCACAGTAGCATTGGGGAAGAACGTGGAGAATATGAGCGTTGCGTATCCCACGTTGGCCCCTGGAAACAGCATGAAGAATCACCAGGCCAAAAACACGAGTGGAACAGAAGATAATGTGTGGGCAAAGAGTTATGATTAGGGCGGTTGGTATGGCAGTTGATTAGTTATGCGTTTGAAAGCATCAGACGGAAACATTGATACCGTACCCACGCCACGCCCACAGCGCCACCCGCGCTGACAAGCGCCACCCACGCATCCAGCACGGTGGCCGGTCGAAAGTGCTTGATGAAGCCGAATTCGTCCATCTCGACCAGCTGCTTCAGCACGCTGAAATTCGAGCAGTACGGCCGCACGTGCACGGTCAGCACGCACCCCCACCACCCCCCACCACCCCCGCCACCCCCGCCACCACGCCACCCATACCACGTGCGGCGTACCCGCCACCCGCGCTTACCTGCATCGAGGACAGTCGCCGGCCGAAAGTGCTTGATAAACCCGAATTCGTCCATCTCGACGAGCTGCTTCAGCACACTGAAATCCGAGTAGTACGGCCGCACATGCAGCGTCAGCACGCACGGCGCGTGCAGACACGGCACCTGGCCGTGCACCGCCGCCAGCGCGCACACGACGGCGTCGCGTGGTAACAGCTTTCGCACAATCTCCAAGGCGAGGTAGAGCTGCCGGTTCGTCTGCCACCGCCCCGCGTACCAGTACCGCGGCTCGTCTGGCGCGCAACGCGGGGTGAGATTGCAGGAGAAAAGGGAGGAGAAGGAGGGAGGAGAAGGAGGGAGGAGCGAAATAGAGCTGGAATTAGAGGTGCCGGTTCGTCTGCCACCGCCCCGCGTACCAGTACCGCGGCTCGTCTGGCGCACAGCGCGGGGAGACGGGGGCGCGATCGGACCAAGCGGGGACGGGGGACGGAAGGGAGGTGCGGTAGGTGGATGGAGGGAGGGAGGGGAAGGGGGAAATAATGCGGGGTGAGAGACTGAGCTGGGGAGCAACCAAGTAGCGCAAGACGCATTGAGGGCGTAACGAATCGATATACTGCAAAAGCGGATCCGGGAAAGCGCGCGTGTACGGAACAGGATGCGTCAGAGCATCTTACCTCGCCGCCACCCGTGTGCTTCCGCCATAATTCCCCGCAGCTCCATCGGACCCACTTTACGACTTTTTGAAAATGACATAAGCACGTCATTGACTCTTACCTCGCCGCCACCCATGCTCCTCCGCCATAATCCCCCGCAGCTCCATCGGACCCATCCCGCACGCGTCGCCCACGACTCGTATCCTCGCCATTTCCGCATCCGATATAGTCACAACGACGATCTTCCCGAGCGAGTTCAGCTGGTTCACCAGCCCCCCCGCTATAAGCGCGAGCGCGAAGAAGGAGAGCAACGGGAGGCTGTTCGCGGCCCACGCCCACGACCGCCATGGCTTGCCGCCGAAAGGGAGAAAGGAGGAGGAAGGGGTGGAGTAGGGGGAGGTCGGCGGTCGCGGCGAGAATCCCGCCGAAAGGCTTCTAACGGGGGCTGAAAGGCTTCTGGTCGGCGTGCCGTGTGTCGATTTTACGGGCGTGGTGGAGCCTTCCATGATGAGATTACTTCTAATCTCCTAGTGGAATGTACGGTTACTGCAGCGTTTAGCGCGCTAGTCTGGGTGCGGATGCAGATTCGGGAAAGCGAGAAAAAGCGGAGACTGTGCGAATAGCGGAGTCGTCGGAGAAATCGATTTTGGCGGAATGGTCGACGTGAATATTGGTGTCGTCTCGATGTGGACGGCAAGCGAGTGCTTTACAGGATGAACAAACGGTCACGCGGACTAATCTGTGGTCCACGGACGGCGTAAGCTGTGCCCGAATAAGCTAAAGCATTGATCTATTGTAAAACATCCACCTCGGGTTCAGCACAGGGGTTTCGAAGCGGAGAAACGCAACATTTGCCAGCAAGACTTCATACTGTGCGGTATATTTTCTAGGTATAACGAATAGGGACAAGAGCAACGGCAAGAACTTGAACAAAAAGACAGCGCCGACTCTGGCGTGGATTCAGCAACAACAGATACAACACGAAAGAGGCCGTGGTTGTAAATCTGCAGTCACCGCTGCCTGAAACCGCAGAGAGAGGCCAACCAAGAAATGAATGAAGGGCTAGGGAGGGGCGAAGAGGAAGGGTAGGAGAATCACATTTTCCTGAGTGATTGAAATGGAGAATGCGACGCGTCCGTTCTGTGCGGTTCGGCCAGACAGTCTCGCAGTCAGTATTGGTTCGGGAAAGCGGGTACACCGTGTCCGCTGGTCTGACCTCGTTTGAAGGACCTCGGAGGTTCAGGCTGACTGGCCAGCGGGAAATTTGGGGTCAGGTTGTTCAGGCGGACTTGTGACGGCATGGAGCGGTCTGGTGTCAGTCAGCTCTAGTTGGCTCTGGATACTTTTCGTCAGAGTACTGTCATACGTCTGCACTGCCACCAGGAAAAAAAGTGTACCGACCACCCCCGTGTGGTTCGGGGAGTGGGCCGAACTTTGACTGAGTCTCTTCGGTTACTCCGCAACAAGAGATCGCTACTCTCGTCGAGTTACAATATGTCTCGCTAAGATAACTACGAGATTTTCGAATTTTGCCTTGGGGCTGTCTCATAAGGTGGGACAAATTTGAGTGTCTGACGACCTATAACAGATTGACACCTGACAAACACAATGAAGCTGTTCTCTGTGATTGGATAAAACGGCGTGTGTATGCGCTGGCACATCTTTCTGGAATACACTGGCCACTAGTTCCTTCCGTGCACCTTCTCCTAAATCTTTAGCCCTCTGCTCCTTTGAGCATCAAGCAGCCAATTCATGTGACCAGGCAACCCTGAAGAATTTTGCGTTCACACTTATCACCGACAATTCAGCTTTCAAATAATCGGACATCGGTTCATTCAGGCTCGTTCTGCGCTACATTCGGATTCTGAGCTCTGAATAGTCCCGAGAGTAGATTAGGGGCAGAGGAACCGCGTTATACGTTTTACTCCTCGTTTATCGAGACGACTTTCTCAGCCATGGCATCCACCACAATAAATGGCATTCGGTTGATGCAAGTCGTCGAAAACCATGGCCTTTCGAGATCATCTGGTCTGCACCATTGGCCGCAACTCGTTCCCCGCAGAACAGTCGTTCATGCTTCATTCATCCCGCCGACCACAGTTCCATGCTCAGTCATGCTCTTATTGGAATCACACTCTTAACTTTCACGATGATACCGATTCCATGTCAAATGCTCAATTTCCTAACTTGTTCATTCTTTTCTTTTCCTGTCACCAGCAGTCATGACCATCAGGCGCAATGGCGCGGCCAGCTTGGTCCCTCTGCGTCTCCACGCAGCTTCCACCGTCTCTGCCACGTCATCTGCATCCCTGAACGCGAGAAGATTCTCGTGCAGGCCTGTCGCAGCGTCAGCGGGATCAGCGACTCAGGAGGAGCAGCAGAGTGGTGCGTCGGATCAGCCACCCCTGGTGGTGGCGACGCGCGAGAAAGGCAAAAACGGCAAGCTGATGAAAGCACTGGTAAGTCTTGCCACTCTGGAAAAAGAATATGCGTTCGGAACACAACGGTACGGAGTTGAAAGTGCTGATGAGAACAAGGAGCAGTCCTAGCTGCAATTATATGAGGAGAACCGTAGGAGACTGCCATTGATGCAGCTGCTCTTCTCGCCATGTGATGAACCCTATTCAAATCATCACATCCCGAATCGACGTCGCCCACAAATGGCGTGAGGGACGTGCCTGTGATGGAGCTCCCACTCATCCAGCTCTCAGACAAGCCCACGTGTGCACACTAGAATCATTCAGGACCCGGCCTTTCCCTGCGCTTGTCTCTCTAGAGTGCCGGAGTAGTGCCTGTAATGGAGCTGCTGCTCATCCAGCACTCAGACGTGCGCAAGTGTTCAATTGCAGCTTATTTCTCTCTCCCTGCTTGTTGTTTCCCGCAGAGTGCGAGGGGAGTGCCAGTAATGGAGCTGCCGCTCATCCAGCACTCAGACGGGCCAGACACCCACCGACTGCCAGCCGTGCTTCAAGGTCACTCCACACGCCTCCCCGCCTCCTTGTCCTTGCCAGCTTTTCATCCTTCCCCCCTCCCCGTCCCCTTCATTTTCCCCGTTTCCTCATTTACTCCCATTTTTCTAGGTCTTCTTGCCGTTTCCCTCTCAACCCTGGATGGCCTCTCAGCGGTTCTCATCTTGTTGCTTTTCTTCTCCCTCGTGCGTTTCTCACTGCAGAAGAGGAGTTCGAGTGGATTGTGGTAACCTCGCCAGAGGCTGCTTCAGTATTCCTTACTGGCTGGAGGTACGGTTGCACCACCACCTTACGCCCGTCTTCGCACCTTGCATCTGCATCACGCATGCCATTGCTCTCCCAGCCCCCTCTAGTCTGGTTCCCCATCTCCATTGATTGGTACTCCTCTGTCATAATCCCATCTATGCCACGTGCCCTTTTTCCCCTACACGCATCAATGCTAGCTGCCTCTCCCTCCCCCCTGCGCCTTTCAGAGCCGCAGGGTCGCCGGCGCTGAGGCTGGCAGTGGTGGGGGGCGGGACAGCGGATGTGTTCAACCAGCTGGCCGAGCAGGAGAAGCAGCTCCTGCCAGTCCAGTTCGTTCCTTCCAAAGGTAACCTCTTTTTCCACCGGTGACCTCATTTATTTGGTCAAATCTAAAGTGGGGGCGGCACAGCGGAAGTGTTCAACCAGCTGAGCGACACAGAGAAGCAGCTCCTGCCCGTCCAGTTCGTTCTTCCAAAGGTAACTGGTTTATTCTCCCTTGAATATTCTCTTTGGAGCTTCCTGGCTCGGCCGAGTGCTTCTGGTGCAAGTGCGTTCCTTATTCCCCCCCCGTCCCTCCTCTCCTCCCTCTCCGCCCTCCATGCTTCCCCAGCCACGGCCAAGTATCTGTCAGCTGAGATTCCGGAGATTCAAGTCAGCAACCGCCGGGTGCTTCTGGTGCAACCTTGTGTGCTCTCCTCCTCATTTCCATTCTCTCCTCCCTCTCCTCCCTCCCTCCCTCCCTGCTTCCCAGAGATTAAATGTGGCAACCTTTAAGACGTCTCAAAAGTCAACTACGTGTGCTCTCTCTCATTTCCCCTCTCCTCTCCCTCCACCCTCCATCTCTCCCCAGCCACGGCCAAGTATCTGTCGGCTGAGATTCCAGAGATTGAAGGCGGCAACCGCCGGGTGCTGTACCCCGCCTCGGCTGCTTTGGAGTCGACTCAAAAGCTCCTCCCCCTCCACCTGCCCCTCCTCCCTCCCTCCCTGCTTCCCCAGCCACGGCCAAGTATCTGTCGGCTGAGATTCCAGAGATTGAAGGCGGCAACCGCCGGGTGCTGTACCCCGCCTCGGCTGCTTTTGAGTCGACTCAAAAGCTCCTCCCCCTCCACCTGCCCCTCCTCCCTCCCTCCCTGCTTCCCCAGCCACGGCCAAGTACCTGTCGGCTGAGATTCCTGAGATGCAAGGCGGCAACCGCCGGGTGTTGTACCCCGCCTCGGCCAAGGCCAGCACGGATCTCCGTGGGTGCTCTGGGCTGGGATGCATGTTGGCTAGGGGGGAAAGATGGACGGGGGAGTGTGGGTGGGGGTGGGGGTGAAGAGGCCTGCTTGGTTGATGGTTTGTCACTGGTGATTGTTACTTTTGTCAAAGCTTAATACATTTCTGCGCTTGTGTGTGTGTGACTGCAGAGGATGGGCTGGCAAGCAGGGGCTTCCAAGTCACGCGGCTCAACACATACTCCACGGTATGCTGCATGGCTCCACTCCACGGTATGCTGCATGGCTCAACACATACTCCACGGTATGCTGCATGGCTCAACACATACTCCACGGTATGCTGCATGGCTCAACACATACTCCACGGTATGCTTCATGGCTCAACACATACTCCACGGTATGCTGCATGGCTCAACACATACTCCACGGTATGCTGCATGGCTCAACACATACTCCACGGTATGCTGCATGGCTCAACACATACTCCACGGTATGCTGCATGGCACTCAGCGCGTTCCGTTACAGCCACAGCACGTACCTCTGTCAGCTAACACGGTTGCGTTCCTTCTCTGGAGCTGTTTGTATCATTCAGACTTTCCCACTCATCGCCTTCGTCCATCGCTCCAGCAGTCTCATCGGCTTTCTTCCTCACCCAGGTCACATCCTTCCTCCATGGCTTGATCCATGTGTCTGTGTGTATGCGTGTGTGTGTGCGCCACACGGTGCGTGCATGTGGGCATCAGGAGTCGGTGACGAGTGTGGATGAGGACACCATACAGCGAGCTGCCAGGGCTCCTGTCGTTGCCGTGGCTTCTCCCACCGCTGTCAGGTGAGCAACAGAAGGCGGCCGGCTAGACCTGTGGGGGGGGGGGAGGAGGGGGGGGGGGCATCAGGAGTCGGTGACCAGTGTGTTGGAGGACACCATACAGAGGGCCGCCAGGGCTCCTGTCGTTGCTGTGGCTTCTCCTACTGCTGTCAGGTGAGCAACATCACACTCTCAACTCAGGAATTGACCCACTTCCCGCTTCCCTTAGTTCTCGCTCCTCTCCCCTCTCCTTATTGCTCCTGTTGCCCTTTGCCCCCTCTCCCTACTCCCCTTGCCCCCCCACCCTTATCCCAATCCTCACTCGCTTTGTCCTTTGCCCCTCACCCCTCTCTCTCCGCTCTACCTTCTGTTTTTCCAATTCCCACTCCACAATCTCTCCATTCATGTTTCCTTGCCTCCTCGCCCCTCGCCCTGCACCCCACACCCGGCGGCCCTCCCCCCTCACCCCAGGGCATGGATGGAGGTGGTGGCACCCCGCACGCAGTGGGAAAGCGCCGACTTTTGAGACATATCAGGCCTTTCCCCTCTGACCTTTATCCGCCTTGCCCCTCGCCCCGCACCCCAGGGCGTGGATGGAGGTGGTGGCGTCTCGCACGCAGTGGGACGGAGCTGCAGCGTGCATTGGGGGAACGTCCGCCGAGGCTGCGAGAAAAGCAGGAATCAGGAGGGTGTTTGCACCAGATAGCCCTGGAATTGAAAGGTAAGCTCGTTCAGGACCATGCGCTCCTCGCTCGCTACAGTAACCTCCCCTGCTGTATCAAGTGTCTCCTCATATTTGTCGCCTGCTCCCCGGCTGGCTTTTCTGTGTGCGTTCTTCTCCCTCTGTTTCTCTGTGCAGCTGGGTGGCCAGTGTCATGGAAGCACTGGAAGCAGCACCTGCTGAAGCACAAGCATAGAAAGAGCAGTTATTATACTGTAAGCAAGATGTTCTAGAAATCATTATATTGAGATCACGATCTGATGTATCTCATGTGTATCATGAATCTTGCCACAATTATTATTGATTCTGGCTTCGAAAATGGATTATACGGTATATAGCGGTGTGAGCGAGCCTGCGACGAGCTGTTCTGTGCGGAAATGGTCTCCGAAACTTCGCACGGTTACGTCACTGAGATCGCGTCACCCGCCAGCACAACTTCGCGAACACGTCATTGGGATCGCCACGCTTGCCAGCTCAACTTCGCAAAAGCTTCGCTGACGAATCCACTTCATCTCGCTTCTCTTCGTCAGCTCAGACCGTTAGAGAAGCCTATTTCGCCTCCACTATCCCTTCTCATTCCGTACACTCGCGTTCGAATAATCCTTTATTTTCCCCGTTTCTGTTGGCGGGAGATGCGTTTACAGGAGGCCTCCACGTAAGCTTAGCCGCAAGTCACGCTTCTAAACCGAGAGAGGATGTCAACGACTCCGTACACGTTAGAAATAGGAAGGCAGACACCTGTCCAGATATGAACATATACGTCCTCCCGCTGCCCGCTTGGACATGTACGGAGCGAATCGCCTTACGCGTGTGCTGTCTGAACGACCTGTACCGCTTCACGTGAATGTTTTCAAAGTCGGGACGACGACGAGACGATCCGTCCAAGGTACCACCAACCACCCCTAACAGCAGCCCCACCCGCATAACTACTAGAAGCAAACTTGATTGTTCGGAACAACCGCGTTAGTCCCGTCCCGCCTCTTTCCCTCGTTGTGGAACCTGCTTGTTTTACATCCTCTTGTAGTATCAACGGCTCGTCTCTCTGTCATCATGGAGCGCACTGCGTTTTGCTGGGTTCTAATAAGTGAGCGTGCATTGACGCCCTTCGCAAAATGCATCCATGGCTCTGCCGATCAGACACCTTCTGACCCGAGCTCGTCTTGGCATGATCGGGTGCTGCTGTGCTTTGCGCGGTGCTGTGCAGTGCTGTGCCTTTTTGGAGATATTTATCTTTCTGACTGGAGCTCGTATTGGCATGATTGGTTGGTTCCGTGCCTTGTGCAGTTGTATCGCTCGTAACGGTGGGCACAGCGTCTGCAACACTCCCAACAACTCCCCCCGCGTCACCTTCAGCGTCTTTCTCAGCATTGCTCTCAAGCGGGCTGTCTGTCCCCTCCTCCACTCAGGCCACTCCTTTAGTGAAGGGAAAGGCGTGTGTTTCAATTCAACCAATGGCGTTTTCTTAATGCTCAAAAACGCCTGAGCGCATCAATGCTTTCACGAATTTCGTGAAAGTACGTTGAAAGTAGTGTCTGCTTTCAGCAGCGAGGTCGCCGTGCTCCGCTGTTACTACTACCGTCACGGTTACTACTCGTATATGGTCTGGTGAAACCTAGGGTCGTATTATCTTTCCACAACCGCAAGCCCAGTCAACTCACATAGCATGATTGGACAAGTGGTCTTCCCATCATTTCATATACTGAACGGAAACCATCAGTGCGCATGTAGTGATAGTGCTATCAAATCACAGCCTCCTTCAGTGATGCTTTTCTTGGTACCTTCACTCCCATTCCCTTTCCAGTGCGTTATGCAGCCAGGCTCACTCCTACTCGTAGCAACGGAAAAGTGGTTGGCGACAAAGGAGCAACTGGAAGAGTGGTTATGAAGGGAGTCAAGTAAGTCCGTTGTTCGGTAACCATAGTTTAGTGTAGGTCCTGAGAGTATTATCCTGAAATTTTTGTTGCCAAACTCAGCTAAATGCAGATTGAACAAGCTGCAAACATCTGTGCTTAATAATGCATCTATGTGAACGTGGTGTATTCTTCTACTGTTGCACAAATATCATGCGAGGAGCCATGAAACAACCCGTGGTGCTTGTGTCCGTCCTGTTCTCCCTCGCCTCCGTGACAGGGCCTCTGCAAGTGCCTTCTATGCTGTGTACGACATTCATATCAACAACATCCGCTCTGGAGGAGCTGGGCCCTCTTTGGACACCGTTTCATCTTGCCTTGCTGGCAAGTATGAGGCAGGAAATGACTGGAAGAACGCCACGACTGCCAAGGGTGGTCGGCGCAAGCGCTACACCTTCACTAGCTACACTAGTGTGGGCCCAGGGTCGAAGGCTGATGTTCAAAGTTTTATCAAACAACGTTTACAGGAAGTGTCGAGCGGTTGGTTGGTGTTGTCTCATCCTAACAACAACTACGCACTCTGCGGGAAGATGAAGAAGCAATCGTAAAAGCTGGGGTGTGAGCACTGTAAAGAGTAGGAATGTAAAGAACATTGCAAGATTGTACCACTGATGCATGGCTGCCATGCCACCCCTTGTATTGGCTTGAATTTTACCATTATAAAGTATGGTTTTAGTGCAATGTTTTCAAGTCCGGGGGAGATATGCCTCGAGCATGTTACGGTATTTCTATATTTCAAATCATGCCCCCGTTGTAGATCAGGGAGACCCAAAGTGGCGTGTTGAGTACATTTACTTTCTTGCAGGTTGTGAGTACAGTATTGTGATGGAAATGTATCGAAATATGTTATCAGAATCGTTGTCATTTACTTTTGGCTAATGACGAGGTCGTGACCACGTGGACTCCGCCCAATCTGAGCTGGGCGAGCTGACATGGCAACACCACAATGAAGCTGCTCAGCTTCAGATTCTTTTCACCAGTATGAATTTCCTAGTTCTCCTGCACGTGTTTTTGTCTTGCCATTTTGCTGTTTTCGGCAACTGAGAACGTCTTGTTCTCGGTGCTGTTTGTCGTCCGCCGGATTCTGTCAGTCGCGGGTAATTGCTGGTCTCTCGTGGATCTGGACGGAAATCCAAGAGATTGCCAGATTCCGTGTTCAGGCGATCAGTCGTTGTTGGCCATATGGAGCAGTTTTCAAGATCCGCCTTGCGGTCGCATTTCCTTTTAGCATTTCTCGCAATAACAGCTTTGATCGGAAACGCTTGTATTACGGCCGCCAATGCTGGTCATGCGCACCGTGAGAGACGTCACCACCGTCACCACCACCACCACCACCATCATCACCATCACGATCATGGAAAATGCGGGGGGAGGCCTGGTAGGTACAACACGCGGGCTGGCCCGGTGGAGGGGAAGCTTAACGTGCACCTCGTCGCGCACTCGCATGATGACGTGGGATGGCTCAAGACCGTCGATCAGTACTATATCGGATCGAACAACTCCATTCAGGTGAGTTGACGTGGACATCCGTGCACCCGAATCTGTGTAGATCTGATATGTTTTCGTGCATTCTAATCGTGATTTCGGGTGAATTCGAGAGGATTTGGCTTATTCACCAGATGCGAATGCATATTTATAATGCCGGTCCGTTAATCTGTTGCAGGTTGCTGCAGTACAGTACATACTCGATACAGTGGTGGAACAGCTGAACGAGGACCCCAACAGGAAGTTCATCCAGGTGGAGCAGGCCTTCTTCCAGCGCTGGTGGCGCCGCCAATCCAAGGACGTGCAACGTGTCGTCAGGCGATTGGTCAAGAACGGTCAACTGGAATTCACGTAAGTCACTAAGGAGATGTTGGAGCTCTAATACGGGAGCAGGGGATATGCCGTGAAGGGACGTAAGATGTGGTCTTGTGACGAATGCGGTGATGAGTGCGGTGTTGGGGGAGGATGAATGCGGTGATTTCAACAATGGCGTGTGTTTGCGATTCGAGGAGCACTTCTGTCTACAGTGCAGGCGTAAGGTATTGAAGGTGATGCCATCCAATGGACACCGGACAGTTGAATTTGTGATATTCCGAGTGATGACGCTAGTTCCTGTGTCGCCTCGTTCACATGCCTCCCTCCCTGCGCGCCTTGCAGCAACGGCGGGTGGTGCATGCACGACGAGGCGGCGACGCATTACACGGACATGGTGCACCAGATGTCGCGCGGGCTGCGCCTCATCCTCTCTTCTCCCTCCCCCCCCTCCGCCCCACTCCCCCCTCCCGTGCTCCTCCGCGTGCCTGGTTCCCGCAGCAACGGCGGGTGGTGCATGCACGACGAGGCGGCGACGCACTACACGGACATGGTGCACCAGATGTCGCTGGGGCTGCGCCTCATCCCCTCCTCTCCCTCCCCCCCCTCCGCCCCGCTCCCCCCTCCCGTGCTCCTCCGCGTGCCTGGTTTCCGCAGCAACGGCGGGTGGTGCATGCACGACGAGGCGGCGACGCACTACACGGACATGGTGCACCAGATGTCTCTCGGCTTGCGCCTCATCCGCCGCCAGTTCGGCCAGGTGCCGCGCGTCGCCTGGCAGATCGACCCCTTCGGCCACTCCGCCGTGCAGGGCTACCTCATCTCCGCCATGGTGGGTGCTGCTGGGTGCTGCTGGGTGCTGCTGGGTGCTGCTGGGTGCTGCTGGGTGCTGCTGGGTGCTGCTGGGTGCTGCTGGGTGCTGCTGGGTGCTGCTGGGTGCTGCTGGGTGCTGCTGGGTGCTGCTGGGTGCTGCTGGGTGCTGCTGGGTGCTGCTGGGTGCTGCTGGGTGCTGCTGGGTGCTGCTGGGTGCTGCTGGGTGCTGCTGGGTGCTGCTGGGTGCTGCTGGGTGCTGCTGGGTGCTGCTGGGTGCTGCTGGGTGCTGCTGGGTGCTGCTGGGTGCTGCTGGGTGCTGCTGGGTGCTGCTGGGTGCTGCTGGGTGCTGCTGGGTGCTGCTGGGTGCTGCTGGGTGCTGCTGGGTGCTGCTGGGTGCTGCTGGGTGCTGCTGGGTGCTGCTGGGTGCTGCTGGGTGCTGCTGGGTGCTGCTGGGTGCTGCTGGGTGCTGCTGGGTGCTGCTGGGTATTGCCGGGGTGTAGCACGACTCGACGGGGGAACATTTCACCTTCTTTTCGCACCCTGGGTGTAGCGCGGTTGTGATGTGCTGCTCTTCGTGCACGCGGACTACCAGCACGGCGCTGTTTCACCGTTTCACTCTTTCACTTTCACCTCGGCCTTTACCCTCCTCCCCCGCCCTCTCCCCCCCGCCCTCCTCCCCCGCCCTCTTCTCCTGCCCTCCTTCCCCGCCCTCTTCTCCCGCCCTCCTTCCCTATCCTCCTCCCCCAACAGGGCGGGTTCGACGCAGTGTTCTTCGCGCGCGCGGACTACGAGGACAGCACCGTTGCATGTTTCACCGTCTCACTGTGATTCACTCTTTCACTTCGCCCTTTGCCCTCCCCCTCGTCGCTACCCCCTGTTGGCATCACCTCCCCTCAACAGGGCGGGTTTGACGCGGTGTTCTTTGCGCGAGCGGACTACGAGGACAGCGAGGCGCGGTACCGCGCGCGCACGGCGGAGTTCGTGTGGCGCGCGTCCGACACGCTCACGCAGCAGCGCGCGGAGGTGTTTGGCGGGCGGCTGTACGTGCACTACCTGCCACCCGACTCCTTCCGCTACGACACCAACAACTGGGACCCGCCCGTGCAGGTGAGGGACAGACGACTGTGCTCGCAACACCCAGCAGCACCTGTGCTGATCCTCTGCCGATCCTATCCCTGCCTTGCTTCGTTCCGTTACAACACCAACAACTGGGACCCGCCCGTGCAGGTGATGGGGAGAGTTGGAAGGCACGCGCTGTGCTGGCTGTTCGCTGTGGCACACTGAGACTGTTGTGCCGACGGCTGTCGTGGCTGTGGCTACACCGGTCGTCTCGTTCTGATCCGATCCGTGCATTGCTTTCTTCCTTTCCCCCACACCCCCAACCTCCCCCCCACGCCTCCCCCCCTCGCCTCCCCCCTCGCCTTCCCCCCTCGCCTCCCCCCCTCGCCTCCCCCCCTCGCCTCCCCCCTCGCCTCCCCCCCTCGCCTCCCCCCCTCGCCTCCCCCCCTCGCCTCCCCCCCTCGCCTCCCCCCCTCGCCTCCCCCCCTCGCCTCCCCTCCTCGCCTCCCCCCCTCGCCTCCCCCCCTCGCCTCCCCCCCTCGCCTTCCCCCCCGCCTTCCCCCCCGCCTTCCCCCCTCGCCTCCCCCCCTCGCCTCCCCCCCTCGCCTCCCCCCTCGCCTCCCCCCCCGCCTTCCCCCCCGCCCCCCCTCTGCCCCTGGCAGGACGACCCCGAGCTATATGACTACAACGTGCAGGAGCGGGTGGACAAGTTCGTGGAAACTGCGCTCAAACAGGTGAGGTGGAGGGAGAAAGCAGGTGGGTTGAGGGGGCGTGATTGAGGGTGGGTTTGGGTGGGGTTGTTGGGGTGGGTGGGATGGCCATGGGATGGGGAGCAGATGGAGGGACGGAAGGGGAACGGAGAAATCTTGGAGGGATCGCTTGCTTTATGCGTTGTCCATGTTTTTGGTGCCATGTTTTTGGTGCCATGTTTTTGGTGCGTGCAGCATGCGTCCATATCCTAGCGTATGCTCCACGTGTGAGCCCTGTGGCGCTGTGCTGCGCTTTCGCCTTCCATGTAAGGCATCTCATATAACCCATTCAAGTATCGCACCACATGGCACACCCCATGCATCCCACAGGTGGAGAGCTACTGCACGACCCATGTCATGTGGACCACGGGCGACGACAAGCTCATTCGCTATGTGCACCCCGTGCCCCTCCCTCCCGTGCACCCCCCCTCCCGTGCACCCCCCCTCCCGTGCACCCCCCCTCCCGTGCACCCCCCCTCCCGTGCACCCCCCCTCCCGTGCCCCCTCCCTCCCGTGCACCCCCCATCCCGTGCCCCCTCCCCCCCTTGCACCCCCCATCCCGTGCCCCCTCCCCCCTGTGCACCCCCCATCCCGTGCCCCCTCCCCCCCGTGCACCCCCCATCCCGTGCCCCCTCCCCCCCGTGCACCCCCCATCCCGTGCCCCCTCCCTCCCGTGCACCGCACCACCAGGCGGAGAGCTACCGTACGAACCACATCATGTGGACGATGGGCGACGACTTCGCGTACAGCAACGCGGTGACGTGGTTCCGCAACATGGACAAGCTCATCCACTACGTCAACCGTGACGGCCGTGTGAACGCATTCTACTCCACGCCCTCCATCTACGTGGACGCTAAGCACCGGGCCAACGAGTCCTGGCCCGTCAAGACAGGCGACTTCTTTCCGTGAGCCACTTCGCCCACCCCTTCACCCACACTCTCCCCTCTCGCATGACATGAACGCCTTCTACTCCACGCCTTCCATCTATGTGGACGCCAAGCACAGAGCCAACGAGTCCTGGCCCGTCAAGACAGGCGACTTCTTTCCGTGAGCCACTTTGCCACCCCTTCACCCACACTCTCCCCTCTCGCATGACATGAACGCCTTCTACTCCACGCCTTCCATCTATGTGGACGCCAAGCACAGAGCCAACGAGTCCTGGCCCGTCAAGACAGGCGACTTCTTTCTGTGAGCCACTTTGCCACCCCTTCACCCACACTCTCCCCTCTCGCATGACATGAACGCCTTCTACTCCACGCCTTCCATCTATGTGGACGCCAAGCACAGAGCCAACGAGTCCTGGCCCGTCAAGACAGGCGACTTCTTTCCGTGAGCCACTTCGCCCACCCCTTCGCCCACCCCTTCGCCCACCCCTTCGCCCACCCCTTCGCCCACCCCTTCGACCCTTCACCCACAACCCCCACACCGCCATCCCCCGTGAACGCATTCTACTCCACGCCCTCCATTTATGTGGACGCCAAGCACAGAGCCAACGAGTCCTGGCCCGTTAAGACTGGCGACTTCTTCCCGTGAGCCACAATTCTCACCTCACCCCGGGTCTTCCCCCCTCTCCTCCCATGGACCGTTATGGACCCAAGCTTTCAATGGCCTTCCCCTCACCCCCTCCCACGCTCCCCCCCCTCCCTACCTCGCTTTGTCTGCTTCGTCTGCTGTTCTTTTTACTCATTTCTCTTTGGTTTGATACTTTGCTTGTTCCTTCATGTGTTTTCACCCCGCCTTCCCTGTGCCACCCGCGGCTCCTCTCTTGCCCGGCATGCAGCTATGCGGACTGCCCGCACTGCTACTGGACGGGGTACTTCTCCAGCCGCCCCGCCTTCACATGTTTCTCTCCTCTCGTCCCTTCAGTTCCCCCACTCCGCTCCTCCCCCCACCCACACATGCAGCTATGCGGACTGCCCGCACTGCTACTGGACGGGGTACTTCTCCAGCCGCCCTGCCTTCAAGCGCTACGTGCGCCACTGCAGCGCGCTGCTCCTCGTACGCCCCGCCCCTGCCCGCCCTTACCCGCCCCTGCCCGCCCTTACCCGCCCCTGCCCGCCCTTACCCGCCCCTGCCCGCCCTTACCCGCCCCTGCCCGCCCTTACCCGCCCCTGCCCGCCCTTACCCGCCCCTGCCCGCCCTTACCCGCCCCTGCCCGCCCTTATCCGCCCCTGCCCGCCCTTACCCGCCCCTACCCGCCCTTACCCGCTCCTACCCACCCCTACCTGCCTCTCCCCTCCCCCCCCGTTTCTGCTTGCCCTTACCCGCCCTTGCCTGCTCCCACTCGTTCGTGCTGGCTAGGTGAATCTTGAGTCTGCTCGAAAGTTACTATTTGCACTCCTGCAGCCCGCAGCTCCTCTTATGCCCTGCCCCTGCCCACGTGTTCGTCCCCCTCCGTCTGTCATCCCCTTGCCTGTTTCTTCCTTTCTTACACTCGTTCTTCTGTTCTTGTGCTTGGTAAGGCATGCAGTCGCTTCGAGGTTGATTCTTGCAACTCGAAGCCTTCTCACCACTCTCCCGCTCATCTCCTCTTTGCTCTCACCTCCCACGGCGCTTGTGCACCTCCTCCCCCGCCCACGTGTTGCATTCACTTGACAGGCTGCCAGGCAAGTGGAGGCGCTGGTGGGGGGCAGCAGGCTGGGGAGAGGACTGGAGGGGGGAGCAGCGGGGGTGGAGGGGCGCGAGTGGGGAGTGGAGGAGTTGGAGGAGGCGATGGCGGTGGCACAGCACCATGACTCAGTGAGCGGCACGGCCAAGCAGCACGTTAATGACGACTACACGCTCAGGCTCTACCGCGGGGCTGTCAAGGTGAGCGTTGCATTTGAGGGTAGGGGACGTAAAGGTGAGGGTGAGAGCATGGGGGGTCTGGAATGCATCGCCTTTATTGTGAGCGGCGCGGCCAAGCAGCACGTCAACGACGACTACACCATCAGGATCAGGCTCTACCGCGGGACCGAGAAGGTGAGCGTTGGGGGGGACTCGACAGCTTTTGAAATGCCTTTGTGAGACGGGACTGGATGTGAGGTGAGGTGCTGTTTCTGTGAGCTGCACGGCCAAGCAGCATGTCAACGATGACTACACGCTGCGCCTCTACCGCGGGGCTGTCAAAGTGAGCGTTGGGGAGAACAATCGCGCATGCCTGTGTTGAATCCCGTCTGTGCTTTTCTGTCCTCTAGTGTGGCCCTGTCGAGCTGTTGAGTGGAAGCAAGGCAGTGTGAAGTCAACTGGGTGCTGCTAGTGAAATGAAGAGGCCAGTACCGCTGCCAGGGATGAGTGAATTTCTTGTCATCGGAGCCCCCTGTGGTGATCACAGGGGGGCATGACAGAACATCTAATCTTCTCTCTGAGGCATCGTTTGCCCGCAGGCTGCTTTCCCCAAACGTGTTCCTGTTCCTCTGGTTCCGTGGTAATGCCTGTGTGCTTTGGCCTCGTGTGCTTTTGCTGGGCTTTGGTGTTATATAGTCTCGCCCGGGGCATTAACTTGGTCTCTTAGTTTGGTGAGATGTGCTGATGCATTTCTACGGTGTGGTATCCAAACGTCAGTGTGATGTGTACTTGTGTCTCGGTAGCAAGGGCTGTGCTGCCACTGCCAGTGATGATTATATTTCTTGTCATCAGAGCCTCCATGCGGGGCCATGACAGACACTTATATCCCCTCTGAGGCATCTGTCCACCCACACGCCACTCCAAATTCATGTCCGCAATTCCTCGTTGTCGCTGTTCTTGTGTGATGCCTCAATGAGGCGTTTCAATCTCCGCACTCGGACTGGCTGGCTTGCTGGTGATAGCTGTACACGCACGCTGCAGCCAGACCTTGTGTGTGGGTCTGCTTTGCATGGCTTTGCTGAAAGGGCTTTGTTGCGTCAGTGGGGTGTTTTGGAAAGGGCTGGTGCTGCTGCCAGGGATGAGTGAATTTCTTGTCATCGGAGCTCCCAGTGATGATCACTGGGGGCCGGGACGGAGCATCTAATCTTCTCTCTGAGGCATGCCTTGTGGCACATGCAAGCGGCACACAGAAGTACTCAATCAGATGCCACATTACACATGCATCATGCAGATGATACTTGTCAGTTGAGTGGTATCAGGGCTAGAGATGCTGCCAGGGATGAGTGAATTTCTTGTCATCGGAGCCCCCTGTGGTGATCACAGGGGGCCGGGACGGAGCATCTAATCTTCTCTCTGAGGCACGTGTGGCTCTACATTGAGTTGAGTCTGTAATGGCTTCATAATGAGTCTTCTCCCTCTACCATCCCCATGCTCCCACGAGTATCATTGCTTTTGCTGGCTGTGACATCCACGTTAGAGTTTGAGTCAAGCAGCATAGAACTCTAAGCAATTCCACGAGTATGCCATGAGTATGGCAGGGAGCGTATGCTGTTCCAGCCCTTGCTGGTGCATTGACCCCCCACCCCCATCCCTGCCTGTTCTCTATCCCCACGTGTTTGTAACTCTCAGGCCTCCTCGCTGCTCACACGGGCCATTCGCTACATGATCTCCCGCCAGTCCGACGCTGACACGTGGCAGTCCCAGTCTCTCCTGCAGCAGATGCCAAGCTCCCGGCCCCTATTCTCCTCCGCCTCCACCACCCCCGCCACCGCCTCACCTCTCGTGCGAGCCCTTGGGCAACGCCGTGTAGCACAAGCAGCAGAGGTTCGAACCGACAGGAGCAGAGGCAGACTGGAACTGAGCTTCGAGCTGGTGAGTGCGGCTTTGCCTTGCACACAGCATTTACTTCTCTCTCTTTTTTTTTCTTCGTTTTGGTTCATTTGTTGCTCATTACAGTCTTAACCTCTGACTCACATGCACACGCTGGCTTTCCCCCTGTGCTCCCTTGTGCTGCTCCTCACCCTCTTTCCTGCCGCAGTGCCCGCTGACAAACATTTCGTTCTGCCCGCCTTCACAAACGGATCTCCAGGACGGGAAAGTGCTGGTGAGTACCAGTTCCCATCATGCCTTGCTGTCGCATCTGTCGATCGCATCGCTGCTGCTTTTAATCGCTGCTGCCCTGATTTGTTGCCTCGCAATGTGACGCATTGGAATGCCATGTGGTGCATGGGTTGTGTAGTGATATAATGCATTCCAATGCCTCGTGCTGTGCTGTGCTGTGCTGTGCTGTGCATGCATGCATGCACCAGGTGGTAGCGGTGTACAACCCACTGGCATGGGCGCGCAAGGAGATCATCCAATTCCCTGTAAGCCACCATCACCCGCCCAGGACCCTCTTCGCCCCCTGCCTCTCACACTGCTTCCACGCTTCTCACTTTTCTGCTCAGTTTTTCACCAGCTCCATTCTATGCTCTATTCTTTCCCCCATTCTCAACCTCTCTTCTGTTTTCCTCTCCTTCCATCTCCCTTCGGCCCATCCCTCTTCCGCTCTTCTCTCGTTATCCCCTCTTGCGTTCTCCTTTCTTGCTCACTTCCTCTTACCGGCGTTCTTCCTATCGCCCAGGTGTCAACTGCTGACGTGGAAGTGATGAATGCCAGCGGGGCAATCATCCCCTCCCAAGTCCTGCCAGACACGCTCCTCCTCCCCTCCACCCGCTCCTTCCTCATCCAAGCCTACGCCGGACCTGATGCCGAGCCAAACGCCAGTCCTCCCGCCGGAGCTAATGCCGAACCTGATGCTGCAGCTGGTGCCGATTCTGGTAATGCAGGCTCCGAGGCACTGTCGTTGGTGTTCTGGGCAGATGCGCCTCCCCTAGGTGTTGCCTCATACTTCGTGCTGTATAAATACCCTGAAGGGAGAGACCAGGGTGGAGTTGAGGAGGGGGTGGGGCAGGAAAAAGCAGGAGAAGAGGGTGTGGAGCAGGAGGATAGCATGGAAGGGAGAGTGGTGGAGGGCCAGAAGGAAGAGGGGAAGGTGATGCAAGAGGAGGTCGAAGAGGAGGAGGAGGATGAGATAGTGATTGGCGGGTGGGCAGAGGGGGAGGAGGGAGAGGGCAGTAGCAGCAGCAGTGCACTGACACTCTCTTTCTCCAGGGTGCAGGGGGGCAGGATGACCCGTGCTGTGCTGCTGAAGAGGGGCGAGGGGCTAGCGGCAGGAGCAGCAGCGGCAGCAGCGGCAGCGGATGTGGGGGTGGAGTGGGCGTGGTACAATGCGAGTGACGGCAAGGCCAGCAGGGAGGCATCAGGGGCGTACATCTTCCGCCCCGTCTCCTCTGATCCTGTGCCCATCACCTCAACCAACGCCACTGCGGTATGGCCTTGCACACCTGCTCTCTCTACGTCCTCCTCCCCCCTCCCTCTCTGCCCCCAATTCTCTCCACCACATGCTCTCCAGCCCCTGTTCACTCCCCCCATTTCTCTCCCCCACACTTCTCCCCCCACCTCTCTTCCCACACCGCACATGTTCCCAGTCCTGTGCCCGCTCCATGTGCCTCTCATCGTTCTCTCTCTATCTCTCTCGCTCCCCTTCCCCAGGCGTCTGTGAGGGTGGTGAGGGGCGCACTGGTGGACGAGGTGCACCGCCAGGTGTCGCCCTGGATCCACGAGGTGAGAGGGGAAAAGGGGGGAAGGAGGGGATAGGGGGTGGAGGAGCGATGAATTCACTTCTAAGGTGCACCGCCAGCCTGTCATTCACCCCGCCAAAATCCAACCCGGGCGGCGCCGTCAAGCTCCGGTACTCCAAGCCGCCCAGCGGCGCGGGCGGCGCCACCCAGAAGGAGTCCGGGCGGGCCTTCATGAGCCACTTGTAGCGGCGTCTGTAGCGGCCTCAAACCTGTCCTCTAACCCGACCTCTAACCTGACGTCAAACCTAACGTCAAACCTGACCTCAAACCTGACCTCAAACCTGATCTCAAACCTGACCTCAAACCTGACCTCAAACCTGACCTCAAACCTGACGTCAAACCTGACGTCAAACCTGACGTCAAACCTGACCTCAAACTTGACCTCAAACCTGACGTCAAACCTGACCTCAAACTTGACGTCAAACCTGACCTCAAACCTGACCTCAAACCTGACCTCAAACCTGACGTCAAACCTGACGTCAAACCTGACGTCAAACCTGGCCTGAAACCTGGCCTGAAACCTGACGTCAAACCAGACGTCAAACCTGACATCAAACCTGACGTCAAATCTGACGTCCAACCTAACGTCAAACCTGACCTCAAACCTGACCTCAAACCTGATGTCAAACCTGACGTCAAACCTGACGTCAAACCTGACGTCAAACCTGACCTCAAACCTGACGTCAAACCTGACCTCAAACCTGACCTCAAACCTGACCTCAAACCTGACGTCAAACCTGACGTCCAACCTAATGTCAAACCTGACCTCAAACCTGACCTCAAACCTGATGTCAAACCTGACATCAAACCTGACCTCAAACCTGGTGTCAAACCTGACGTCAAACCGGACGTCAAACCTGACCTCAAACCTGACCTCAAACCTGACCTCAAACCTGATGTCAAACCTGACGTCAAACCTGACCTCAAACCTGATGTCAAACCTGACGTCAAACCTGACGTCAAACCTGACCTCAAACCTGACCTCAAACCTGACCTCAAACCTGACGTCAAACCTGACCTCAAACCTGACGTCAAACCTGACGTCAAACCTTACGTCCAACCTAACGTCAAACCTGACCTCAAACCTGACGTCAAACCTGACCTCAAACCTGACGTCAAACCTGACCTCAAACCTGACGTCAAACTGACATCAAACCTGATGTCAAACCTGACGTCAAACCTGACCTCAAACCTGACGTCAAACCTGACGTCAAACCTGACGTCAAACCTGACGTCAAACCTGACCTCAAACCTGACCTCAAACCTGACCTCAAACCTGACCTTTTATCTGACGTCAAACCTGACGTCAAGCCTAAACGTCAAAACTGACGTCATTCCTGACGTCAAACCTGACGTCAAACCTGACGTCAAACCTGACCTCAAACCTGACCTCAAACCTGACCTCAAACCTGACCTCAAACCTGACGTCAAACCTGACGTCAAACCTGACGTCAAACCTGACCTCAAACCTGACGTCAAACCTGACGTCAAACCTGACGTCAAACCTGACCTCAAACCTGACGTCAAACCTGACCTCAAACCTGACCTCAAACCTGACCTCAAACCTGACGTCAAACCTGACGTCAAACCTGACCTCAAACCTGACGTCAAACCTGACGTCAAACCTGACCTCAAACCTGACGTCAAACCTGATCTCAAACCTGACGTCAAACCTGACCTCAATTTGACGTCAAACCTGACCTCAATCCTGACGTCAAACCTGATGTTAAACTTGATCTCGAACCTGGCCTCAAACCATAGCTTCATCAAACAATGCTAAAAAGCCAATCGAATGTAGCTTGACCCCATGCGTTTCGAAATCGAATAGTTTTGAGCTATTCATGCTGCTCTCTTCTCCCCCCCTCCCCTCTGCCTGCCATCTGTGTGTGGCAGATCGTGAGAGTGTACAAGGGCACCAACTATGCTGAGTTGGAGTATGCAGTGAGTGCTGCCAGTGGTGTGGGCGATGTGGGCGATGTGGGTGATGTGGGATCAGTAGGTGTTGTGGGTGCTCTTAGGGCCTTGAGTGCTGTGGGTGCAATCAATGCTGTAAGGCCTGCGGAAGCAGTGGCACGCCGTTACACATTCGCCGGTTGCCTCCTCCCACCTAATCTCATCACAGGTGGGACCAGTACCCATAGAGGATGGCTTCGGCAAGGAGGTGGTGCTGCGCCTCTCCTCCTCCCTTGCCAGCAGCAGCAGCACCATCGTCCTCACTCCTTCTGGTCCCTCCCTTGTCCGTATGCATTTCCCCATTTCCGCCCATCACAGGTGGGACCAGTGCCCATAGAGGACGGCTTTGGCAAGGAGGTGGTGCTGCGCCTCTCCTCCTCCCTAAGCAGCAAGCCAAAGCCTTCTTAAGCCCTCTCATCTCCTGCCTGCTTGCCTCTCCCTCTTATGCTCGTCACAGGTGGGCCCAGTGCCCATAGAGGACGGCTTTGGCAAGGAGGTGGTGGTGCGCCTCTCCTCCTCCCTCGCCAGCAACGCCACCTTTTACACCGACTCCAACGGCCGAGATTTCATCCAGAGAAGACGCAACTTCCGCCCTGACTGGAACCTCACTGTCACCGAGCCTGCTGCTGGCAACTACTACCCCGTGAGTAAAATGTGCTGTGCTGATTGCACGCTGTGAGTGAGTTTCATCCAGCGCACGCGCAACTTCTGCCCCGTGTGGACTGGAACCTCACTGTCACTGAGCCTGTTGCTGGCAACCTCTACCCTGTGAGTGGGTTGCGTTTTGCTGAGTGCTTTATGTGGTGCTCGGTAACGGTGAGTTTCATCCAGCACACCGCAACTTCCGCTCTGACTGGAACCTCACCATTACCGAGCCTGCTGCTGGCAACTACTACCCAGTAAGTGGATGACACTGAAATCTCAGGTACGGTACCAACCTGCCACGCCGTGCAAGTCCCCGGTACAATGAGATTTGCACCAGCGTTTCAACACCAGTCTCTTCGTTCCCTGTGTCCCTCCTCCCTGTCCCACACCATATCCCGCCCCCGCCTGCCACCACTCTCCCTCTTCCCCACCAGCTGAACGCAGGCATCTATCTGCATGATAACAACACAGACTTCTCAGTACTGGTGGACCGACCCAGCGGCGCATCGAGCCTGGCAGACGGGCAGGTGGAGGTGATGCTGCACCGCCGCCTGCTGCACGACGACCACCGCGGCGTGGCAGAGGCCCTCAACGAGCGCGTGTGCATTGGGGGGCAGGAGAGGAAGGAACAATCGCAACCTCCTGAATGCATGGGCCTCGTAGTCTCTGGGACTCTGCGCTTTGGGCTGCACCCGCATGGGCGGAGCGAGGGGGGTGTGGTGGGAGTGGGAGCGGGGGAAGGGAGTGGAGAGGGGTTGGCAGGAGGGAAGGTGGAGGGGGAGGGAGTTGAGGCGGCTGCGGAGTGGCGGCGGGGGAACATTCAGCGAATATTCTCTCCATTGCGAGTGGCGTTTGCCGTTGAGGTGGGTGGATTGGGGGGAGTGTGCATGGAGCAGTGCGGGTGGAGTGTGGGCACATGGGGGCTTGTGGGTTGGGCAATGGGTGTTGTGACATGGGCCATGGGCCACGGGTCATGTATGGCATGCTGCACATCTTCTTGGCATCTCTCTGCATTCACACAACCCACCCCCCTGCCAACCCCCGCCCCTCCCCCCCCTCCCCGATCCCCCCCGTCGCCTGCTTTCCGTTGTTCATCGTGTAAAGAGCTTTTGTGGTTTGAGATGCCTGGCACCCGCTTGACAGTTCTTCGACTGGTGTCTGTGTGTGTGGCTTGCTTCTTGTTGGTGGGGTTGACTGGCATTGACTGCCTGGATGGGGCATGGTGAGGGCATGAATTGGGGTATGAATGGGGTCTGGATGGGGGCATGAATGGGGTTGACTGAGGTTGTTTGGCACTGATGGGACATAATGCTGGTTGACTGGGCATGAAGCGGTTGACTGGTGCAGAATGAGGATGATGTGGCAGCGGAGGGTGGACTGTACACGTGGCAGTTCTCTGGCACCCGGAAGAGCAAGTCTGAGGAGTCAAAAAATTCAATGCTGTCAATGCCTCTTGGAAGAGGAGGGAGACGGGCGATGAAGGAGACTAGCAGCATTGGGGAGGGTAGGAGAGCGGAAGAAGAGTTGGAGGTGGAGGAGGAGGAGGGTTATGAGGACAACGAAGAGGGGAAGGAGGAAGAGGAGGAGGAGGATGATGCAGAGGAAATGGATGGGGTTCAGGAGAGTGGGGAGAGGGTGAGAAAGGAGGGTGCGTATGAGCTTCCGAAGAACACTGTAATAATCACACTCGAGGTACCACCAGGCCCATTCAGCCCCCCGTGTCGTCATGCTCTCTCTGTCACGCTGGCAATGTTTCAGAATGCAGTGTGGTACGTGAGGGGGCACCCCCTAACAGTGCCACATGTCCTTTTGCACCTCACGCACATGCTCCTTGTGTCTCCCTCTCCCCGCTGCTCCGCTGGTGCAGGAGGTGCATGAGTACAAGGTGCTGCTGCGACTCGCCCATCTCTATCAAGTAAGATCCATCCCTGCCTGCTCTGCCCTCCCAGTTCTAAACCCCACTTGGACCAACCCCCACTTGGACCAACCCCCACTTGGTCCAACCCCCACTTGGCCCAACCCCCACTTTATCTCCAGTTGTCTGCTTGTTGTCCCTCTTCCTTCTCACCCAACACCCTTTACGTCAACCATCGGCCATCCTCACTATCGTGCCTGCCCTGGCATCTCTTGACCTTGTTGTTGCCTGCTTCTTCACAGGCTGATGAGGACCCTATTCTCTCGCAGCCTGCTCGTGTGGACCTTGGCAGGCTCTTTGCACACCAAGAGGTGAGGAGTGACTTCCTGCTGTTCGTGAATAGTGTCCTCCTTTTTCGTTCCGTTGCATTTATGAATTGAAGTTCATTGCTGCTGCTTCTTGGCAGATTGAGAAGGTAACTGAGCTCAGCCTGATGGCCAACCAGAAGCTCTCAAAGATGCGGCCACCAATGAAATGGAGGACTGAGGAGGTGGGGTCAACGAATGGCATCCATGGAGTTGGACAGAGGGATGCATTCGACTCCACAGACGGCCCATTCATTGTGGAGCTTGGTCCGATGGAGATTCGCACATTTGCGGTTCACTTTGATGATTGATATGGAAAGTGTTGGCCTCGTTGTTTACTGCTGCTTGTGTACATACATGTGGGTGATTGTCAAGCGCGCATGGTGTCTGTTAGGGTCCTCCTAGATTTTCACTTCTTCTAAGATAGGAACGGAAACTGGCGTACTGACAACCTAGGTAGAACATATGGGTAGATTCATAACGGGTCAAAACGCGTCATGCTTCGTCCCCAGTGAAGGGAAGAGCCCAGTACCAGCGCAAACAGTACCCAAGGGTTCCTCACAGCGGAATAGTCAGCCCGACACCACCCGACGAAATCAGTACTCGTTTCGCTGCCAATCGTAGCCTACACTGTGTTACGAAACATCCCCTTTCCGATTCGCCAACGGGCAGACTGCCGCAATTGACCAATCAGCAACCGTCTTCACCGACGGAAGCAATCAAAACACCGTCAGCAGCACCTCGCTTTTCCCCTTCCCTTCGCACCCCCACCAACTCAACTTCGCTGCCTCCCAGCTGTCACCCCACACCAGCACCAGCTGTCACACCAAACAACCCAACATTCGTGGTCGTCGCTGACATTTCTCGAAAAACCTAGACTAGCTTGTTGATTGTAGCTGAAGAATTTACTAGCCTGTGCAGAGGACATCGCCCGGTGTTTCATTATGTTGAGAGATTAGAGCTAGACCGGGTATCTTACATTGTTCGGCGGTTTAGACTTCTGTTATTGTTTTCGCTCTGCGCTGAACACATCTACGCCCTACTATCTCGGAATTTTACAGTACTCTTGGAGCCTTACGATTTTGGAGTCCATGGCGGACCAAGAATTGTCTATGGCAGAGCAGGTACTTGAATCGTATTCAATTTGGGCCACTGCCGTTGTAAGCCTACTAATTGTGCTCCAAAACAGCTCTTACAAAAGACTACGTTATTAATCATTGTTTGCTTGAGTGAAAGTTCTTCCTTTTTCCCACGTTTCTTGGCCCTTTTTCGGTCCACCACCCAATTTTCCGCGCGTACAATGGTCCCACTTCCACACCCCCTCACGTGTTCAGGAGGCGCGTTTGAAGAAGAAATATGGCGGAGCGCTTCCGAAGAAAAAGGGGCTTCTTTCGAAGGTAATGCAGTGCATGATTTTTTTTTTTTTTTTGCCTTATCTCCGGTGCTCGCTGTCCTTTGGTCTCGCACTGATTCCGCGCCCTCACACTGGTTATCCTGTGATATACGATGATGCGTGTTCACTGCCTGCAGGGTCATGAGAGAGCTTTCTTTGACTCAGCCGAGTGGGCTATTCAGAAGGTCAGATACCTCCCTTTTATCTGGGCCCGTCTGGACCAGCAAAGACCTCCTCAAGTCTGCTTCACCTCCCAGAAATACCGTATTCTCTGTATTTGTGCCTCTCCTCGGCCCTTGCACTGATGAAGAACTGTTCCATGTGTCCAATTGTCTTACTGCAGCAAAAGGGTGGCGAAGTTAAGCCTCCAGCAGCCAATGAGGGGGGTTTACAGCCAAAACTAGAGGTGAGTTGCCATTCAAAGTTATGAAGCACTAAATGGTTCTTGACCTGGTCAACGTCTCCTGAAGCATAGTCTCCCATACATATTCTTTTGTCTGCCCAGTTGGTATTCCCCCTCCTTTAGACATGTCCGCAAACCAGCATGTTCAGTATGTCCATCAGCTACCTCCCTGGATCGTCACCCGCCCTTCCCCTACCACTGCCTCCTTCACTGCTTTGTTCATTCAGCCCACCCCGCATCAACCATTCCCAGCGCGGAGGTCGTCGCTATCAGAGCCTGATCAATGAAGCTGGGAATGATAGAGGTATCTTGTTGTGGTTGCAAATATATATTTATGTAGACGGGTAGTTCGCAAGCATGCCAAGCACTCCTCAGCTGCTGCATTATGCTGTGAAGGTGGTTTATCCTTACTGACATGTTCATCTCAGAAGGCTTGGCACGTGTGCATGCCAAGCACATGCGTGCTGTTTCTAGGCATTTTTGGTTTGTTAACAGGCCCTCAGATTGGTTTGGGGGTACACTGAGGCCTCAGGGCAGTTTTTAGGAAATCAGAATTTGCCCTGAATTGTCAGGGCTGCAAAGGGTTATGTATCCTGAAATGTCAGTGCGAAATTTGACTGTATCCTGGCAGTTCAGTGCTACATTTCGTACAGCCCTGTACGTTTCGCGCGTGTTATGTTAGCGGGGGTCGAAATGCTCTCCACATTCGAAGTGTGTGATGCTGGGGTGCACTACATAAAGAAGAAGCACAAGGATAAATTATTCTGCGAGTTATCTCACGTGAAGTGTTGTCGTGGGTGAGGTGCCAGTCTGTAACTTAAGAGGTCTCCAGCTCGATTCCCGCTGCCTTCGAGAGGTCTGCTCGGGGTGCACGCCCTAGTACACTTTTAGGCCCCCCGAAACCTAGGAGAGGTTTGGTACAGTACATCTCGCTTCAGGGCGAGATTCGACACTATCCTGAGTCGTCAGGGCCGAACCTACAGGGTTATCCTGAAGTTTCAGTACGCAATATAACCATTATACTGATCTTACAGGACAAGATATTCCCTTATGCTGTTTTTTCAGGAGAAGCACACGTAACCTATCCTGAATTCAGGAGAATCAGGATAAATTATCCTGATAACATAGGCCCTGTTTGTTAATGAAGCACGTAGATCTGTCTATCTCACATTAGTTTAATGTACTAAAGCTCACTGCTATTTCCGTGGTGTCTCTGCAATGAATGGCTGTAATGTACTTTAAAAGGGGCAGCGTATGTCTCTTCTTAAATGAGATTTACTGTTTAACGCATACGTCCTTGGTTGTATCTCAGCATTCTTTTCTGCCCAATCTCGCATCGCTCAGTAGGATCGGCCGCACTCCCCGGCACTCAACCAATATGCCATCTAAAACGTTCGTGTCGCTCTTTGGCAGGGTGCCTTCGCAAATATACGGACCGCACGCAAAATCGCATGGTTCGAATTTGTGTCGTCACAGAAGATGCGAAGTCCCGTTGACGAGTACGAACGTCGAGAGTGGCTGACGACCGCAGTATCTCGATCGTCAGAAATTCGCATAGATTCGTGCACTCGCTGTCTCAAATATTGGTGGCCCCCTCCACCACAAACACTGCAGGGTCGGTGCCGTCAGCTCAAGTCGAAATGCCAATTTTCTTTCTGCACCCAAATCATCATCCCTTTCCAAAGCTTGAAGTTTATCAGACAGAACCAGAGCCTTCACCCCCCGAATTAGACTACAGCTAGAGAAACTTAGGCAACACGTGCTCCACGCGCTCATAGGAGTCATGACTCGGCATCCATTCCTTATGTTAGTAGCTCTATCTCTGCTCATCATTTGTGCATCTGCTGAGATGAAACCGCGAGAAGATTTAGTGGGCAGTCCACCAAAAGCGTCCACTCGTTCCGGAAGACAGACTAACGTTACGTCTCCGACAAAGCCCAAAGCTGTAACGAATTCCCCGTCAAAACCCGTTAGCGGCGCAGGCTCTCCGCGAAAACCAGGAGGTAGTATGGGCGGTGGAGGGGGCTCTGGTGGCGGCACAGGGGCGCGAAAAGGCCCACCGCCGGCTTCTGCACCAGGGGCGGGTAAGGGGGGAGCGGGAGGGACGAAAAATGGAGGCGGGGGCGGAACAGGTGGCGGGGATGTGCGGCCACCTGGAGGTAAAAAGAGCAACTCGACCGGCGGTGCCAAGCCGAAGACGAACAGCAACGATACGCCCCCAGACGCGCCGCCAGACGATGGTTCGAATAGTGGTACGTTGGAGTCTAGCGACGGCTCGGACCCAACACTGCATTTTATTCGAGTTGCTGTCGCCGCGTGCCACTATTCGAGTCAGCAATCGGGTTGATCCATCCCAGGCACCTGCTTCATATTCTCCACCTCGCCTTATGGTATTCCTCTGTGCGCTGGCAGACACTGGCCGGGTCGCCGTGTTCAGCAACGCGACGCTGCTCTTCCCCGTCAACGCGGCGGCTTTCGCCATGTCCATCGCCACGTTCAGAAGCGATCAGGTATGTCGCCATGATTCCGCCAACAGACCAACCTTTTGAAAACAAAGCTTTCTGAATTGTCAGCATACTTACGAGAGGTTCCTGGCCATGCGCATTCCTTCTGAATGGCCATGCACGTCCACGCGTTCATGAGTAGACCCCTTGAGCATTCGTCGACATTAATAACCGTTCACATTGGTGAAAAAACAATACCGAACGAAACGGGACAGGCACCAGCCAGACCCGCTGCTACTGTGCGCGGCGCTGGTTCGTGCAACTTTCTTAACCAACCGCAATCTTGGTAGCTATTCACGGCGGATGATGGGGCATGCCTTAAACACACCACAGGGCGGATTTACCAAAGCATGCTACGTTGGACATAATTTTGGGCCCAGAAATGCTGTAACAAAACCAGATTTCGGACCGAGTGCCACCTGCACTCTGTATTCGACCAGCTGTGATATGGAGAGGCTTCTGGAAAAACACCAATCTGTTCGTGCTCCCTTTCCATTCGTCGCTCGTGCGCAGGTGGCGCGAATGTTCACGTACCACGCGATCAGGGGCGCGTACAAGGCGTGGCAGCTGAAAGCGTTACCCATTAACACGCGCCTGCCCACCATGGAAGGCTCGTTCGTCACCAAAGTGTCCAAAGTCAATTCGTCCAAGCTCGCGTTCAAGGGGAAGGGCGATATACCCGTTAGAGTGATAGTTCCGGATATGTACGAGGGCGAAGACATGTACATTCATGGCACCGACTCCGTGCTAGTACCGCCCTCCGTTTGAGTTAAGTTATGCTGAATCTGCTGCTGTTTTCAGCCATTTCCTTGCAGCAGCATCTGAGGAATGTGGGCCCAGTTTGCTGCATCCCCGGCATTCTCACTAACAAGGTACTGCAGAGCCACAACGAAAGCCGAAATCCAATGGCTTCCCTTTGGCCCCGTTTACTTTGCCTCATTATAAATGTTATGATTTGAAATCCGCTCGTTAGCTCGCATGAGTAACGATGCCGATTCTTCCGGCAAAGCCTCCTCTAAACGTATTGGCTGTATGTGGGGTACAGTAGTAGTTTTGGTGTTTTTGCGTTCTCACAACCATCACAACAATTCACATTTGCACAATTGACCATCACCACTTTTCTAAGGCAAAGTGCCAGTTCGGTTGGCAGTGTCACTTCACAACGACATTCGCGACAAGCTTGACGCAAAACGAACGGATGCCGAACACGGTTACATGGTTTTGCCTCGTCCCAGTCACGGTGCAGTTCCGCAAAGCAAGCAGTTTCGCAGATTTGTCCCAGGAGCCCTGGCGTTGGCGCTCAAGCTGGTTACACCTACGTGTACTGTTATGAATGAACTTGCAGAGTGCGCAGTAAAACGAATATCGAGAATGAATGACTACTGAATGACGATACAATGAAAGTGACGCGAATTTATAAGGAGAATCCTAGCTAGGCGAAGGGTTCGGGCTAGGATGGCTCGGAAAGTGTTGCGATTGGAGCGGTGGCGACTCGGAGGTGGTTCGGGGCGGAAATGTAGGCCGAACCGGGCTGACGCGTGGTGTTCGGATTGTACTCGCTAAAATGCGCGTACAGTAAGGAATTGTAATTCCTTACACTCTCCCACCTTCCAAATAAGGCCTCCCTGTATGTAGACGAAGCCTTCAATGGCGAGGATGCCGTTGATCCGACGGCTGAACTTCCTTGGACAATTAAAATTGAAAAGGTTGGATTGTAGACCGTCGATGAAGGGAGATCCCGATCTGACGGCTGCATATGGCCTGGCCCAAATTGAATTGGAGGTTGGAATGTGGGCCGTAGATGAAGTCTGGTTTCGATCTGATGGACGCGAACAGCTCTGACAAAAACGAACTGAAAGTTGGAATTGAAGCCGTTGATGCAGTTTGAACTCGATCTGACAGTCGATGATGAAGCGAACGTGGGGGAACCTGCTGACGCGGTGATCAGTCGCGATGTAGCAGAGACCATTGATTTCGATGAAGTGATCGCCATCGTACGTCGTGCTGTTTCATTCTGACAAATCAGAAATGGTGCCGAGAAAACGCCGAAGGAAAACAGTGCAGCGCACTTTCTCCCCCCTCCCAAGAAAACTGTCACAAAAACGTTCACAGCCGCGCCGAGGTGAGGAAACAAACAAAACCAGCCGTTAAGTCGCACGTAAAAGCACGGATGCCTAGGCGAAGGGGCGCTGGCGGGGAAAACGGTGACGACACTGTGACAATTGGAACGAGAAAATGAATGCATTGAGCAGCATGAGGAGTACAAGTACCAAACCCTAGAATGTTGTACCCCATATGAGCTACCCCACTACAGCCTACACAGACTATAGTATATGAGTTTGACACACCCCCATAGGCAAAGTGGGGGAGAACAAGGGGTCACAAGACCAGTCAAGCAAAGCAAGGCAAAGCAAGCTCAGGGTGGATCACAACGTCACCACACAGTCTGAGCACAAGTTCAAGGCCACAAGGCCAGTTCACATGCAAGGTCACATATATATAAAGCTAAACAGGCAGGTATATATATGTAACAGTACAAGCAAGGTCAAGAAGTAAGCAAGTGAGGCAAGGTAGGTACAAGACCTAACAGAGTGCAGAAGCGCTGATGATCACAAGGCGCGAGTGCCTTAGTGAAGATATCAGCAGTGTTGGCCTCAGAGGCCACGTAAGCAAGGCGCAGCTGACCACGCTGCTGCAGCTCACGAGCAAGAAAGTAGCGGAGAGCGATGTGCTTCGTTCTGTGCTCCAGTCTGTGCTCATGACACAAGGCCAGCATGGCCTTGTTGTCTACGTACAGCACTGGAGGAGAACGAGGCGGCTCTCCCAGGTCAGTCAGCAGGTAGGTGAGCCAGCGTAGCTCCTGTGCAGCCATGGCCCCTGCGTAGATCTCAGAACAGAAGACGAGCGGGTAGACCGCCAAGAAACAGAGCCGGAACCAAGGCTGAAGGTGTAACCCTGTGACGACCGTTGCGTAGCCTGGTCGTCAGCCCAAGAAGCGTCTGCGTGACCAGTGAGGACCACTGAACTATGCCCTCCAAGCACAAGCCCCATGCCCGACGTACTGCACAAGTAGCGCAACACCCTCTTCGCTGCAGCCATGTGCTCTGGTCTGTGTCTCCCAGGAGCAACAAAGCGTGCCAGAATGCTAAGAGGGTATGCAAGGTCAGGTCGAGTGCAGGTCATCAGGTACATGAGGCAGCCGACAAGCTCTGGGTACGGGCCACTCGACTCTACGGACTCATCCGAAGGCAGAGCTGAGAGCGAGTGGCGCGTAGGCAGAGGAGTGGCCTGAGGCGAGGAGTACGTGAAGCCGAAGCGCTGAAGGACCTGCTGCACCATATGTGACTGAGTCAGGGTAATGGTGCGCTGTGCTCTGTCCCTGGTGATCTGCAAGCCAAGGTAGCTGCGCAGTTCACCCAGGTCTGTGCACGTGTGTCTCTTCTGCAGCTCGGACTTCACGTAGGCAAGTCCAGCAGTGTCAGCTGTAGCAAAGACCAAGTCGTCGACGTACACGAGGATGTAGAACGGCGGCAAAGAAGTGTCGGTGCGCAGAAACAGCGACGGGTCGGCAGTAGAAGGAGCAAACCCAAGGGCCGCAAGTGTAGTCCTCAGTGTGTCGTGCCACTCACGAGGCGCCTGGCGGAGACCGTAGACTGGCCGCCGGAGGCTCCACTGGGTGCCAGGAGGAAACGTCCCAGTGAAGCCAGGTGGGCGGCGCAGCCAGATCTCCTCGTGAAGGCTGCCCTGCAAGAAAGCAGTGCTGAAGTCAAGAGAGTGCAGCTCGTAGTCTCGGTGAGCAGCTATGTGCAGCAGTACCCGAAGAGTGGTCATCTTCGGGGTGGGAGAGAAAGTTTGAAAGTAGTCAACTCCCTGCCGCTGACTGAAACCACGAGCCACGTAACGCGCCTTGAAGACAGGCGGAGAACCCGGCGGCCGCTTCACCCTGAAAATCCACATGCCACTGACGATGTTCGCCCCAGGCGGGGGAACCTCGTCAACGTAGGTGCCTGTGGACTTCCAGGAAGCCATCTCTGCGTCCATGGCTGCCTGCCACTGAGAGGAGTAGGGACCCTCTATCGCCTCCGCGTAAGAGCGCGGAGTCGGGATGTCAAGTGCATCCGGGTCTCCCTCAGGGGCAAGCAGCATGGACACGAGATGAGGTGAAACAGCAGCCAAGCACTGGAACTCCTCCTGCCTGTCCTCTAGGACGTCCGTGCCAAGAGCACACTCACCCCCGACGGACGGAGGACAGACAGACTCAGACTCAGCGACGAGACTGGTAGCGTAGTCTAGGCGACAGCGAGCAGCGAAGTCGACAAGCTCAGCAACTAGGGCAGACGCAGCAGTAGACTCAAAGGAAGGGTCAGTGACGACAGTAGCAAGGAGACGCGTGACAGTAGGACGCGCAGCACGAAGGGAGTCCGACTCCGGGTCAGGAAGCTCAGGAAGAGAGGACGCTGGAGGAGAGGGCAAAGGGGCACGCAGCGGAGCAGTGGAAGGACGCAGAGACATCCGGTGCGTGCCGGGGACAGGGGGAGGACGCTGACGCGAACCACGACCACTAGTGCGAGCAGCACGGACAGGCGACGCAGGGCGAGACGCAGGCTCACGACGCTCAGCAAGACCTCCAGTAGGACCAGTGTAGGGAGAAGGAGAAGGAAGCGGGGAAGGTGGCTGTAACTGTGACTCAGACTGGACAGGAGGCGGACACTCTAAGGCAGGAGCAGGACCAAGAGAGGACGGAAGACCAAGAACCTGCTCAAGGAGCGGAACGAAGTACGGCCGCGGCCGCGCAGCTCCACCAGTGCCAGCAGGAACAGCACCAGCGCCCCCAGCGGGAGCACCAGCACCAGGAAGACCCGCAACTCCAGCAGCTCCAACTCCAGCACCCCCAGCAGCACCAGCGCCAGGAGCACCCCCAGCGCCAACACCCCCAGTAGCTCCAGCTCCAGCCGGACCACCCGAAGACGCAGCAGCTCCAGCTCCAGGAGCTCCAGCAGCACCAACGCCAGTAGCACCAGCAGCACCAGCAGCACCAGCAGCACCAGCAGCACCAGCAGCTCCAGCAGCACCAGCAGCTCCAGCGCCAGCAACACCAGCAGCACCACCAGCTCCAGCAGGAGGAGCACTCGTAGGGTCAGCAGCTCCAGTACACTCGGTACGAGCACCTCTGGGACCCTCGGCACCAGCACTCTCAGCAGCAGTAGAACCCCCAGCTCCTGCAGCACCACCAGCTCCAGCAGCACGTCGCCAGCGCCGGGCGAACCACTCACGCAGCTCCTGTGGAGAGAGCAGCTCCCGCCGGGACGAAGCACCGGAGGAACCGCCAGGCTCAGCACCACCAGACGCCGGACGAGCAGGTCCAGCACTCTCAGGCTCCGCACTCCGAGACTCAGCACCCCCAGGCTCAGCACCCCCAGGCGCAGCACCCCCAGGCGCAGCACCCCCAGGCGCAGCACCCCCAGGCTCAGCACCCCCAAGCTCAGCACCCCCAGGCTCAGCACCCCCAGTCGCAGCACCCCCAGACCCAGCACCCCCAGTCGCAGCACCCCCAGACCCAGCACCCCCAGGCTCAGCACCACCAGCAGTACCAGAGTCAACAGCTACCTCGACTGGCTCAACTGCATCTACCTGGGACACACCTGAGGGAGCAGGACCCTGAGGGGGGAGGGGGTCTACCGGAGGGGGGCCTGGTGTAAGGAAGAGCGGCGGGGGAGGGAGGGACGCAGTGCGGTAGGGGAAGAGACGGTAGTAGGGAACCGACTCGTCAAAGGTGACGTCCTGGGACGCGAAGACACGGCGCGAGGTGGGGTGGTAGAACTGCCAGCCTGGCGCGTCAGGGGGAAAGCCAAGGAAGACGCAGGGAACAGCACGAGAGGACAGCTTGTCCGCAGACAAGTCTCGGACAAAAGCCCGAGATCCCCAGACCCGAAAACGCGACGCATCACCAACCTTCCCCGTCCACAGCAAAGCAGGGGAGGTCTCCGGCATGGAGACCCGGGGGTGAAGGTTGAGCTGATGCGCCGCGTACCGAACCGCAAACGGCCACAGAAAATGGGGAGCAGCCGCATGGATCATGGACGTACGAGCGACGTCCATGACCATGCCGATGCGGCGCTCAGCAATCCCATTCTGCTGCGGAGAGTCCGGAAGCGTGAAGGTCTGGCGGATGCCTCGTGTGCGACAGAAGGTCTGCAGAAGGTCAGAGGAGAACTCTCCGCCTCGGTCGGAGTGCAGACGCCGAACAGGAAAGTCGGAGCCGAAACTCTCCTGGAGCTGGAGACGAGCCGCGCGGATCCAGGCGATCAACACCTCAGTGACGTCACCCTTGCTGCGCAAGGGGAAGACTGCGGTGTAACGCGAGTAGTCGTCAACCACCAGCAGGAAGTAGCGCTCCTGACCCTGCCCACGGACGCGGGCTGGGCCCCACACGTCCATGTGAAGCGTCTGCAGCGGAGCCTCTGTCGGAGGAAACTCGGAGGAGTGAGGAGCAGCGCGCTGCCGCCCCTCGACGCAGGGAACGCAGGTGGGGGCAGGCCCCGGAGGAAGAGGAGGGAGGGACCGGGGGAGACCAGAAACAAGAAGACGGGAAGCCATGCCTCGAAGGCGAGGCAGGGAGGGGTGACCAAGACGGTGGTGCCAGAGGAGAGTCCGGTGAGACAGGAGACGACACGAGCAGGGGGCAGACTCAGGACCAGACCTGGACGCCGCAGCAAACACCTGACCCGACGCGGCTACCTGAGCAGACTCAGTGACTGGGGAAGACTCAGTAGTCAGTGTGTACAGGCTCGACCCTGGCCGACGAGCAAACGTGGCCAAGTGGCGGCCCGTGTCCGCACAAGTGCAGTGGGTCACCCGCTGACGCGCAGGGGTGAACTGGTCAACTCCTGCATCCTGGAGGTCAGCACCCGCCACCAAGTTCGTAGAGAACGAGGGGAGGTAGAGACCCGACAGGGAGCCAGACGGGACCGCTGGACACGGTAGGACAGTGGAGTAGTGAGCAAGGACAGGACCCCCAGAGGGGTCCGCTAGGGAGACCGCAACAGGCCGACTGAGCGGTGTGAGAGTGGTGCAGTCTCGAAAGAAGGAGCGGGAAGCACCCGAGTCAAGGGTGAAGGTGTGGGTGTCCGGGGGCGACGCAGCACCTGAGAGCGCAAACTCACCGGCACCTGGGGCAGCAGACGCACTGGCACCTAGAGCAGCAGCCTCACAAGTACCTAGCGCAGCAGCCTCTATGCCTGGGTCAGGCGGGAAACACCGGTAACAGTCACCCTCATCACTAATAGTCACAGCATACATGGCAGCAAGAATAGCATCAAAGTCAAGATCATAGATTGCAACACCCGCCCTAGACAGCTCGCCCCAGCGAGGGATCTCCGTAGCGTCGGGGAACTGGTGGCGCCACGCGTCTGTCAGCCGACCGAAGCAGCGCTGGGTGGGGTGCGGGCCTCCACACTGCTCACCCGCCCGGTCGCCGGTACGGAGAACGTAGGTGCAGGGGCCAGCACCCCCACCCCGCTGACGAGCAGCGTACCACTCACGAAGCTGCTGGGGGGAAGGGGTCTCACGGGTACGCTGCTGCTGCTGCTGCTGGCGCGCACCACCACCGGAGCCACCCCTCTGCGCAGCGCCACCCCGACCAGCTCCGCCGCCTCCGCCGCTACCTCCTCCACTACCGCCACCTCCGCCACCTCCGCTCCCACCGCCACCGCCGCCTCCACCTCCACCTCCAGTCCCGCCACCGACGCCCCCACCCCCGCCACCACCCCCACCGCCACCCCCACCCCCTCCACCACCTCCACCTCCGCCTCCACCGCCCCCTCCAGCCCCTCCAGCACCCTTGCCCCCCTTGCCCTTGCCAGGGCGGCGTCTCCCGCTAGGGGCAGACGCCGCAGCGACCGACTCAAGACCAACGAGGTCGGCCGCAGCAGCAGAGGCAACAGAGGGCAAGAGGGGAGAGGGGGAGCACCCCTCAAAGACAGGGGTACGAGGGTCACCACGAGAGGCACCTACTGCGACTATGCTCTTCTCTGCCGCGAGCAGGCGCTCCTCGAGGAGGTCAACGGTGAGGGTGGTGGGGCAAACAGAGAGGAAGTGGTCCCTAACCGGGCGAAGGGTGTCAGGGAGCCGGGTGACTATGTAGTAGAGGGTGATGTACATGGGGGGGGGGGGTTCTTGGCGCAGAACTCAGCAGGAAGCGCAGCGCGGTAGCGAGTGTCACTAGTGCGAAGGTGCGTAATGAGGTCAGCGACAGTGGGAAAAGCGGCGAGGTCAGGGAAGAGGTACGGTAGGATAAGGCGGCTAAGCGCAGCAGTGGCAGGGGAAGAGTAGCGCGCAACTACAGCGTCGTACAAGGTCTTAGCACTCTTGTACTGGCTAAAGTGCGCACGCTCAGAGGTCGGCAAGTGGCGGCGCACAGCAAGGCGGGCAGCAGCATCGCGTGTGGCCCACTGGGAGCGAACAGTGGGGTCAGCATCAGCAGCAGGGGCAGGAGAGGCACCAGAGGTGAGGTCAAAAAGGGAGAGGCCGTCTGCTCTGTCGCTCAGTAGGAAAAGCTGCAGGTCATCTACCCAGACGTCAAAGTCAATGGCCCGACCCTCAGCGTCAAAAGTGAGGACACTGGGGGAAGCCATGACAGCAGTAGACTAGCAGTGAGAGCAGCAGGCTAGGGCAGAGCAGTGGTGGAGGCGCTGCTCTTACCGGGCAGGCGAGAAGGACCGAGGCGCGTCGGCAGGAACAGGGCCGGGACGGCAGGAACGGCGGCTCGGCGGCTCAGCGGCTCGGCAGCTCGTCGGCACCGGCGTCTCGGCGGCTCGGCAGCACGGCGGCAGTGGCGGCTCGACGGCTCGGCAACTCGGCGGCAACGACGGCTCGGCGGCTCGGCGGCTCGACGGCTCGGCGGCTCGGCGGCTCGGCGGCGGCGGCGTCTCGGCGGCGCGGCTGCTCGGCGGGGCCGCGAAGGGATGGCGAAGGGGCCGCAAAGGGCGGCGGTGGGGTCGCACGGGTGGGGCGACGGGGGGTCACGGGCGGCTGCGACCACAGGAGTCGCGCGCGGCTGCGGCGACGGGAGGGCAGGCGGCCGCGGCGACGAGGTCGCAGGCGGCTGCGACTGCAGGGTCGCGGGCGGCGGAGACGGTAGGGTCGCGGGCGGCTGCGACAGCAGGGTCGCGGGCGGCGGCGACGGCAGGGTCGCGGGCGGCTGCGGCGACAGGGTCGCGGGCGGCTGCAGCAGTAGGGTCGCAGGCGGCCGCGGCGACGAGGTCGCGGGCGGCGCGAAGGGCGACGGGGTCGCGACGGGCGGCGTCGGGGTCGCGGGCGGCTGTAACGACGCCGCGCAGGGCGACGCGAGGGGAGGGGAGCGCGACTCGGGCAGGGGCGGAGCGCGCTCCGGGCAGGAAAAAAAAATCTTACGGTGGGCCCTAGGAACAGTTCCCACGAGGGAACCTGCTCTATACCATGTGACAATTGGAACGAGAATGAATGCATTGAGCAGCATGAGGAGTACAAGTACCAAACCCTAGAATGTTGTACCCCATATGAGCTACCCCACTACAGCCTACACAGACTATAGTGTATAAGTTTGACAGACACCAGGTGTTAAGTGCCCCAAAATTCTCAAGGGCGAACTCGTAGATGGAGCCCAAAAACCGCGGTCGAAAATCCAAGTTACTCGAACTGAACATTTTTTTCTTCATTTCGCCAGAATCCTGCAATATCTTCAGCAGTTGCAGCTGGCAGCACCTGACGTGGTTGGAATCAGATCTTTTGTCGCGGTCAGGTCGAGTTGAGCGGGTTGTCGTTAGAAGAGTTGGAGCGGTTGTATCCCGAAATCCTCTGGCAGTGAAATCGGGATGGTACGAAAATGTCGGCGATGAAGACGATTGATGGCGAAGTCGAATACGATTGTCGACGATAGTTGTCGAAGCAGTAACCAAATTGAATGTCGCTCCGGTCGAAAATGTCGAACACTTCATCAGTGTCAGATGATGTCAGCTACTCCCGGCAGTTTGTCCAGACTCGCCGAGGAGTTTGTCGTAATGCGCCGATAATTCCTGGGCAGAGATAAAGAAATTCCAGCTGTCTCCCCCCTTCCACTGTTGCTGCTGCCACCTCCAGTTCGTCGAATGTCGTTCGTACCCCTGAAAAACTCTGTGTAGGTCCCGTGATGTTGTCTCACGTCGTTGTCGCGCGCGTTGAACCAAACGCCAAGAAATCCCACGAAAATGTCGGCACTTCCTGCCGTAAATCGGTAATTTCTTCCGTAAAACTCCGTAAATCTCGGTGTCGCAACCCCCGTAAATTCTTGGCTGCAGGTGTACTCCTCCGAAAATTTCGGTCGTAATGTAGCCGCCCACTCGGTCACCAGTAGTTTCCGTCAGTTCACCCGAACCCAGCATGCGGGTATAATCGGGAACCGGGGACTTGCCCTGGGTTATTCCGAGACCGTCGTTCACGGAGCCTAGCGCGCCTGTACGACGTCAATCCCGTTGTCGAACTGCCCTTACCGATGCTGCTTAACAAAATATCACGTTTCTCCCACCGGCGCTTTGCAGATGTGCCACCCATCGCGCGTCGTCGGCAGGTAAGTCTTGAAACTTCGACTGCTCCATTTTTTTAGTTTTCGACTCCCCGACAATATCGCAAAACCGCCGTTCACCCAGCGTCCGCGTCTGCCGGTTGAAGTATAGTTTGAAGCTCCTCCTTTTTTTTTTGGTGTTTTCGACTCCCCGACAATATCGCGAATTCGCCGTTCACCCAGCGTCCGCGTCTGCCGGTTGAAGTATAGTTTGAAGCTCCTCCTTCTTTTTTTTTTTTTTTTTTTGGGTGTTTTCGACTCCCCGACAATATCGCGAATTCGCCGTTCACCCAGCGCCCGCGTCTGCCGGTTGAAGTATAAGGTTGAAGTTCCCCGCGCGATATTTCGGCTATCGTGAAAGCGCAAATGCTATCGGAGTCGGGGCAGTTTTATTTAAAAAGCTCGCACCCAACCGCTTTGCAGCCCACCGCGCCTATCACGCCACGTAGCTTCACTGGTACCGGGTCCCAACATCGCCGTTGCGCCGTCAATCTGAGTAGACGCTCGGGTCAGGAGGAAACCGTAGACTGCACCGCTGTTTTCGTCGCAGCTCCCCGACTTTTTTGCGTGCCGTTCACCCAGCCCGCTTTTGTCGGAGTAGAACAGTGCCGCGAGCTCCCCCTTTTTTGGTATTTTCGTACAGTTGTCGAACGAGCACCAAACCAGGTGCCTTTAACCAGCACAGGGTAGGCACGTGTTCACCCCCGTTATTCGGCCAGGTCAGGTCGGCTGCATGAGCCGGAACCAAGACTTGGTGGGGATGGTGAGGTTCGGGCGACGGAGGGCGGCAGGTCGTTTCCACCGGCTTTTAACCTGCTCCCTTCGTCGTTCTCCAACCCCCGCTTAGCCGTCGGGCAGTTTCTGTCCGTGTGTCCCGGCGGCCTTACCACTCTTCGCCGTAATGTCGGGGTGGTATTTTAAACGCCGTTTAACCGTGGGCTGCTGCAGCTGTCCCCGAAAATGTGTTCCTTACAGGGAAACCACTCTCGAAACGGCCGGCCAGCTGTCAACAGTACCAGGCACGCAGCGTCATGCGAGATTTCTTCGGGGTGTATGGGCCCGAATTGCCCTCGCCGCCTGCGTCCCACTCCTATTGAGCACGATTTAGCCACTCCGGTTTTTCGTTGCAGCCCGTAAGTGTCGGCGGGTATGAAGTCCCGTCTGTCCACATGCGCTCCTGCCGAAATCGTCGGTGACGCGCCCGCCATGCAGTAAAAGCCGCTGCACTTAAACGGTCGGGCGGGACGGCAGTTGACTCCCGCAATAGTCGGGCAGTCGTCGTGGCGTCTCTCCTCGTCACGGACTTTTCCCGACGCAATTACTTTAGCGCCTGGCGAGTCCGTACAGTTGCCCCTTGTTTTTTCTTCAACAGTAGCTTCTTCCGAAATTCTCGCGTATACGCTGACGAACAACCACGCCAACTGCCGCACAGGACGACGACTCCGAAAATTTCGTGCAGGTGCCGACGCAGATCCGCTGACGCCAGCTGCCACACGGAAATAACTCCGAAATCGTCGCGACGCAGCGGAAATAACTCACGTTTTCAAGTCGCGACAGCTTCAGCTGTCCGTTGCCCGGGGGGAGGGAGGTCACGGTCGATCGCGACCGTTCGAGGCAAGGATCTGGCGGTGCCGAAGGAGTGCCCTGTAAAACTATGGCCGCGAGGAGCAACTAACTCGTTCTCCTGGCCGGCCTACGCAACTCCTGGACCCCAAGACATCCTTCCTCGTCCCACCCCCCCCCCCCCCCGAGGGGTATTACACTCTAAAAAGCGGGGTAGGCTAGGAAAGTAGCTCTGATACCAGGTGTTATGAATGAACTTGCAGAGTGCGCAGTAAAACGAATATCGAGAATGAATGACTACTGAATGACGATACAATGAAAGTGACGCGAATTTATAAGGAGAATCCTAGCTAGGCGAAGGGTTCGGGCTAGGATGGCTCGGAAAGTGTTGCGATTGGAGCGGTGGCGACTCGGAGGTGGTTCGGGGCGGAAATGTAGGCCGAACCGGGCTGACGCGTGGTGTTCGGATTGTACTCGCTAAAATGCGCGTACAGTAAGGAATTGTAATTCCTTACATGTACAGAATATTGTTTTGCCTCTGCCCGTGCCCGTGATCTCCCAGAAACGTTGGCAGTGCGGCAGTGAGATATTCCCCGGTTTGACTCTCAGAGAATGCTGAGGTGGCTCTTGTTTTCAAGCATTTTGTCGCTTGTTTGCGATTTGGTTCCCCCGTCACATGGCACATTCCAGCGTCAGCGCTCCAGTCCAATCGTGAGGGGTGACAGCGTTCCCAACGAATGGCGCTTCGCCGCCATAACAGCTTTGTGGGCGGTTTGAGTGGTTCGGAATGGAACTTTGGGGCTTGGAAGTGGTGGGCCTCGCACAGAATTTGTGTTGTCGAATCGCATCGCATCGCATCGTGAACAATCCGACCTTTTTGTGTCGCTTTCCAGCTGTTCCTCGAAGTCCGACCCCTACTTGCGGTGATCCCACGTGAAGTTTAGTGCCAGCACTACAGAAGCCAATCAGAAGCAACAGCGCTCCCCAAAGAGTGGTGCTTTTGCCAAATGAGCTGGAACGAGGAGGAGGCAAGGCAAGAAAGGTCACTCCCCCTTCCACCACGTCATCACAGCACAACCCTAGGTTGCGGATAAACACGGTAGACAAGACAACATTCACGTTTTGGTTCGGTTTACTCGCGTAGAGCTCGGTTTCAAATATCACGAGGCCGTCCGTTTCAGCGGCGTTATCCCAAAATTCGTGACGAGGAGGACCACCTCTGATCGTCCATCCTTTTCCATTCCCGCCATCCGTTTTGGTTCCCTATCTGTCCATCACTCCAACGCGGACCAGTGGAAGTCCTATAGGTCGGCTCTTCGCTTCACTCTCATATCCAGGCTACCTCAAAGGACCTTCAGTATCCACTTCGTCCTAGTTCTCATTCAAAGAACATGTGTTACTTTGATCACACTCGGGAGCAGCGGACAATCTTCGAGAACCACCTTCCTTCAACATCAGCCGAGTCTTTCAGCGATGTCAGAAGATGCAGCAACTGCAGCTCGGGAAACTTGGCCGAGACGATCAGTCAGTCAGGAGGGACACATAACACCTGGAACACGGGAGTCTTTGGTCAGATGAGCACTACGCTTTCGTCGAACTCTCTTGAAGGCAGCGATGAAAAGGATTGTTACACCGCGAGCTTTGCTCACGATTCCGACGAGTGTTACCTCGAGGATGACCTATTCGACTCCCCAGCTTCCAGAGGCCTAGCTACCTCGCGGTCGATATTTGGCGACGACCTCTGCGCGAGCTGTTCCTGGAGAGTTGCTGACATGGCATGCGATCCCGTCTGGGTTGACGACGCGCGTTTGCGAATCAAGGAAGCGGCTCTGGCGGTCGTCGAGGCGCAGCAGGCGGCAGAGGAGCTGAGCGCGCGAGCGGACTCGGCGCATTACGAATCTGAGCGGCCGACTTCTTACTCCGCCAACGCCTCTCTCCGTTTCAGTCGCAGCGAGCCGTCTCCAGCAGCCACGACAACTCAAGACGCCGCAGAAGCTCCCGCGCCTCGGGGCAAGACCCGCAGCGCGTGGTTCTCAATTGGCCGATCCAGCGATTCTGAGCAGCGCGATGGGGATCGAAGCAGCACGGCGGGGAACCATAGTAGCACGCGGCGGCTGGCTCAGATCCGTAAGGTGAACAGCGAGCTCCGCATTTGCGTGGGGACTGTGGCGAAGTTGTGGAGCCGTAATTCCTCGAACTAATCGTCCAGGCTGCTGGCCCCCTTCTGCCTGGACAAGATTACTTCCAACGCTCAGTTCATGCGCCCAATTCCACGTGTTACAACTGATTTCTTTTATTGCTGACAGTGCTGATTTTTTCATTCTGGGTAATGCTATTCTTGTCAGATGCGTTGGTTGGTGGTCTTTTGGATTACATGCAATGCTTGTATGGAAAGGCAAACAAAAATAATGAAATGTAAGGGATAACTGTTAACCTTGTTTTTACAACCATGTTGCGCAAACTTGTAACACTGCAACCACGAACGAAAGTTACCACAGCTTTTCCGCGAACTCTGCCAACTAGCGACAGATTCCCTCCACAAAATTGGTCGCATCGCTTGTAATCCTCTTCAGTGGCGAGCCGCGCCTTCGTACAGTGCAGCTGTACCTACCAACCATTCAACAATTCGGATAACGGTGACCACACAACCACCCGAAATGTCAAGCGCCCATTCTCCCCTCACCCTCCCCCTTCCACCCAAGACACGGGTCATCAGTCACGACCCAGCCACACCACACAGCTCACGGGGAGAAAAAAGAGCACGGGCTGGGATGAAAGCATGAATCTCGTCTGTGTGGAAGAGGGAGGTCGCCATGACTGCTGGCAGTGAAGAACGTTGTTGACGGGCCGAACTCCTTGACGGTCAGTAAGGGCTTGTTTGAGTGGTGCGGAAAGACCCGAATGGCAACCGAATTGAGGACCCGAGAGGAGTGCCCTCGCCTAGCCTGGTCCAGAACTGCAGCCGAGAAATGCTTCTCCAGAGCAGTGCATGCGCGTCACGTGATTCGAGTCAAATAGCACTCGCATTCATGATGCTTGCAGCGTATTGTGCGGACGCAGCTCTTCCTGACGCATACAGGCCGTAATGAGCGAACCTTTCTTGAGAGAGAAAAGGATTCCTTAGATCCCACAGTGCCGGATGCGCGGCTCTGGATATCGAGCCATTTTGTCAACGGCGTGGCCGAATCACTTCCAGTGAGGCGACGGGCCGATGAGCTCGTGCATAGAGGTGGCCAGAATCAGATCCTTCACTTTCAGTTGTGGCCTCACCCGCCGACGTAGATGCACTGATGGCGTCGTCCAATCACGTCGCGAAATTAGATGTGCGGACGCAATGGCGTGAGGCTTGCGTAGCAAGCGCAGTCGTTGAATTTCGTCAAGAGAAAAAGGGCCCGACTCCCGATGCTCGCAGTCACTTCTTTCGTCTCGCTCAGTGCGTTGTTCTTGACTTCAACGAGCTTGGGAACCCCTTCAATCATATCCGTGGCTTCGATCAATCTTATGCTTGCACCAGACAGGTTAGAAATAATCAGTATGGCAGAAAATACGCCCATAAGACAGCATTCCCCGGACTCCTCGCTACTACCCACTTCATGCCCTGATACTCAGCCCGACAGCCGCCATGACAGCAGTTTCCGTCATCGTGATGGTCGCGGCGCGGAGGGCCTCAATACCCGGAGAAGCTTCGAGACCTCCAAGCTCCCTCCTCGGAACCCAGCATTTCCAGGTCGAAACGCGGGCCAGGCGGACAGGCCGTGCTTGAGACGCCTCTCTTCCACGCCCCAGGTCTCGAACGACGTTGATCTCAACGGATGGATCCGTCTGGCTCAGCGCTTCGAGGAGGAGAGTGCACACTCTGCCTCACCTGGACCCCTGCCAGAGGATGTTGACACGGAGTCAACGTACCCTGTTTCCGTTCACTACGCTGCCTCTCAAGGCTCGGGCTCCTCCTCATCCCTGGGAGATTCGAGATGCAGTCGAACCAATCATGGGTCCACGTCTCTTCGCTTAAGCCATTCGGAGACCTTTGCTGACGGCAGCGACGGGTGCACAGACGGCATTCAGCGCCGCCATTCCGTCTCGTCTAGCCTCTACCGCTCCTCCTCGTTCGCCTTTGATTCTTTGACTGACTCTCAGGAGGATCAGGATGAGAGATGCACAAGATGCTTTCACAGACGCGCGAGCTCTCTCAAAGACGGTGACGTGGCCACTACTGTGTTGTGCGTGGGCTGCTCGTGGCTTGATGCTGAACTGGCATGCGATCCTTCTTGGATTGATGATGCCCGATCGAGAATAGGCGGGGCAGCTTTGGCTGTTGTGGAAGCACAGCAGGTTGCAGAGGCACTGAGTGCACGTGTTGGGATGGCCACTAGGGGAGTGGATACCAGGGGAGGTGTGGAGCGTGTTCAAAACAAGCCTGTGGAATCTGGTAGACAGTCTGGTGCAATTGTGAAAATTGTGGCTGCTGCCAAAGGATGGGTGATGCGTCAAGGCCAAAACAAAAGCGCAAGGCTAGGGATCAGTGTTGAATAGAAATTCAAAAGGATTATTCAACGCGATTGGGTGCTATAATGTACAAATTTATGTGGAAGCGTTTTTGTTTGCTTGACTTGTGGAAGTGGAGATGAATAATATGGTGAAAACCATTATACTGGTATGAAGACGAACGTCACTAGTGTACTTGTGGTTGATGGAAGGTAGTGTTTCAGTTCAGGCCGTGGCTTGCAACGGTCGTTCGTTGCAGCTTCGCGAGTTGTTGAACAAGCGACGCGACGTCGTGGCGGTGCGCGTGGTGCCCACTCGTGCGCTTTCACGCGGAAAATCCAACTCCACAAAATTCCCTCCATTTCCCCTCTTCACACCAGCCCTCGCCAGTTCCCGCGTCACCTTTCCCCCCTGTCTGGTCCCCGCTTCTTCCTGCCTGCCAGCCCACTTCGCTTCACTCTCCGCGAGTCACGACAGGACGACACAGGTGCACTCTGTAACACGACGAGAAGTCTGTTCGGTGCTGTTCGGCGAGAGGTTGTGGGGGGGATATGTCCCCGGGACGAGCGACATTTCATTTCGCATCAACCAGCTTTTCGTAATTCAACTCAGTTCCCTCCTCTTTACACCATCATCTTCCTACTTTGAGACCCTGCATTTCCAGCGTGGTAGCTGCGAACAGTCATTTTTAATGAAAGCCCGACGCGATCTCAGGGCTTGTATTCCATTGCCAGATAGGGAGGTTCCTCGCGACACCTCATTAGCGGACTCTTCAGACGGACCTTTACCTCCCGTTTCTCTGCACGCGGCCACCCCTGGCTGCGTATCTAGCAGATGGCTAACGGCCGCAGCCTCAAGGATGAATCAATTCGTGAGATGTCGAGTATTGAGACCCTTCACGCGAGCCACATGCTCCTCAAACCCTGACCCAGTCGAACCAGCTTCAGACGATAACGGGCGGCCTGGGGACAATATTTGGGAGGCGGCCGAGCGAAACGAGCTCGCGACGTGGTCGTGTTCCTGGCGCAGCGTTCACGCCGTCTCGTCGCAGGACTCAGAGAGTGGTCGCGAGAGTAGCGACGACTCGGAGAATCGATCGCACGAGAACAGATCTAGGAGGCTGTGCGAAAGGACTAGCAGCGGCGGTAGCAGAGGGGGAAGTGTGAGCCGCTCGCTCCGCGCCGTCAGCCGCATCCGCAGGGAAATTGCAGGTGCCGTTTGCTGCAGGGACTCCGTTCGCGCTAACTCGCGCTCGTCCCGCGCAATGGTTTCCGCGTTCCCGTCAGAGTATGAACAGTCAAGATCGGCCCGCGTTGTGTCAATGCCCACCTTGCATAGGAGACTACTATCCCCCTGACCGCTGGACTGAGCTGCTTCCATCACAGGAGGACTAGTGTACAGCTCCAGCGGGTTTAGGAACTATATATATATTGCAGCTGATGCGTTTAGGAGGTATAGAATTGTAGCTGATGGGGCAATGCCATTCATTCTGCCACGCTTGCCCATGCCAAGCAGGCAGAGTCCATGGCATAGCTGCATCCGCGCACGTCAGTAATAAATGTATCAGCTGCTTCAAATATACTTATATATATCTTACTTTCTGAAGAGCTTCTGCTACTTATGGTCCAAAAGTGGTCGTCGCACAGAGACATGGAGAGGAAGATACTAAATGAGGGTAGAGAGCGGCATAGAGTGGGATGGGATGGAGTTGGGATGATGTGGAGGTTGTGTTGGTGGAGACAGTCAGGCACATTTTGATGCGATGATAAAGGATGGAGAGGTGTTAGTCTAGCCTGCTTGTTATTCATCTCTTTGCACAACACTGTACGAGTCAATTCACTATGTCTTAAAAGATTCACATACACTTGCAAATGATACTGGTAGTTTGGCGCATTAGCATGAGTATAACGGTGTCCGTTGTGAATGGAGATAAATGATGCGGGAATCAGTCATCAGGATGATGACGATCAGCAGTCAATAAACTTCTGCAGCCGTTCCCCATCCCAAGCTTGCCAAGTGCATGCTTCCTGTACATCAGGTGAAATCGGATCCAACTCCGGTGGGGAAAATTCTGGTTGGGCGCTGCCATGTTCTGAAGCAGGAGAAGGAGCACCCCATCCATTGCTCCTAGCTCCAACCGAGCTGGTATGTCTGTCCAGTGGGGAACCGTCCTGTGCAGTAACGCTGATGAATGGCTTTCGGGGACAGCAGTTGCTTCGTAATCTCTCGTCCTTGGAGGCAAAAGGTGTATGCGCTGTGATGGTCGGCGTCGGACGATGGGATGGCTGACTGTGAGAACCCCACTCCTGTGCAACCACGTGGAGGGGAGAGACGAGGCGGGGAGAGGGAGTTGGCGGGAAGAGAGCGCACAGGTCGTCCACCATTTTGCAGCACGTGAGGTTCAGATTCAGGTCTTCTTCAGGATCGACCGCCATGGGTGACGATGGCATGATCACGTGTAGACTGCCTTCACTGGTGGCTTCTGTGACCGGTGGAAATGACGCGAGCTGGGATTGGGACCTGTGCAATTTACGGACTTTATCCTGAAGACGAAGAAAAGGATGCGTAAGAAGCTCAGCTGATGTTGGTCTCCGCTGCGGGTCCCGGCAGAGGCATTTACTGATGAAATCGTAACAAAATGGAGACACATCTTCCGGAATCTCGGGGAGCTCGCTGGTGCACCCAAGCTTGTACAGCACGGACATTGGGTCGGCGCATTGAGAGGACCATGGCGGCTTTCCAGTGAGTAGCTCTATCACCGTGCATCCGAGCGACCACACATCACACGCCGGGCCAATCTCTCCTCCTAATACGACTTCAGGAGCCATCCAGCACGGCGTCCCTCGAAGCTTTTCTGTCCGATTCATCTCATGACTGCTATCAGCTTCCTGACAGTCAGTTGCTTCTCGTTTTTGTAGAGAGAGGCCGAAGTCGACGAGGACCACGCAGGATTCACCCAGAACGACGTTGCAGGCTTTCAGGTCGCAGTGAACCACGCCTTCCTGGTGGATGTAGCTCAAACCCTCGACGACACCCCTGACGTGACGAGCAACATCAGCTTCGCATAAGCCGCTTCCGGAGTCCGTCGAAGAAGCCAACTCTGCGAGATTGCCCCCGGATGCCAGCGCTAAGAGGAGGTTTCTCGTGGGAACACCGTCCTCCATGGACCAATCAGCTCCAAAGCATTTGATGACATAAGGGGAATCAAGCCGCTGCAGAATCTCGTATTCGTTCTCCAACGCGTGGAGCTCGTGAGAATTGTCGCTGGTAACACGAACGGATTTGACTGCTATTAGCTCTCCGCTGGCGCTGTCGAATCCGATGTTCACTCGTCCGAACGAGCCTCTACCGAGCAATGGCCCTCGGGACCAGCTAGCTCTTCCACTACCGATGTCAGCACTTTCCATCGTTGCGTCCGTGTCTGAGCTAAGAATGGATTCTAAGTAACCCATGAGGTAGTCAGTAAAACGGTGGAGTGGAGATTCGTGAGCTGTAGCCGTACCTCATTCGCGAAAGTTCAGAACGCAACTTGCAGTGGTGATATGGAAACATCAATAGAATTCATCAGACTGAAAGTCTATTGCCGAAGAGCTGATAATGCTTCTTGTCGGGATGCCGCGTATTCCGGTCCATGGAACTGGAAGAAGCCAGCCTGTGAGACAGGGCCGAACAGAAAAGTACAGTACGCGGTGCTGTGGGACGATGGTTGGGCTTTGCAGCGGAGAGACCAGGAAAGTGTGGGGGTGGAAAGGATGGACGCTGGGTGGTGGAGGTGCGTGTGTCACCTTTCAGGCAAATTCGGCGACCACGAGCCGCAGGTCACCGCGCCGCAGAGAGCCTCATCGTGCCTCGCCTGGACGATCATCTCAAGAAAACCACAACCAAGGCCACCTCGGGTTCGCCGTGTGCCCTTGGCTGCAAATTACAGCTGTACGGTTCTGGTTTGGCAGCTTAGCCATTGGTGAAGTCACGCCTCGAGATGGTGGTACGTTCGGTGTTCCCGGGGTAGACCCGCCGCTCTGTTGTCGAGCCACTATATGAAGCTCGGGGAAGGGGAAAGGTTTGGGCTTCAGCCTTTGCGCTTAGGCACGGTGTCAAGCGTCGTTTCGCTGTTGTCAGGGGCTTGTTTGTCAAGGCTGGAAAAGGCTAAGGTTGACGGGACAACGCGGCCTGGTTTTGTCCGCTTTCGACGCTGTCAAACCAAAGAAGGCTCGGAATGCGGACGTCCACGAGGGACGTTCCTGGATTTTCAAATTCAAACCCACAGTTTTGAAGATGGTGGATTCTCGGCAATGTACGGCGGAGTTCAATGAGGAACGGTAACCTGCCACTTCATGTAACGACGACCAAAGAGTTTCGCCAACAAACAACAGGACAACAACAGGGTAATCGCGAGATAGGAGTATTCTTGCTCGTGCATTCGACACAGTGCCGTCGCCACCAATAATAGCACGGGGAGGCCACTGACTCTACCTCGTTTGCCACACCATCGACTTCGGAAAGGCTGGTTTGGGGGGGAAAGAATGTTCCAGCTGTTCGGATGGGTGAAAACCGATTTTCCGTAACATTTGTTTATGATGTATAGTGCCTACATAATTCCCCGTGGCAGCGGCATTTCAGCAAGCATTCTCGTGCTTTGGCTGCTGGAAGTGATGAACCATAAATTCCTACTCGCTTCTGAAAGCGATTTGACCAAATCGACCGCGTTGTTCAATTTCCGTAATCGTCTTTCGCTGTGTAAATGGGAAACCTATTCTCCACACAGCCTCCCGAGTCGGCACTAGAGCGCGGGAACCGCCTTAGAGAAGAGGCATGGGCCCACGCGCAGCGTGCGAGGGACCTAGCTGCGCAATCGCAAACCGCTTACCAGCGACGAGAAGGCGCACGCGCTAAGCAGCTGAGCGAGGAACGGAAGCGGTGTAAAGCACTCGCCGACAAAACGCATCGAGAAGCGAGTAAACTGATTTTTGAGGGTAACAATGAGGGTAGAGGCCATGACACAGTAGATGTGCACGGCCTGTTGGTCGAGGAGGCGTTGGAACAGGTCGCACGCCGCGTTGCCGAAGTGAGAGCAAGGGACGGAGAGAGATTAACGGTCATAACCGGGCGTGGCCTACATTCAAGAGGAGGAGCGGCCAGAATAAAGCCGCAGGTGATGGAGTGGGCGGAGAAGGAAAAGCTCGAATGTTTGGAAGATCCGAGAAATGGAGGGTGCGTTATCATCAAGATAAAGAGTTCCAAACCTCAGTTCTGTACTATCATGTGAGATGAGTTGGTAAGATTGTGATATACTTCTCATAAAATGCCATGTGTAAATATTTGAATAGTGCATGTTCTTGGGCACTGCCATGGCTCCAACCAACACTTGCGCCAGCAATCTCCATTATTTGGTGACTGTACAAGTGACATATGAATAAACCCTAAGCCCTGTTCCAGGGAAATAGATAGGGGTCTTTGCCCCCAAGATTCACTATACATTCTCTAACCCTTCAGTATTTGATAAGCCATGCTGGAGCTCTAGAAGCAGATCCACTCATGCTCTGCACATAAAAACAATGTTAGTCATTAGCTACAGCTCAGTGCAAATTAAACGGTCAGTGCTTATTCCTGTCAGTGCAATTATGTCCACCAGGAGGAGAACCCTTACCAAGAATCTCGGCTGCTGTAATTCGCTTGGACGGGTCAGTCTGCAGCATGCGCCTGACGAGGTCCTTGGCACCAGGTGAGATGGATGGCCATGGTGCACTGACCATGTCATAGTGGCCTGCCAACACGGCAGAGCAGATCGCCTCTTCCGAAACTGCAGCAAACACAGGGAAGAAGAGAGGAACAGAGAGTTTTAAGTGAAGTTGCAGCAAAATCTGAGTGATACAACGAGCACAGGGAGGCAAGTTCCATCAGTGCACAAACAGAGATTGAAACTCACCATCCCAGAAGGGTGGCGATCCAGTGAGCATCATGTAAAGAATGACCCCCATGCTCCACACGTCACACTCGCTGCCGTACTGCTTCCTCAGCACCTCTGGCGCCACGTAGTACGCCGTCCCCGCAATTTCCGTCAACCGCTGCCCGTCAGCTGGCCTGTGCCACGTGGACAGACCAAAGTCGAGGAGCTTGAGGGGAGGGCAGGGCGCGGAGAAGGCGGGGGAGCAGGGCGCGGAGGAGGCCGCCATGGAACCCGTGCAGTCGCTGTCAGCCTCACTGCCGCTCAACTCAGAAGCCAAGCTGCTGGCGCTGCCAATGCTGGGGAAATGGCGGCTGCTTGCGCTTGCGCTGCGGCTGCTGGTCGTGCCACGGTGTGTGCTGCCATCAGGATGATACGCGCCCTCTCCAGCGTCCCGCGCGTCCATAAAAGCGATGTTCTCGAGCTTCAGGTCGCGGTGCACCACGCCCTCCGCGTGCAGCCTCGCTACCGCCTCTGCCAGCTGCCGCATCACCCGCTTCGCCCGCGCCTCGCTCATCCGCTTCGACGATGCGCTCCCACTGACACTGCTGCTGCTGCGGCTGGCGGTGCTTCCGCTGCTGCTGCGTGTGCTGGTTGTGGCCGCAGCAGGACTGGTGCTGCTCTCAGAGCGATCTACCGCAGCGGAGGCATCGTCCGCGATAGAGGCCGTCGTGAGGACATCGTACAATGTCCCTCCCGTGCAGAGCTCCAGGACGAAATGCATGTACGTGGAGTCCTCGTATTGGTCGACAAGGGCTGCTACGGATTGGTGTGTTGATACGCGCTTGAGAATGTCGAACTCTGTGCGGAGACGCGCGAGCTGCTCCTGCGACATGCGGCGCTTGTCGACCGTCTTGCAAGCGAAGCGCTCGTGCGTCTTCCTGTCCATCACCACGCGAACCACGCCGTACAATCCGCGACCGATCTCGCGACCTGGGGGTTGCAAATTGTGCGCCACGCATAACGACGAAGACGACGAGGGGAACAGGTTAGTGATGATGCGAAGGAGCTGATCGCATTGAAGCAACACACAGAAGGTCCCTATGCATGGCGCTGACGCAAGGTGCTGAGGAATGGCGCTGAAGCAGAAACTTACCTATCAAATAGTTGCTCTCGAGTCGAGTATTCGACGGTGGCAGGCTTAACACTGATTGACGCTTCGACGCATTCTGCTTCGCGTTTTTGCTAGCTTTTCTTTGCGATCGATCCGCCTTGCGATGCTGCTTAGTGATGGCGGGGGAAGGCGTGGTGGGACTATCTGACGATGTGCGGCCGCGGCCACCCGTAGACGCGCAGGCGCCCATCTTCAGTCGAATTAGGCTACTCTTACAGCTAATATCCCTGAAGAACGGCGACCTAGGGATAATACCCTCCGAAGAAGCGCGATCGTTGCCTAGAAATGCAACGATCTAAATATGGAAACGACGACGGAGAATTTATTATGGTTGGAGCTTGCCAATGTGATGGTCTGGATGTGAGGGAGAGTGAGTGAGCAATTTACTACAGCCTGAAGAGTGTGACACTATGGTTGCTGTCAAGATCCCTTTTGAGCACCGCTGGCGTCGGGCATCAAACGGACACCACCAATCACTCTCGTCTCGTCCCGCCCTACCACGTGGCTGGTTGCAGAGCGCGCACGGAATTGGGCTGAGGCGAAGCAGGGAAGAAACTGTCGTGCGGTGCGCTGATTGGCATGCTTGCGTCATTTTGCGAACGGTGAATAGGGTTGCACGGTCTCCGCGAAGAGGCTGTTTGGCTAACGATGCTAGGAATCGGCCCAACGAAACCACATTCTTTCGCTGATAACTCGCGGGTTTGGGTTTCCGGGGAGAAGGGGAGTTGCGTGTGGCAGAGAAGCTGCTTCCGGACGCAGATGTCTTGTGACTCGTGTGCACCAATCGCACGCCATGACGTGCATGCCTCTCGTTTCCTTGCAAGAAGGGGATGTGGGTGGGAGCTGAGACGATGACGTAGCCCTAAACGGGGGGATTGGCGTCAGCAGCTCTGTCGCTATTGGACGGTACGATGTTCCTCGAAAGCACAATGAAGCCTTCTTCGAAACGAGAGGTATCTCTTGCCAACGTCACGTCAGGCGTTGGTTGTGGGGGCCTGTTTACAGAAGAGTTTGGCTTCGTATCGAGCCTTTTGGCGCGCTCTGTCACATCATCATTCCCGCTGACAAGGGTGCAACGTGTACTTTTCGCACCGGCTTGAGAAGAGAGAAGCGAGGGAACGCGGAAAAGAAGGCGGCTTTGGGGCTCAGGAAACAGACGCGGCAAAGCACAGACAGTGCGCTCCGATAATGCCTCTTCTCTACACGCAATGCAACATGTCACTACAATATGGGAGATGGCGAGGGGATACATTATCAAGGGGAGAGCCCGTTTGGCAGGCAGCAGGGGTCAGAATGCTTAAGAGGGCTGACGGTAGGGGATCTGCTGCAAGAGGAATATGGAGGCGGATGGCGTGTCAAGAACATGTGGGAATTGACGAAGCAAACCGGAAGGTCAGCAACAGCGAGATGGGCGCTCCAGGCCTGGAAGGCGGTACCGGTGAATTGGAAGGAGAAATTACTGGCAAAAATCTCGGCGGAATCCATTGCGGAAGCATCCACCTTAGTCAGAGTGGGGAGGGAAGCGGGGGAGAGAAGTAGCTACCTTCAGGTGGCGCTGACCGAAGAGAAGGAGTTACGGTGCGAGTCGGTGTCTGTGGATAACAACGGATGTGTACGGCAGTTAGGGAGGGAGGCTCAGCCGCCGATGATGCTGGGGCTGCTAACCCCGATGATAGTACGCGATGGCCAGATACTGGGGCAGGTGGGAGACCCAGTGGCACGACTGCGGGCCTCTTTCCTGTGCGAGGGAGGAAAACCTACGGCACAGAGGTGTCAGAGGTCCACTGGAGATCCCCGATTGATCCTAGGGAAGGGTTACAGGCACGTTGGCCTGGGGGGTTATGGGCGCACTCACCCGCTACACAAACAAGCCCTTTTATCCCAGTGGTTAGTGGCTGGGATTCTGACATGGTATCAGAGCGAAGGTCTCGGGTTCGATTCCCGGTGTGTGCACTTCGGGCATCCCAGTGCGGGGGGGTGTCAGAGGTCCACTGGAGATCCCCGATTGATCCTAGGAAAGGGTTACAGGCACGTTGGCCTGGGGGGTTATGGGCGCACTCACCCGCTACACAAACAAGCCCTTTTATCCCAGTGGTTAGTGGCTGGGATTCTGACAAGAGGAGGTTGAGACATCTGCTCGGGAAGCCGTGTGTGCAACCAAAGCAGCAGAGGAGGTGGGAAGAGGTGTGGGGGAGGAAGATCGACTGGGGGAAGGTCATAGAAAAAAGGGACTCGCTAGCAATTCCGGCCAAGGCAAGGGAGATCCTGCTGAGGCTGCACAGTAACAACCTGCAAGTGGGAAGCAAGGTGGCTTTCCTCGGCCCTCGTGCATGCTGCCCGTACTGTGAACAAGAGGAATCACCAACACATTGCCTGATGAGCTGTCCAATGGTTAGTGGTGTCTGTGGCGCGCTTCAGGACTCGCTCCGTTTGATCAACCCTGGCAGGCAGGTTGGGACACTGGAGGAGCTGCTCTTTGCTGATGACAGCACAGCGTCAGGATTCCCGGAATCTACGCTCATTGCAGTTACCTTCAGACACATTTGGCGGGAGAGGTGTGACGCAGTTTTCCGGAGCAAAACCTTCGAGCCTAAGCGAGTGGTCAGGAAGATTGGGGCTGACTTCGCGAGGCATGTTCGGATATACAGCGAGGGGCGGCGCAATGGTGGAGACCGGCAAGAGGATAAAGGCAAAGGGAGGTGGCAGCATTTGTTGGCTAGGGAAGTGGCAGCGCTGGAAAGAATAAGCGGTGATGATGAGCTGTTGACGTGGAACGATGACTTCAAGTCCATCTGGGACAGACCCAGCACCTTTTTCAAGCCACCGTGAGGTGGTACAGGAGGGCCACTGTAGACAGCTGCATGCCTACATGTGCCTTCCTCTGTTACAGTTACGACTGTGGGTGTATGCATTGTATAGTGTAATACATCCAAAAAAAAGATGTCACTACAATATCACTCTAACAAATCTGAAGGCAAAGATAATAACCACCTCAACTCCTATCTACCATCTCCCATGCCTGCCTCTGCTGCCTCCCTCTCTGCTTGCTCCAGTATCTGCTCTGCCCTCTTTCTTTTCTCATCCCTCTCATCATCCTTCCCCTTTTCCCTCTTCTCCTTCCCCTTCCTCTCCTTGTCCTCCTCGCCTTTCCCAATTCCATCACTCCAAACTTGCCCGCCCTTAAGCTTTGGCTGCCGCAGCACAACAGGCAACTGCATCCTGGCAGCTCCAAGCTTGGCCTTGATCTTGCTGCCTAGGTGGAACGACACTCCCGGGGCACTCGCACCTGAAACCCGCTCCACTGCAGACCATCCACTCCACCCAACCTCCTTCACCCTCTCGCCCTTGTTTCCCTCTGCTTGACTTCCCTCGGCCCCACTGCCACCACCCTTCCTCTCCTCCCCGCCCTCCACTACCACAATGTCACCATCCACAGCCATCTCGTCTCCATTTCTTCCCTCTACCTCTTCTATCTCATCCTCCTCCTCGCTTTCCTCAGCCCCATCCCCCATTCCCCCGCCCCCCGGCGCTCTGCCCGCGGCCATCATTAGCCCCGGAAACGCATCTAGCGCAGAAGGAACCTGACCCGCCACCCACCCGCCATCTGCATCCCTCCTCCGCTTCTTCCGCCCTTCGCCCCGCTCAGCGTCATCATCATTGCGCACCGTGGGCGCCGCGCCAGAGGCAACGGGGGCGGAGATCCCCGCGTCTGGCCTTGCGGGGAGGTCTTCCCCCGCGCCAACGTGGGACCATCCGCCCCACAGCAGCCGCCCGCCGCCAGCACCACCGCGCGCCTGCGCGCCGCCTGCGGTGACCATCCCCATGCGCTGGTGCAGCGACACGAGTGACTGCTCCGCGCGCCGCCGCTCTCGCCCCTCCTCCACCCGATCCTGCCGCTTGTCCTGCCCCCGAGCCTCCCACACAGGCGTGGCAATGTACGTGTGGGGATCCGGCAGCGCCGGTAGCCACTCGGGAATGTCGCCACGTGGAGGAGGGTCCTCCCCGCTCTGTAGAAAACTGGCGGCGACGAAGCGCGGATTTCTGGGCACGGGGAAGGACGGGACGGCTTGTGCTAACGACGGCGACGAGATGTCGTCCGCGAATTCGACGAAACGAGCGAGATCGCCGAGCGACGTGCCGACGTCGGATAAAGCGAGAGCGACGTCGTTGGCGTTAGCGTCGGTTCGCCCTGCGAGCTCCGCGTGCGCGTGTGCGGCGTCGCCGACGCTGGTGATGAAACGAGTCAGGATGTCGGATAGGGTCTCCAACGCTGACCGTTGGATGGACTGGAAGCCAAAAGACTCGCAAATCTGAGCGCAGACGAGCTGCGACACGGAGCGAGTGAAAGGCTCCGCCATGGCTGGCTTGTTCCCGCGATTCCTTGTTCGCAGCGCGGAAAATTAGGGTTCCCGCAGTGCCCTGTGTGTTACAGCGCGAAATGTTAGTGTTGCTGTGCTGGGTCTGACAGCTTTGTTGGATTCTGTGGGGCACGTCAGTTGGTCCTCAGCGCCTTGCGAAATGTTACCAGTTCACGAATGGTCGGAAGCAGGTGCTTGCGATTCAAGCCGAGCTCTGCTCAAACACATCATCCAACATTTCGTGCACGCGACTGTCGCAACAGTTACCCGATGGGAGCGGGCTTCGCCCTGTCGCTAGCGGCAGCAGGCTAGCAACAGTGGTTTTGTTTGCCGGTAACTTGAAGTTTGTACGTTTGAAATTCAAGTTTCCAAATCAAACCACCATGACAATGGGTGTTTCGTGTCCGTCCGCTCCGCAGTAGCTGCTCGTTGCCCTCGCTGCTCCCGAGCAGCAGCATTTGCGGTGAAGCGAACGTCTGTGTCTCGAGCGTTTAGGTGGTAGGTCCGAGGCAATGGACCCTCTTAATTTTAGCGGCATACAAGAGGATCATAATCTGTCGTCGGATGCCATTCCACCCTTGAATAGCTTGACACAAACGAGCTATCACTATAGCACGACTACTCATCCTCCTCTCGCCTCTAGTTCCGATTCGCCTTCACTCGTCTCCTCATCCGCCGTTCGTCCCTCCGTTCCCTCCGCAATGTCGCTCCCACAGACCGTTCAGTTTGACCGGCAAGCACCGCCGCTATTGGCGGGGTATCTTAACAATAACCCTTATTCATCTTCTCAGATGGCTCACTTGATAGCGTCTAGCTCGGTAGCACCCACTTACAATAACGGAGCCGCGTATGCGTCGCTCCAGCATTGCTCGCAACCCGCGCCTGACGTGCGTTTCTTGCATCCCAACATGGGTTCGTCACACCCCACGTCCGCACCACTCTCGTCCTCCACTCCTTGGCCTTTTCAAAACGCTCCGTCATGTCCGCCGCAACAGCCGTTACCCCAGAACTCGCAATATCCGCCGTCGCCCGCGCAGCCAGCAGGCACGCCGCTTAGAAATCACCCCTCGTTGCCTCTGCACGCGCCAGCTGCGCACTCCATGAATTATGGGCCTCGGAACGCTGCCGCTACAGCCAATAATGGAAACCACATGCCGTCTGCTCACGGCGTGCAATTTGGTGCCCCTGACGGGCAGGCTGCTTTTAACGGTCAAGTGGGTCTTTCGGCGCCGAGTCCTGCGTTCAACCGTCAGGCCGTCGGAGCGTCAGGTCCATCGGCAAACCATCCGAATCGGCTGCGGCAGAACCAGGCGAACCTGAACCATTCGGGTGCAACCGCTCCCTTATTCCAAACCTCCGCCGCCGCTGGCTTGCCCACTCCGTCCATTCCTTCTGCTCCTCCTTCCGCCCGTTCCGCGCCTTCCCCTCCTTCCGCGCCTTCCGCGCCTTCCGTGTCTTCCGCGCCTTCTGCGCCATCCGCGGGTTCTCAATTCCACCCCGCTCCCTCGACGGCTAACGCGGTGGGCTGTCCGTCCGCCGTTTCCGCCGCGTCCGCCGTTCACTCCGGCAATTCAGCCGCGTCACCCGCTGCTCCACCGCAGATGTCGAACGGCGTGGGGCCTCGCATGACTGGGAGACCCGCTGCTCCCGCTACTGTGTCCACTGCTGCGTACGCCGCTGCCTCCGCTGCCGCGTCTGCTGCTGCTCCTGCTCCCGCTCCTGCGCCCAACAGTGTGGAATTTCGGGCGAACGTGATTAGGATGGTCGTTGAGGAGGGTGCGAGGAGCAGAGCGGGCGCCGTCCAACATGGGTCGCGAAGTGGCGGCATGCCGGCTACAGCTGCTACAGCTGTTGCGTGCGACACTCTTGTCGCCGCCATGTCGTCGGGTCCAGCTGCTGCTTCACTCTCCGCTCCCCCTGCCTCCCGCTCTGTCCCCCCTGCTTCCGCCCTCCGCCCGCCTTCCGTCCGCGCGCCTGTCTCCTTTTCCCAACCACCTGCCGCCACCGTTGCGCCTGCCGCCAACCCGGCTGCCGCGGTGGCCGTTGCACCCGCGACATTGAATGCAGCAGGCGCACCGGGCGCGCGCCTAACGCTGTGCGACGCAGACGCGCCACTCTTCCCCGACTCTCGCCTTCCCAATCTCTCCGCTGCTGCCTCTGCGCCGTCCGTCTCCCCATCCCCTACCACTTTCCTCTCCGCTCCCACTTCGCACCCTGCGCCCACTCCTCTCTCCGCGCCCTCTCCTCCCGCACCCACTCCCCCCGCGCCCACTCCCCCCGCACCAGCTTCTTTCGCGAGCCCCTCTTCTCCCGCATCGGTTCCAGCTCACCCGCCTCCCGCCGTTCTTGCCCCCTCCGTTCCTACCCCTTCCGCTCCTATTCCCTCCGCTCCTACCCCCTCCGCCCCTACCCCCTCCGCGCCAACCCCCCCCGCTCCTACCCCCGCCGCTCCTGCCCCCTCCTTTCCTAACCCCTCCGCTCCTACTACCCCCGTCCATACTCCTTCCGTTCCTACTTCCCCCGCTCCTACTTCTTCTGCTCCAATCCCCCCGCTCCTAATGCCCCCGCTGCTACTCCCACTGCTCCTACCCCCCCTGCTCCCATTACCCCCGCCTCTACTTCCCCCGCTCCTACCCCCTCGGCCCCTGCCGGCGAGTCTCCCTTAGTACTCCCCCCTTCCACCGCACCTCCCCTCCCCCCCGCTCCTCCCGCCCCGCCTGTCCCACGCGGCACCGCGCGCGCTGCCAATGCCTCCGCCAACGCGCGCTCCTCTGGGGCAAACCCGCGCCCTCCCGCCTCCTCCCGCCGCCCTCCCGTCGCTGGCGGGCGCAAGCGCGCACAGGCGCCTTCCAGTGACGCAGCAGGGTCGTTAGCCAATCAGAGAGCAGCAAGTGTGCCGTCGCGGGGCGCTATGATGGCGCTGGCGGCGGCAGCGGGAGGGGATGCTGAAGCGGACATGAGGGAAGTGTACTTTCTCATCCTGCACTTTTTAACGGGCAGCCCGTGCCGTCGGGCAGCAGAAGTTTTGAAAGAGGAGCTGGAGGAGTTGAATCTGCTTCCACAGCGGTACCATGCGGTGTACTCGCACGGGGGAAGGCGGACAGGTGCAAGCAGCACGAGTGAGGGGAGTGCACGTGGGAAGGTGGGGATGGTGGGCGCGCAGGGGAGGGCTGGTGAAGGTGGGGGGAGGGCAGGAGGCGTGGAGGGGGAGTCAGAGATGACAGTACCAATGAGCTACGAGGAGCTGAAGGAGAGGTGCGTGCCTGCAGTGCGTGAATGCTGCTTGGGATGACCGTGCAGAGTGCAAGTCCTTTTCTGATTGTCTCCGTCAGTCCTTTCCCGATTGGGTTCACAGGGACATATGCCTCCGCTCGTTGATTTCACTCTGCCCCGTTCCTCTCACCTGCTGTATTTGCATGCATGCCCCGATGTGCGCCCCCCCTCTTCCAGGTACTCGCACATAACCCCCAACCACCTCTTCCTGCTGCTGCAGGAGCTGCTGCAGTCGTCCCATCTTGCCGTCTCCTCCGCCTCCCTCCTCCCCTCCGCGCCTCTATCCTCCTCCCCACCCCACCCACTACTGTCAGCAGCACTAGCCCTCCCTCCTGCCCCGCTTGCTGCAGCAGCTGCTGCACCCACCGCCGCTGCTCCTCCCTCAGCGTCCGCCCTTGCCGTTGCCACGGCCCCCCTCTCTGTCTTGGTTTCTCCCGCTGCACGAGAGGAGGCCTTGCCCGGTGGCGCTGCTCCTGCAGCCGCTGTAGCTGTGGCCGTGAGCGATGCCAGTGGCTTGGAGGCAGGGCGGCAGGCAGGGGGCGCAGAGGTGGCAGCAGAGGGATCTGTGGGTGCGGCTGTGGTACAGGCGCAGGGAAGCGGGGCAGAGGCTTCTGCAGCCGCAGAAGCGGGGCAACAAGCAGTTGCAGGGCAACTAGCAGCAGCAGGGGCTATTGTTGTAGCAGACGAGGCGGCAGCAGCAGCAGTTGGTGAAGCAGCAGGGGAGGCAGCAGCAGGGGAGGCAGCAGCAGGGGAGGCAGCAGCAGGGGCGGCAAGCAGCAGCAGAGCACTCGTGCTGGCATCGCCGGCAACTGTTGTGGAAGCAGCGGCAGGGGCAGAGAGGGGCGAGAAGGTTCCAGGCGGAGAGGGTGTGTTGGTGAGCGGGGGAGCGGGCGTGGCAGCAGCACGTGACCGGTGGTGGGTGTGTGCGGGTGATGTGCCTACGCTGCTGGGGCACGGCGGGATAAGCCTGAGGCGAGGTACGCGCGCAATAAGGCTGCAGGGACGGATTGAGGCTTTAAGTGCGGAATGGGGCTCAAGGGGCAATGGGCGTGTGATCACAGCATGCATGGACCATGCCTCCCTCGTCCCTCCGGCCCTCTCTCATATCCCCATTGCGCTCCTCACCTTGTTTCTCCTCCCCACTCAACTAATGCTCCCTTCGTCCCTCTCCTCTCCACCCTTGCTCCTTGCATCTCTCCCCTCCCCTCCCCTGCGCGCTCTATGTTCCCCCTGTCTTGGCCCCATCCGTCCCCCAACAACAGCGGAGTGGCTGCCTGCGCTCCTCAATCCTCCGCGCACCCTTCTGCCGCACTCAGCCCATCCGCACTTCTCTGCACCGCTCCTGCGCGCCCTCACGCTCAGAGAGACGGGCGGAGGGGTGTGTTCGCGGGCGGCCAGGGCTGCCAATGCTCGGTACGCCCCCCTGCGCCCTGCCAGTGCTACCCTCCTTTGCCTTTGCCAGTGCACTTCCCACTGCCATCGCCACTGCCCTTTGCTCCATTGCGTCCCCCTCTCATCTCATCACCTGTTGCTCCCTCCCCCCTATCCGTTCCTTCCCCACCTTCCTCCTCCCTCCCGTCCACCCTCCCCGGTCCCTGTGGTGAGAGCAGAGCGGCGTCGCTGGCGGTGGCGTCGCCTGCGCTGCTGCTGAGCCGCATGCAGCAGGTCAAGGTGCTGCGCGGCCACCGCAACGCCGTCTACTGCGGTAAACGCCCCTTCCCCCCCCTGCCGCCCTGCCTGTGCTCACTGCCCTGCCTGCCTGCCTGCACGCACTGCCCTGCTTGCCTGCTCACGCTCGCGCGTCACGCTGCTGACACTCGTTGCTTCCGACCCAACAGCACGCCCCACACACCCACCCATTCCTCTCAACACCCGCCTCCTTCTCTCCACTACCCTTTGTTGGCTGTGTATCCCCGCCCCTTCTGGCAGCGGTGTACGACCACGGGGGGCGGTACCTGATAACGGGGTCAGACGACCGTCTGGTGAAGATCTGGAGCATGCACCACGGCATCTGCCTCGCCACCTGCCGCGCACACACGGTATGTACCCCTCCCCTCCCCCCTCCATGAGCTTTCCCTCTCCCCCCTCCAAGCGTTCATGACAATCACCTCCGTGCATGCCATACAGCAAGTCCCTCCCCTGGTGTGTGCGTTCTTTCACTCAGTTGCCTTCTCACTCTGCACGTATGCGCTGCTCATGCTTGCCTCTGTGCCACCGTGCTACTTTTGTGCGCACGTGCGTGTGCGTGTGCTTGCGCGTGTGTGTATGCATGTGTGCTTGCATGTGCATGTGCATGTGTGCATGTGCATGCAGGGCGACATCACGGATCTAGCAGTGAGTCAGGGAGACAAGTGGGTGGCATCGGCCTCCAACGACTGCCTCATCCGCGTCGTCAGTGCCGTCCACCCGCCCCCTCGCACCTTCTCTCCCTCTCCTACTCCCTCTACTTGCCTTATCCTTGTCCTGCAATCTCTCTGACATCCCCTGCTGCTTGTCGCATCCATCCTTTCCGTGCCTCATCGACCTCGTACCCACTCTCTCCCCTGTGGTCGTGTGTGGTGTGGTGTGGTGTAGTGGGAGCTACCCAGTGGGCATCTGGAGGTGACGCTGGTGGGCCATGCAGACGCTGTCACCGCTGTCGCATTCAGCCCCACCACTCACCACCACCTCCTATCGTACGCCGCACCTCTCAACGTCCTGCCACCATGCCTGCCCCTCTCTCACGCACTCCTCTGCACCTCCGTCTCCCATCCGCCACACCCCCATTCCTCTCCGCTTTCCACATGCCGCCCACTCACGTCCTCTTATATCATCTTTCTGTGTACTTCTCCTAGGCCCCCCCCCGCCTGTCCTCTCCACAACCCCCCACTCCACTCAACTCCTCATGTGCGCTGTTCCACCTTCACACCTTCACCGCCACCCCACACCCTTACCACCAATACCCACGGTGCTCTTCAGGGCATCGGAGGATGGCACGTGCCGTCTGTGGAACGTCACTGCCGCAGCTGACAGCACCTGCCTGCGCCTCTTCCTGCCCGCCTCCCACGGTACTTCTACCATCTGCTCCCACCCTCTACTCCTCTCTACTCTTGCTCTCCGCTCCACCCTCTGCTGTGCGTTTTCCCCTCACAAGTCCACAGCCGTCCCCACTGCCTCATGCCACCTTTTTCCATCTCACGCCCACTTGCTCCTCTGCACTTCCTTCCATAACTCAACCCTCTCTCCCCTCCCCTCCCCAAATACTTGGATCTCCGTTCCCCGAATCCCGGTTTTCCGAATCCCCGTTCATGCAGCCACCAGGATTCCGCCATCTGCTCCCACCCTCTGCTACTAAACCCTGAACTCCTGCCCCCCCCCTGCTCTCGCTGCTGTGTGTTTCCCTCTCACAAGTCCACGGCCAGTCCCATCCCACTGCCTCATGCCACCCCATCTCATCTCACACCCACTTGCTCCTCTGCACTCGCTTTCATAACTCAACCCTCTCTCCCCTCCCCTCCCTTCCCCTCCCTTCTCCTCCGCTCCCCTCCCCTCCCCTCCCTTCCCCTCCCCTCCCCTCTCTTCCCCTCCCCTCCCGCCCCTCCCTCCCTGCCCATCGCTGCCATTGCCGTGCAGCCACCAAGATCCCCTTCCCCCCCGGGGCGTTTGTCAACCGCATGCAGCAGGGGGCCGCCGAGCTTACTCCTGAGGAGCGCACCGAGATGCTGCCCCCCAAAGTGCTGTGTGCTGCCTTCAACGCTGAGGGCTCGCTGTTTGTCACGGGCAGCGAGGACGGGCGCACCAGGGTGAGTGAGGATGGGCGCACCAGGGTGAGTGAGGATGGGCGCACCCGGGTGAGTGAGGATGGGCGCACCAGGGTGAGTGAGGATGGGCGCACCAGGGTGAGTGAGGATGGGCGCACCCGGGTGAGTGAGGATGGGCGCACCAGGGTGAGTGAGGATGGGCGCACCAGGGTGAGTGAGGATGGGCGCACCCGGGTGAGTGAGGATGGGCGCACCCGGGTGAGTGAGGATGGGCGCACCAGGGTGAGTGAGGATGGGCGCACCAGGGTGAGTGAGGATGGGCGCACCAGGGTGAGTGAGGATGGGCGCACCAGGGTGAGTGAGGATGGGCGCACCCGGGTGAGTGAGGATGGGCGCACCCGGGTGAGTGAGGATGGGCGCACCAGGGTGAGTGAGGATGGGCGCACCAGGGTGAGTGAGGATGGGCGCACCAGGGTGAGTGAGGATGGGCGCACCAGGGTGAGTGAGGATGGGCGCACCAGGGTGAGTGAGGATGGGCGCACCAGGGTGAGTGAGGATGGGCGCACCAGGGTGAGTGAGGATGGGCGCACCAGGGTGAGTGAGGATGGGCGCACCAGGGTGAGTGAGGATGGGCGCACCAGGGTGAGCATGTGATGCTGATTCGCCCACTTGTCGCCGTTTCATTTGCTGTGCGTGATCACATTCGCCGCCATTCTTTGTCCCGGCGTCACATGTGACTCGGTGCTGCTCTGCCTCTACATGCATGCCCTGTGCTCAGGTGTGGGATGCCCACCTCCCTGCTCTCGTACCCAAGGAACCCTCTCAGCTGCAACAGGAGCAGCAGCAGCAGCAGCAGCAGCAACAACAGGAGCAACAGCAACAACACCAGCCACAGGAGCAGCAACAGGAACAGCAGCAGCCGTGGGCGGCGGGGGGGGGGGAGCGGGGGCGGGTGAGGGTGGCGGTGCAGCACGAGGTGCAGGAGCTGCTGGGGCACCAGGGGTCAGTCAACTTCGTGCAGTTCAGGTGCGGGCCCCACTCCCCTCTCCTGCTCTCACCTCCCCGTCCCTCCTGCTGCCTGCTGCCTGCCTGTCGGCCTCTTTAAATTTGACTGCCACAAATCTCTCTGTCATTCTTCACCACACAATCCCCATCGCCCCCTCTCTCTCCATGACCCACTCCCCATGCACCCTGCCTTCCGTCCCCTCCCCCCGTTCCGCCTCTTTCCCCCCCCTTGCGCTGCAGTGGGTGTGCGGGGGTGCAGCAGGAGGTGACGTCTGGTGGGGACGAGGAGGGGAGGGGTGTGGGGGAGAAGGGGAAGGGAAGTGCGGAGGGGGTGAAGAGGAAGGACAAGGACAAGGAGAGGCGCCTCACCTCCCTCAAGTGAGCTCCGCTTGCACTCTCAATTGCACCATGCCCTCTCAATTGCACCATGCCCTCTCAATTGCACCATGCCCTCTCAATTGCACCATGCCCTCTCAATTGCACCGTGCCGTCTTACTACCACTCTCCGTTTGCACCTTGGCCTCTCACCACCACTCCCTTATCTCCACCGCTACCCCCACCCGTCCCTCCACACCACCCTCCACCTGCTTCCCATCTCCCCAAACCCATCTGTCCTCTCTCTTTCACCCTCATCTTCCCCGTCCTCTCCGTTTCTCCACCCCCTTCCACCCCCCCCGCAACACGTCAGCACGGCCAACCGGCCGGGAGTGGAGGCGATAGTGTCGTGTGCGCGAGATGGCACCGCCTTCATCTGGCGGCCCCGCGGCCGCCGCGTGCATGTGAGTGGGCGCCCTGAAAGGCAGCACACGGCCTCGTGCCGAGCATGCATTAGCGCATACGCATGCATGCTCGCCTTCCTTCACCCCATTCACCCTGCCTTCCTCCCCCTCCATCCTACATCACCTCTCATTGCCTCTCGCTTGTCTGCCCTCACCACCTCCACCCCCCAACCTCCGTCCGCTTGTGCCCTCCCCCGCCCTCAGGGCAAGCACCAGCACTGGCACAAGGCGCTGCAGCTCACTGCCCCCCCGCGCCCCCTGGCTGTGCCTGGGGGTACTGGGGCGGGGCAGGGCGCAGGGGGCGGGGGGAGGGCAGGGGCGAGGGCGCGCGCCAGGGATGCGGCGGGGGCGGCGGCGAATATGATCATCTGGTCTCTCGACTGCCAGTTGGTGCTCGCTGCCCTCACAGGTGCGCTGCCCTCACAGGTGCGCTGCCCTCACAGGTGCGCTGCCCTCACAGGTGCGCTGCCCTCACAGGTGCGCTGCCCTCACAGGTGCGCTGCCCTCACAGGTGCGCTGCCCTCACAGGTGCGCTGCCCTCACAGGTGCGCTGCCCTCACAGGTGCGCTGCCCTCACAGGTGCGCCGCCCTCACAGGTGCGCCGCCCTCACAGGTGCGCTGCCCGTGCGCCCTTAGGTGCTGGGGTGTCAATGTTGTGAGCATGGGTAGGTGCGGCAGGGGCAGGGGCAGGGGCGAACATGATCATGTGGTCGCTGGACTGCCAGTTGGTGCTCGCCGCCCTCACAGGTGCGCCCTTGGGAGCGGGCATGTCATTGTTGTCAGCATGAGTTGCTGCAGCAGACGTGCGTGTGTGTGTAGCAGTGGGCGCTGCTGCCTCGCCTGTTGCATCTCCCCGCAATCACTCCAACCAGCCTTTCTTCTCTTAGCCGCAGAGTCTCAGCCTCTTCCTCTGCTCCATATCTCTGCCTGTGCGTCTGTCCTTCTCCTCCACCCCATGCATGGCATGGCAGATGCGCGCATCTGTGTGTGGCAGGCGGGCACAGGCGAGCTCGTGCACTGCCTCACTGCACACCTGGAGCAGGTGAGGGGTAGCACGCACACAGCACAGGCACGAGCAGGTGAGGGGCCACACGCGCACAGGCATGAGCAGGTGAGAGGGTGAGAGGCGCACTAAGGTCCGGTGGGTGGTTGCACTGAACAGGCTCCCACTGGAGAGGCCTCCTCCACTTCTGCCATCCTCACATGAACTCCACAACCCCTGCCTTGCCCTTTCCCCACGCCCACTGCCCCCTCACACGTTCTTTGTCGAACATCCATCCATCCCGTGGAGTGGACCCGCCCCTCGAGTGTGAGGCGTCTCAACTCATTTCCCATCCCCTGCTACATGCCTCCCTCCTCCCCTCCCCCATCAGGCGTTTGTGCTGGACGTGCATCCCACGGATCCGCGCATTGCCATGAGCGCGGGGTATGACGGCCGGGTTATCGTGTGGGACATCTGGAAGGGACAGCCAATCGCCATCCGCCACGTCACCAACTTCCAACTCGTCGACGGGCACTTCTCTCCGTAAGCCAGTTTGCACGCCTGGCCCCCCTTGCTGCCTCCCCTCGTGTGCGCCCCCTGCTTCCCCGCTTCTCATTCTCGCTGCTGCTGCTCGTCAGCACCTTGTCCGCTTCATCCAGCCCCAGTTATCTCGTGCGCTCTCCCATTCACCTGTCGTCTAGTGATTCGTTGCACTTCCCCCCCCAGGCACGCATGCCGGTTGATCCCTCTTTTCCCCATGCCCATGCGCGTCCCTCCCACCCCCATGCCCATGACAGGGACGGCACGGGGTTGGTGGTGGCGGATGAGGTGGGGCAGGTGTATGTGTTTGCCACGGGGGACAAGAAACAATGGGCGCACATCCACATGGACCAGGTACCGTGTCCCCCCATGCCATGCTTCCATGATGCCTCTGTGTCATGCCCCCATGCCTCTCTCCCACGCCCCCATGCCATTCGACCATGCCCCTGTGCGTCAACTGCTTAGTTGTGGTTGCGGTTTGTTCTGCCACTCCCCTTCGGCCACTATCCTTAACTTCCTCTCATGCTCCCTTCCGTATGTGCCCCTCATGTGCCCCTCATCTCCACCCCTCCCTCCGTGTCACACCCCCTCATCAGTTCTTCCTGGGCGACTACCGGCGGTTCGCCCTCGACTCATTCCACAACGCCCTCGATGAGGTGCGTCCTCGCGCTCTCCCCTGCACCGCTGCACTCCCCCCGCTCTGCACTCCTGCTTTCGCCTTCACTCCTGCTTTTCCTTCCTTCCCACTCTTGCCCTTGCCTGCATTCCTTCTATCCCCGCACTCCCGCTCTTCCTTGCTGCTGCTCTCCCCCACTTGTTCTCCCTCTTCGCCAGCCCAGCCACTCATGCGCCTCCATCTCCCCCCTTTCCCCCTTCCCCCCCTCTTCAGGAGACGAACGTGCTAACAGAGGAGCGCACGTGGATGGACCCCATATGCGATGCGGGCATGCAGCCCTACCCCGACCCCTACCAGGCGCGCTTCACCGCGCTGCGCTTCGCCCTGCTCCAACGCCCCTACCACCCGCCCACCGCCCCGCTGAGGGTGGGGCGCATAGAGGCTGACGACTTGGCTTTCCAGCCCGTCCCCAACGAGCCTCTGGGTGGCCCCGGCTCTGCCCCCCTGCCGCTGCTGCCCCTGCCTGCTGCTGCTGGCGGTGGGCGCGGGGGAGGTGGGCGGAGGGAGGGGGTGAGGAGGGAGGAAGGAAGGGGGAGGAGAGAAGAGGATGGGGAGGTGCAGGTGGTGAGTGGGGGCGAGGAGGGGGAGGAGGGGAGGGTGGGAGGGGGAGAGGGGGGTGGGGCAGGAGGGGGTGATGGAGGGAGGGAGAGAGGGGAGGGGAGACGGCGGGAGAGCCAGCGATGGGAGTTAAGGGAGAGGCTGCCTGTGAGGCGGTATGAGGGATTTGAGGTGACCATGGGGGGGGAGGAGGATAGGGGCGAGGAGGAGAGAGGGGAGGATGACTCAGAGTATGAAGTGAGTGGTGGGGAGGAGGAGAGGCGCGGAGGGAGTGAGGAGGAGCAGGAGGGGGAGACGGAGGAGGAAGAGGAGGGTGGGCAGGGGGAGGGGGAGGGAGAGGGGGAGGAGGGGCAGGGCACGAGGCGGTCCCGAAGGCTGCTGGGGAAGAGGAGGCGGCGGTGGGGGAGGGCAGGGGAGGGCGAGGGGAATGAGGAGGACGAGGAGGGGGTTGAGGAGGTGCGGGGGCATGGGAGGCGGGAGAGGCGGATGATCACCAGGGGGAGCAGTGGCATGGGGAGTGGACGCGGCAAGGGGAAGCGGGGCGGACAGGGGCGGGGGATGAGGAATGGGATGGGGGGAAGGGGCAGGGCGCGCAAGGTGGCGAGCGGTGGTGGAGGCGGGGGAGGCAGGGGGAGAGGGCGGGTGAGGCGCGCAGGGAAGGAGGTTGAGGGGGAGGAGGAGGAGGAGTGGGGTGCAGAGCATTGGAAGGATGCGAGTGGTGCAGGGAAGAGAAGGTTTGTTGCGGGCGAAGAAGAAGAGGAGTATGATGAGGAAGAGGAGGAGGGAGAAGGAGAAGATGAGTGGGAGGAGGATGAGGAAGAGGAGGAGGATGAAGAGGAAGAGGAGGAAGGGGAAGAGGAGGAAGGTGAGGAGGAAGGGGAGGAGGAGGAGGAGGAGGAGGAGGAGGACGTGGAGCAGTACAAGCGGGTGGGGCACGCCTCTAGAAGCCTGGCCACTGCGCCTTACGCCCACCACTGGGCGCATGGGTTGCAGGCGGGGGGAGGGCATGGGGGGGTGGAAGGCAGTGGGCATGAGAGGGGGCAGCAGGGCATGTTGGCAGTGAGGGGCGGGCCGAGCGGTATCAGTGCTGTAGGAGCAGGTACACTCAAACTCAGAATCAACCTCAGAAAACCCTCTGCTACTGCTGCTGATGCTGGTGCTCTTGTTGCTGATGCTGCTGCTGGTGCCGACACTGCTGCTGGTGCCGACACTGCTGCTGGTGCCGATGCTGCCGGTGGTGCTGGTGCGTCTGCGGTGTGTGGTGCTGGGGGCGGCAGTGCTGGCAGCTCCAGTGCAGCGCTGCGTGGAGTGACCAAGACGCAGCTCAAGCAGGTGCGCTGCCTGTGTGCTATGGGGCAGGGGGCAGGGGGCAGGGGGCAGGGGGCAGGGGGCAGGGGGCAGGGGGCAGGGGGCAGGGGGCAGGGGGCAGGGGACAATGGGGGCATGAGCAATGGGGACATGGGGCATGGGGATATAGGGTATGGTGATATGGGCCATGGGACTTTTTAAAGCATTGGGTTTGGAAAACCTGCTAAACTCTGTATGCCCATATTTTCCGGCTGTGTGCTTGCTCTCGTGTATGTGTGTGTGTGGCACAGCGCATGGTGGCTCAACGCACCCAGGCCGCACAGGCTCTGCAGCAGCACGCTCTTGCCACGGCACAGGAGGGAGGGGAGGCGAAGGAGAAAGATGAGGCAAAGGAGGATGATGAGGATGATGAGGAGGACGTGGTGGAGGCAGAGGAGGATGAGGAGGGGGTGGAGGGGATGGGGGAGGAGGAAGATGAGGAGGAAGTGATGGAGGAGATCGCATCAGAGGAGGAGGTAGAGGAAATGGTGGTAACAGAGGTGGGTGAGGAGAGCACACAAGGGAGGAGGACGAGGAGCAACAGTCGGCATGTTGTGAGCCAGGCTGCTCAGTTGAGACCCGCTCAGATAAGACCCGCCCAGCTTAGACCCGCCCCGTCAAGACCCGCACAGATCAGACCTGCCCAAATAAAACCTGCCCTGCTGAGACCTGCTGGGATGGGCGTGGGTGCAGCACGAGGTGATGCTGCCTTTGATCGCTCTGCCCCGGCAGGTGGTGCGGAGGAGGTTTGGAAGGACGAGGAGGAGGAGGAAGAGGAGGAAGAGGAGGAGGAAGAGGAGGAGGAAGAGGAGGAAGAGGAGGAGGAAGAGGAGGAGGAAGAGGAGGAAGAGGAAGAAGAGGAGGAAGATCAGGGGAATTGGAAAGTAGAGCCCAACTGGGGAAAGAGGAAGACACGCAGACGCTCAGCAGGGGCGGGTGCCCTACCCGCAGGAAGGGGGGAGGTGCGGGGGGGAGGCGGGGGCGCAAGGCAGTCATTGCGGGTGGTGGCAGGCAGGGGCAGGGGAAGGGGGAGGGGCAGGGGCAGAGGGAGAGGGAGAGGCAGGGGGAGGGGAGCTGGGAGTGCATCTGGACGGGGGGGACAAGGGAGGGGCGCGGGCGGCAGAGGAAGAGGCAGCAAGGCACGCATTGCAGGATCAGGTGGGGAAGGGAGCAGGGCGCGGGTGGGGACAAAGAGGGCTTGGGGAGGTGTGGGAGAGAGGGGCAGGCGAGCTTTGGGTGAGGCGAGCGGGGAGGGCTTGGCAGGGAATGGGGAGGGCAGTGAGGACGTAGATGCAGAGGCAATGGGCGGAAAATGATGAGAGTGAGGGAGAGGGGCATGCAGGTGGGGACAGTGGGGGTGGGAAGAGGGGCGAGGGGGGTGACGTGGTGAAGGGAGGACACGTGTTGAGGGCTAGGACACCCCGGGGGAAGGGGAAGGGGGAAGAGAAAGGAGAGGCGAGGAAGAGAAATGAGGGACATGAGAGTGAGGAGGAGGAAGAGAGTGAGGAGGGGCAAGAGAGTGAGGAGGGGCAAGAGAGTGCCGAGGAACAAGAGCGAACAGCGAGTGAGAAAGGGCGCATTTCCAATTCGGTCGTGCAGAGTGCGTCGCGCCATACTGACGAACGTGAAGCCGTGCGTGGGGTGGGCGCTGTGTGGGCTGTGCAGATGACGACGACGCCTGGCGCCCCTCCAAGCGCTCCCGCTGCTGACTCCGCGCCGGCTGGCGCTGCTGACACTGCCGCTGCTAACAATCTGACTGCTGCTGGCGCTGGTGCAGGTGGCGGTGCGGCAGCAGTGGCAGCAGCAGGAGCAGCGCACGGGGGCCTGCCAGTGGCGGTGCCGGCCGGCACGAGGAGGAAGAGGAACGCGCGCGGGACAGCAATGCAGCGCACAGGCCGCACAGACAGACTGGGAGGAGGGGGCGCGCAGGAGGTTGAGGGCGGCGGTGGGGCGGGTGTGTGTGCTCTGGCGCTGCTGCTTCCCCGCACAGCAGCGCCCGCTGCTGCTGCGTGTGAGGGTGGTGGTGCAGACATGGGCGGTGCAGGGAGCGGTGCAGGACAGCAGGATGGTGCACAGGCAGATGAAGGGGTTGATGGAGGGGCAGGTGAAGGGGCAGGTGAAGGGGCAGGTGAAGGGGCAGGTAGTCATGTTGAGTGCGAGACAGTGGTTGGAGAGAAGGGAGCGACTGGCGAGGAGGAAGGAAAGGGAGAGGATGTGAGGAAAGGGGGGGAGGGCGAGAGCGCAGACGAGGGTGCGAGAGAGGCGGGTGCAGGTGTGGCGGCGGGTGAGGGGGATTGGAAGGTAGAGGAGGGAGGCCATTTTGAGGCAGAGGAGAGTGGAGGGAAGGATGGGAGGGATGGGATGAAGCTGGACGGGCACGAGGAGAGTGAGGGCGAGCAGGGAATGGCAAATGCCAATGCTGGTGCCGCTGGTGGTGCTTCTTGTGCGGAGACTGCTGCTGATGCTGCTGGCGCGGATGGTGCAGCGATGGAGGGCTGTGCAGCAGCAGAGGGCGCAGAAGGTTGGTTGCTGCCGGGTGTTGTGGGGGCGGAGAGCATTGCGGGCAGTGAGGGCGCAGGGGGTGCGGGGGACGCAGGGGAGTGGGGGGAGGAAGGGGGGGAGATGATTGCGCGCAAGGAGGAGCTGTTTGTTGAGCTGTTTGGGGAGGAGGGCGCGGAGGACGGCGCAGGGCTGCCTGCGGACGACCTGCTCAGCCCGATTGGTGCTGGGGCGGGGGGCACTGAGGAGGGCGGTGGGGGGGAGGTTGGTAGAGAGGAGGGCGGTAGGGAGGAGGGCGATGGGGAGGAGGGCGTCAAGGAGGAGGGAGACGGAGGCAATACCAGCGAGAGGAATGGGTGTGATCGAGGGGATGCAAAAAGGGAGCCAGGGCGTGAGGGGGACAGCGGTGGTGGGCAAGCAGGGAGCGATGGTGGCATGAAGGCGCAATGCAGTGAACGGGGCAGCAGTGAGGAACAGCATGCATGCGCGGTTGGTGCGACTTGTGATGCTCCCCCTGCTGTCAGGGCTGGCAGTGCAGAAGAGGCTAGAGAGCAGGCTCGCGAGGAGGGTGGGAGGAGTGCAGAGGGGGGTGCTGAGGAGCAGCGGTGTGCCATGGAGGAAGGGGAGGGCCGGGATGACGCGGAAGGGAATGCCGGGGGCGAGCAGAGGGAGGAGGGTGCACATGGTGGCGGCGATGGTGGTGGGATCAGCGAGGGCGAGAGAAGAGGGAGTGGCGCAGCTGATGGGGAGGAGGCTTGTGTGGGGAGAGGAGAGGGACAGGGGGAAGCAGAGCAGGGGGATGAGAGGGGGAAGGGGGAGGAGAGGGATGGTCTGGGCGAGGATGGTGGGGCGAATGGGGAGTGCGAGAGGGTGGGAGATGGTGGGGCGACGGGGGCAGGAAAGGATGAGCGAGATGCAAGTGGTGATGCGGTCAAGGGGGATGGGGCGAAGGAGGAGTGTGAGGGGAACGATGCGCTCAGAATAGAGCAAGAGGGGAGGATGAGTGGGAGGAGGAATGTGAGGAGGCGGCTGGAGCATGGGAAGAGAGAGGCAGGGGAGGGTGCTGATGGGGAAGGTACAGGGGAGAATGGGAATGGGATTGAGAGCATTGCGTTGCAGAAAGAGGAGTCGGAGCATGATACAGGCGATGATGGTGAGGAGGACGGGGAGGAAGATGAGGAAGAGGGGGCAAAGAGTGAAGAGGAGGCGGAAGAGGCCGAGGAGGAAGAGGGGGACGAGGAGGAGAGTGAGTCATATGGTGATTCAAGTGAGGGTGATGGGAGTGATGAAAGTGAGGGGAGTGATGAGGGTGGTGAGAGTGATAGGAGTGATGGGAGTGACGCAAGTGAGGAAAGTGAGGTGAGTGAGGGGAGTGAGGACATGGGGGGGCAGAGGAAGAGGAAGAGGGCAGCGCCTCCACAAACCAGGAGCACTCGCCGCCGCCGGGGCAAGCGGGCCACACGCACACAAACAGCAGGGCGACAGCAGCGGGGCAGGCAGAGCACCGCACAGCACCGGACCCCACCCTCTCGGCGTGCTGCTCCCACCACGCCTCGCGTGAACCACACTGCGAGCCCACGTCTGCGCCCACGTCTCTCTGCCTCGCCTGCTGCCACGCCCACCGCCTCCGGCGCTCGCAGCTCCCCCCTGGCCCTCTCCTCCAGAGGCCCCCGCCTCGCTGCCACTACCCCGCGCGCTTCCCCCCGTCTTACAGCCACGGCGCCCTCTCCTGGGACAGTGGGGGCTGAGGCGAGAGGAAGTCGCGATGGAGAGAGGGGCGATGGGGGCGGGAGGGCAGCGGGCCGGGTGCGAGCGGGTGCGGGGTGGGTGGGAGCGACAGAGTGGAGGGAGGGCGACCCTTACCTGCCTGAGGTGGGTGATGACGTCATCTACTGCTTCCAGGGCCACCTCAGCTTCCTGGAAAGTGCTGGGCGCAGCCGCAGCCGCGGGCTGGACGAGAAGCTTCGGAGGAAGCTGCGGCCGGCGGAGCCGTGTGTGGTGGAGGAGGTGGGGTACTACTGGGTGGAGAGCGGTGGCAGGGGGGCGGGGCAGGGGCGGCGAGGGGGAGGCAGGGGGGCAGGGGAGGCACGGCGAGTGGGGTGCAGAGCGGTGCTGCGGGTTGTGGAGAGTGAGAGCCCGGCGTGTGGGGAGAGGGTGGGCGTGGAGGTGGAGGAGGAGGGCGAGGAGTATGTGGTGGAACGCTGGCGCTATGATGCTGCCATGGCCAAGGGCTGGCACCCCAAACAGCACTGCCTGGTATGCCCGCACAACAAAGGGGTCTGCTGGATTCTGGGAGGTGGTTCATGCAGCACGCACCAAAAATTTCCACCGCTCTACTTGCTGCGCTGCCCTCCCCTCCTTTTCACCACCCCTGCCCTCTCCATCCCTCCCCATGCACGCCCCTCTATGCCTGGCCGCAGGCGTATTGGAGCAGGGAGTCGCTGCCAGCGGGCCTCAAGCCACCGCCCCTGCCGGAGTCGGCATCGGGCAGGGCAGTGGCAGAGCACCCGCGTGCAGTGCTGTTCCGCGGCCGCATCCAGACAGACAGCCCCTTCGACCCCGCCCTGCCCCTCAGCCCCTGGCGCAGGTCAGCCCCTCACCGCTTGCTGCTCCTCACCGCTTGCTGCTCCTCACCGCTTGCTGCTCCTCTTGTACCCATTCTCCCACTCTCCCCCACTGCTCGCTCCACTGCCCTCTGCATGCCCTCTGCTGCACACCCCTCCGATCTCACCCCTGTCCCCCCCTCCTCTCCCTCTCCCTCTCCCCATCAGGCTACGGGTGCACTACGCGCATGACCGCAGTGTGGAGAGGCAGAGCGCATGGGAGCTGCTGGACCCCGACCCTGCACTCTGGCCCACTCGCCCCGCCATGCCCGCACACCTGCTCGCTGCGGCCCGGGAGGCACTGCGCGCGGTGGAGCAGGACGAGGAGGTGCAAGACACACTGCACCTGCTCTACTCGCCCGACTCCTCCCACGCTGCACTCTCCAGCATCCCAGTGCCCATGAGCGTGGCACTGGTGCAGGCGCGCATGGCATCGGGGTGGTACCGCTCACTGGACGCACTGCTGCACGACACCACCCTCATCGCCTCCAATGCCCTCCACCTCCACGGCGCCGCCCACCCTATCGCTGCTGCTGCCGCCCACTTCTCCTCACAGTTTGCCGCCCGCCTCAAGGCCCTCACTAGTGAGAGCAGGGAGTGAGGCAGCCCACATTGCTGCGTGTGACTTGGCTGTAAATAATGTGGCGGTGCTTCATTTGCTCTCTGACCTAGATAGGCCGCAACTTTAGTCAGATTAGTTACCGGTACTAGTTTACATCCATGTTTAGGTTCTACTAACAGGCTTCTAAATTCTGATGTAGCTCATGAATGAAGGATAGAAATAATGTTGATGACTATCGCACGTAATAATCAGGTGTTACGAATTCTAGACATGCTACACAACTCCTACCCTAGATCTATCATATCAATACATGATTATTCCACACGTTCCCCCCAGTTAGAAAAGATCTACATCCTATCGACGATCAATGGAGCGGCATACAATGGATGTGGTCACGCTCGCGACGTATGAATCACAACGTGCTCTTGTCATCCAAAGTAGATGGGTCCGGAAGTGGCCTTATTGCGCATGCGCGTGTAGAAGTCCGCCATCTCTGCCTGCTCTGCCGCCATCTCTGCCGCTTCTGCCAGCTCCTCTCTCCGCCCCGACCCTCCCCGACCCCACTGGGCAAATGGACCCGATGGGTTCCGAAGCTGCCCCGAAGTTGCAAAAGAAGGAAAGTTTTTTCTCAGCTGCCCAGACGGGGTGACTTGGGCAGCAGAGTACTCTCCGTTGCTGGGCACTCTCACCATCTGCGCTGATTGCGCCACTATACCCGACATTTCAACCTGCCCGGACAGCCCCACGTTGGAGCGGGCTCTGCGCAGCCATTGGTTAGGGCCACGCTGGGGCGCGTTAAGCTGCCCGGAGGAGGCGGTGAGGTGGGCGGCAGCGAGCGGGTTGGTGAAGCGCACCACCCCTGACACCGCCCGCCTTGCCTGCTGCATTGACTGGCTTGACTGCATTGGCTGCTGGAATGATTGGCCTGGAAGGCTTCCAGCCTGTGGGGAAGCAGCACGGGGGGACGATTGCCTCGCCTGCCCCTGCCCATGCCCATGATGCCCGTGCCCCTGCCCCTGGGCGTGCATGGGCATGGGGGGTGTGCCGGCACCATGTGTGCCGAGCTGCTTGAGTATTCTCAGCTGCCCCGACCGGTTCAGCTGACCAAAGTGCGGCATCTGCCCCCATGCCGACCCCGATGCCGACAACATGCCCGAACCTGCAATCCCCGAACCTATTCCCGAACTCATCCCCGACCCTGCGATGCCCGAACCGCCACCCTCGGCAGCCCCAAGCCCCCCACCCACCAGTTGCCCCGAAATGCGCACATGGTGCTCCCCTGCTGCACCCGCAGCAGCGGTGGTGTCGGTGGAGCCAGAGGGGGCAGCATGGGCATGGGGAGGAGGGCCCATGGCAGAGTAAGACCATGCGCCGCTGCCACTGCCGTTGCTCATCATGCTGTTGCCGGTGGGGTAGGCAGTGGCAGTGGTGGTGCTGTTGAGGTTCAGGTGCTCCGGCACCTGCAGCTGCCCTGACGCAAGGCGCCTCAGCTGCCCCGATGTGCGCAGCTGCCCGGAAGCTCTGAGCTGCCCCGAGGGGTTGAGCTGCCCGGAGGCTGTGAGGTGGCCCGAACGACCCACGCGGATGCTCTGTGGGCCGGTATGGGGAGGGGGAGGGGAGGGCGGCGAGACAAGGGTGTTGGGGATAAGCCAGGGAAAAATAAGCGAGGAGTGGGATCGGGGAGTGCACAAGGAACAGCAGAGCAGAGCAGAGGGCATAGGGTGCAGGGAGCAGTGGGGGAGAGGACGGCAACCAACAGCAGGTAGCAGCGTGGAGCAGGGGGCAGGGGGCACTGACCCGGGAGCGCAGCATGGAGGGCGTGGGGGCGTAGTCGGCACCGCTGTCCTCCACGGGGTACTGTGGGTCTGATGGCCATGCCATGGGGAGAAGAGGTCGGACAGGGAGGAAAGAATGAAGGGACTGGGTGGTGCCAACAGGGAGGCTCTGTGAGTGCGTAGGAGCAAGGGTACAAGGGGACGTTGGGGTGAGGGTGGAGAGGCGTGCAGGTGAGCAGGCGGGGGAAACAAAGCACGAGGCTTGTGCAAGGACAGAGCGGGCAGGGCGGGGAAGTGGGCTGACCTGCAGCGGCAGCGAGGGCAGCAACGAGGGCAGCGCGGTGGGAGGGCGACACAGAGAGGCCGCGCCTGAGCGTGGGCGTGGAGCCCCCCGTGCCCGGCAGGCCGCCACTGCCCACCCGCGGCAGCCCCCCACTGCTTGCTCGCGGTAGCCCCCCCACCGCTGCCCCTCCTGCACCAGCGGCAGCGGAATCCGCAGAGCTCACCCGCACCATGCGCGCCGCCCCGCCCTCCCCTGCTGCTGCTGCGCCCTGTGCCCCCGGTTGTGGGGGGGCTTGGCCAAGGCCGGGCATGGAGGGCTGGGAGGCGGAGGCATGGATGGGCAGGTGGGAGGGCAGGTGCATGCCATGCAGGTGCATCTGGTGCAGCAGCGACGGCTCTATCCCGCTCAGCGAACCCACCGCCGCACTGCCCTCCGCCTCCTGCTCGCCCCCTGCTCGCCTCCCTGCCCCCCCTCTGTTGGACGGTGACTGCGGCTGTGTGCCGGGCTGGCTGCCTGCATTGCTGCCCCCATGACTGCCTCCATAGCTTCCCCCGTAGCTGCCAGCATAGCTGCCTGCGGCCAGGGACAGAGGCAACGTGCCCCCGCCCAGGCCCCCAGCATGCCTGCCCATGCCTGCGCCCACGCCCATGAACTCCGCCCCTGCAGGCCGCCCCATGGCGTCAATAGGCCCCGACATGCCCCTCTGCCTTCCCCCTGCGCCCATCCCCGCGCCCAGCTCGCCTGAGGGGAACCGCCTCCCCCCTGCCCGCGCTCCCGCCCCCTCTGCCAGCTCCCCCGACCGCCTCAACTCCCCTGATCGCCTCAACTCCCCCGACCGCCTGGGCCCGCCTGCTGGCCGCCCTGCCACCAGCCGCCCAGACAGCCGGCCAGACAGCCGCCCGGACAGCCGCCCAGAGGCGCTGCCCATGCGCAGGCGGCCCGAGAGGCGGTGCGGGTGGAGGGAGTGCGAGTGGGGCAGGGCGTGGTGTGGCGTGGCGGGCGCGGGGGGGCGCGGGTCAGACGCCCAGATGACCGCCAGCGGCCCCGACACCGACCGCACCAGCCTCCTCAACGCCGCCCGCCCCCACGCCTCCTCCCCCACCTCCTCCACCGCATCCCGCCCTTTTTCCTTCCCCTCACACCCCCCTTCCCCCTGTGCGTCGTCCCCCTCACCGCCCTCCCCCAGCCTGGCGGCCTCCCTAGCGGCAGCAGAAGGGGGCAGCAGCGGGCCAGAGGGGGGACGGGGCATGGCAGCGCTGGTGAAGGCGGTGGGGTTGGGGGCGTGGAAGAGGATGGGACCGGAGATGGCACGCGAGGGCTTCAAGGAAGAAGGGTGGCGGCGCGATGAAAAGGACGGGAGAGCGAAGAGACGGCGCGAGGGCGCAGGCAGGCGCTCACTGGCGGGCAGGAGAGGGGGGGACGGGCCTGGGGGGGGTGCTGCTCCACCCCCTGCTGCTGCCGCCATGAAGGCTGCTGCATGCAGCGATGAGGGCAGGGATGACAGCTGCGCCATGCCCCCCTGCATGCCCTCCTCCCCCATCCCGCCCATCCCCCCCATCCCGCCCATCCCACCCATTCCACCCATGTCGCCCCCCTGGTGCTGCTGTGCCTCCGCCACCAGCTGTTGGCAGGGCGCGGGGAGAGCAACGAGGGGAGGTGGGGGGGGAAGTAAAAGAGCGGTGATGAGGGAGGGAGAGAAGGGCACGTGGAGGTGGTATGGGGTGCACACACCCAACGCACATAGCGGCCAGTGCTCGTGAACCCCATGGCGTGAGCAGGGTTGAGGGGGCGGTAGAGTTGGGGGGCCAGGAGAGGAGGGGTAGGTACGTACCTGAGCATATGCCTCAAGGGGGTCGAGGTCGAGATCCAGGTCACCCTCCATGTCCTCATCGTACTCCTCCCCCTCCATGTACCACGGCGCTCCTGTGGCGTCGTACCCGCTGCTCGCAATAGGGAGGGGAAGGGGACGCACGCAGTGACACGCAGGGGGCAGAGGGGTGCACCGGGGAAGGGGGCGGGTTGAGCAGGTGGCACGAGGGGAGAGAGTGTAGAGAGGAGAGGGAGGGAATGAAGACAGGAGAGGGAGGGCCGGGGACAAGCAACAAAGCTGGTGCCACAAGTGATGGCCGTGAGGGCGGATGTTGGTGGGGCATGGGAAAGAAACGGAAGGCTTACTGTGCATAGAGTAGCGCCTCCCGTCGCCTTCTTGATGCTGTGACACAAACACACACATGCACATGCACATGCACAAGTCAGCGCCAGCACATATAGCCGAGCATTCATCATAAACAGCAGCACCCCTCCCTTGTAACCCCTCGCCTCTCCTCACATCACCCCCTCCCCCCCTTCCCCTCACCCCTACGGCTGAGCACGGTGCAGATGGCGACGCCAGCAACAAGGATAGCCGCAGCCATGGCGGCCCATGCGCCGTACGAGATGCCTAAAGGCGGCCCCTCCGCGCCCTGGGGCGCGCTGTTGGAGGGCGGCGCAGCGGCCATGGAGCAGTTGAAGGAGGAGATGCGGCCCGAGGGCAGCGCCAGGAAGTAGGATGATGCTGCAAAGATGAGCGCGGGAGACGTGCTGTTGGGGGGGGAGGCAATGGAATAAGAAGAGAAGTTGAAAGAGGAGATGCAGCCGGAGGGCAACGCCAGGAAGTAGGATGATGCTGCGAATATCATCGCAGGGGACGTGCTGGTGGGAGGGGGAAGTGGGGAGGGGGGTGGAGGCAGGATAAGGGGAAATTGGTGCGCGAAGGGAGGGAAGAGCAGGTTGGGATGGGACGGGAGGCGGTGGAATAAGAAGGTGTGAAACGAGGCAGCAGCACAGGCTGACGGCTGAGGGAGGGGGCAGCGTAGTGAGCAACCCCATGTGGATGAGTGGGGAGTGAGGGGGCGAGAGGGGAGCAGCGACTTACATAAGGTTGTGCAGCAACACTCCCGGCATGTTAAAGCTGGTGGCCTGGAACAAGTTGACGGTGGACTGCACCAGGATGCCGATGAGGTGCCCCAGCAGGCGAGGGAGGGTACTTACATGAGGTTGTGGAGCAGTTGACCGGGCATGTTAAAGCTGGTGGCTTGGAAGAAGTTGACAGTGGACTGCACGAGGATGCTGCCCGCATAGATGGCCTCGATCGCCACGTCCACCTGCCCCTCGTACCCCGTGGCCCTCGCCGCGGCGCTCATCTGCGCCTGAAACTGCGCCTGGAACTCCTGCAGCCGCGCACCGTCGCGGATGGCGCTGATGTTGGCCCCCCCCAGCACCACCACGCTGCGCACCAACACCCCGTACTGCGGCGCCTCGCCCCCCATGCTGCTGTTGCTGCTGCTGCTGCTGTTGCTGCCGGTGCTGCTGTTGCCGGTGCTCCCAGGGGCGGGCGGGGCGCCATGCAGGGGGAAGACAGGTGGAGCAGGCGGGGAGGGGGGCGGGGGGGGAGTGTAGGGGGGCGCGGCGGCGAGGGGGAGGGGCGAGGGGCGGCCGGAGGGCAGGAGGCAGAGACCCGAGGCGTGGTCGCAGGTGGCTGGTGCACGACAGGTGGAGGCTGGCGTGAGGGCGAGTGGTGAGCACGCTACCTGATGGTGGAGGGCGGAGGAAGACGAGCACAGGCGAGGGGCTTTCAGTATATAAAGAGGAGGCACAAGGTATGTACGAACGGTACAGGAAGCACCTGAGGGAGCACCTGACGAAGCACCTGAGTAAGCACCTGATGGAGCATCTGCGGAAGCATCTGGAGAAACACCTGCAGAAGTAGCTGGCAGGTTCTCACCTGGGAGCAGTCAGCAGCCGCGTAGCCAGGCAGGCAGTAGCACGTGCTGTTGTAGCATATGCCTGCTCACACGCACCACAGGAAGGAGTGGAGGCGGGAAGGAACACAGGAACGCACGGGCAGGGTGGTCAACAGGACAGCGGAGGGGAGGGCAGCACACACAGCAGTAGGCAGGGTAGCCGCTCTGCCTCATCGCTCACCGCCTATAATTTCCGCCTCTTCCCCCACTCTCCGTGCGCCCCTTCCCCCACTCTCCGTGCGCCCCTTCCCCCACTCTCCGTGCGCCCCTTCCCCCACTCTCCGTGCGCCCCTTCCCCCACTCTCCGTGCGCCCCTTCCCCCACTCTCCGTGCGCCCCTTCCCCCACTCTCCGTGCGCCCCTTCCCCCACTCTCCGTGCGCCCCTTCCCCCACTCTCCGTGCGCCCCTTCCCCCACTCTCCGTGCGCCCCTTCCCCCACTCTCCGTGCGCCCCTTCCCCCACTCTCCGTGCGCCCCTTCCCCCACTCTCCGTGCGCCCCTTCCCCCACTCTCCGTGCGCCCCTTCCCCCACTCTCCGTGCGCCCCTTCCCCCACTCTCCGTGCGCCCCTTCCCCCACTCTCCGTGCGCCCCTTCCCCCACTCTCCGTGCGCCCCTTCCCCCACTCTCCGTGCGCCCCTTCCCCCACTCTCCGTGCGCCCCTTCCCCCACTCTCCGTGCGCCCCTTCCCCCACTCTCCGTGCGCCCCTTCCCCCACTCTCCGTGCGCCCCTTCCCCCACTCTCCGTGCGCCCCTTCCCCCACTCTCCGTGCGCCCCTTCCCCCACTCTCCGTGCGCCCCTTCCCCCACTCTCCGTGCGCCCCTTCCCCCACTCTCCGTGCGCCCCTTCCCCCACTCTCCGTGCGCCCCTTCCCCCACTCTCCGTGCGCCCCTTCCCCCACTCTCCGTGCGCCCCTTCCCCCACTCTCCGTGCGCCCCTTCCCCCACTCTCCGTGCGCCCCTTCCCCCACTCTCCGTGCGCCCCTTCCCCCACTCTCCGTGCGCCCCTTCCCCCACTCTCCGTGCGCCCCTTCCCCCACTCTCCGTGCGCCCCTTCCCCCACTCTCCGTGCGCCCCTTCCCCCACTCTCCGTGCGCCCCTTCCCCCACTCTCCGTGCGCCCCTTCCCCCACTCTCCGTGCGCCCCTTCCCCCACTCTCCGTGCGCCCCTTCCCCCACTCTCCGTGCGCCCCTTCCCCCACTCTCCGTGCGCCCCTTCCCCCACTCTCCGTGCGCCCCTTCCCCCACTCTCCGTGCGCCCCTTCCCCCACTCTCCGTGCCCACCTTTCCCCGAGCAGTCGTTGGGGCACATGGCAGAGAGGCACATGCGGCGGTTGTCAGGGCAGGGGCCGATGGTCCCCCCGTGGAAGTCCCCCCCGCCCTGGTCGAGAGCCACCATGCGCCCCGACGGACACGGATACCACTGTCCGCCCACGCGCACCTCCACCACCATCCCGCCCCCGTGCTTCCCCCGCCCCTTCCCCTTGCCCTTCCCCCGCAGTTGGCGCTTCGGGGTGGAGGAAGGGGCGCGCGACGACAGTGCAGTGCTGCCCTGCGCCGTGGGGGCGAGCGAGGCACTGCCGTTGCCACTGGCGGCAGCAGGAGGGGCATCAGCGGAGTCAGCGGAGCGGGAGGAGCGCGAGTCATGGGAGGAGTGGTCGGAGGAGGAGGCGGATGAGGGGACGCAGCGCATGGGGTAGCAGCCGGCGCCGGGGGGAGGCACGGCACCGGCACCAAAGGCATAGTCGAAGAACTGTGGGCCGTGCAGGAAGCAGCGCGATGACGGGCCGTACGCCATGCCCAGCTGCTGCACCTCCGCTGCCCTGCTCTCCTCCGGCCCACGTGGTGCTTGGCAGCGCTGCGACTCCACACTGCAGAGGGGGGAGGAGGGTGGAGGCGAGGTGGCATGAGGCAAGTGGAGCTGGAAGGCGGTGGAGGTTGGAGAGTGATTAGCGAGTAATGCCGCGTACCTGGTCTTGTGCTTGCACGTGCCGAAGAGGCAGGACGAGGGGGAGGAGGAAGAGGAAGGCGCACAGCCCGAGTCACAGGTGGCGACGGAGAGGAAGTCAGACGAGCACGTCAGCGGCTGGGGGAGGGATGGGGGTTGGGGTGGGGGGGGTGGAGGGGAAAGGGGAGACGGTGAGAGGGCGAGGCGAGGTATGGCAGAGCGATGACAGCAGGAGAGGAGCATGGGGGGCAGTGCGAGGCACAGCAGCAGCAGGCAGCCATGGCATGGCAGTACTCCCACGGCGAACCCACCCACCATGAGCACGCGGCGCACTTCCCCCCCCGCGGAGAAGGTGGCGGAGCGGTTGAGGTCCGCCGCAGAGCAGAACCCGGGGGGCGTGCTGTCGGACGCGGACGCGGAGGAGGAGGCGGAGGGGGAGGGCGGGCAGGAGAGGGTGGCAGTGGCAGCGGAGCAGCCGCGGTGGTAGCCGGCGCGCAGCATGCCCGCCATGCCTGGCGTCACGGCGTACCAGCCGCTGTCCTGGAATAGCGCCAGTGTCAGCTCCGATACCACTGGTACCCCGTCCAATAGCGGCGTCTGGGGGGGGAATAAAGGGGGGAAAGAGGAGGAAGGGAACGGGTAAGGAAGGGGGGAGGGGATATGAGCGAGTGCGAAGGGAAAGAGGGGATGGGAGGCAGAGGGCCCCATTCCAGCACGCAGGTGCGTTGCAATGCCTCCTCGCCGCCACTGGACTCTTCTCGCTCTCTCTCCCTGCTCTCCTCCTCACCATGTACTCGTGCTCGAAGCGCAGCACGCTCCAATGGCTGCTCACCACCTCCCCCCCCTCCGCGCCCCCTTCCAGCGCCACTCCCCCCGTCAGCGCGTTCTGCGGCTGCACCGAGGTCACCAGCGACCCCCACTCCGTGCTGTTCGCCTCCGCGGGGGCCGCGGAGGGGGCGGGAGAGGCGGGCGCGGAGGCGGAGGGCGGGGCGGAGTGCAGCTCGGCGCCGTCGAGCGCGGGGCAGTCGAAGTGGCGCTGCGCTGCGGCCACCACGGCGGGCGTGACGATCTTCGACACAGTGCTGCCGTCCGCCTGCTTTGCCGTCGTCACCACCTGCGCGTACGGCTGGCCTGGTGGGCGCGGAGGGAGGGAGAGAGAGCGGGAGGAAACAAAGTGCGCAGAGGCATGACTGTGGAGAGACGAGGGGAGGAGACAAGGCACACGGAGGGCAGCAGCGGAGTGGCGGGGCGTGGGAAGCGGCGTACCTCTTACGTCCTTGAAGAGCGGGAAGAGCGCGGAGCTGAAGGCGAGCGCGTGCGTGAGCTGGTGCAGCACCACGTGCACCTGGGGGGAAGCAGGGACGGAATGGGAGGGGCAACGGGGGAGACGTGGTGGTCAGGGGGACGGCGATGGAGGGACGTAGGGGGGAATGAAAAAGGGAGGTAGGAGTGCGGGCGTGATGTAAAAAGGGAAGAAGTGAGTTATAAGGGAGGTAAAACAGGTGGAGCGGGTGTTATGTATGCGCATGCCCCCACGAGCAGAGCTCCCCACAGATTCTTCTCCCCCCTTGGTACCGTGTCGTACCTGCGAGTCGTACGACGGCGAGTGCTGCCCCACGGCGCGCCAAGCCAGCGGGCAGAGGTTCAGCGACGCGGCGAGCGGGCGGTTCGACGCCGGGTCCACCGCGCAGTGCGACGCGTGGGCCGCCGCTGTCGTGCTGCCGCACGTGGCCGTTTGCTGCTCCGCGCCGAGGGCGGGGGAAAGAGAGAAGGGCACGGGGGAGAACGGGGGGTGCGTTAATTGGGAGGGTGAATGCAGGAGGGGATGACGGGAGCTGTGGGGGGAGGGCTGGATGAAGGAGGCACGCGGCAGGCGCAGCGGAGGGGGGAGCTGGTAGGCGGGGCGACTCACTTTGGCTGAGAGAAACAGGATGACGTCAGCACCAGGTGTGCCTGTCCCGGCTGCCACCTCCCCACACGTGGCGGGGTCCTCTGATTGGCAGAGCGAATGCGCCGCCAGCAGGGATGGGTCCACGTCGATGTCCACCTCAGCCTGCACGGATGGACCACAGAACGCCACGTCACATCGAGGAACAGCCACGTGGACATGGCGTGAAAGCGGGTGTTAGATGCACGCTGTTGCGGCACTTGCACTCCTATCCCCCCCTCTTCCTCTCCCCATCGCCCCTTCATCCCCCCCGCCCACATGTCGCCCCCTTATATATTGATGGTTTTTAGTATTCGTAGGCTCTGCCTCGTCTCACGTCGCACACGGGCGGCACTCACGTCGCACACGGGCGGCACTCACGTCGCACACGGGCGGCACTCACGTCGCACACGGGCGCGAGCTGCGTGCAGGCGGAGGAGCCGTTGGAGAGCGCGGTGAACACGGCGCACGTCACGGGCAGCAGCAGCGGGTCGGGCGGCAGCACGCGCACTGACAGCAACCGACTCAGGTAGCTGGGGGAGGGGGGTTGCGTGGAAAGGGAGAAGAGCGCGGAGCGGAGGGGAGAGGGGAATAGGGTGAGAGGATGTGGGTGGGGAGCGTGGGAGGCGGGAATAGAGGTGGGCGAAGGTGACCAACGGGAGGCGCGACTTTCGTACCTGAGCGCGTCGGGCACGAGCGTGCCTTGGATGTACTTCGCCCGCAGCGGGTCGTCGGGTAGGTCCTGCTCCACCGACGACACCTGCTCAACGTGGTCAATGGGGTCAACGGGATGGGCGGGATTAGGTGTTCTACGCATGCTTTTGGCTGGGGCATTGAGCGGGCGGGTAACCATGAGCGGGTGGGAAGAAAGGGGTGCTGAAAAGGGGTGAGTTTGGGGCAGCGGGCGCACCGTGTGGAAGCGGAGTGGTCGAGGGGGGGAAGCGGAGGCGGCGGAGACAGTGGCGGCGGGAGGGGCGGACTTCAGCAGCTGCCGCGAGGGCGCGGAGGGGCGTTGACGCGCCCACTCTCCCACGCCGAACCTGGGGGTTACGGAGTGGAAGGGAATTGAATATGACGATATACTGCCGTCGACGCAATTCGTCGCTCACGCTTCCCCGTCTCTCCCCATCCCCCCTTTCCTTCTTCCCCCCTCCAACCCCTCCCCCTACTCTCACACACTCCTTGACTTGCGTCGGCTCCCAGGTCTCATCTTGGGCTGTACGGCCCTACCAACCCTGTGCCGCACGGCCCCACCCACCCTGTACCGCACAGCCCCACCCACCCTGTACCGCACGGCCCCACCCACCCTGTGCGGTACGACGCCAGTTGCCGGCGCGTGTGCTCTCTGCTGCGCGCCGCCACGTGCGAGTCGTGCACGCACGTGAACGGCCGCTCCGCCACGTGGGACGCGACGTGGTTTAAATCCCATCCATCGCCGCGGCACGGCCGACACGCTGCTGCTAGAATGACGAGCGCTGCAGAGGGGTAGGGGATTTGGGGAGAGAGTCGGAGGCGCGAAGTGAGGAATGTCGTATCGGAGGGCTACTTGATGCTGCGGTAGCGGCGCGGTGAGGAACTACGACGATGGTCGAGGTGAGTGCGCTAACGAGCGACGCGGATGGCGACGCGGTAGCAACGAGAACGCACACGATGACGGCGAGGCGCACAAAATTGCGAGCCTAAACGACTAGAGCGAAGATCTACTCGCAGGAGTGGACTGCTCTAAGGGATCGTACGGCGACGCAGCAGGAAGGCTCAAGAATCGAGACGCGCAACGTGACATCGCACCTGTGAGGAGCGCTATGCGGTAATCGAGGAGCAGCGGCGTGGACGTCGCTGCCATGGCTGCCGGCAAAAGGTGACTGGATTAAGCGGTCCTAGCATGGAGTGGACTATTGCCTAGCTTGAAGAGAGATAGTACCCGTACAGTGAAAGCATTATGTGAGCCACCTGGAAACTTGCCAGGACTAGGAAACCCTAAACACTAGTGAACTCTGTCAACTAGGCGAATCAGCTAAGCACATGTAGAGCAGGCAAGCGCATCACTCTGCTTCTGTGTGATGGCCGCCGTTCGGCTAACCTGCTCGGCCCATCACTTGTTTTGCCTGACCGACTTCTTTGGTTGGCATGGCGACCCACAGCAGAGCAGTTATGGGCGTGGGTGGGTCGTGCCGGGACGGGTGCGCGGTGGTGCAGAGATGGGTCTCCCAGAGCAGGGCTGTGGGGAGGGGAAGTCAGAAGCCACGCGAATGTGCGACGCGGCTCCAGTTCAGATGCCTCACGACGACACGAATTGCAGACTGGCGGGAAGTAGCGGACCGCGCAGATTCTGAAACTTGCGGTACACCGCAATCAGTAAAATGTAGTCTTCTTTTATGACACGTAAATTCTGGCGACATAATCTTTCACTCTGCCACACGTTCAACCCAGATCTCATGCTTCTAGCTTAGCAGTGCCCAGTTACCCTGTGAGAAATCTAAACAAAAAATTAGGGTTTGTATGGTACATGGTAACCCTCTACAAAAAGCAGTGTCTCCTGAGGGCTGCAGTCAATAGTGTTGTTTAGCATTGTTGGGTTAGATGATGTTAGAAATAGAAGAGGAACCTAGGCTTAGGTGAAACCCTAGCCTAGGTGAGAGTTGAGAGTAACGAGATGTAAGTTGGGCAAAGGTGGGGAAGTTCACTATTGAGCAAGGTACAAATAGGAAACACAGCATGCAAAGAAGGTGTACCACCAACAGTTCATTATAATAACTACAGTAACTATCGTAAGCAGGATATAATATAACTTGACACACCCCCTTAGCCTGCTTGCGGTAGGAACTGGCGCAGTGGAAGAAGGCAAAGAGGTAAGGAAGGACGAGGAGGCGAGAGGAGAGGAGAGAAGAGGAGAGGAGGTGGGGGGCCAGTGCCGGCGGACCCGCTTACGAACCTCCTTTTACAAAGGGGAGGTGAGAGAGGAAACGGAGAGGAGGTGGGCTAGGTGGGCATGAGCGCGCAAGCTCATAGCGATCCCCCCCCGTTAATAACCCCCAAGTCCCGATGAGGAGAGGAGGTGGGCTAGGTGGGCATGAGCGCGCACGCTCAATGCGATCCCCCCCCGTTAAGAACCCCCAAGTCCTCACCCCCCTTATCACTCAACCCCTTGAACCTCACACCCTCCGCACCTTTCTACTTCCGCCACCCCCTCACCCTTTTCCACTTCTTCCCCCCTCTTAACCTCTCTCCTCCCCCCCCCCCCCTACAGCAACAAATGCTGCAATGGAGAGAGGAAGAGGGAAGGGAGGGACAGCCTGCTGGAGGTTCACACCCGCCACCCCCACGTCTCCCCTCCCCCCCCACGACTGAAGCCGCGGAAGGGAGGGCGGGAGGGGGGGCAGCGTGAGCAGCTGCCGGCGCTGGCGCTGGCGGCAATCGCAGCTGCTGGCGGTGGCGCTGGCGGTCCGCGCAGGCACTGGCGCTCACGGCTGGCTGCGGCGCTGGCGCTCGCGCTGGCACTGGCGCTCGTGGCTGGCCGTGGCGCTGGCGTCCGCGCTGGTGAAGGCGGATCGCGGGGCGACGGGGGCCGCGGGGCGACGAAACGGGGTTCGCGGACGACGGGAAGGGGTGCGCCCCGACGACGGAACGCAGGGCGCCGCGGCGACGGAAGACGGGGCGCCGCGGCGACGGGAACCGGGCGCCGCGACGACGGAAAGCGGGCGCCGCGACTACGGGAACGCGGGGCGCCGCGGCGACGGGAATTAGGCGCCACGGCGAACGGGCAGACGGGCGAACGGGAAAAAAATGGCGCATTTCGCGCTGTAGCATAGGCGGGCCCATATCTTACAGAAAATTAGGTCCTAAGATTGTAGTGGCTCTGATAGCATGTTAGAAATAGAAGAGGAACCTAGGCTTAGGTGAAACCCTAGCCTAGGTGAGAGTTGAGAGTAACGAGATGTAAGTTGGGCAAAGGTGGGGAAGTTCACTATTGAGCAAGGTACAAATAGGAAACACAACATGCGAAGGTGTACCACCAACAGTTCATTATAATAACTACAGTAACTATCGTAAGCAGGATATAATATAACTTGACAGATGAGGCCTACTTGTATGCACATTTTCATGCGTGACTGAAAAGTTTGTTCAGTTGAGTCACAAGTAATCATAAACCCTTTCCCACCTGTTATTGAAGATTGCCCTTGCTGTACTCAGAACCTTTGTGACAGATCACAGCAGAAGTCTATGGAGAGCTAGAGCAGTTTCAGAATGTTTCTACCTAATTTTTCTTACTACCTGCTGGTCGCTAGCCCTTGCTCTTTCCTCTTGCAATTCCTTAATTGGAGGGGTGAGAGATGGTGCAATACGATTGGATGGAAAGGGAGTGAAATCTGGAAGCATGGCAGCATCCCTAAGCTTGCCAGCAGGTAGGGCTTGGATGGCTGCCAGCTTGAGCTTGAGCCTGGCTGACTCGGCCCCTCTCTGCTGGTGGTGCTTCTGCATCATCAACCTCGAGTACTCCTTCGCCATCAGCATCTCCTCCGCCTGAGTAGCCTCATCCAGATTCGGCTGCTTGGCAAAGAAAAGGGTAGGGCGTTATATGGATAGCGATTGAGTGAGGGGCGAGAGAAGTGAGAGACGGCCCGAAGTGGGTGGGTGGAGCGGGAGGCAGCATAAATTCATTAAGGGTTTGTGGGTAGTGGGGGTGGACTGCTGATTGGATCGCTCAGATCCGTGAAGCAGCGGTCGAAGCAACATTCAAAGGAAACGATAACCCTAAGAGCATCGGACGAAGGATGCATCGGGTGCTCGAAGAACAACAACGCTTCAACGACCAGCCAAAGCCACGTTCCTGGTTCCCTCACCCATTTCGTACAGCTGCACGGTTATGCCCTCACTATAACTCTCACCACTTCTATTTGAGCATGGCGAAGCGCCGCCTCTACAATGGAAGCCGCCTTCCCTTGGTCTTCCAAAGCTTTCTTCTTCCCGCCGCTGCTTCCTCCCGCCGACTTCGCTTTCGCCTTGCTCTTCCCTGCACTTTCAGCAGCTGCTGCCGCGGCGGACGCAAATTGGCGCCCGACAGCTTGTTTGATCTGCTGGGATCGCGTAATGACCGCTGATCGGAGCATCGCCACCGCGAAAGCTCCGCAGCACGATACGTATGGGCGAACGACTCGTGATTTTACTGGATCATTGGCTCGCTGACACCTAGGAATGTGGGTGCGCTGTAATCACTCGTACACGCAGTTGCGTTACGGGTGTGAGACGTGAACTGTAGGTGGCTGAGATAAAAAGCAGCAGGTGTATCGAAGTTAGGCAACTGCAGAAATTGAGTCTAGTCTATTGAGGAGGGCACGGTCAGGAAAATGTTTGTTCATGAACACATTAATCGTGCTTTGGGGTGATGTGTCCCCAATCTGCGTGCTCTAGAAAAAGTGTCACCTATTTTGGCCAATAAAAAGCCAGCAACACATTAGGATGACACGGGACAAGGCACTTGATGACATGTCAGTAACATCAGCCAGGCTGGATTGCCCTTCGCACTTGGAAATGAGATAAGGCACCTGCTTTTTTTTCGTCCCGTACTGTCTGCCCGCGAACAGAAGGGGCCGAATCTGGACTCGCCTGCCTTCGTGGCAAGAAGGTTCGGGAGAATGCTGATATTTCAGCCAACCAGCAGGGACGCCAGCACGTGAGTCGGAATGCTTCCACAAGGGGCAGCTCCCCGCACGTGATCGTTGGATTTCGCCAGGCTGCCCCCTTTGCTTTGTCCGAACCGGCACCGAACCTGACTGAACTTGGGATGTACACGTAGTCGCTCCAAACCACTGGGGAAGCAGGGTTGTGCTGTTCGTCCCCCCTGCCTGGCGGGCCAACGCAGCAGAGCGCAGCTGCAGCATTCGTCTCCCCCCCACGCGTATTTGGCTGCTCGCCCTCTCAGCTAATGCATTCACACATTCCGCCTCCAACGTTCCCTGGTTAGTTTCTCCTAATTTGTCACCTAAAGCCAGCCTGACCAGATGAGTGTGTGAAGGATTTACGGATTGGCCCGTTATTTTTCGTAGAATCTAGTGACGCTCTGGTCGACGCTTCGCTCTACAGCTTTTCTTCTCCTACTAATCGGCATGATTTTCGAGGTTGACGCCTTTTCCTCGCCATCAGCGGCGTCCCCTCCGTCCAGTTCATGTCGCATCGACGACTTGCCTGGCGAGCTTCTCGTCGAAATTCTCAAGGTATATACATGTTGTTTCAGGCGTTTCTGTCAATTATCGTCGTTTTTAATCTCAACCTTCTGACGTCGTTTCTGTTAACGCGTTACAGAATTTGGAGAAGCAAGATACGGGAAGGAGAGCACATTTGAGAGCAGCGTCGCTCGTTAGCCGGCAATGGCTGGCATCCTCCGGCCTGGCTTGCTCGACCCTCTCTCTGAGTGGTCTCAAGGTAATTCATGCCTCCCGCATTGTCGTCACCTCTTCCTTACACCAGGCACTTGTTCGTACGCTTACTCCCGTTGTCATTTTGAATTCCGCAGGCATCCAAGCTCCCGAAGCTCTTGGCGAGGTTCCCGTCGCTCGCGGTGCTGAACCTGAATTTCCTCTTCGACTGCTCCGAGGACTCCCTGGCCAGCATCGGCCGTCTGTGTCCGCGTCTGCTCGAGCTGCACGTGCCCGAGACCTGCAAGGCCGCTGATGGCACCGGACTCGTCGCTCTCGCTCGCGGCTGTCCGAACCTCTCCATTCTTTCCCTGCCGGCCTTCAAGGGCCCCGACCACTCGCTCATGGCGCTGGGCTCGCACCTGCCTCGCCTGCTCAAGCTGCGCCTCCGCTCCGTGCCGCATCTTACGGACGCCGTGGTGGCGCACATTGCGCAGAGCTGCCGGCGTCTGGAGGAGCTCGACCTGTCCTTCACGGACATCACGGACGCCGCGCTCGCCGCCCTCGGCGCGGGGCTGCAGGCGCTGCAGCACCTCGACGTGAAGCACTGCAAGCGCGTCACGGGCGCCGGCGTCGCGCAGGTGGCGGCGGGGTGTCCGCAGCTGCGCCTGTTGCATCTGGGCGTCGTGGACGTCAGCGATGACGGCCTGACGGCGCTGGGCCGTCACAGCCGGCAGCTGGAGGAGCTCTATCTCGACTACGGCGCGGGGGAGACGCACCAGCTCTCGCGCGAGGCCTTCTCGTCGCTCGCCGCGGGCTGCCGCAAGCTGCGCGTGCTGAGCCTGCGCGGCAGCCGCCAGGTGGACAGCGGCGCCGTGGCGGGGCTGGCGCGCGGGTGCCCGTCGCTGGAGGTGCTGGACATGCACGCGTGCGACGCCGTCGCCGACGAGGGATTGTCGCCCGTCATCGCCGGCTGCAAGAAGCTGCGCGAGTTGGTGCTCACGGGCACGGCGGTGGGCGCGGCGGGCGCGCACACGTTCAGAGGCGGGCTGCCGCAGCTGGCGCTGCTGCGGATGAACGGCGAGCTCGTCACGGACGCCGTGCTGCACTCGGTGGCCGCCAACTGCCCCGCTCTCACGGAGATACACCTCAGCAACTGCCACGTCAGCGACGAGGGCATCCAGCGGCTGCTGGCGGGGTGTGCGCGGCTGCGCGCGCTCTCCGTGAAGGCGTGCGCGGACGTCAAGGCCACCGCGTTTGACGGCGTCACCTGCGCGGCGCTCGAGACCGTGGCGCTGCCGTCGTGCGGCGTGACCGACGAGGGGCTTCTCGCGCTGGTCCGCGCTTGCCCCGCGCTCGCCTCGCTCTCCCTGCCCGCCTGCCTGAAGCTGACCGCCGCGGGGCTCGCAGCGGCGCTGGCGGAGGCGCGCGCGGTGAAGGAGGCGAGCGTGGCGGGGTGCAAGCAGCTGATGCGCGACGACATCGTGCGCCTCACGCGCTGCTGCCGCCCCGCGCTTAAGTCCCTCCGCGTGTCGCGCCCGCACTGCCCCGACGACGAGTACACGCTGAAGCGCCTGCACGTGGGGTGGCAGCTGCCCAGCTGGGCGCGCACCACCTCCTCTACCAGCCCGCGCCTCTCCGCTGGCTTCGGCGCGCGCGGGCTGTACGGCAGCAGCTCGGGGGGCGCCACGCCACACTCCCTGTAAAGCACAGGTGCAGGCGCTCCCACGAGCCTCCCTGCAGGTACCAACCCCGACACATGGACACACTGCGGCGGCGGCAGCAGCAGCAGCAGCAGCAGCAGCAGAGGTGTGTCTGGATGCGCGTGTCGACCCTACCCTGAGGACCCCTGTGGCCCGTGTGGAGCCCGGGATGCTCTGAAGCCCTGCAGCGCCCTCTGGTGCGCGGCAGGGCAGAGAGACGAGCACTGGGACGAGTCATGAGCCCGGGGCGAAGGGGAGGTGATGGACGCTGCGTGACACTCGTGCTGGGTGGAGGCTGCAAGGCGGCCGTGCCTGGGTGCATCTGCTCAAGTGCAGGCGGGTTTTTTTCTTACCTTGTGCTTCTGGTGCTGAAGACGTGGATAGTCGGTGTTTTGTGTGGTTGTGCATATGTTTGTGAATGGAGTGCTGTGAGGAGGTGGAGGGCGAAGTGCCACAGGCGCCACAGCCCAAAGGGCACGTGGTGCTGGCGCTGTGCGAGCATGCTGCATGCCCCGCACAGATGTAAAGAAGGCCAGTTGTCTCCCATCGTTTCAGCAGCATTTCAGTTCAGTTCTCCTGTTTGCAATGGTTTTTACAAAAAGTGCAAAAGCATGTGTTTCCCAAGGCAAGTGGCTTCCTCTTTGATTCATATCACTCCAAAACATTGCACGCTGAACAGAGAAACCTACGCGTGAACAGGAAGCAACTTTGATGGACACATGTTTCCATAAGGCTGTATATGTTGGCAGCAGTGCATCAGAGAGTCATGTCTACAATGGCCCGGCCCAGCACGTTGCCCTTCTCCAGCTTGCAGTAGGCACTGTCTGCATCCTCGAGGCAGTAGCGCTCCGTGACACTGGACACCACGTCCACCCTCCCCGCTGCTGCCAGTGCCACCACCGCTGGCAGGTCCGACCGTGCCTTGGCCCCGTATGACCCTATGATCTTGATCTGCAGGGTGGGGGGAAGGAAAGGGGGGTGGATGGAAGCATGCGGGTGGGAAGGGAAAGTCGCAGGCAGGAGTGAAGTCGGGGGTGCAGCAGCAGAGAAGCATGTGTGGGACTGAATACCATGTGTGGGACTGAATACCATGTGGGGGACTGAATACCATTTTGTGGGACTGAATACCATGTGTGGGACTGAATACCATGTGCGGGACTGAATACCATGTGCGGGACTGAATACCATGTGCGGGACTGAATACCATGTGGGGGACTGAATACCATGTGCGGGACTGAATACCATGTGCGGGACTGAATACCATGTGCGGGACTGAATACCATGTGGGGGACTGAATACCATGTGTGGGACTGAATACCATGTGTGGGACTGAATACCATGTGTGGGACTGAATTCCATGTGTGGGACTGAATACCATGTGTGGGACTGAATACCATGTGTGGGACTGAATACCATGCGCGGGACTGAATACCATGTGGGGGACTGAATACCATGTGGGACTGAATACCATGTGTGGGACTGAATACCATGTGTGGGACTGAATTCCATGTGTGGGACTGAATACCATGTGGGACTGAATACCATGTGTGGGACTGAATACCATGTGTGGGACTGAATACCATGTGGGGGACTGAATACCATGTGGGGGACTGAATACCATGTGGGGGACTGAAGACCATGTGTGGGACTGAATTCCATGTGTGGGACTGAATACCATGCGTGGGACTGAATACCATGTGCGGGACTGAATACCATGTGGGGGACTGAATACCATGTGTGGGACTGAATACCATGTGGGGGACTGAATACCATGTGTGGGACTGAATACCATGTGTGGGACTGAATACCATGTGTGGGACTGAATTCCATGTGTGGGACTGAATACCATGTGTGGGACTGAATACCATGTGTGGGACTGAATACCATGCGCGGGACTGAATACCATGTGGGGGACTGAATACCATGTGGGACTGAATTCCATGTGTGGGACTGAATTCCATGTGTGGGACTGAATACCATGTGGGACTGAATACCATGTGTGGGACTGAATACCATGTGTGGGACTGAATTCCATGTGTGGGACTGAATACCATGTGTGGGACTGAATACCATGTGTGACTGAATACCATGTGTGGGACTGAATACCATGTGTGGGACTGAATACCATGTGGGGGACTGAATACCATGTGGGGGACTGAAGACCATGTGGGGGACTGAAGACCATGTGTGGGACTGAATATCATGTGTGGGACTGAATACCATGTGCGGGACTGAATATCATGTGCGGGACTGAATACCATGTGCGGGACTGAATACCATGTGGGGGACTGAATACCATGTGTGGGACTGAATACCATGTGTGGGACTGAATTCCATGTGTGGGACTGAATACCATGTGTGGGACTGAATACCATGTGTGGGACTGAATGCCATGTGTGGGACTGAATGCCATGTGCGGGAGTGAAAGCCATGTGCGGGAGTGAAAGCCATGTGCGGGAGTGAAAGCCATGTGCGGGAGTGAAAGCCATGTGCGGGTGGGTGAAAGCCATGTGCGGGTGGGTGAAAGCCATGTGCGGGTGGGTGAAAGCCATGTGCGGGTGGGTGAAAGCCATGTGCGGGTGGGTGAAAGCCATGTGCGGGTGGGTGAAAGCCATGTGCGGGTGGGTGAAAGCCATGTGCGGGTGGGTGAAAGCCATGTGCGGGTGGGTGAAAGCCATGTGCGGGTGGGTGAAAGCCATGTGCGGGTGGGTGAAAGCCATGTGCGGGTGGGTGAAAGCCATGTGCGGGTGGGTGAAAGCCATGTGCGGGTGGGTGAAAGCCATGTGCGGGTGGGTGAAAGCCATGTGCGGGTGGGTGAAAGCCATGTGCGGGTGGGTGAAAGCCATGTGCGGGTGGGTGAAAGCCATGTGCGGGTGGGTGAAAGCCATGTGCGGGTGGGTGAAAGCCATGTGCGGGTGGGTGAAAGCCATGTGCGGGTGGGTGAAAGCCATGTGCGGGTGGGTGAAAGCCATGTGCGGGTGGGTGAAAGCCATGTGCGGGTGGGTGAAAGCCATGTGCGGGTGGGTGAAAGCCATGTGCGGGTGGGTGAAAGCCATGTGCGGGTGGGTGAAAGCCATGTGCGGGTGGGTGAAAGCCATGTGCGGGTGGGTGAAAGCCATGTGCGGGTGGGTGAAAGCCATGTGCGGGTGGGTGAAAGCCATGTGCGGGTGGGTGAAAGCCATGTGCGGGTGGGTGAAAGCCATGTGCGGGTGGGTGAAAGCCATGTGCGGGTGGGTGAAAGCCATGTGCGGGTGGGTGAAAGCCATGTGCGGGTGGGTGAAAGCCATGTGCGGGTGGGTGAAAGCCATGTGCGGGTGGGTGAAAGCCATGTGCGGGTGGGTGAAAGCCATGTGCGGGTGGGTGAAAGCCATGTGCGGGTGGGTGAAAGCCATGTGCGGGTGGGTGAAAGCCATGTGCGGGTGGGTGAAAGCCATGTGCGGGTGGGTGAAAGCCATGTGCGGGTGGGTGAAAGCCATGTGCGGGTGGGTGAAAGCCATGTGCGGGTGGGTGAAAGCCATGTGCGGGTGGGTGAAAGCCATGTGCGGGTGGGTGAAAGCCATGTGCGGGTGGGTGAAAGCCATGTGCGGGTGGGTGAAAGCCATGTGCGGGTGGGTGAAAGCCATGTGCGGGTGGGTGAAAGCCATGTGCGGGTGGGTGAAAGCCATGTGCGGGTGGGTGAAAGCCATGTGCGGGTGGGTGAAAGCCATGTGCGGGTGGGTGAAAGCCATGTGCGGGTGGGTGAAAGCCATGTGCGGGTGGGTGAAAGCCATGTGCGGGTGGGTGAAAGCCATGTGCGGGTGGGTGAAAGCCATGTGCGGGTGGGTGAAAGCCATGTGCGGGTGGGTGAAAGCCATGTGCGGGTGGGTGAAAGCCATGTGCGGGTGGGTGAAAGCCATGTGCGGGTGGGTGAAAGCCATGTGCGGGTGGGTGAAAGCCATGTGCGGGTGGGTGAAAGCCATGTGCGGGTGGGTGAAAGCCATGTGCGGGTGGGTGAAAGCCATGTGCGGGTGGGTGAAAGCCATGTGCGGGTGGGTGAAAGCCATGTGCGGGTGGGTGAAAGCCATGTGCGGGTGGGTGAAAGCCATGTGCGGGTGGGTGAAAGCCATGTGCGGGTGGGTGAAAGCCATGTGCGGGTGGGTGAAAGCCATGTGCGGGTGGGTGAAAGCCATGTGCGGGTGGGTGAAAGCCATGTGCGGGTGGGTGAAAGCCATGTGCGGGTGGGTGAAAGCCATGTGCGGGTGGGTGAAAGCCATGTGCGGGTGGGTGAAAGCCATGTGCGGGTGGGTGAAAGCCATGTGCGGGTGGGTGAAAGCCATGTGCGGGTGGGTGAAAGCCATGGCGGGTGGGTGAAAGCCATGTGCGGGTGGGTGAAAGCCATGTGCGGGTGGGTGAAAGCCATGTGCGGGTGGGTGAAAGCCATGTGCGGGTGGGTGAAAGCCATGTGCGGGTGGGTGAAAGCCATGTGCGGGTGGGTGAAAGCCATGTGCGGGTGGGTGAAAGCCATGTGCGGGTGGGTGAAAGCCATGTGCGGGTGGGTGAAAGCCATGTGCGGGTGGGTGAAAGCCATGTGCGGGTGGGTGAAGCCATGTGCGGGTGGGTGAAAGCCATGTGCGGGTGGGTGAAAGCCATGTGCGGGTGGGTGAAAGCCATGTGCGGGTGGGTGAAAGCCATGTGCGGGTGGGTGAAAGCCATGTGCGGGTGGGTGAAAGCCATGTGCGGGTGGGTGAAAGCCATGTGCGGGTGGGTGAAAGCCATGTGCGGGTGGGTGAAAGCCATGTGCGGGTGGGTGAAAGCCATGTGCGGGTGGGTGAAAGCCATGTGCGGGTGGGTGAAAGCCATGTGCGGGTGGGTGAAAGCCATGTGCGGGTGGGTGAAAGCCATGTGCGGGTGGGTGAAAGCCATGTGCGGGTGGGTGAAAGCCATGTGCGGGTGGGTGAAAGCCATGTGCGGGTGGGTGAAAGCCATGTGCGGGTGGGTGAAAGCCATGTGCGGGTGGGTGAAAGCCATGTGCGGGTGGGTGAAAGCCATGTGCGGGTGGGTGAAAGCCATGTGCGGGTGGGTGAAAGCCATGTGCGGGTGGGTGAAAGCCATGTGCGGGTGGGTGAAAGCCATGTGCGGGTGGGTGAAAGCCATGTGCGGGTGGGTGAAAGCCATGCGCGGGTGGGTGAAAGCCATGTGCGGGTGGGTGAAAGCCATGTGCGGGTGGGTGAAAGCCATGTGCGGGTGGGTGAAAGCCATGTGCGGGTGGGTGAAAGCCATGTGCGGGTGGAGGTGAGGACGGACATTGCGGCGCACGAGTCGGGTGATGTCCACAGCAGCGGTGGTGCCGGCAGCAGCAATGCCCACCATCACCGCCCTGCCCCCGTCCCTCACTGCATGCACCGTCTGCCCAAACGTCTCCGCCCGCCCCAACGCCTCCACCGCCACGTCCACCCCCATGCCGCCCGTTATGGCCTGGCAGAGGGAATGGGGGAGATGGGGCACACGTGAAACACACATGAGGTACACAAGGGGCAAGAGAGTGAACCATGGGGGCTGAGGAAACCACATGAGCCGCACCACACACTATACCCCACCCGTGAGACAGCAGCAAGGTGCACCCACCCTGATGGCCTCCACCACGTCCTCTTTGGCAGCATTGACGGTGTGGGTGGCGCCCAGCGCACGGCAGCGCTGCAGCTTGCCCTCCGCCACGTCCACCGCTACGATGCTCGCGGCCCCCATGGCGCGCGCCACCTGCACACAGCTGCCGCCCACGCCACCCGCCCCCACCACCGCCACGGTGTCGCCTGCCCGCACGTCCCCCGCGTGGCGCAGCGCTCCGAAGGCAGTGAAGAGCGCACACCCCATGACGGCCGCCTCGGGCAGCGGCAGCGCGGGGGGGAGTGGCGCCACGGCGGAGGCGGGCGCCACACAGTAGTCCGCCAGCCCGCCCATGCTGTACATCGCCAGGGGGGCCGCTGGGGGGGGGGGGGGGAAGAGGGGAGCGATGGGGGTAAGAGGGGTTGTAGGGAGGAGGAGGGAGGGGGGTTGGGTGGATAGGCGGGGTTGGGTGTGAGCAGGTGTGTTGCAGAATGTGCGAGGAGTGACAACGAGCGCACACAGCTGTGTTTCTGTCAGCGCAATGCTGCTCCCCTACGACCTGGCCTGCTCCCCTACGACCTGGCCTGCTCCCCTACGACCTGGCCTGCTCCCCTACGACCTGGCCTGCTCCCCTACGACCTGGCCTGCTCCCCTACGACCTGGCCTGCTCCCCTACGACCTGGCCTGCTCCCCTACGACCATGGCCTGCTCCCCTACGACCATGACCTGCTCCCCTACGACCATGGCCTGCTCCCCTACGACCTGGCCTGCTCCCCTACGACCTGGCCTGCTCCCCTACGACCTGGCCTGCTCCCCTACGACCATGGCCTGCTCCCCTACGACCTGGCCTGCTCGCCTACGACCATGGCCTGCTCCCCTACGACCATGGCCTGCTCCCCTACGACCTGGCCTGCTCCCCTACGACCATGACCTGCTCCCCTACGACCTGGCCTGCTCCCCTACGACCTGGCCTGCTCCCCTACGACCTGGCCTGCTCCCCTACGACCTGGCCTGCTCCCCTACGACCTGGCCTGCTCCCCTACGACCATGGCCTGCTCCCCTACGACCTGGCCTGCTCGCCTACGACCATGGCCTGCTCCCCTACGACCATGGCCTGCTCCCCTACGACCTGGCCTGCTCCCCTACGACCATGACCTGCTCCCCTACGACCTGGCCTGCTCCCCTACGACCTGGCCTGCTTCAGCCCTGGCTGACTAGCACCACAAGAGGAGCGTCCCTGGCAGGTAGGCAGGCATGCGGTCACCAGAGGGGTGGGCGGAGAAGAGGCGTGTGTGGCCATCGTAGAGCGTGCCGTGCAGGCGGTTGAATGCAAAGAAGGTGGAGCATATGTCCTCCTGCCCCTGCCATGTGCGCACACGGGATGAGAGGCGTGGGGAGGAAGGCCGTGAGGGGAGGATGGAGTGTGGCATGGGTGGGGCGCATGCATGCAGCAGGAATGGCATGGCGTGGCATGGCGTGGCATGGCATGGGTGACTGACATGGGTGCAGAAGAAGCAGGAGCCGCAGGGCATGATGAAGGCCGCCACCACTCGTGACCCCACTGGCAGCCTGCTCGCCCCGTGCGTGCACGTGGTCATGACAGGCACGGGGTTAGGGGGGGGCAGGGAGCAGGGAGCAAGGGGCATAGACGTGTGGCGTGGGGCAGGAATGAGAGGAGGGAGCATGGTAAGCGGCACATGGAGGGCGAGTGCAGCAGGCATCACCGTGGTACAGCAGTGGTACTCGCTCTGGGCACAATAAGAGCAGGCGAGTGCGGGAACCTCAAGTCGCGAGCACAGTCATCCGGCGTGCTTGCTCACTGTGCTGCACCCTCCTCGCACCCTCCCAGGCCATGCCATGCGTTGAGGCGCACCTGGCGATGGTGGCGGCATCAGTGCCAGCGCCATGGTCCACGACCTCCCCGCTGACCTCGTGGCCCAGCACACAGGGCGCGGGGAACGCCACGTGCCCGCGCATCACATGCAGGTCCGTGTGGCACACGCCGCACGCTGCGGGCGACGACGTGGGGGGAAGCGAAAAGGAAAAGGGGAGCGGCAGAATTGTGTTAAGCGGGGGAGTGGGTTTGGGAAAGAGGTAGTGAATGGGGGAAGCGCAATGGGCGGTTGAAGCTCGAACGCCACGACGTCATATCGCCTCCACCCGCCTTCCGCCCCCTCCCCACATGAGCGTGTCGCGCAGGGCGGAAGGGCTCACCGCGCGTCTTGATGAGCACCTCGCCCGCCTGGGGGCGCGGGATGCGCAGCAGCTCCACGCGCAGCGGCGCGCCCACCTCGCGCATCACGGCGGCGCGCATCGTTGACGCTCCGTGCTGCACGGGCAGGGGAACGCTGCTGGCGGCGCTCGTGCTCAACCCCGCGGCGAGGGGCGACAGCGCGGCAGTTGAGAAGGAACGCGAGACATGAGGGGCGGAGCCGGAGGGATGAGGGGCGGAGGCATGAGGGGCGGAAAGCTGAGTGGACTCAACCGTCGAATGAAGCGCGCGGAGAAGCGAAGGGGATGCGACGGGTCCGTCGGTCTGAGCGCCACTAGCGGCACTCTCGGGGCGAGTGGGGGCGAGAGGCCCGTCGCTGCTCGGGGGAAGTATTCCCGGGGGAAGCGCAAAGCGTGCACGCGCATGGCGACTCCGAGAGCTCCGACGAAGGACCGCAGCGGCAGCGGCAAGGCAGGTGGGGGACATTTAGGCGATGTGGCGGGGCAGTGCGTGCGAGGATTCGATGTGTTCGTAGCTGCTCGGAGATTATTGCGAATGCTGTGTCGTGTGCCCGCAGCGCAAATCGCTACGCAAGCGGCGGCAAGGACGGAATGGGGGACCACATGAGTGCCGAGCTGCAGCAATGGCCGCCTCGCCACGTCAGGGGACATGGTGGACAGTGTTGACATCTGATCTGGGTGTCATGAATAGGAGCCACGCTGGAAACATTGATTTGTTAATTACTTAAGAGGTGTAGCCTGTACATAATAATGGTAGATTTCTATTGAGAGCAGGTTAAGGTTAAGGTTATATTAAGGTCGTGACCTGTTACAAACATGCATAGAGCAAGCAGGGAATATGGTCAAAGGACCAACTACCTATAAGGAGTACGTTACAACACGTTATTCCCCTACCCCCGAAGGGATATCCCCCAGCCGTCGTGGGAGAGCGCTCTATGATGAGGCGTCAAAACAAATGAAACGGAGGCGTATGGCGGTCCTGATGCGGGAGGCAGAACGTTGTTGTTTCTTAGCAGACTGAGCGGACCTTCTCCATAGAAAGATCTTGAAGGCAAGGAGGAACTGAGCGAGGATTAATTGAAGTGCTTCAAACTTGGTGGAAGATGACTCGTGGAACTTTCTTTCACACCGTGCATTCCAGATTCCCTTGGCAGCCGCGCCGACGAGAAGACTCCAGGGAGCGGATTGTCCAACTTTCTCACGGAGAGGAAAAAGGAGAAGCTCATCCGGGGGCGAACAGCCGAGGTGACGTCGAGCAGCCGAGCCAAGCGAGGATATAACAGCTGGAGCAATACCACAGGTGAGGAAGATGTGAGGGATGGTCTCAAGTTCTCCAGATGCACAAAGAGAGCAGCGACCACTGTCATTGGCGAACTGGAACCGCACGCCTGAAGGGAGGGTTCGGGTATAGAGGCGGAAAAGGAGGTCAAGTTGCAGGCTGGGTTGCTCCCGAAGAAAGTAGTGGGTGAGGTTAGGAAAAAAAGGAGGAGAGGATGTGAGTGCGCGTGTCCAACGAAGCTCGTGGTCCAGCTGCTGCTGCGAGTAGAGAAGACGACGGATGGATGCGAGATCTGGGAAGCCGTCGTGAAGAAGCTCCAAGCGCGCGCCTAGCCCTGCACCTGTATGGAACGGCCCTGCCACCCAGCGATCCAGGGTATGCATGGCCGCAACGTTCTTAATGTGAACAATGCCGGAGCCGATGGGGGTCCGATCGATGAGACTGTGTGGAAGGATCCGGAAGAAGGTCACAGAGAGAGTGTGCGGCGGGGTGAAGGAGGAGACCTGCAATGCAAGGGTAGGGTTGGAGTGGAGTTCCTGAGAAAGGATGAGCCAATCCCCAGGCGATGCCGCAGCACTGGTGGGGGCACGGAGCGCTGACGACCAAGAAGGGGGGATAGCCGCAACGAGTTCGCGTAGGACACGACGACCAGATTGAAAACGGGAGGGTGGGAACTTGACAGAGAAGACTTCCGGAGGGATGGGTTCCAAGCCATTGATCGTGGCATTGCAAATGTCGCCAAGGCGGACCTGCTGTGTAAGTAGGAACTTTTCACGGCGGATAAGGCCGAAGGGCTTTCCGTTGGGTTTAAGGATGAAGCGATTGAAGGCTGTGGGTTCGGCAAGCAGGCAGAGAGGTGACATTCGAGGGGGTAGGACAGTGGGTGACATAGACAAAAAGGCGCGGAGTTCTGCGAGAGCACGTTGGGGGATAGACGGGGACAGAACCTTAGGATGAAGAATTGCTGGGTGGGAAAGGAAAGCATGGGTGCCGAAGGGGAGGGCGACGACATTCCTCAGAGGGGGACACCCCGAATCGTCGTAGCGCGCGTTGGATGGAGAGGGCGCGGATCTGTGTGGAAGGCGCAATGGCACCAAGACCCCCGTCTCGGAGGGAGTTGAAGAGAAGTCGGCGAGGGATAAGGCGAACTGCTAGGCCAGATTCCTTGTAGCGGGAGGAGGATAGGAAATTGCCGACGGTGGTATCGAGGCGTGTAAGGGTGTCAGGCGGCACAGGCTGGAAGCGGCCGGGGAAGGATAGGGTAGAGTTGAGGAAAACTGACGCAAGGGTTTTGCGGCACGTGGCAGTAGCCCGCAGGGACCCAAGGTACCTGGAGGAGCGTTGGACTCTCGCGAGGGTTGTCGCCCAGGTTGTGGCGCCGGGGTTATCTTTTTCAACGAAGATTCCGAGGATGCGTCAGCCTCATCAGGAGCACGAATGGGGATGGGCCCTGCATTCGTGAGTAGCGACGAGGAGATGTTGAAGGGGATAATGGAGCATTTGTTCCAATTTGGGGATTCCCCAGAAACTAAAGCGAAAGTCAGGAGGTGAGAGACAGCGGAACCGAGTTCATCGTTCGACGAGAGGAAGATGGTCACATCGTCCGCATATCAGGCCATGAGACGGCGAGATACAGGAGACAAGGGAAAACCTGGAAGGTATAGGGACATATACCGATGGAAAATCTCAATGACACAGACAAAGAGGAGGGGAGCCAGTGGGCAGCCCTGGCGAACACCAGTGTGGACGGGAAAGAGCGGGCCCGCAAGGTTGTTGACGGCAAAGCAAGTGGAGGTGCCGGAATGCATGAGGCGCACCCAGTGGACAAATGGTGAGGGCAGGCCCAGGTGGGAAAGAGACTGCAGGAGAAAATCTCGGTCAACGAGATCGTATGCTTTACGAAAGTCGACAGTGAGAGCGAGGAGGGGGGTGCGGGAGTACGAAGCCCAATCCATAATATCAAGAGTATCGTTGATAGTGTCGCCGATTTTACGACGTTTAATAAAGGCAGTCTGGGATGGGTGAATAATGTGCGGAAGCACGCGTTGAAGGTGATTGGCGAGGCATAAGGCAAGCACCTTGTAGTCGGAGTTCATGAGCGTGATGGGTCGGAGGTTTTCTACGAGTGTAGAGTCGCCCTTCTTGGGAATAAGAACAGTACGACCGGAGAGCATGGACGGAGGTAGCGCGGGGGGGGGGGGGGGGGGGGGGTTATGAGCCAATCAAGGAGTGGAAGGCTGGGGCAAATCGAGGAGCGAACGATTGGAAGAGTTCACCAGGGAGACCATCCGGGCCAGGAGTTCTTCCTCGAGATAGTTGTCAAAGAGCTTTCCCGATTTCAGAGAGGGAGAAGGGAGAATGCAAGAGACGGGCAAGCGAGTCGGGCAGGGTGGAGCGGGGGATATGTCTCCAGAAGGAGGGGTTAGGGACGACAGGCGAGGAGCCGGAGTATAAGTGTTGAAAGTAGCTGGTGCATTCCGCGGACATTGACGGGAGGTGGGAGGAGATTTCACCAGTCGACAGAGTAAGAGACGAGATGAGCGAGGCTTTGATGCGAGCATTGAGGCCAGCAAGTAGCGAAGAGAGGCCAATTTCGCGATGGCCGTCGACCTTGAGCTTGGTTTTGAGGGCTAGCTCTGCGGTTTTGGAAGCTTCATATTTCATGAGTTGTAGTCGAGCTTTGCTGAGGAGGGCGTTTTCTTCCATGTTCAGTGCGGAACAGGCAGCTTGGGTTTGGAGGCGACCAATAAGGTGGCGTAGGTGGTCCATGGTTCCTGAGACACGACGCCGCTCCTGGTTAGAGAAGCATTTGAGACGGAGGGAGAGCTGCTGTTTCCAGTGGTCCCAGTCATTTGGAGTCGGCAGGGGGGGGAGGCGAAGGAGCTGCGTATCTAGGATGTGGGTTATGTGTGGGCGGCGCAGCAAGGAGGCACTGAGCCTCCACGGCCGGGGGGCCATGATGGGGTTGTCAAAACTAAGAGAGCAAAATGGGGCGAATAGGTGGTCCGAGATGAGGTTAGGGGTGAGGAGGTAGTGTGCTGCACGGAGGCGAGAGAGGAAGGTGGTGGACACGTAGATGCGGTCCAGACGAGCGGCCGGAGGGGGGGGAGGCGGAAGTACAGTGAGTCGCTGCCGGCCAATATAGGAGAAGGGGGGAGGCGGGGTGGAGGGCGCGGAACGAGTCAAGGAGGGACTGGGAGGACAGGAGGTTCGAGAATGAGGCGGCTTCACTCTGCTCATGATCGTGCAGAGTGCGGTTGCGGTCCTCGGGGAGGACGACCGAGTTGAAGTCGCCAGCAAGAACTGTGCATGCAGCGGCAGAGGGGGCTTCGAGAGCCGGGGTGAGGATGCTTCGCCACCAGACGCGGTGGGTCGTAGCATGCGGAGGGGCATATATGGCGATTAATCGGATTTTTTCATGCAGGAAGTTGATGTCGACAGAAATGAGTCGACCATCTATAGATGGGGAGGAAGACGAGAAGGATGCAGGAAGTTGATGTCGACAGAAAGGAGTCGACCATCTATAGATGGGGAGGAAGACGAGAAGGAGACAGCCTTGTTAAAAGAGAGGACAGAGATTCCACCGGGGGGGGGACGAGACCTCAAGGCATTACCGGGAGGGTAGGTAGCAGAAGCATGTGGCCGGAAGCGTAGGGACAGTTTTGAGAGGTTAAGGATGAGACGTGTGTCGATCAAGACAAGGATGTCAGGTTTGTTGCCTTGAGTTGAGATCCAATTCTTAAGCGCATTCATTTTATAGGGTGCGTTGAGACCATTGATATTGAGGCATAATATTTTCAGCTGAGCAATCATGGTAACGGAAATGGAGCCCGACATGCACCAAGGTACACGCATCCACGGGCCATACGACACGATAGGGAGAAAATATTTGTGCATGTAAAAAAGCTCAATGAATGAGGCAGGAAGGAATGCAACCACTGTACGCATGTGTTCAGAGCGAGCGGATCATTAAAACGAGTATGGGCAAGGCGGCACACGTGATTGAATGTTCCTAGCACATATATTAGATAATCGTGAAAGTACATGGCAGGTACATTCCAATGGCATAAATGGAAAACAGTAGGAGGTGAACCAAGATCACATAAGCAGGGTGGAATCACTGGGAGAGAAATGCCGCAATCTGGGGGGTAGCCAGGAAGGTAAGGGCCCTCTAGTTGCTGTACTTTTCCTTCGCAGCAGGGCCCTTGGCAGCAGCGCGCACGTTGGAGGCATGAGCCTCGGAGGCCATGTGCTCCATGGCTGAGTCGAGGGCAGGGCCACAGGCGAAGTTGCAGAGGACACAGGTCCAGGGCTCGACTTCGGTGTCGAGCCCAATGTAGAGGAGGCCTGGGTCCTTGCGGAAAGCATCGGGAGCAGGACGTGCCCCGAGAATTTGACCTGAGGGAAGGGGTGAGAGGAGCGAAAAGAGAAGGGAGCAAGCAAAGTGAGAGAAAAAATGGGAGACGAGTGCAAGGGAGAGGGGAAAGTGACGCAGAATTCTTCCACACTAGCGAGGCATGGCGCCAGATGGGGGGAAATGCAGCGGAAGGGAAGGGCAGGTGGGGACGTGTAGGGGGGCGGGCCAGGGGGCCGGGAGCATAGAATCTGGTTGATGCAATCACGAGGAGAGACGGCCTACAAGTGTCAAGGGGTGAGTAGACTAGAGAGACGGGGGAGGAGAGGGGGGGGGATTGGTTCGAGAGGAAAACGGGAGCATGCCACAGCGAAATTGAGCAGAGGGATGACAGTGCAAGGCAGAGGGACCAGGAGAGGGGTACAATTGCAAAGTTGGACGAAGAGGGGCGCATGAGAAAAGGGCGGCAGCGGGCGAAAAGCGTTATTGGGGGGTTGTGAGCGAGGGGGAAAGGGGGGGTGAACGTACCATTAGTCTGCTGCAACTGGGCAACAGAAATCTGAATCTTGTTGTTCAGGCGCTGCTTGCTCTTGAAGGCGAAGGTCTCGTGGTCAGAGCCACGATGGTTGTTCCCACGGTGAGCACACACGTGGGTGGAGATGTTGAGGAGGGCAGGGGGGGAGTCATCCGCAAACGGGATGACAGCAGGGATGCGAGAGAAGGTCGGGTCATCCGGGGGGAGGGGAGAGGGATGCCGGTGAAAACAGGGAGGAAAACCTCCTCGTACGGGTCGGTGGTGCGATGGAAGAACTGCAGGTCCGCAAGCCACGCAGGCTCAGCCGGATCCGCGCCTTGTAGCAGAAACTCGCGGACATCCTCCGGGGTATACCCAGGGCGGATGTTGCGGAGCGAAAGTGTGGCGGCGCCCCCGGCCTTGGCAGCCGTGAAGCCAGGGTTACGGTCTTCGAAGACCTTAAGAAGCACGGAGCGGGAGGCATTAAGGGGGATGGAACGGGGGAAGAGGCGCTTAAAGTCCTCAGCCTCTTCCTCCGTAGGCCACGAAAAGCAGAGCCGAGCATAGGAACGGCGCGGAACCCGGAGCGCCTCGCTGGTGGCGACTTCAAACTCCGGAACGGAGCCGCGGCGGAAGAAGTGCGGCTTCAGCATGGCGGTGATGCGGGCGATGAGATCTGCGCGAATAGCATCCGCGCCGGTTTCGGGCATAAGGAGCGAGACCACAGCGAGGCGGCGGCGGGGCATGACTGGGCCGGGCCTCGGGCGGCGAAGGATGCGGGTGGCCGCGGGGCTGGTAGCGTGGGCTGCCAGCTCCAAGAGCGGCGCCAAGACGGGAGGGGGGGGAGGCGGTCCTGCGCAAGGCAGAGGGCGGAGCAGGAGCAGCAGTTGCAAGGGGAGGGGCGCCAGAGGGGGCGCCCGAGGTATTGACGGGCCGGGGGGCAGCCATAGCCGCCATAACACTGCTGGCCGGCGCCGGAGGGCCTTCGACGCAGACCTTCTTGGCCGCAGGGGGCTCGTCGGCTGCGTGGGGGGGAGCGAGCGGGATGGCAGGGAGCTCATCAAAATGGAGCTCCTCTCCGTCGAGCTGGAGCTCCTCGTCGACAAGAGCCATCTCGTCGTCCGGGTTGTGCGTCTAGGCGGCCATGAGGGAAGGCTGAAGGGAGACGAGAGCGAAGTGGGGCAGATGATGAGAACATACAGGGAAACATGCGCTTTTATCTTCCCAAATCTGGAGAGGGGCGTCTCGGCACATCAGAGGACATACGGGGCGGGATGGATGGGCAGAGGGGAGGAGGGCCGAGGGGAGCAGAGGGCGGTGCGGATCTGGCCTGAAAGGATGGAAGAGTGGGAGGGAAGAACGGGGGGGGGTGAGGGGAAACTCCAGGCGGTTCGGATCTGGGCTTAAACGCCTGGAGAAAGGGAGGGAAAGGCGGGGAAGAGCGAGGAGGGACGCTTGGCGGTGCGGATCTGGGCTGAAAAGTCCTAAAGGAGGGTGGGAAGAGCGGGGAAAACCGAGGGGTGACTTTTGGCGGTTCGGATTTGAGCCGAAGCGCCTGAAATGTGGGATGGAAAAGCGGGGAAGAGTGAGGAAAGAAAAATTGGCGATGCGGATCTGGGCTGAGAACTCCGAAAAGTGGAAGCGGAGAGCGGGGAAGAGCGGAGGGAAACTCATGGCGGTACGGATCTGGGTTGGAACGCCTGAAAAATGGGAGGGGAGACCGTGGAATAGGGAGGAGGAATGAGTGGCGCTGCGGAGGTGGCAGAGACGTACGCATTGAGGGAGGGAAGAGAATGGCAGAGCAAGGAGAAACAGATGGCGGGTCGGATCTGGGCTAAAACGTCGGGAAAGAGGGGGAGATGAGCGAGGAAGAGCGAGGAATAGCAGATGGCGCTTCGTATGTGGGCTAAAACGTGCGAAACATGGGAGGAAAGAACGAACGGGAGCAGCAACGTAGCTGCGAGAGGTTAGTAGTGCGGACCAGGTGCGATTGGGTAAACGCAAGCCATAAGTATTGGCGAGGGGGCATAGGCAGCGGCCACAGCTTCCCCAAAAAAAGGACCAGGAGCCTAGGCGGCGGCCTGAGTCCACGAGGTAGAAGTTTCTCGAAAATGAGGCGAAATGGGTGGCAGAGGAAATAGATGTTGGTCGAGAAGGGGAGCGACGAGGGCAACGGAGGAGATGGGTCTTACGAAAGGGGGAACGCCTGCGCAGCACCAACATCCACGGCGTCAGGGAGGCAGAGTAATCAGAGCGAGGTAAGAGCTGAAGGCTCGGTGGGTGGCGGGTGGATCCACGACCAGCCATCACAGCGAAGGGAAGAGATAGCATCGGGTTTCGGATGGCCTGGAAACCAGAAGAAGGAGTGGTGACGTGGAGCAATTGAGGGAAACAATCGTGCGGCAAGTGGTAGCAGAGGCGTGGAGAAACCCAGACGCGAGGGCAACCAGCAAATTGGCAGGGAGCACGAAACGGAAGGGAAGCGGGGCGAGGGATAAGCTGACGTGTAGGAGAGTCGGAGGCGCGGGAATCGAAGGGTCGAGAAGGGAGCGGAGCCAAAAAATCGGGCAGGGCGTCGCAAGGGGAAAAAACGTGGGCGTGTCAGAATCTAGCAGCAGGAATGGATGAACTAGCAACATGCAGGAGTACAAGTAGTAAACCTTAATTGGGCTGTACCCCATATGGGCTACCCCACTACAGCCTAGACAATATGAATCATATATGTTTGACACACCCCCATAGGCAAAGTGGGGGAGAACAAGGGGTCAAACGACCAGTCAAGAGAAGCAAAGCAAGCTCAGGGTGGATCTCAACGTCACCACACATTCTGAGCACAAGCAAAGGGCCACAAGGCCAGTCCACATGCAGAGATATATATGCAACAATAACAGTACAGTGATGACTACCTAGCAAGAGCAGGCATGCATGTATATATATAGATCACAGTACAAGCAGAGACTACAGCAAGTGTGGAAACGTAGGCACAAGGCCTAACAGGGTACAAAAGCGCTGATGATCACCAGACGGAAGTGCCTTGGTGAATATATCAGCAGTGTTGGCCCGAGTGGCCACGTGACGAAGACGAAGCTGGCCTCGCTGCTGCAACTCTCGAGCCAGGAAGTAACGCAGAGCAATGTGCTTCGTTCTGTGCTCCAGTCTGTGCTCCTCACACAAGGCAATGGCGGCCTTGTTGTCGACGTACAGCACTGGAGGAGAACGAGGCTGCTCTCCCAAGTCAGTCAGCAGGTAGGTGAGCCAGCGTAACTCCTGTGCAGCCATGGCTGTGGCGTAGATCTCAGCCTCACAACTGGAGCTGAGAACTGAAGACGAGCGTGTAGAACGCCACGAAACTGAACCAGAGCCAAGGCTGAAGGTGTAACCCTGTGACGACCGCTGAGTAGCCTGGTCGTCAACCCAAGAAGCGTCTGAGTGCCCAGTGAGGACAACTGGGCTCGTCCCTCCAAGCACTAGCCCCATGCCTGATGTGCTGCACAAGTAGCGCAGTACCCTCTTAGCAGCAGCCATGTGCTCAGGTCGGTGCCGACCAGGAGCCACGTAGCGAGCCAGAAGACCAAGAGGGTACGCGAGGTCAGGTCGAGTGCAAGTCATCAGGTACATGAGGCAGCCGACTAGCTCTGGGTAAGGACCACTCGGCTCTACGGACTCGTCCGAAGGTGGAGCTGAGAGCGTGTGACCTGTAGCCAGAGGAGTGGCCTGTGCTGAAGACCAGGTGAAGCCGAAGCGCTGAAGGACCTGCTGCACCATGTGTGACTGAGTCAAGGTGATGGTGCGGCGTGCTCTGTCCCGGGTAATCTGCAAGCCAAGGTAGCTGCGCAGCTCACCCAAGTCTGTGCACGTGTGTCTCTTCTGCAGCTCCGAATTCACGTGGGCGAGAGCCTCAGTGTCAGCAGTGGCAAAAACCAAGTCGTTGACGTACACGAGGATGTAGAACGGCGGCAGTGAAGTGTCGGTGCGCAGAAACAGCGACGGGTCAGCAGTAGAAGGCGCGAACCCAAGAGCCGCAAGCGTAGTCCTCAGTGTGTCGTGCCACTCATGTGGCGCCTGGCGGAGACCGTAGACCGGCCGCCGGAGGCTCCACTGGGTGCCAGGAGGGAACGACCCAGTGAAGCCCGGGGGGCGGCGCAGCCAGATCTCCTCGTGCAGGCTGCCCTGCAAGAAAGCTGTGCTGAAGTCAAGAGAGTGAAGCTCGTAGTCACGGTGAGCAGCAACATGCAGCAGCACCCGAAGAGTGGTCATCTTCGGGGTGGGGGAGAAGGTCTGGAAGAAGTCAACTCCCTCTCGCTGACTGAAGCCTCGAGCAACGTAACGCGCCTTGAAGACAGGCGGAGAACCCGGCGGCCGCTTCACCCTGAAAATCCACATGCCACTGACGATGTTCGCCCCAGGTGGGGGAACCTCGTCAACGTAGGTGCCTGTGGACTTCCAGGAAGCCATCTCTGCGTCCATGGCTGCCTGCCACTAAGAGGAGTAGGGACCCTCTATCGCCTCTGCGTAAGAGCGCGGAGTCGGGATGTCTGGTGCATCCGGGTCTCCCTCAGGGGCAAGTAGCGAGGACACAAGATGAGGTAAAGCAGCAGCAAGACACTGGAACTCCTCCTGCCTGTCCTCAAGGACGTCCGTGCTAAGAGCACACGCACCCCCGACGGACGGAGGACAGACAGACTCAGACTCAGCAACAAGACTGGCGGCGTAGTCTAGACGACAGGCAGCAGCAAAGTCAACAAGCTCAGCGACCAAGGCAGACGCAGCAGTAGACTCAAACGACGGGTCAGTGACAACAGTGGCCAGGAGACGCGTGACAGTAGGGTGCTCAGTACGAAACCGGTCAGACTCAAGGTCCGGAACGGCAGGCAGAGAGGACGCAGGGGGAGACGGCAGAGGAACAGGCTGCGGAGCAGAGGAAGGACGACGGACAACAAGGTGTGCGCTGGGGACAGCCGGCTGACGCGCACGAGCGACACGACGAACGGTACGACCAGAACGAACAGGCGAGACAGGACGCGACGCAGGCTCACGACGCGTAGCAGGACTGCCTGTCTGCTCAGTGTAAGGAGAGGGAGCAGGTAGCGGTGAGCCAGTCTGTAACGGAAGACCAGTAGACGACGGGAGAGTAACAACCTGACGAAGAGCAGAGTCAGGCGGCGGCAGAGACGACGGAGACGGCGGAGCGAAGAACAGTCGTGTCGGCGCAGCTGCACCAGTACCGGCAGCTCCAGCAGCTCCAGTGCCTCCAGCAGCTCCAGTACCTCCAGCAGCTCCCGTACCTCCAGCAGCTCCAGAAGCTCCAGTCCCAGAGTCGACACCCCCAGTCCCAGGGTCTCCAACCTCTGTGTCTCCAGCAGCAGCACCCCCAGACCCAGCACCTCCAGTCCCAGGGTCTCCAGCCTCAGTGTCTCCAGCAGCAGCACCCCCAGAACCAGCACCTCCAGTCCCAGGGTCTCCAGCCTCAGTGTCTCCAGCACGAGCACCTCCAGAACCAGCGACTCCAGCACCTCCAGTAGACAAAGGACCAGCACCACTCCTAGCTCCAGCAGCGCGACGCTGACGGCGACCGTACCAGTCCTGCAGCTGCTGTGGTGTGAGAGGCACACGTGGACGAAGGCGGCTACTCCAAGGAGACCGCGCAACAGCAGACTCAGAACCCTCAGCGCCCGCACCCCCAACGGCTCCAGAACCTCCGGTGTCAGTACCCTCAGCACCAGTACCTCCAGCGGCTCCAGAACCT